AAAAAAGAGAGAGATGTGGCAACTGTGCTGGGGCTCACTGTGCTGCCTTCTCCAGTTGGAACATGTGTTTTAGTGGCTGTGAGTTGGTGTGGCACCAGTATTTGTGGGAGTTGCACCAGGAGAACCACCAACCGATGGGCTTGGAGTGCCTGTGGTTGGCGTGGGTCCTGGACTTGAAGACAATGAACTTGGTTCTGGTGTTTTCTTTATGCTTGGTTGAGGAGACCCAAGGCCTTTTGTTGGCTCTGGTACAATGGAAGGAGATGTCGCAGTACTTACCGTTGGAATATCACTAGTTGGGACTACAATTGTTGGCTGGCAGGCAAAGATATGCAAAGGAAATTGTAAGGTAAGGTAAACACATTCTTTGCAGAGGAAGAGATACCTGGAAATGCAAGCAATAAATGTCATGAACCTGGAAATCTTGACTTACCTCTCCGGGAAGTGGTGTAGGCACCTCAAATGAAAATGGTGGTGTTCGAGACACTTTAGTTGGAGAAAGTGTAGTGGGCGATGGTGCAGATGTTCCAGGTGTTGGACCTGGTGTGCCAACCTTGCCTGGAGTGGGTCTGGGAGGAACACTTCCTGAAGTTTCATAGGTGGTGGTAGTGCTAGGGCTCACTGTGCTGCCTTCCCCGGTGGGTCCAGATGTGGTTGGGGTAGACCCAACAGATGGAACCGGAGTGCCTTCAGAAGTACTGGGTGTGGGACTGGGGGTGCCAACCTTGCCCGGGGTGGGTCTGGGTGGAACACTTCCAGAGGTCTCTGTTGTGGCGACTGTGCTAGGGCTCAGAGTGCTGCCTTCCCCAGTGGGTCCAGCTGTGCTTGGTGTCGAACCAATAGATGGGACTGGAGTGCGTACAGAAGTACTGGGTGTGGGACCGGGTGTGCCAACCTTGCCTGGGGTGGGTCTGGGTGGAACACTTCCAGAGGTCTCTGTTGTGGTGACTGTGCTGGGGCTCAGTGTGCTACCTTCCCCGGTGGGTCCAGATGTGGTTGGGGTCGAACCAACAGATGGAACTGGAGTGCCTTCAGCAGTACTGGGTGTGGGACCGGGGGTGCCAACCTTGCCCGGGGTGGGTCTGGGTGGAACACTTCCAGAGGTCTCTGTTGTGGCGACTGTGCTAGGGCTCAGAGTGCTGCCTTCCCCAGTGGGTCCAGATGTGCTTGGGGTTGAACCAACAGCTGAAGGGCTTGGAGTGCCTGTTGTTGGTGTGGGTCCTGGTCCTGAGGAGGATGGTTCTGATGTTGTCTTTGTGCTTGGAGACTCAAAGCCTTTTGTTGGCTCTGGTACAATGGAAGGAGATGTTGTAGTACTTACCGTTGGAATACCACTAGTTGGCACTACAATTGTTGGCTGGAAGACAAAGATCGATGGGTTGACAACAAAGAAACATGTAAGGTGAGGTAAAAACATTCTATGCAGAGGAAGAGAGAACTGGCGGGAATGGAAGCAATACAAGTTATGATCCTGGTCATCTTGACTTACCTCTCCGGGGAGTGGTGTAGGCACTTCGAATGAAAATGGTGGTGTTCGAGACACTTTTGTTGGAGAAAGTGTAGTGGGCGATGGTGCAGATGTTCCAGGTGTTGGACCTGGTGTGCCAACCTTGCCTGGAGTGGGTCTGGGAGGAACACTTCCTGAAGTTTCATAGGTGGTGGTAGTGCTAGGGCTCAGAGTGCTGCCTTCCCCAGTGGGTCCAGCCGTGGTTGGGGTAGACCCAACAGATGGAACCGGAGTGCCTTCAGAAGTACTGGGTGTGGGACCGGGGGTGCCAACCTTCCCTGGGGTGGGTCTGGGTGGAACACTTCCAGAGGTCTCTGTTGTGGCGACTGTGCTGGGGCTCAGTGTGCTGCCTTCCCCGGTGGGTCCAGATGTGATTGGGGTTGAACCAACAGATGGACCCGGAGTGCTTTCAGAAGTAATAGGTGTAGGACCGGGGGTGCCAACCTTGCCCGGGGTGGGTCTGGGTGGAACACTTCCAGAGGTCGCTGTTGTGGCGACTGTGCTGGGGCTCAGTGTGCTGCCTTCCCCAGTGGGTCCAGCTGTGCTTGGGGTCGAACTAACAGCTGAAGGGCTTGGAGTGCCTTCAGAGGAACTGGGTGTGGGACCTGGTCCTGAGGAGGATGGTTCTGATGTTGTCTTTGTGCTTGGAGACTCAAAGCCTTTTGTTGGCTCTGGTACAATGGAAGGAGATGTCGTAGTACTTACTGTTGGAATTCCACTAGTTGGGACTACGATTGTTGGCTGGCAGACAAAGATAGATGGGGTGACAAAAGGAAACATGTAAGGTAAGGTACAATCACAATCTTTGCTTTCAGGGCATAGATCTGGCGAGGAATGCAAGCAATAATACTTTTGATCCTGGTCATCTTGACTTACCTCTCCGGGAAGTTGCGTAGGCACTTGGAATGAAAATGGAGGTGTTCTTGACACTTTTGTTGGAGAAAGTGTAGTGGGGGATGGCGCAGAAGTTCCAGGTGTTGGTCCTGGTGTGCCAACCTTGCTTGGAGTGGGTCTGGGAGGAACACTTCCTGAAGTTTCATAGGTGGCGGTAGTGCTGGGACTCAACGTACTTCCCTCCCCAGTAGGTACCTGAGTGGAAGGGGTTGTTGCAACAGTAGAAGGAGATTGGGTAGCTTCCTTTGTTGGACTAGCAGTTGTACCATCAGTGGAGCTTGGTGCAGAAGTCAGTGGACCAGGGCCCGGTGTCGGAATCCTTGGAGGCACATTTCCAGATGCCTCCCCTGAAGGAAAAGCAGTGCCCTCAGAAAAACTGGGTGTTGGCCCAGGAGTGCCAACCTTGCCCGGGGTGGGTCTGGGTGGAACACTTCCAGAGGTCTCTGTTGTGGCGCCTGTGCTAGGGCTCAGAGTGCTGCCTTCCCCAGTGGGTCCAGCCGTGCTTGGAGTTGGTTCAGCCGTGCTTGGAGTTGAACCAACAGATGGAACCGGAGTGCCTTCCGAAGAGCTAGGTGTGGGACCGGGGTGCCAACCTTGCCAGGGGTGGGTCTGGGTGGAACACTTCCAGAGGTCTCTGTTGTGGCGACTGTGCTAGGGCTCAGAGTGCTGCCTTCCAGTGGGTCCAGCCGTGCTTGGAGTTGAACCAACGGATGGACTGGAGTGCTTCAGAAGTACTGGGTGTGGGACCGGGGGTGCCAACCTTGCCCGGGGTGGGTCTGGGTGGAACACTTCCAGAGGTCTCCGTTGTGGGACTGTGCTAGGCTCAGAGTGCTGCCTTCCCTGTGGGTCCAGCCGTGCTTGGAGTTGAACCAACGGATGGAACCGGAGTGCCTTCAGAAGTACTGGGTGTGGGACCGGGGGTGCCAACCTTGCCCGGGGTGGGTCTGGGTGGAACACTTCCAGAGGTCTCCGTTGTGGCGACTGTGCTAGGGCTCAGAGTGCTGCCTTCCCCTGTGGGTCCAGCCGTGCTTGGAGTTGAACCAACAGATGGAACCGGAGTGCCCTCAGAAGTGTAGGTTGGACCGGGGTGCCAACCTTGCCCGGGGTGGGTCTGGTGGAACACTTCCAGAGGTCTCCGTTGTGGCGACTGTGCTAGGGCTCAGAGTGCTGCCTTCCCCTGTGGGTCCAGCCGTGCTTGGAGTTGAACCAACGGATGGAACCGGAGTGCCTTCAGAAGTACTGGGTGTGGGACCGGGGGTGCCAACCTTGCCAGGGGTGGGTCTGGGTGGAACACTTCCAGAGGTCTCGTTGTGGCGACTGTGCTAGGGCTCAGAGTGCTGCCTTCCCCGTGGTCCAGCCGTGCTTGGAGTTGAACCAACGGATGGAACTCGGAGTGCTTCAGAAGACTGGGTGGGGACCGGGGTGCCAACCTTGCAGGGGTGGGTCTGGGTGGACACTTCCAGAGTCTCCGTTGTGGGGACTGTGCTAGGGCTCAGAGTGCTGCCTTCCCCTGTGGGTCCAGCCGTGCTTGGAGTTGAACCAATGGATGGAACCGGAGTGCCTCAGAAGTACTGGGTGTGGGACCGGGGTGCCAACCTTGCCGGGGAGGGTCTGGGTGGAACACTCCAGAGGTCTCGTTGTGGCGACTGTGCTAGGCTCAGAGTGCTGCCTTCCCCTGTGGGTCCAGCCGTGCTTGGAGTTGAACCAACGGATGGAACCGGAGTGCCTTCAGAGTACTGGGTGTGGGACCGGGGTGCCAACCTTGCCGGGGTGGGTCTGGGTGAACACTTCCAGAGGTCTCCGTTGTGGGGACTGTGCTAGGGCTCAGAGTGCTGCCTTCCCCTGTGGGTCCAGCCGTGCTTGGAGTTGAACCAACGATGGAACCGGAGTGCCTTCAGAAGTACTGGGTGTGGGACGGGGGTGCCAACCTTGCCGGGGTGGTCTGGGTGGAACACTTCCAGAGGTCTCCTGTTGTGGCGACTGTGCTTGGGCTCAGAGTGCTGCTTCCCCTGTGGGTCCAGCCGTGCTTGGGTTGAACCAACAGATGGAACCGGAGTGCCTCAGAAGTGTTAGGTGTGGGACCGGGGGTCCAACCTTGCCCGGGGTTGGTCTGGGTGGAACACTTCCAGAGGCTCCGTTGTGGCGACTGTGCTAGGGCTCAGAGTGCTGCCTTCCCCTGTGGGTCAGCCGTGCTTGGGTTGAACCAACAGGATGAACCGGAGTGCCTTCAGAAGTACTGGGTGTGGGACCGGGGGTGCCAACCTTGCCAGGGGTGGGTTGGGTGGAACACTTCCAGAGGTCTCCGTTGTGGCGACTGTGCTAGGGCTCAGAGTGTGCCTTCCCCTGTGGGTCCAGCCGTGCTTGGAGTTGAACAACGCGATGGAACGGAGTGCCTTCAGAATACTGGTGGTGTGGGACCCGGGGTGCCAACCTTGCCCGGGGTGGGTCTGGGTGGAACACTTCCAGAGGTCTCCGTTGTGGCGACTGTGCTAGGGCTCAGAGTGCTGCCTTCCCCTGTGGGTCCAGCCGTGCTTGGAGTTGAACCAACGGATGGAACCGGAGTGCCTTCAGAAGACTGGGTGTGGGACCGGGGTGCCAACCTTGCCGGGGGGGTCTGGGTGGAACACTTCCAGAGGTCTCCGTTGTGGCGACTGTGCTAGGGCTCAGAGTGCTGCCTTCCCCTGTGGGTCCAGCCGTGCTTGGAGTTGAACCAACGGATGGAACCGGAGTGCCTTCAGAAGTATGGGGTGTGGGACCGGGGGGCCAACCTTGCCCGGGGGGGGTCTGGGTGGAACACTTCCAGAGGTCTCCGTTGTGGCGACTGTGCTTGGGCTCAGAGTGCTGCCTTCCCCTGTGGGTCCAGCCGTGCTTGGAGTTGAACCAACGGATGGAAACGGAGTGCCCTTCAGAAGTACTGGGTGTGGGACGGGGGTGCCAACCTTGCCGGGGTGGGTCTGGGTGGAACACTTCCAGAGGTCTCCGTTGTGGCGACTGCTAGGGCTCAGAGTGCTGCCTCCCCTGTGGGTCCAGCCGTGCTTGGAGTTGAACCAACGATGGAACGGAGTGCCTTCAGAAGACTGGGTGTGGGACCGGGGGTGCCAACCTTGCCGGGGTGGGTCTGGGTGGAACACTTCCAGAGGTCTGTTGTGGCGACTGTGCTGGGCTCAGAGTGCTGCCTTCCCCTGTGGGTCCAGCCGTGCTTGGAGTTGAACCAACGATGGAACCGGAGTGCCCTCAGAAGTTAGGTGTGGGACCGGGGGTGCCAACCTTGCCCGGGGTGGGTCTGGGTGGAACACTTCCAGAGGTCTCCGTTGTGGCGACTGTGCTAGGGCTCAGAGTGCTGCCTTCCCCTGTGGGTCCAGCCGTGCTTGGAGTTGAACCACGGATGGAACCGGAGTGCCTTCAGAAGTACTGGGTGTGGGACGGGGGTGCCAACCTTGCCAGGGGTGGGTCTGGGTGGAACACTTCCAGAGGTCTCCGTTGTGGCGACTGTGCTAGGGCTCAGAGTGCTGCCTTCCCCTGTGGGTCCAGCCGTGCTGGAGTTGAACCAACGGATGGAACCGGAGTGCCTTCAGAAGTACTGGGTGTGGGACGGGGGTGCCAACCTGCCAGGGGTGGGTCTGGGTGGAACACTTCCAGAGGTCTCCGTTGTGGCGACTGTGCTAGGGCTCAGAGTGCTGCCTTCTGTGGTCCAGCCGTGCTTGGAGTTGAACCAACGGATGGAACCGGAGTGCCTCAGAAGTACTGGGTGTGGGACCGGGGGTGCCAACCTTGCCAGGGGTGGGTCTGGTGGAACACTTCCAGAGGTCTCCGTTGTGGCGACTGTGTGCTAGGGCTCAGAGTGCTGCCTTCCCCTGTGGGTCCAGCCGTGCTTGGAGTTGAACCAACGGATGGAACCGGAGTGCCTTCAGAAGTACTGGGTGTGGGACCGGGGGTGCCAACCTTGCCAGGGGTGGGTCTTGGGTGGAACACTTCCAGAGGTCTCCGTTGTGGCGACTGTGCTAGGGCTCAGAGTGCTGCCTTCCCCTGTGGGTCCAGCCGTGCTTGGAGTTGAACCAACGGATGGAACCGGAGTGCTTCAGAAGTACTGGGTGTGGGACCGGGGTGCCCCTTGCCCGGGGTGGGTCTGGGGTGGAACACTTCCAGAGGTCTCCGTTGTGGCGACTGTGCTAGGGCTCAGAGTGCTGCCTTCCCTGTGGGTCCAGCCGTGCTTGGAGTTGAACCAACGATGGAACCGGAGTGCCTTCAGAAGTACTGGTGTGGGACCGGGGGTGCCAACCTTGCCCGGGGTGGGTCTGGTGGAACACTTCCAGAGGTCTCCGTTGTGGCGACTGTGCTAGGCTCAGAGTGCTGCCTTTCCCTGTGGGTCCAGCCGTGCTTGGAGTTGAACCAACGGATGGAACGGAGTGCCTTCCGAAGAGCTGGGTGTGGGACGGGGGTGCCAACCTTGCCGGGGTGGGTCTGGGTGGAACACTTCCAGAGGTCTCTGTTGTTGCGACTGTGCTAGGGCTCAGAGTGCTGCCTTCCCCTGTGGGTCCAGCCGTGCTTGGAGTTGAACCAACAGATGGAACCGGAGTGCCTTCAGAAGTACTGGGTGTGGGACCGGGGGTGCCAACCTTCCCGGGGGTGGGTCTGGGTGGAACACTTCCCTCAGTGCTGCCTTCGCCAGATGGAACTGGAGTGCCTTCAGACGTACTGGGTGTGGGCCCTGGAGTACCAACCTTGCCCGGGGTGGTCTGGGTGGAACACTTCCAGAGGTCTCGGTTGTGGCGACTGTGCTGGCTCAGAGTGCTGCCTTCTCGGTGGGTCCAGCCGTGGTTGGGGTTGTACCAACGGATGGAACCGGAGTGCCTTCAGAAGTACTGGGTGTGGGACCGGGGGTGCCAACCTTGCCCGGGGTGGTCTGGGTGGAACACTTCAGAGGTCTCCGTTGTGGCACTGTGCTAGGGCTCAGAGTCTGCCTTCCCCTGTGGGTCCAGCCGTGCTTGGAGTTGAACCAAAGATGGAACGGAGTGCCTTCAGAAGTACTCGAGTGGGACCGGGGGCCAACTTGCCTGGGGTGGGTCTGGGTGGAACACTTCCAGAGGTCTCTGTTGTGGCGACTATGCTAGGGCTCAGAGTACTGCCTTCCCCAGTGGGTCCAGCTGTGCTGGGGGTTGCCCCAATAGAAGGAACTGCAGTATCTGTTAGGGCTGGTGGAAGTGTTGTTTCTCTTGACACTGAAGTAGGTCCTGGAGTACTGGTGTTCCCAGGGGTGGGTCTGGGTGGAACACTTCCAGAGGTCTCTGTTGTGGCGACTGTGCTGGGGCTCAGTGTGCTGCCTTCCCCTGTGGGTCCAGCCGTGCTTGGGCTTGACCAACGATGGAACTGAGTGCCTTCAGAAGTACTGGGTGTGGGACCGGGGTGCCAACCTTGCCCGGGGTGGGTCTGGGTGGAACACTTCCAGAGGTCTCTGTTGTGGTGACTGTGCTAGGGCTCAGAGTGCTGCCTTCCCCTGTGGGTCCAGCCGTGCTTGGAGTTGAACCAACGGATGGAACCGGAGTGCCTTCAGAAGTACTGGTGTGGGACCGGGGTGCCAACCTTGCCAGGGGTGGGTCTGGGTGGAACACTTCCAGAGGTCTCTGTTGTGGCGACTGTGCTAGGGCTCAGAGTGCTGCCTTCCCCTGTGGGTCAGCCGTGCTTGGAGTTGAACCAGCAGATGGAACCGGAGTGCCTTCAGAAGTACTGGGTGTGGACCGGGGGTGCCAACCTTGCCGGGGGTGGGTCTGGGTGGAACACTTCCTCAGTGCTGCCTTCGCCAGATGGAACTGGAGTGCCTCAGAAGTACTGGGTGTGGGCCCGGAGTCCAACCTTGCCCGGGTGGGTCTGGGTGGAACACTTCCAGAGGTCTCGGATGTGGCGACTGTGCTGGGGCTAAGAGTGCTGCCTTCTTCGGTGGGTCCAGCCGTGGTTGGGGTTGAACCAACGGATGGAACCGGAGTGCCTTCAGAAGTACTAGGTGTGGGACCGGGGGTGCCAACCTTGCCAGGGGTGGTCTGGGTGGAACACTTCCGAGGTCTCTGTTGTGGCGACTGAGCTAGGGCTCAGAGTGCTGCCTTCGCCAGTGGGTCCAGCTGTGCTTGGGGTAGACCCAACAGACGGAACCGGAGTGCCTTCAGAAGTACTGGGTGTTGGCCCAGGGGTGCCAACCTTGCCCGGGGTGGGTCTGGGTGGAACACTTCCAGAGGTCTCGGTTGTGGCGACTGTGCTGGGGCTCAGAGTGCTGCCTTCGCCGGTTTGGGTCCAGCTGTGCTTGGGGTAGACCCAACAGACGGAACCGGAGTGCCTTCAGAGACTGGGGTTGGCCGGGGTGCCAACTTTGCCGGGGTGGGTCTGGTGGAACACTTCCCTCAGTGCTGCCTTCACCTGATGGAACTGGAGTGCCTTCAGAGGCGCTTCTGGGTGTTGGCCCTGGAGTTCCAACCTTGCCGGGGGTGGGTCTGGGTGGAACACTTCCAGAGGTCTCTGTTGTGGTGACTGTGCTGGGGCTCAGAGTGCTGCCCTCCCCGGTGGGTCCAGCTGTGGTTGGGGTTGCCTCAGCAGATGGAACTGGAGTGCCTTCAGAAGACTATGGTGTGGGCCGGGGTGCCAACTTCCCGGGGTGGGTCTCGGGGAACACTTCCCTCGGTGCTGCCTTCACCAGATGGAACTGGAGTGCCTTCAGAGGAGCTGGTGTGGGCCCTGGAGTTCCAACCTTGCCCGGGGTGGGCTGGGTGGAACACTTCCAGAGTCTCGTTGTGGTGACTGTGCTAGGGCTCAAAGTGCTGCCTTCCCCTGTGGTCCAGCCGTGCTTGGGTTGAACCAACGGATGGAACTGTAGTCTCTGGTAGGGGTGGCGGAAGGGTTGTTTCTCTTGACACTGAAGTAGGTCCTGGAGTTCCAACCTTGCCGGGGGTGGGTCTGGGTGGAACACTTCCAGAGGCTCTGTTGTGGCACTGTGCTGGGGCTCAGAGTGCTGCTTCCCCGGTGGGTCCAGCTGTGCTTGGGGTTGCCTCAGCAGATGGAACTGGAGTGCCTTCAGAAGTACTGGGTGTGGGACCTGGGGTGCCAACCTTGCCAGGGGTGGGTCTGGGTGGAACACTTCCAGAGGTCTCTGTTGTGGCGACTGTGCTGGGCTCAGAGTGCTGCCTTCTTCGGTGGGTCCAGCCGTGGTTGGGGTTGAACCAACAGATGGAACTGGAGTGCCTTCAGAAGAACTGGGTGTTGGCCCAGGGGTGCCAACCTTGCCAGGGGTGGGTCTGGGTGGAACACTTCCCTCAGTGCTGCCTTCACCAGATGGAACTGGAGTGGCTTCAGAGGAGCTGGGTGTTGGCCCTGGGGTTCCAACTTGCCAGGGGTGGGTCTGGGAGGAACACTTCCCTCAGTGCTGCCTTCACCAGATGGAACTGGAGTGCCTTCAGAGGAGCTGGGTGTGGGCCCTGGAGTACCAACCTTGCCCGGGGTGGGTCTGGGTGGAACGCTCCCCTCGGTGCTGGCTTCCCCTGATGGAACTGGAGTGCCTTCAGAAGAACTGGGTGTTGGCCCAGGGGTGCCAACTTTGCCCGGGGTGGGTCTGGGTGGAACGCTACCCTCAGTGCTGCCTTCGCCAGATGGAACTGGAGTGGCTTCAGAAGAGCTGGGTGTGGGTCCTGGAGTACCAACCTTGCTGGGTGTGGGTCTGGGAGTTACACTTCCGGTGTTTGCCGTTGATGAGACTGTGGTAGGGCTCAAAGTCCCGGTTTCCACAGATGGTCCGGCTGTGCTTGGAGTGGCTCCAGACGATGGGACTGTTGTTTTCTCACATTCGTACAAGCCTGTCACTCGCAAATCATCAATTGCAGCACTCTCTTGGTCCATTGGCTTCGAAGTGTCAGCTCTAAAAGTGAGAGAAACTGTGTTGCTTTGAATCAAGCCGGCTGGTAAGGAGAGAGTGACTGAATGCTTTTTGTCAACATCAGTTCCACCATTGATAAAGGCTCCTTGAGTAGGGGTGGACCTGTTCACTGTGATTCCATTCTGAATGTTCGAGATGGGCTCACTGCTACCGGATTCCTCCATATCTCCAAGGTCAACTTCAACTCCATTGACAACAGCATACATCTTGTCATTTGGAGTCCACTTGTCCAGCTGGTATAGGGAAAACTCAATTGTGACTCCCTTTGCTTCTGTTGTTGGTTCTGATCCACCAGCTACCGGTGGGATTGACAATATTTTTGACATCTCACTGTTCCCTTTTCCAATCAGTCCCAAAACTTGAGTTTCCATACCACCATCACTTAAGGTAAAGAGAGATCCTGAAGACCAAGTCTCCTCAGAAGCAGCATCCTCAAAACTTTCAATATCCAGCAAAACTTCAGGTTCACACATATATGAAGGGCTTGCAGTGGCCAAAGCAGGAGAAGTAGTGGTTTCTGCGGAAGGGCTTGATGTAATTGGGGGCCTAGACACAGCAGCAGGTGAAGATACTCCTGGTGAGGGTTCCACTGTGCCTTGTGGTGGACCCGTTGTGATTGGAGGCCTCGGTACAGAAGGTGGACCAGACTCTTTGGGGGTAGTTACACTGGTAGGGCTATTAGTCTCAGGAGTGGGCTTGCCTGGAGGGGTGGGAAATTTGGGGTTTGTAAGAGGGACACTTGTGGGGCTGTCAGTGGTGCTAGGAGGCCTGGACACAGCAGCTGGAGCAGACACCGGGTTGGTGCTGATCGTAGGGCTTGTTGTTTCGAAGCCACGGGGGACTTTTCCTTTCTCCGAGACTTCGACAGATGGAGAGGCAGTATTTGTACCACGAGAGACTTTTCCTTTCTCGGAAACTTCGACAGAAGGAGAGACAGTATCGGAACCACGAGGGACTTTTCCTTTCTCAGAAACTTCGACAGAAGGAGAGGCAGTATTGGAACCACGAGAGACTTTTCCTTTCTCGAAACTTCGACAGAAGGAGAGGCAGTATCGGAACCACGAGAGACTTTTCCTTTCTCAGAAACTTCGACAGAAGGAGAGGCAGTATCGGAACCACGAGGACTTTTCCTTTCTCCGAAACTTCGACAGAAGGAGAGGCAGTATTTGTACCACGAGAGACTTTTCCTTGATTCGAAACGTCACAGAAGGAGAGGCCGTATCCGAACCACGAGGGACTTTTCCTTGATTCGAAACATCGACAGAAGGAGAGGCCGTATTCAGAACCACGAGAGACTTTTCCTTGATTCGAAACTCCAATAGAAGGAGATGCCGTATCTGGACTAGGACCACGAGAGACTTTTCCTTTCTCCGAAACTTCGACAGAAGGAGAGGCAGTATTTGTACCACGAGAGACTTTTCCTTGATTCGAAACTTCCACAGAAGGAGAGGCCGTATCCGAACCACGAGATACTTTTCCTTGATTCGAAACTCCGATAGAAGGAGATGCCGTATCAACCCCGCGGGAGACTTTTCCTTGATTCGAAACTCCCACAGAAGGAGGCATAGTGCCAATCGTAGGGGAAGTAGTAGAAGGCTCCCTGGCAACCTTGCCTCCTCCATTGAAGCTACTTGTGGAGCTTGGTCCTTGAGTTTCCCTAGGAAGGCTGCCACTGCCACTGGCACTGGAAGAAGGAGCCCCCGTGTTCCTAGCGACAGATCCTTCCGAGCTGACAGCGACAGAAGGAGTTGAGGTGTCGGAAGGAGCCCGTGTGAGACTGCCGCCGCCTTGGGCTTTGGAGGAAGCAGCAGGGGGGAGGGGAGGCCTGGTAACCCGAGCTTCTCCGCCAAACTCTTCTGCAGGAATGGGAAAACTATCACGAGTCACTGAGCCAATATTTCCAAAGTTGAGCTGAGGAGGACGACGAGCAATTTGGGCAGCACCAGAGACGCTATCCGCATGCTCATCTTCCGAGGAAGTTTCGTTGTCCTTGGGTCTGTCGACAAAGGCTTCGCCATCAAAGAACTGAACATCTGAATCATTGCGAACAAGAGTGATGTTTCCCTGAAAGGCGAGATCGGTAGAATCGACAACGACGTCTCCTTCTTCGCAGTCACAAGGAAGCTGGAATGAGTATCCGTACTTGCGTTCGGTGTGAATATCTCCAAAGTGGTCACACTCAGCAGGTAAAGGCACCGAGTCATGTTCTTCGAAAGAGGAATCAGCGACAATCATCAAGACATAGGCGACCATGGTAACAGGATCACAAAGGGCTTCAAACCTGATGTGATGTGAGCGAGGAGTGACATAAAATAATTCCACAATTGTTTTGTTAGTTTGAGAAGTGCATGTTCAAAATAAAACGACAAGATGAATCGAACGAAACGAGACGATGGATATCATGATTTTGGTGAACTTACTCTTGCTTGGTTTTTCCATAGGTGACTCTTTCCTTGCGATCACAGACACGCTCTTCTCCAGTAATGTAGACAGTGTGAATGTAGTCGATGGGAGTCTTGGTCCATGTCTGTGAGAAAGTAAAGGTGATGGTTCCTGCGTCTTTATCGGTGCTGACCAGGTCAATGGGATTACCAAATTGTGGCGTGGGCGACGTATCGACGGGGAACATATCAATTTTACAAATTCCAGTTTCGGCAATATTGAAAAATGTCAAGGGTTCTTCAGTTTCTTCAGTGAATCCAGTGTTTCCAGGTGGGATTTCGCGTGTCGGTTCCATCACCATGGTGGGTTCTTCAGAGATGGTCGGCTGCTCGGAAGTACAGAACCGACCGTCAAGCATATTACCATAACAATCGTCCCTGGTAGGTTCCTGTGTAGCCAAGAAATCAGAAGTTCCAGTGGGCATGGTGGTAACGAAATTGGCACCGGCAAGGGCTCCTGCCTGAGCTCGAAGCGCGGATCCACCTTGAAGTCCATTGGCTCCTCCAGCAGAAACTCCAGCTCCAGGACGTTCAGCTCTACCATTCGCCCCCAAACTGAGAGGAATGGCTCCTGGCCTTCCTGGAACACGCGCACCAGCACCGGAGGACGATTCTGGAATGGCTCCTCCCGAAGAACCACCAAAAGCAAGAGGCCTTTCGACACGAGCCCCGGCACCACCACTGTATGTTTCGGCAGTGGGAGCAGCGGGAGCGGAATCACGAGAGACTTTTCCGTTGGCATCGAACGTTCCTACCGTGGGAACGGCAGGAGCAGCGGGAGCGGAATCACGGGAGACTTTTCCTCTTGCAGCTGCGTCATAGGCGAGAGGTGCCTGAGCGGGAGCAGAGGGAGCCGAAGGACGGGGAGGAACCTTTCCAGTAGCATCGAATGCCGCAGGAGCCTTTGGCGTGTCAATGGTGGGAACGGCAGGGGCAGAAGGGCGAGAGACTTTTCCCTTGGCATCAAACGCTTCGGTCGTGGGAGCAGCAGGAGCAGAAGGGGGTCTATCACGAGAGACTTTTCCGGTAGCACCACCACTGTATGTTTCGGCCGTGGGAGCAGCAGGTGCAGAGGGAGCAGAATCACGGGGAGGCACTTTTCCGGTAGCATCAAAAGCTGCGGGAGCCTTTGGTGTATCATCCGGAGCAGTGGGAGCCTTGGCCGAATCACGAGGAGGAACTTTTCCAGTGGCATCAAATGCGTTTGGAGCTTTGAGGTCAGATTTGGGTGCAGTGGGGGTGTCGATGGTGGGGGTGTCGATGGTGGGTGATTTGGGGGCCGAGGGAGCAGCCAGACGAGATTCACGTGGCGAAACTGATCCCTTGGAAGAGGAAGTGATGGAGTCACCTTGAAGGATTCTGAGACAATCAGGATCATCGGGTTCATCGAGACACTTGACGAGGTCGGCTGGAGTCAAGCCGCCCAAATCGACCGTGTCATCAGGGGGAGGGAGGTTGGGGTTGTGGTTTTGATTTTGATTGGGATTGGGGGTATTTTTTGTATTTTTTTTGTATTTTTTGTATTTGTTGTTGTTGTTGTTGTAGGGTGGATTTCCAATGGGAGGACAGTACTTGATTTTGACGGGATCGTCGTAATCGCAATGAGCATCAGGACCAATGGCACCGGCAATGCGGGAGTGTTTGACCTTTTTTCCAAAGTAGCGGTAGAACCAGAGTGTCTTTTCCTCCACTTCGTCTTCCGCGTAATCGAGAAATCCTGCGATTCCCGTTTTCTTCTTTCTTTTGGGAGTTCCGAAAAAGGAAGAGTTGGAGGACGTGGTGTAGGTCACACTGGCACCGGCGCTGCCACTGGTGTTACTACTAGTAGTAGTAACAGTACCAATGGCAAAGACCAAGAGAGGATTGGAAGGGTTGTTGCTGTTCTTCATACTGGAGCTAGTAAGCACCAACGCGAAAAACAGAGATTTCACAATCATCTTGGGAAAGGAAAAAGTCATACGAGCGTTACTACTACTACTAGTAGTAGCGCTGCTACTGATCTTCATCATCATTGTTGTTGTTGTATTGTCTATCGTATAGAAATCCAAAGAGGGGGGGGAGAAGGACCCTTCGTTATAGAAAACACTATCAAAGCGTTGACTAAGGTTGAGAGTGAGAACAAGGAGAGCAGAGCGCAAGAGCAAAAACCAAAAAGCACTCAAAAGCCAACCAAGCAAGGCAAAGATCGACATACCTTTCCCTTTCACCCTAATCCTACTCAAAAGCCTTCCCCTCTCACGTACATTCTACGCAATCACAGTACAAATACAGGGTGCTAGAGGTGAACTCTTTTTGCATCCAACGGGAAATGACCGCTCCACCGCGAACCAAGCGCGCGCAACCATACTACTACTACCACCAACACCCTCTCCATGCGGTCTTGCTTGCACTTCTACTAAAGCACCCATACTGATTTGTTGACAGCGAATGAGCCAGTAAAACAAGAAAGTCTTACCTGCTACCGCCAATACACAATACTTATGGCAACTCAATACCCATACTTGCACATCTCACCTCACTTCTAAGTGGACCTGCCGAAATGACCCTGTAGACCCATGTGATCCGGTCTTGCGTGCTTACCTCTAAGAAACAATAATGGCAACCTTGGCAAAGGACTTATGTTTCTACAATATTGCATGCTCCACGACATTGAACTTTCTTATACATTTTAATTCTTTCACGCTCCTCTCAAGAGCCAAACAAAACACCTCGAAAGCCTCTCACTACTCTTACACTCTTACTGCACAGTCTCATACTGCTGTACGTGTATTCCCGGTTTCTCGCATCGCTGGTTATTTCCGACGACTGAATGCCACTTTCAGTCCAGCATGGATGGAAATCGTGGTAGCGTGGAAATATCACCACGCTTTTCTGATTTGATTCGATTTCATCATTCGATTCGATTCATTATTCGTGTCTGATTCGACTGAATCCACGTACTGTATTTTGATTCCCATGGCATACGGCTGCACAGTACGCTGTACCAGGTGCAACAACGCCACCAATCATCTCAAAGCCATATGCACATTAGCTGCCGTAGATACATGTAATCATGATATTTGATAGGCTTGATTGACGGTCCTTGGTCTTTCCCAAGAAGCTGGTCAAGTACTAAATAGGGATGGCTTTCGGTTCTGCACCGGAGTAGAGGTCGTACGGTACCAGTACGGCGCGAGGATTGCACTCGTTCGATCGATTGAACACTTCCTCCATCGACGTCACACTCTGGTCGGTCAAGCTTGTAATTCTCTTTTTTAGTAATAGGGTTGCTTACCTCCTCGCAATAGTATAGTAGTCGCGATCGATCCAGCGATCGTGCGTCATTGTGTTCATGCTCCAGCCAGAGGAGGTGCTTTATTGAAGAGTGAGAGGAATGATTACAGTACAGTACCGGTATCCTCTAACTCCAGTGCAAAAACATGATGATTCTCAACATCAAAGTGGAAATGGTAGTTGGTTTGTTCTCTTGGGTAATTGTTAGGGAGCCGAGCTTTCGCCGGCCTAGTAGAGAGAAGGCTCGCAGCCAAGGACTTGGCCAGCGAAACGTTGGGAGATCTCTCTAGGAAAACCACTTTGGTTGTATTTGAAAATACGGTACGGTAGGCTGGGCACATGCTCGGCGTTGGGTTCCTGTACGGTATCAACGTGGTGCTGGGATGTGGCTTGGTTTGGTGGTTGCTGTCGCTTTGTCGCTGTCGTACCGTAGCTCAGGTACCAAGGTGAAGTAGCCGCTGACTAGATGAGCTAGATCAATTATTACTGGAGTGTGACACTTCTTATCGCACCCTTGGATTGGTATGGATCCTCTCGGTTTCGTCTTTTGCGGCTCTCCGAGTTTTTTAAAAAACATAAGGACTCGAAGCTTCGTACAGAGCCATGAACAAAAATGTGGTACCGGTTATAGTGAAGGTTCCCCCGACTTGGCAGCCGAACGTTCAAGCACGACTGCAAAAATCGCTATCTTCGGCTTTTCGTACCGGTACGGTCGGATTTGGCCTTTGGACTGAGGGCATTTGAGATAACAAACTCCAACAGACTCCACCGTAGTGTAGTGTTGTTTCTTGTTGTAATCGATGTAGTTGAAGAGCTCCTTTTCTTGTTTAGGATGTCTCTTCTTCCCTTAGAAACTGACTGCAGCAGTGTTGCTACAGTCGCTATGGAGAAAGAAATTCTTGGCTGCATGTTCAATGTTCTCGAGGGAACCATAACCATTCAGCTACCATCCAAAAAGATTGAAGCCGATTCAATACTGGATGGGACTCATGACTATTGTCCATCTGAATGGAGAGTTGACACTGCAAGGCTTCTACAGTACATGGTAAAGGATCGGGTCGCAGACATCCCAGTCACTATGACTCCAGCTCAATTTGATGGCAAGCTACGAACCTGGAATGAACGGACTTCCACAACACCCTCGGGACTGCACCTGGGGCACTGGAAAGCTCTCTATGCTGACCATTCTCTTGAGAAAGACTCGGAGGAAGGAGCTGCTATTGAGGCCACCCAAAAGAAACTTCGGGAGATTCGTCTGCGACTTCTGAACTTTGCACTGGAGGAAGGGTTTGCATGCCAACGCTGGAACAAAATTGTGAATGCCCTTATCCCCAAGGATGAGGGCAGTGCCAAGATTCATCGTCTCAGGGTCATTCACCTATACGAGGCAGACTACAACCTGATTCTCGGGGTGAAGTGGCGAGAATTATTACACCAACAATGGTCTCATCAACAAAAACCAGTTTGGGTCAGTGCCCGGGCGATCTGCCATTGACTTGTGCTACATGGAAGAACTCGAATATGAGATCTCCAAATGTTGTTTGCATCCTCTCATCAAAAATGACAATGATGCTGCCAGTTGTTACGACCGTATTCTAATGTATCTGGCAATGTTGATGTCCCGCAAACGAGGAATGCCGGTGCAAGTGTACAAGGTCAAGGTATGAATCTCGAGGAAGCAAAGTATCATATCAAGACGACCTTGGGGACTTCCACGACATTTGTTGCACACACTGCCAACCATCCGTGGCACGGTTCTGGTCAGGGGGCAGGAATTTCTCCGACCCTATCAGGGACTCCTACTGTACCAGGGGAGGGTGGAGAAGGAGCTCCTGTGAGTGCTTTTGTTGCTACGGTGGTACCCCAACCTTGAGTGGTCCTGTGGTGCTCACATTTCTTGTAGAAAAGTGGTCTGTGTGGTACAACAACTAATCGTTAGAAAAGAATGTTACAATGAGATTTATTAGCTATTAGATAGACTTGTCAGTAGTTTTAATTAATGTGACACTTCTCAGTGCTGCAGGTATTTCCGAGCAAGAAACTGCTGCTCCATCCCTGTGTTCCTATTGAGCGGTAGCCAGTAGAAAAAGTTGAGTTGTCATGGTTAGTATGCTAGAACTGTGCTTGTTCTTGCAGGGTCCATTCATTGTCTACACCTCTGTACAACAATTCATGGTCTACAGGGTGGGGGGGGGGGTTGTGCAGTGCTGTATTTTCTATTCATACATGTCACAAAACCCTCTCCAGGACCAACTCATGGGCTAGAGACTAGAATACACAGATCGTCATTTGCATTGGCTAGGAGCGGGCCCGCCAGGTCGAAGGCATCCTGCCCACGTGGGAAGCCGCCAAAGGGGTGGCTTTTAAAATCAAAGAACTGTTGTGCAAGTACTATGCTTGCTTTCAGGGCAAGAGTTGACCTTCGAATGCACAATACAATGCATCACTGATCTCTGGAATTCAACATTGCTCCCCCGAGGTCTCCTTTCTGGCTGCTGCACTGCTGCACTGCTCGCTGTACCGGTATCAGCGAGCGAGACAACAATAACGACAAGACCAAGAAAACTACCAGTACGGACAAAACAGCACACAAGGTGTCATATAAAAACGAAACCTATGATACTCTCATGTTAGTTAGTTAGTTACCGGTCTTTGGTTTCCAAATTTCCATTTCCCAAATCCCACCCATATTTGGTGGCCAGCGATCCAATCACTGGCACACATCCCGGGCCCAATTTGATGTTCTTGTTCTTGTTGTTCTTGTTCATGTTGTTCTTGTTGTTTTTGTTGTTGAATATTACATATAATAAAAAAGACGGCTGTCGCGTAATTGATTGATGCTTGCGTGAGCCTCTGACTGATTGACCATCCCCAGACTTTGATCAGTGATCCATTCACTGCCTTCGTTGGCAAAGGAACCAGCCAGACAGAAGCAAAAGGTTTGCCGAAACATCAACCAACTGCGTGCAGCCAACCACGCTGTCTCCATTCATTCATACATTCGTCAGTCTTCTGTTGCCTTGCTTGCAACCAAGCTAGCAGCTGTGGCAATCATCAGCGATCCATTCACCGACTCAAAACACAGAAGCTAGTAGCTAGCAACCTACCGACCAAACATTCGCCTCGCCGTGCCGTGAGACAGCTTGCTGCTACCCGCTGTGTGGGCGCTGCCGGCTGACAACGAGTTAGGGTCGGTCGTCACTGTCCGATCGTCCGGTGATGGAGAGGCAGGCTGAATGACAAGCTTGCCATAAGAAGGCTGTCCAGGAACTGCGGCTCTGGCTTCTTCTCGGACTGAAGTCGGTGACCTATTCAATGCTGTCGCATCTCTGGCAAGTACCCCTGTCCTTCCTTCGCGATCAGGAGTAGTCACGTTATTGCTTGATGAGACTTCTGGTGGTCGGAGTTCTTCCGTCTGGACGTCCAATAGACTGTCTTCGGAGCTCTGTGCTCCCATCGATGGTCCAAAAGTCGGTGCTTCCGCTTCTGCGGCGCTGTGTCGTCTTGATCGCTCGATTTCTAGCTGTGCATCTTGTCGAGCGTGTGACTTGAGCTGGTTCACAATATCTTCCAGCCAACGGCGACGATCTCGCTGGCGTTGATGATTCTCCAATGATAAACGGGGCTCCTCGTTCCAACCTGGACCCCAAAACAACTCTCCCAAGCCAATGGACATTTCGAGCGGAGGAGAATCTTCTTCTTCCGTGCCCAGCTGCTCTGTGGGGCTGCCATTATTGCTGGACTTGTCTCGGTTTAAGTACGAGGACCTCCCAGCCATGGAAGAGGCTTGTGATAGTCCCTCTAGGAGAGAGGGAGAAGAGCAGGATCCACCTTGGCTTCCACTTGTAGCAGTACCAGACCCAGTCGAGTTGTTCACGGCACTAAACGATCCTTGGGTTCCACTCGCTGTGGAATTGTTCATGAAACTGAACGCACTCCTGCCAGAAGCTAGTATGCTGTTCGCCTCAACACTATAGTCGTCTGGATTTGTAGTCGACGAAAAGCGACGGCCTTGTTGATGTTCTTGCTGATGCTGGTTTTGTTGCTGGTGCTTGGAACGCAGGTACAGTCGAGTCTTCGCCTTGACCTTTGCCTTGGATAACCCTTCTCGCAGCAAGAAGGGAAACAGTGGGTTCTGCAGGAGCTGGTCTCGTCCAGCTGGTGATTCTACATCACACGTGGCTGCCAAATCCGTCGGCAAATATGATCGAATCGCAGAATCCCACAGTTGCTGTTGAAAGTGAGGAAAGCACTGCAGCAAAATAATCAGTCTTTGCATCACAGAACCATTGGAATTGTAGTAAAAGAGAAACGGAGACTCCTTCAAGTAGGTCTCGACTACTTTGATCCCCAGCTGCTGTGTTTGAGGCAGGTCACAAGACAGAGCAGCATAGAGCAACAAGAGAACGTCTTGGAGATCACTGATGGTGGCCCGCGTGATCGCCGACTGTTCTAACGGAGGCGGTCGAAAGTAGAGACAGGACAGCATCTTGTCGCATTGGTTCAACAACAGAGGCAGTTTGAACTTGTGAAACCACGGCAATAAGATGGGCATGTTGTGTATATCCACCGAAACCGTGCGCTTGACGGGCGGTTCCAAGAAGGGATAGAACATCTTCCACTCACTGACCAGATTGTGTGAGAAGTCAATCGCCCAACCCTGTTGTGGAGATTGTCTGGTCACACTACTGTATCTTGTAACATCGCCGGTGGCATCAGGTTCCATGACTTGAGAAAAGTAGTCGCTGATGTAGAGAAGGACGTGTGAGTTGTGGGAAAAGACTTCCTGCTCTGATCCTTTGCCCACAACAATCTTGACGTTGTTGCATTGATCCCTGTGATCATCCAAAGAAGGCAATTGCATCGGTGACTGCCTAAGGTCTACAGGTGGATTTCCTTCTTCCTGCTCTCTCTTTTCTTTTTTTCTGGACCTCGACGCTTTCCTCTTTTCGTTGGGCGATTTCTGTTTCGCCGACCCTCGTCGCTGAGCTGATTTGGTCGATCGAGGCGACGAGTTTGATTCTTGCTGGGGAGACTCTGGAATCACCACCGCAGACGACAGATGGTCTTCCAGAGTCTTACTCTTGCTCCTACGTTTCGTTGTGGGGGGTGGTGGAGGTGGCTGCACCAAAGGAACAACCCCGTCTGGTGGCAACCCCATTGTAGAAGTACAATCCGTCATGATTCGACTGAAGACGGTGAGTGCGTCTTCTCCGATTGCTGCATCTGGCGGAGCTTCCATTCGGCTTTTTGTGCTCATCATGATCTTTGCCATGCCCAGTTGCGAAGCAGGTTTGCTCTGATCAACTTCCCCACCATCATTGTCGCGAGAGCCTCGTTGTGGGGTCTCCGTCGTTGGGCTCTTGATAGAAATGAAGCTGCTTACGGACTGTTCCACTCCTAATGCCGTCTCTTGCTCTGCACCAAAGCTGCTCTGGCGGAATGAGCCTCTCCTGAGCGGCTGCCGGCGCTTTTCGTCGTGATTGGTTTCAGTAACTGTTTGTTTGCCTGCAGGTGGTGTGTTCGTGGTTGGTGCAATGGCACTGCCTCCATTTTCCGCGAGGGACAAGTACGAATGTAGGTCTGGTTCTGCAATGGTGACTTTTCTCTTGCCCATGTAAATGTAGTTGTCAGGGTTCATTGACACGGTTGGAGTTTTGTCTCGTTTGCTTGCGTTGACCGATTTGCTCCGGAACGTAGGACTCCGTCCTCGTCTAGTGAGGGGTCTCCTGGGCTTCCGACTTCGTTCAGACATACCGGTATCACTGGAATCGTAGTTCGTCCGGTTGTCGCTCCAGCTACTTGTAAATGTAGGGTTGTCGTGGAGGGTAGTAGATTCGTAGCTGCTTGTGGAACTGACACTCTCCTTGCTGCCGTGTCTACGCGGTCGTTGGTTGTACCTCTTTTTGCTGGTACTGCTGTTCCTGCTGCGTCCTCTGGAAGTTGCTCTTCCCGGACCACACTGAGGAGCCTTCAACTCGATTGCCTGCACCGATGTGATCCCTTTAACGACTGTCGGTTGTGCAAAGTCGTAGACTTCATTGGCCAAATCTCGTGTCACGTCAAGACACATGGCCAAATTGCTATCGCGGTAGCGCCGAGTAGAGGATGAGTACGAGTAGTCCGTGTTGTCGTAGTGTCGAGAAGCATTTTTGGTTCGTTTGCTCGTTCCGTTGTACCTAGCGGGCGTTGTGTTGGAGGCTGGATGCGTCCTTTGCCTTTGATAAGTCTTCATGGTGACGAGGCGGCTAAGCTTGGCTCGTCTACGGGCTATACCGTTGTAGTAAGCTCACAAGCTAGCTCACACGTAAGTAAGTAAGTAAGTAAGTAAGTGATCCCGCAGGATATGTTTGTCAGGGGAGCAGGCAGTGAAACTCGCAAGGACAAGCAATACGGCTTGCTGTGAGGTTCTGATGAGCTCTCCAGGAGGACCGCAGGTCAAAAGCCGTTGCTCAGAACGCTCGAACTCGTTCTTGATCCCGTTCTCTACACTGTAGTAGACCGCTCGTTCAATTGATGATGTTTGTTCTACGGTACCTTACTGATCGGGGAGGATGTTCAGCAGCCTGATGCTGATGCTGATGCGTTGCTGTTGTTGGGACTGAAGAATTGATTCCCGGTGATCGAACACCTCGTACCTGCTGTTGATGTCGGTGCTGTCGATGTCGATGTTGATGTCGATTTGTTGCCTTCGCCTGTTTACCCAAATCGACTGATCCTATTGCATCAGCATTGCGCTGTTCGTCGCTGCCACGATTGCCTCCTAACGCCTTTGGCAATCTTGGTACGTACTACCGGTAGCTTGCTACTAGCGGGTGCTGCCTCTCCCCCCTGATGTTGCTGCTTGTTGCTGTATGTATTGTGTGCGTGCGCTCCCAAATCGAATCGGTTTTGGCCATGGCCTCGACTATTTCTGCTTTTTCCAAATCTCTCGTAGCTTGGAACGCCCGTCAGGTTGCCTAAGTGCAACGTCGTTGCCCCCCAGGACAAGAAAGCCTTGCTCCGGATTGCCAAATACGTTCACCGGAAAATCCCAAAAAAGTTTCGTGTTTATACGATTCACGCCGTCCCAAGACTCGAGCACGGTTCTCGTGCTCCCAACGTGTTTAGAGCGCGATGCACTCCCGCAGATCAAGAAGATCTTTGGCCAGATTCTTCAATGATTCGATTCGATTACGATTAGATTACTAACTGGCTAGTACGCTTGCTGCCGGATCTGATCTATGCATACCAGTACTATTGGCTAGGCCAGCTACATGTACGTCGTAGCTAGGTAGGAGATTACTATGGCTAGTACCTGTACCGGTACCAGCTAGGCTAGCTGGTTGGCCAGAGCAGCTGCGCCTGCCGTTGCCCCAACTGATACATGTACCTGATCTCATGCACCAAAGAACACTGTGGGAACAAAGAAATTTGATCAACCGGGGATGTCCTCACAGGAACTACATTTCGTGTGGCTATTGGTGCAGTGGCGGCGTGACTATTTACTGGGCTTTTAGTTTGCTTTGAATGGCTGGCGACTACTGCAGCCCGAACTATTTTTGGATACAAACTCTAAAACTCTCTAGCTATTTCAGCCACTAGCTAGACGTACCGGTACCGGTGCACTGGATCTGAACAAGCAAGCAAACACATTGTACTACTGTTTGGGCTCCACAATTTCAAGAAACTGAAGACCAGAGATGAAATCAAACTCAAACTCAAGCGCCTCCTTCTTCTGGTCCGGACCCTTGGGGGTTTGTCTCTGACTAGAGTCGCATGGATTCCCATGGGTTCGCAACGTTGGTTGAGCTTTTCCTCATACCGATGCCAATCTTCCTGCCTCAATCTTCGTTTGCTTGGCACGGGTGAAAGGATAGGTAAAGGGAGCCACGGGGGAAGAACATGCACATGCGCACAATAGAACGTTGGCTGGACTTCACCAGTCTTCTTTGTAAAGATCATCACAGCGTCGTAGATTGCATGCCATTGATCTTTTGTCATACCCTGTTCCCGCAACGGTTCGGGGACAGTCTCTCTGTCGTGATTCAGTTGCAGGAGGTCTTCCTGGTTCGACTGCCCCCTGTCCGTATATTGGTTGAATTCGATTTCTTGCTCAACGGGGACTAGTTGGATGGTTGTAGTCATGGTTCTCTGGCTTGCTTTGCTCTGGTTTGCTCTGGTTTGCTCTGGTTTGCTCTGGTTTGCTTTGCTCTTTGGTAGTTTCATTGATTTTGTGGCGAACGCTGGTTGCTTCTTCGCGTACTGGTACCAGTACTGGTACCGTCGATTGCTGGTTTATCTCTTCGTGAGCCACATACTTCTTAAAACTGAGTTCGAATTCATTGAATATCTCAGGTAGATATGGTAAATAACTACATACTTTATCCCTTTACTTACCTTTAAACTATGGTTCTAATGCTGGGAGTCAACGGTGCAGAAATCTCGATTGGATCATTCGATTCAGGTGAAACAAATGGTGCTCACCCGCAATTTCTAGAACTAGCTCTGTGACACAGTCTGTACACGTGTAGTCTGTAATGACCAGTCTAGCTAGTTGCGCTTGATCTAGCTAGATGCAGCCTAACCCAAAATCCGCCCTCGCTATTCTGGAGTGGAAAGTGCAGCCTCCAAAGCTGCCAAGTCCGCACTTGCTCAAGCAAGTCCAACGGGTTGTACTCCCTCGCACCTGCAAAGACCTGGCAGGCAGGACCAAGCACCAATACGTCACCGTAACTACTATTTTGCCCTTCTTTTATCACCTCTCGCCCTTGGAACTCTTTCACACAGCGTTAAGCAAAGTGCTTCGCAACTGACGTGAAGGGTAATAACAAGTTCCAGGACTACCTGTACCATCAAAAGAAAGCAGTGACGATTCTTCACAGTTCCCAACCCAAAGCTCAACATCAAGCCGTTCCGATTGGTATTCATATCACCGATCAACATAAATTAATTGGCTGCCACCGACCACCGACAATCTAGCTAGCTACTATTAATAGCTAGCTCTAGCATCTTGTAATAAGGAGAGATTGGTCGCACAATCAGCACGTGGTATGACCTACTGGTGGAGTAGCGAAACCACCCAAAGCTACAGTACTCGAGTACCGTACGCTTGAAGAGCCAGCCAGCTAGCCAGCCAGATAGAGCACTCTTCCAGTACCGCAGCTTTCTTCCTGGGAAGTGGTGATCACCGTGTGGTCTACAGCTGGTCTAGCCAGTCTGCGTACATGTTGTAGTCTGAGATGCCAGCATTCGGCATCATTACTTTCCACAAGTAGTCTAAGTTACCGTTCTGGCAACGAGTACGTATTAAATTTTATGCACAGTACAGTCCTAACCATGACCACCCATTCTCCCATCCAGTGAACAAGTGGTACTTGTGTACTTAACAGTATCGCTGTGATCTTAGATTGGCATTCCCCTCGTGCACTGCTGTACTGGAGTACATCTATTCAGTACATATATTCAAAAGGTGTACAACCGAACTCCGATCCGTTGGACAGAGGCTGTTTACTTTCTTTTCTAGCTGGTTTGAGGAAGGCTGTTGAACTGCCTTCAACACGGAGGTTTCAACATCAAAGGGGAGTGTTCGCTGAGTGAACTTCAACCTTGCTTGCCTCAAACTTTGAGCTGCCAACAATTTGAATTTCCTGTCTTCTCTTACGTTGGGATGATTTGATGATAGTTGTAAGGCGACGAAAACGCAAAGTTCTTTTCACCTACTGCCAAGGCAGTATGCCGCAAATTGGTAAAAGCCTCATATGCTCGAATTCTCCGTTGCTGTCGACGAGCAGCTGTCTACGGATGCGACAAACCCGAACATTCCCTAGGCTTTTCGTGAAGGGGCCTTGCCTTGTAATAGCAGTTCTGTCTTTGCCACGTAAGGCCTGGATCAGTCAATGCGAAGGATCCGGAATGATCTTCGTGAAATGTTCTTTGGAGGGCGACAAGGCCTTTGGTGCACTTGTAATACTCTAAGTAGAAAGCAGGCAAGAACGTGGCTGTGCAAAGCCAGCGGGAAATAGTCGATTATTGTTTGCAGATGTTTGGAGCATTTCATTTCTAAATTTGTTTGATCAAAAGCTCCGTTCTGGCCTTGTCGGCATCCTGGAAGTTACATGTGTGCATAGATCTAATACGAGTTTTTTTAAAAAGTTAAAAAGTTACTTCCAGTACCGTTTGCTCGGCTAGTTGGGTGGCTAGCTCTAGCAGCGTACGGGTACTACGGTAGTACCTGGCTCTCCTTTACCGCTCTCGCCCGGCCAGTCTCGCTCTAAGTGTCATCTCGCCTCTAAACCAGTGGAGATGTGTTCCTGTATAGTACCGGTACCGTCCAGGCCTAGCACTAGGGATGAAGCTTACGCTTGAGTAATTCATCTACCGGAATCATCTATGCATATTTATTTTATACTGCAGTACACTTGTACACCGTACTACCGGTAGCTAGCTTGATACTAATAAAATAGAAGGTATTGGATGTTCTTCCATAATTGCTCCGAAATATTTTATTTACTCTTTCCCGCAATAAACCTTTGCGAAGACTCAGCGAATCTTGATACTTTTTGTTGACGTTTAAGACCTTTTTGTTTCAATGACCTTTGTTTGCGCGGTGGTGACCAGGTCAATCGTCAGGTCTTATTCTGCTCTGGTGGTGAAATAGGAATGGACTGAATAAGAAGGGTGTGTTAAGTATTTGGGTGCCCTGTAGGTGGCTTGGACTGTTTCAGTTTCCAGGAGGGCCGCACCGATTTGAAGACCTCACTTACAGCTTATCACCCTGCTGGCACGAGCACAGTCGGTAGTTAGAGTAATTTAATAGTAATTTTATTTATATTATTACCTCATCTCTAATGGTGGATAGAACAGCACCAGGAAACTCGACGTTTTGGTGGCCTCGTAGCAGGGGATGTAGAATGGGAGCTAGAGGGGGAATTGAGCCTAAGCGGCGAAATCATCGGCAAAGCGTAAAATTAGGCTTCCCATTGGGGTAAGATAGATGAAAGCAGAAGCAGTGCTGATGGAAGCAAGAAGAGGGGGTCCGCTACGGTAGCTAGCTAGCTAGTACGCTGTAGCTATTGATAGTGCCAGTCAGTCCAACATCAAAGCTGAACTTCAGTCTGTTTCTTAGCTCATAAGTTGAGATTGGCTCGTCCATTTCATCTACGAAGCACAGCTACTACAAGCTAGAGCTAGCTAGCTAGAGCTAAAGCACTCACAAAGTGTTTCCCTAACACCAAACCACCTTTCTACCACCTTTCTGCTCTGCCGGAAGTCTACTGGTACCAACAGCACTATCTTCCTCTGTCATCTCATCCTCATCCTCATCCTCATCTCATCCAACTAACTAACTAACTAACTAACGAACGAACTAACTAAGCACAGAAGAAGAATGATGAAGCGGAGCCACAGTCCTGAAGAAGACGCTGACTTTCAAGGCGACAAGCGAGCCAAGCTCTCTGCATCAGACAACACCAACTCCGGCTCAGGCTCAGGCGCGGATTGGGAAACTCTGTTTCAGCGGCTCGTCACGTACAAGGAACAACACGGACACTCGAATGTTCCTCTCCACAATGAAGATGATCCAGAGTTGGCGCAGTGGGGTAAGTCAAGTCGTCTGGAACACTAGCTATCAGCAGCTGTATGTATGTGTGCTAGTATGAGTGCACGACGGCCTTAAGCTGTCTTTTGCTGAGGAGGTGAAATGAAACGAATGAGCGCCTTTTGCTGGACTCGCTTCTACTGCGTTCTTGCGTTCTTATATATTACCAATGCTAAGCTCATTCACACACTCTTCTCACTCTCCTTCCCACTTACTTCACACACATGGCAGTGGCCAAGCAGAGAGAGCTCCGCAACAGCAGTCAAAACGCTCCAGTAGCGGCGGCAGCAGCAGCAGCAGCCAGTAATCAGGAATCCTTGACGGAAGAGCAAATGGCCAAGCTAGCTCAGGTCGGATTTGGTAAGTCTCTGATCTCATCAGGAGGTCGACTTTGCTAAATTGGAGCTTGAGATGATCAGGAAATCATGACTTAAGTCGGTTCATCTCATGATCTCATGATCTCATCCCATTGCTTTTGTGTGCTTTTATGTTTGTTTCTGTTGTATGTCCAGAATGGCAACCACGCAATCCCCGTCACCTTCAGTGGGAAACACGCTTCAGTCAACTCCAGAGCTTCAAGAAAAAGTACGGTCATGCCCAAGTGCCAATTGGCTGGTCCGAAAACGTACAACTGGCCAATTGGGTCTCCAAGCAACGTCAAGAGTACAAGAATCTACTGCGGGGACGAACTACAAGACTCGACGAGAATCGCATTCGTCTCCTCAACTCGGTTGGATTTGCCTGGCAACTCCAACGAGGAGGACGCAGGCGACAGCTCAAAGCGCGTTCCTCAAGTGGCAGCAAGGGAAGTGACGGTGACTCGAGCGGGTCCGAAAAGGAAGGAACCGGAAACAACGAGGGACCCTGCATCCTCCCCGGAGAAGTACTCATTGGACAAGGAGCTGCGGCAGCTGCCTCTGCCAATGACAATAGTAACATGCCCATGTCTCCCACCAGTGCGGGAAGCATTGGAGCTCCCGAAATGCTCCGAAGACAAGTCAGTGGCAACAGCGCCGCCAAGCGAATTCGAGAAAGTCCCATCAAGGCCGGATTGGGTGGAGGCCCTCTGGGTCTAGTCGGTGGACTCGGTGGGGCTGCTGCCGGAAGGTTTCACCCGGCAGGGCTCGTACAGGGACCCACGCCCTCTCCCTTGGGGCAGTCACAGCCCCTTCGTCAGTCCTTGATCTTGCAGCAGATGCAGCAGCAGCAACCACAGCTTCCACAAATGCAAACCATGGCGGCAAACTCTGCTTCTGCTGCTTCTTCCGCAAACGTCATGAACAATGCCACAATGGGATTCCCATTCTTTGCACGTGGGAATTCTGCCGGGGGCAATCCCGGTCAAGGAGCTGCTGGAACCGGAACGGCTGCCAACAATGCTACCAACAACAATGATCTCATTGAATACATGTTGGCGCGCAATGCACTCTTTCAAAACCTACAGCGCCCCGCCACCACCACCACGAACAACTCCGCCGCCCTCCAAGCAAATCCAACATCCTTGCAAATGCTGGGAGCCACTGGAGGAGCCACGGGAAGTGCCTTTTCCAGAATGACTGGACTACAAGGATCTTCCACCACCACCACCACATCCTCCTCCACATCGGCACAGAATGCACAGTCCCAATTGCTCTCCGCTGCTGCCGTACAACGAAACTCCTTATTGCCCATGTTGTCGTCGTCGTCCAACCGAGGTGCTGCAGGTCCATCCTCCAACACGGGCCTCTTGCCCGCCACCAACTTTGGCGGTCCTTCGGTTGGTGGTGGTCATGGTGGTGGTAGTACAGGAGGAGCAAATGTACCCAATGCCCGAGATGTGTCCAACATCCTCGGTACTACCGGCACCAGTAGTGGTCACACCAATGCTGCACGAGATGTCTCGGGCCTTTTGGGTCCAACGGGAGGCAGCAACAGCAATGCTGCTACTGGGGGCAATCCCTTGTCGGCGGCTTCCTTTCAAGATGCGGTCCGTCTGGGCGGCTTTATGGGTCTTGGCAATACTACGAGTACTACTAACACCAACAGGAGAGCATCCTTCTCGGAAGAATCCAAGGTGGGCAACCGAGGAGGATTTCTTGGTGAACAAGGCCAGTCACAGCACCAGCCCACACAGAACTTGCGTTCCAGTCTCCTTGGATTTTCCTCGGGAGCTGTTGGAGGCATGAACATGAACATGAACACTATGAACATGAACAACCTGGGAAACTTGTTTGGAAGTACTAGTAGTGGTAGTGGCGGCGGCGGTGGAAATCCTGGATCTTCTGGACAGCAGCAACAGCAACTCCAGCAACAGCATCAGCAGCAGCAACCCAACTTTGGCGGTTTGGGTATGCAGCAATACCAGCAGCAGCAAAATCCACAAGGAGGCAATCGTGGTTTCCCTGGCAACAACTTTCCTCCCTCCAATTAGAATTGCTTTGGCTTAAAAAAAAATGATATATATTTTGAATGGTACAGTACAGTAACTACAATAACTACCTTTTAGAGTGAACCGATAGATGTGAAACAAGTTTGCTTGATCTCAACCATCGAGGCTGCTACAGCAACAGGGCATGGTAGCCACTGCACACCCTTCTACATGACATTGTAGCAAGAGATAGCCCAAAGGATGCAAAGCAAAAACCTAGATCCCTCCATTGGGAATACTATTCCAGGTGCGGCACCTCGTGTGCCCCTACACTAGCAACCAACAGGATGAAACTGCAAGCAACAGGCACACCACCAGAAGCATCAACGCGAAGTCTTATGCTTGGCTTCTGATCTGGCCTTGGCGCTTGGAGCCCACCATCTTCCTCCCAAATACGGTACAATGCCTAATCACTTGTATGGTAGTTACTGTTGGGCCTCGATCGATGATCGATGAGGTTGCGTCGCGTGAGGCGAACAAAGGGAAATCCAAGCCCTAGCTAGTCAGCAAGGTGAAAGTAGAAAAGAGCGCGCCGGGAACGTTATTGAAAGCTTGACTAGAAGGCACGCTCTGCACGGTAAAGCCACCTCAGCAGGTGAAGTGCAAAGTCGGATGTGTCCATGGAGAGGTGGAGTGTTGAAGAATTCAATGGAGTGAATAGCGCAATGAATACTCAAGGACTTAATACGAACAGTAGATCGTTGGTTTGTCACTTTTCACCTGTATGCGAAGCCTTGAAGATTGAAACTACCAAGTATAAAGCGAAGGAGGCTTAATAAAATTCATGTTAAGTCTACGATTCCTTGAGTAATTTGTCCAAAAAAGAACCAGACCAGCTGAAGTCAGGAACGACGAAGAACAAATCCTGATAATCTTATATCCTTAACGCTGTACCTCCATGTGCGTGAATCAAAATATAATGTGACTGGACCCAGATTTGAATTGCGATCCGACCGTTGGCTGGCTTGCGACTTAGTTAGGATCCGTTTTTGAGTGACGATTCCACAACGAGGGCTCGCTCAGTTTTTCGCCAGCTCTTTTTTGAATGCAAAAGATTGAGTGGCAGCCAACAGCCGACCATGACGACAGAGGAAAACTCGGAGAAGAAAGAGGAGGTGACTACAACTACTGCTATTGCTAGTGCTAGCAGTGGTAGAACAGAAGTATACGAGAAACAGAAAATGTACATTCGTGGCGATCCAGCGTTTGAATGGGTTTCGCCGTTCTCTCCCGACCGCGTTGATCCCCTCGTCAGTAAGAAAGTGGTGGAGTTTCCCACACGCAGTGAACTGAAAGCGGTGATTCCTCCGCACTGCTTTGAGCGATCTCTCTTTTGGAGTTTCTTCTATGTCATTAGGGATATCGTTCAAGGAATCATTGTGGTCTACTTGACGACACAAGTCTTTCAACTTTCCACGGAGCCACCTCAGTTTGAAGAAAACGCGTCCATTGCGACCAAAGTCACCGCTTGGTTGGCGTGGAGACTAGCGTGGAATATCTATGCCGGCGTCATGGCAGCTGCTGCAGGAGGTCTCTGGGTGATTGGACATGAGTGTGGCCATGGTGCCTTTAGTGACTACCAGTGGGTCAATGGCCTTGTGGGATGGACACTCCATTCAGCCATGTTGGTGCCCTACTTTAGCTGGGCGTTCAGTCATGCCAAACATCACAGGCGGACCAATGACATGGAGGATGGAGAAACTCATGTGCCTTGCACCTATCAAGATGTAGGATTACTCAAACAATCTACATCTGCCGGTACTTCTACCTATCAGAGAGCATCTATGAAACAAGTTCAAGAAAAAATGGTGGGTTCTGGTGGACTCTACCAGGTCTTGTCCAATTTTTTCTATGCCAATGCGCAACTACAAGAAATGATGGGAGACGAATTCTTCTCCTTTTGTCTCCTCTACTTTCGACTGTTCTTCCTCTTTCAATTCTATCTCATGGGCGCCAAGGCTGACGGAAAGGTACCCAAAACAAAGGGAAACTGGGAAGATCATTTCAGACCACAGTCGGATTTATTTCCTCCCAAAATGAAGTGGAAAGTCATTGCTTCCGATATTGGTTGTGGAATCACTATTTCCATCTTGGCGGTCTGTTCTTATTTCTACGGATTCCGGGCCGTCTGGTTCTGGTATTTTGGTCCCTACACTCACATTCACATGTTCTTGGTCGGTGTCACTTGGTTGCAGCACACCGATCCAACCATTCCTCATTTTGACGAACAGAACTGGACATGGATGGTTGGAGCATTGGCCGGGACCATTGATCGACCCATGTATGGATGGGTCAATTATGGAAGTCACAACATTTGTACCACTCATGTTGTTCATCATTGCTTTCATACCATTCCACACTACCGGGCCCTCGAAGCCACCAAGGCCATTCGAGACTTTCTAGAACCAAAAGGACTCTACAATTACGATCCAACTCCTGTGGAGCATGCTTGCTTCAAAATTGCCAAACGATGCCATTTTGTCGATTCTCATACGGACGGTGTTCAGTACTATCAGTCCCTCATGGATGTGCCCAAGTCCACCACAACCAGCGCAGCCAATACAGCAAACAAGGAAAAACAGAATTAAGTGGACCAACCGAATGAACGAATGCATGAGTAGCAATCGAAATGACTGCGCTAGACTATTGGAATAATAGTAATCTTGAGAAAATAAATGTGCGAAATCGTTCGTTTCATTGTGAAAAGTGTGGTCGACCTTTGAGTTTTCTAGGATGACATAGCTGCTAGCTAAGCATACAGTACCGGTAGGTATGGTACATACCGGTACTGTAGTCTAGCTAGTAGTTTACACTCGTGGTTCTGGGGCAGGACCTCTTCTCTTTGGAGGATGTTTGCCAAATTGCCAACTGTTTTTCCGAAACGGAAAAGACAGCAGAGCAGGATTGTTATCCCTCACTCTCTACGAGAAATCTTTTGCACCCGAAGGGTGGCAGTTGGCGTCTTCGCTGTCGCAACGGGAGATTGAATATAGGGGGTTTTAGAGTAGGGAAATTATCTACGGAAGCCAGCCGATTCGATTCGATTCGGATGATAGCAAGCTAAAACTGCTCGTAGCTAGCTAGCTACCGGTAGCTAGAAAGACCCATAAGCCAACTCAATCATATATCAATCTGATTGTTGATCATGTCTTCTGATAATACTGCCACTGCTACTAACGATAATGATAAAGGTACTACTACTAGTAGTACCGACTCACCCCTTCTGTTTGCGGATGACTTGGTTTGGAGTGGCCAGATACTATCGTTTGTTGGCGTTGGACAGTATGCTTTTATAGGAGCTGTGAACAAGAAGATGAATCGACTCTACAAAGAGTACTGCAAAATTGAACTAAAGAATAATCCAAAAAAGATAAAAGATGACGTGGAGTCGGAGGACAGTCGCTCTGCAGAAATCACTGATACTCGTTGCAGCGAAACATTCTGCAATGTGCCGCGTGCAGAGTACTGGCTCAAGGACAATTCCACCAACAAAAAACCTATTCATGATCATGTTTGTGATGCAATTGCCACGGTTGGCAATCCCGCTGTCATGCAGTGGGCGCGCCAACAAGGATTCCTATATTGTTCATTTACATGTGCTAAAGCTGCTCAACATGGACATTTGGAAATGCTCCAATGGCTGCATGCAAATGGGTGCCCATGGGATGAGTGGACATGTGCTCGTGCTGCTGAAGGTGGCCACTTGGAAATTCTAAAGTGGGCTCGTGCAAATGGTTGTCCATGGGATGCAGGGACATGTACACGTGCTGCTCGATATGGACATTTGAAAATTGTAAAGTGGGCTCGTGAAAATGGCTGTCCATGGGATGAGTATACATGTACACGTGCTGCTACAGGTGGACATTTGGAGGTTTTGAAGTGGTTACGAGAGAATGGTTGTCCCTGGGATGCAGGGACATGTACCCATGCTGCTGGATATGGGCATTTGGAAATTTTGAAGTGGGCTCGTGAAAATGGTTGTCCATGGGGTGAGCAGACATTTAGTGTTGCCAGCAAAAGAGACGTGATCCAGTGGCTACGTGACAATGGCTGCCCTGGGTCCTCTTGATGATGAAGACTATGATTCTCTCTCCCAGTGGCCTCTTGGTTAGCTAGGAGATTCTAGGATTCTAGGTGAAGATTGATTGGTTGCGTTACAAAGTCGGCTCTTCATGGTCCACTACATTGGGCCGTTTTACCCACCCATCTTCCTGCCTTGGTGGCTGAGTAGGATTGCAATTTGGCAATTGTTTCGGAGACCAGCTGGAGAGGAGTTGCAGCAAACCAACTAACCTAGCTAGAGCATTTCGGTCTGAAGCAATACTAAATTGTTCGTTTATTAAAATAATGTGATCATTTCATAGCTTAGGCCGCTTTCTCGGTTGCTCGTATTCTGCTGGCAATCGGTGCGTCAGATTCAGGTACTGGTATCCACGTGCTGTCTCCTGCTGCTGCTCAGCTCCAGAAGAGCCATCGATGCCTGTCGTGTTAGTGGTCGAGTTCAGACGTCCTGGGAAGATTCCTGTTGTGGCAGCACTGTCAATCAGCAAATCGGCTTGCAAGTGTGTTGTCAGAAAACCAGTATCAGCGCTCACCACTCCTTGGGTGTTGCCCGCTGCACAACCCTGCTGATAGAAGGGTAAGTTGTGTGGCTTGGTCGCCGACAAAGACGACGGAGGTTGTTTAGCGGATGGACGAGAGCGGGCATTCCCAATGAGAAATCTGGCTCTCTTACGTGCGTCCAGGAAACTTGCGTCAAGACTTGCAGTCGTAATCGATGTTTGTGTTGCTGTTGACTGGTCTTGCAACAACGGCATCCCTCTCTTTGTGGCTCCTGTAGAAAACGGAAGACCTCCAGTCGCGCTGTTGTTGGCCGTAAGAGATTCCAAATTCGCTACGGTAGCGATCGAAGCCGGAGTCGTCTGGTCTTGCAACAAACCTCTTGTGGCTGCTGGGTTGGCTGCGAGCAGCCTTGCCCTGCTATGAGCATCCAAGAATCCATTCTCCAGATCCGATGGTTTTGCATGGGATTGTGGCATAGGAAACGTCGAAGCGTTTGCGACAAGAAGCCTTGCCCTGGCACGAGCTTCTAGAAAGCTCCTTTCAGACTGCAGAGATTTGGTATGTCCAGGAATTTGCACTTGTTGGCTTGCCTGACCACCTGGCACCGAGTATCCCAAGGCAGCCAGGGTTGCAGCGGACGCATGTCCAGCTGTAGAATTTCTGATGGCGGCTTGCCCTGCCGCAGTTCCCTGCCATCCTGCTGCCAATGGCGGGAGAGACGATGCTGACGCCAGCGCCGATTGTCCCGGCATCCTTCCAGGGGCATGATCTACCCCGAGCAAGCCAAGCACGGATGACGAGAGTCCAGAGTTTTGAGAGAGCCTATTGATGAGAAGAGCTTGGCGTGCACCTGCCGAAACCATTGGTTGTTGGGAGGCACTTGATGACAACAAGCCAGTTGTGGGGCTCGGTGGCACCCCAAAGGCACCTGCAGGAGCGGCGGTGGCGAGGGATGGGCGACCGTCGAGGCCACTGTTGTTGGCCATCTGAGCACGAACACTGGAACCTAGGTCTTTGGAATGGCCAAACACCATGCTCTCCAACGCATTCTGAGACTGACGTGTCGCTGCAGATGCACCAGTCGACTCCGCTACAGTCAATCTCCGATTGTGGAGGGTCTGCTGTGCTGCCAACGCTCCCGACTGGTCATTGGCAACGGTGGTGGCAACCCCCGTCGGAGGGACCTTGTTGGACGCAGCACCAATGGCCAATCCTTGGTTCAATGTTCCAGGCGCATGTGCTGTGGCAGTGCCGCAATTGGTTTTCGCTGGAGCGACTTTTCCAGGTTGCATCCTGTGTCTCCCTTCCCATCCAGTGACGGTCCTGTCGGATGGACGGGCGGCACTGAGGATCCTGCTTTCCATTGACATATCTTGGCCTGTCCAAACGTCCGTTACTGACCTTGCTACTTCTTGTTTCTGCACTTTTGGTGTTGTTGGAGCTGTTGTTGGACGTGGTGGACGTCCCGTGCCAGTCGGTGTGGCAGTGGAGGCTGCGGTCCGAGCTTGTGCGATCATTAGTAGATCCTTTTGGCCTGGCTGCTTGACTTCTTGCAAGTGGCGCTTTCTTCCTCCTCTCTGTAGCTGCCACGAGAAGCCGACACCATTGAGTAATCGAATTCTGCGCTCGTCGAGTCTGGTGGTCCTGCCTTTGATTAGATTTTGATACTCTTGGCGCTGTTTTGTTTTGAAAACATAATAATATATCATCAGAGCAAGTGAGTTCTTCACTGTTTGTTTGCGGCAATATATACAGTCCAGAGTGTACGTTACAAGTCTACGCTACGAGCGCCAAAGGTTTCCAGGCTTGCGTACCTGCGTGCTGACCCAGTTGGCAAGCTGAACGTCTTCCTCCCAGTTGATGGGTACCTGAGTGTGTCCAAATTTATCCTGCGAAAAAGGACGAAAGAGACGTACACAGTTTAGAACGAAAGAAAAAAAAACGAAAGCAAAAGAGAACAGCATGTGATAATATCTGGGACAGGGCTCAGCTCACCTTGAATCGCAACAGTGCCTGGAATCTGGATTCCCATTGAATGTGTCTGGGGCACTTGGCAGACCACTGCACCCAAATGAATGCAAAGAAAATTAGAAAGAAAGAATAAGTTCGTTCGTAGCATCTCACCAACTTGCTTTTTCTAGGCCTACTAGCTACATATAGTACTAAGCTAGTCAATACGCACCTTGAATCCAATTTTTTCCAGGAGGTCAATCCTGTGGGGTGTCATGGGTGATGCTTCTCCAGCTTCAATGAGTTTGTAGTGGCGTCTCTGTGTGGACACCCAGGCACCCAGTTGGGGATCCTAGAAACAGTAAAAAGTAAACCGTATACACAGACAAGCACCACAACAGAAATAAGAGAGACAGAGAGAGAGAGAGAGAGAGCATGTGGTCAGCAATACAGATTGATAGCTATGGCAAGCCAGCTAGATAGACCAACCCAAACACCCCATCTCCAAGGTGGAGGCATTGGGTTGGGGTTAAATCGTTGGTTGCCGTGACAGGCACCGTTGCTCACCTCTTCGTATCGGTTGGGCACCAAGCAATCTCCGTGCTTTTGTTGGTACTTATCCAAGCGTTGGTACCTACATGTACATGCAATAGAACAGGTATAAGTATGTAGTAGTAACAGCAACAGCAACAAGAGAGAGTTAGACTTTGGCCAGTACTACTTAGAAGCCAACAAGTGTGGCACGCACATTTCCTCCCATCTACCCTGCGGCGTGAGTTTCTTGTGTCCTTCTTCCGAAGACGCGGAGTCTACGTTCATGTTGATACTGCTGTTATTCATATTCATATTCATATTCATATTCATAGCAGCGCTCATGGCACAGCACAGCACTGAAGACAAGAGAGGAGGTTGGCTGTTGCTGTTTGTTATCTACTTGCTAGCTCGCTAGTACTGCGATGGCTTGATAATAGTAATAGTACAGTGTATTGCCTCTGCTCTGTTCAGGTCGAGTTGTGATGGGCGGGTGGAACATGCAGACTAAACTCGTGCTGGTTTACAGCACGCTGAAAAAAGCACGAGGAAAAGGTCAGATCTGAGTCGCCCTCCATATCTTAAGTCTGAACACTTACGAGAGAACTGCATGTCTCACATCTCACATCTAAATTAAAAGCCTAAATACATTTAACACCATGTGACTGGTTCATTCATCTTACCTTGTTAGATCTGGGTTCAAGTTCCACAAAAACTTATACTTTCTGGAGCTCTTTCTGGCCTATCTTATGTAGCACTGTAGCAGTCGCAGGGGCACTTACACAGTATGACCCGAATGACATTAATTATTGTGTACGCTATGCTAAATAAAATGGCTCCTGTGGTGATTTAAATAAGCTTGCCCCCAAGTTCCAGCAACGTATTCTGAAGAGAAATTGCGTTTAATAAGGGGAGGGTTCACTTTTTGCTCTTGTGTAAACCGTCGTCTCAACTCACCGAAAGATACAAAGATATGATACAGTACTACTAGCTAGCTAGTAGCTACTGACTACAAGAGAAAGTGCTCTTTTAATTAAAATAGTGACTTCTAATGCCGGTTACCTGTTGGACACTGACACAGGGCCCAAATACTCCAATTCTCGCCATTTTTACTTTTATTTGACTATTTAAACCATCCAATTTATCACTTTGCTGTCAAAAGCTTTGATTTGAGTCCATTTTTAGGTCATTATGATCTGGGTGCCGTGCCTGACGGTTTTTTTAGAGCTACTGTGGTAAAAGAGTACCGTAGTTATGACAGGGTACATCGTACCGCCATAGCATACGGGCGATCGCACAGATTTGGCTTCATGTAGTTTTACCAAAGGGTAGCGGTAGCTCGTCCAAGTAGTATCGATGTATTGCTGATGATAGTCTAGCTAGTATAGCTGATGTATGTTGTATTGACTCGACTGTCGATCTACCGGTACTGGCATGCCGCAAAGCCACAGGAAGACAGTGTAAAGCAAGGTTGCGGCCATTGCCATTTACCAGAAAAATCATGACATTGCACTCCAAGACTTGCTCCGAGCACCACAATAATGTACCACTACAATGTCTTCCAAGTTGGAGTTTTGGGAAAGCCGATTGCGAGAGATACATGTAACCACCGAAGCCTGCTGCTGCTCTGGGGTACCAGTAGTACTACATGTACTTCCGTACCGGTAGGCAGAGTACCGAGGCAAACCGGGTCGAGACAATGCTTGGCTGCCGTGCCGTGCCGTGCACAGCAAAACCATGGCGTGACAGATTTCAGGAGAGACTAGCTAGACTGGATCTATTCTGCACCATCTTTTTCTACTACTCGTACGGTACATGTAACAGGTACCAATGCTTTGGCAACCTGGCGCACCTCCACCGCGGTACCACCAAGCATGCACCAATACTGGTACGTTGGGGGAGGATAGATCATTCCATTCGGGTGTTACTGTCTTTACGCAATGAAGCAGTTCTGAGCTGTCAAGGGTGCTGTGTGGCTGTGTAGCAGCTTTGGGCGCAGTGCCGGCATTTTCAATTCCTGCTTCAAGAGTTTTTAAAATTCTCTGAAAGGAATGCAATCGAAAGGACGGGGACTTTGGCCATATATATATTTAATCTAGAGTTGCAAAAGTGATGTGGCGGCTTTTGTAACAGCTTCTTGGAAATCTCGGTTGATAAAGCATGAATGATTGGAAACGAATCCCCTATTTCACGTGAAGACAAAAAAGGGATGCCAAAGTGTTAAGCAAGGCTGTTTCTAACGTTTAACGTACTGAGTACATTCTGTTTTAAGACTGTAGCTGATTGGACATCAAAAGCCTTGATCTGCGGTCTGCAACTTTCTTTTTGACGTTTCATTGATCAGTTCGCATTTGAGCATGTGTCAGACAAATCGAAAAAGTCCCAATCACAATTGCTTATTTTCCAAAATGGCCGAATAAAAGTTTTTCAGGAGGTTTTCTCTGATTTTGAGTTTGTTTACAACTCAAAATGCAAGGTACGGACGCAATTTCTTTGCGAAGCTTTCTACAGCAGGGGGAAATCAGCGTGGCTTTATTTAATTATTACTCCGCAAGGAAAAGGGTGTGCAGAAATAATTGTTGATGTGATAGGCTGTCTTCTTTGCGGCTGGAAATCCTGCTCCGGAGTTTTCACTCCAATGGTCGCTGAACATTCAGCAGCACTTCCCCCCTCAACACCATCAAAATCCAAACAAGTGCAAACAAGCATTATTAGCTATCTAGCTGGTACCATACTGTAGCTATCAAGTCTATCAAGTCTATCAAATATATCAAGTCTATCATCATGAACAAACGCAACAGCAGTGGCTCCTCTTCCTCTCTGTCTTCTTCCTCTTCCTCCTCTTCGACTGAGAATGAAGACGCAGGAGCTTCATGTTCTCCAGGTAATAACAGTGACGGTCGGCGTGGGCATGGGAATGGAGCTGCTACCGGTAATGACTCGGCTGTCATGGCTGCAGCTGCTGCAGTGGCTGCCATGGCTTCCTTCTCTTCTGCTCCGTTGCCGGGAGCTGCAGTGGCACCCCTAGCTAACGCTCCTGCGATGGCGTCCGTAGCTTCCGTACCGCAGCTAGCCTCGGGAATGGACGTTGCTCGGGTCCCAAGCAGAGCGCCTCTCAAATCTCCCCCTCCATCCACAACCATGGCAGTAGCTACTCCTCCACCTGCCAAGAAGAAACGAACACACAAACCCAAGAGAGGTTCTAGTGCTACATGTACTAGCGGTACTGGTAGTAGTTCTACCACCAATGATACAGGTAGCACCCCTGCTCACAGGACATCCTCAGCTGAAGAAAGATGGGAGGACATGTAGGTAGTAGTGATGACTGCTGGCTGCTGACTACTCTACTCACTGCATTCAAAGGGCTACGACAGGTTAACCTGCAGCTAGCTAGCTAGCCAGACTGATCTGATCTGATCTGATCTGATCTGATCTGATCTGATCTGACCTGACCTGACCTGACTTATCCACTGACTTTTCTCTGTTCTTATCCTACCCCACACCCTACACCAGGCACACACGACTATTGAGATACAAACAACTTCACGGAGATTGTCAAGTGGTAAGGTCTCATGGCAGTGCTGTCGGTCTGCCTACTACTACTAGCTGGCAAGCTACACAACTGCAACGACTGCAACAACTGCTCACTCGTCCATTGCTTGCGACCCTTTCTAGCCCAACCGATACCCAGATGATCCCAAATTAGGTGCTTGGGGTGAGTTCTGCGGAATCGCATCGTGATCACCCCATTGCTCGCGACTAACTTTTGTTACTTCCTTCCAACACCGCGGCATCATGTATGCACACTCGTACCGGTACCATACTCTACTCCACCCTCCAGTATCAACCCAACGAAGACACTATCGAGTGAGCCAACGTGACAACGTCGAGTCCACTTCGCTCACCAACGAACGCATCCAAAGGTTAGAAGACGCTGGATTTGGTAAGTGACAAGAGGGTCGAGTCAGAACTCCAATCAGGCTCATACCAGCTACTGCCTCCGGCTAGCTAGGCTATCTTGATAGCTGCATGTACTGTAGCTCAATCGGTGCGTGCCAACCATTATATTATTATTTATTTTTTGATTACGCAGAGTGGACAGGAGTCAATCCGAGGTACCTTCATTGGGATATGCGATATCGCGGTGAGTAACTGTTTTGCTCCACGCACAATGTCATTGTGTCTTGTGAAATGCTTTTCGGAACAGCTCTAATACATACATGCTATCTCCGCAACACCTCCAACGTAACAGAGTTGCTCGACTTCAAAGTGAGTTCCCTCATCATTCGCTGGTTGATTGCTTGGGGGGGGGGGGCGTGCGGAAACACAAATCTCACACTTGGTCTTGTTGGCTTGTCGTTGCTCGGATTCTTGTTCGATTCATCCTGATGTGCTTTACTACAGGAGCGCTTTGGCCATGTCAACATACCCATCAACTGGCCGGAAAATGTCAAGCTTGCAAACTGGACAAGTACTCAGGTGAGGCACCCAAAGCACATCGTGTTCAGCCAAGCAAGAGCCCTGAGCTAGGAGCCACTCAGTACCTGCCTCGGGCTCCTCTACATAGCGCAGACGGGGGCCGGCTGCAACAACAAACCCACCGCATGCTTGGGATGCGGGATAGCTAGCTACAGTACCCCATGCCCATCCAGCGATGGAGAGGCTGCTTGTTATGGACTGCTGTCCCTTCCTCCTCGTTCTTCGTTATGTTGCTTATTCAAGCAAAGCTCATCATTTCTTTCTCCCCGCGACTCGTGTCTCATTTAGAGACAAGAACACAAGAACATGCTAAAGGGAAAGAAATCTAGGCTTGATGATCGACGAATACTGATGCTCAATGACATTGGATTCGCATGGGAGTTACAGAGAGGTGGTAGAAAACGGAAACTAGTAGCAACCAAGAAGGGCGACGAGTCGCTACAGGAAGACCAACAAGATGAAGATTCGTATCAGACGCAAGATGGCGGCCAGTCCGACCATGTATCAACCGACGCAGAGCAGCAACATGCAAACGAAGAAGAAGAAGACTCCAAACCTGCAGCAGTCGTACCACACCCTTCGTCTGCCCCCCAAATTTCGAACTTGGTGGCGCCGCCACAGCTACTAGGTCAGGTTCCGTCAGGTGGACCCGCTGCTCACGCCACTCTACCGAATCTGTTGGGCAGCCCCAGCTTTGTGGCTGTTGGCAGCGGGAGCGGGAGCGGCACAAGTGCTTCCGTGGCGGCTGAACCAGCGCCCTCATCAGACAGCCGTGGAGAAGTTGATCACATGAACTTGTTGTTACAACTTTCGCAGCAATCGGCTCAGGCCACACCATCGCTCCTCCTCCAACAACAGCAAGGGGGAGACAGTATCCGACAGGCATTATTAAGCCAACTTGTACTTCTTCAGTCCGCTCAGGCCCAGGCCAATGCAAATGCCCAGGCAGCGATCTTGGCATACGACACGGGGCGAATGTCTGGGATGATACAGGCAATGCAGCAACAGCAACAGCAGCATAGTACTACTCTGCTATCAAACTCGTTTCAGCAGCAGTACCTGGGCGGTGCAACCATTCCTGCCCCATCGGGTAACCTTATTGGTCAGTTGCAAACACTTGGGAACAGCGACCTTTCACTCTCGCTGGGAAGCAGCCACAACAGCAATAATCTTACTATACTTCAGAGGCAAGCTCTGATTCAACTAAGTGGGAATCAAGGAGAACAGATCGGGGGGCCCCCCTCGGCGGCATCTACATCCATGAGGACTGCTTCACAGCAACTCTCGTTCCTATCAAGCCTTGTTCGCAACAATGACAGTAGCACAAGCAACAGTGTTCTGTTGAATGGAGCTCTGAATGGGGGCTCAAACCATCTCAACAGTGGTGGAAGCTTTAACAATGATCAACAGCCACCACCTGGGATGTGCTAGCTACAAGCTCTAAGATAAAGGATCCATTTGCGTTTTCTACAAGCCTGTTTTAGTGTATGAAAAGTGGGAAACGGCTAGTCTTTGTTTGGATACGTTACGTCCAGGCTCTAGGACCTACCGGTACCGGTACACCTGTACTGATACGTTATCTCCAAAGTTCAAGTTTACTCTCAGTAAGTCTAATAATTCATCATGGATTTGATAACACATTGTCTAGTTACGGGCCTGGTTGTTGCCTGTCTGTTGCATTGACATCATTCATGGTCATCTGTCTTTGCTTCAACAACCGATTGTTCTTGGTCCTGTGATTGCACTCTGCCTTGATGCTGTATCAGCAAAGCTGCTGCAATGGCAGGTGCCAATGAGGCTTGGACTTGTTGTGGTTGCCTCAGAACTTGTGCCGCCTGAGCCAGGAATGCGTTGGAATACGCAGAATTTGCTGTTCCCAATGTCAGCTGTAGTCCTCCTAGCTGTTGCAACGGGGTAAGGCTGTTGTTGATGATGCCAATATTGTTCCCAGCAGCAAGAAGTGCATTCAATTGCAACTGCAAAGGGTTGTATGAAGAATTCGTAGGCAAGCCAACATCCGCACCCACTGCATTTTGCGGCTGTCTGAACATGGAGAACGATGAAAGGCCCCCGGTTGCATTAGCCAACAGTAGGGCCCGTTGATATGCATTCAAATTGACTGCAACGCCTGGCGCCGCCGAGTGAACTTGGCTACTAGCACCAAGTTGAGCAGTTCCACCACCACCGTCACCGGCCAAAAGAGACCCAAGCACGCGAGCACGAAGCAACGTATCAGGATCTTGGACGACCGATTCCGAGGCAGAACTGTCGGTACCAGCAACAGGATTGCCTGGTTGGGGAGCTGATTCGGCAGTCGCTTGCTGACCTGGTCCATGTGCGTCTTCCCTTGTTGCCACTCGAGGGCTCTCCTGTTGCTTGGTCTCCGTTGATGATGCTGTTGCGTCCGATCGACTCCTCTTCTTCCTCCGAGAACTGTTGCTCGCGCTGGCATGGGCTCCATTATGATTAGTACCGGCAGGAGAGACCACCGAAGATGGTATAATCGCCTGCGCCCCCATGCATGCAGTAGATGCATCTTGGTCTCCTCCGAGGAGGGCAACTCCTGGCAGCACCAGCGCCGTGCTGTACGACTGCCTCTTTGTAGCAGCGCGTTTTCTTCCGGGTCCGCTCGTCCTGCTGTCACCTTCTCTTGCGGTCGCCGTGGTGGTGGTGGTCGTCGTGGTACTAGTACCAGTAGAGGACTCGTTGGTCGAATGGTCATCCGTTCCTGTGGTGGTGGAAGAAGTGATGCTTGCTGCCACCTTGACTCTTCGTCTTCTTCCTCCGCGCTGGAGTTCCCATGCAAATCCAATTTCATTCAAGAGTTGGATACGCCTCTCGTTGAGACGTGACGGCTTGCCCTTGAGCAAGTTCTTGTACTCTTGCCTTTGCGTACTTGTCCAGTTTGCCAGTTGTACATTGTCCTCGAAACCGATTGGGACCTGTGCGTGACCATACTGTTCCTGTTTCATTTCATTTCATTTCATTTCATTTCAATCAATTATTGCAAGCATGAAGTGGTCAGTGCAAAACAAAATCCGTATTGGTTGGAGTGATTCGATTCATAATCGATAGGAGAAGCCCCTCTCTTGGCTTGCTTACCTTGAACTCTTTGAGCTGTTCGTATCGCATATCCCAATTCTTGTGCCTTGGATTTTCTCCGGTCCATTCTGTTTGTTGTACGTTAGAAAGAAAGAAAGAAGAAGAAGGCAGGCAAAGTGTGTGTTAGAGTGGCAAGCCAATGACTGAACAACCAAGAGGCACAACAAAGATGAAGCAAAAGCCAAAGCAAGAGTAAGCAAGAGGACGCAATAACCCACCAAATCCCATGGCAACAAGTTTGGCAGCCCTTTCCTTGCTCAATCCTTCACCTGGATTGGTGAGTGACTTTTTGTAGTGTCTCCGTTGTGTCGAGACTACCGGTATATAATCGCAATGATATAATAATAATATGTAGTAAGATGATGGGAAGGAGACGAGATTCTGTGAGCTTGCTTTTGACATCTAGTAGACTAGTCTAGCTAGACTAGCTAGTCCACCAGTTCTTAGCAGGCGGGAATCCTTGCTTCAGACAGACGAAAACTGAACTTACCCCAGCACCCCAAGGAGGGATCGTCTGGGTACCTGTTGGGGACATTGCAACTGAAATGGAAGAACGAAGTGGGTAGATAGATAGATGAGTGAGATAGAGTGAGTTGGTTGGTTCATCATAGTAGCCCACATAGTAGTAGATAGAAGCAAGCAGCCAAGCAAGTTTCTAGTAGATCTGTCTGGCTAGCTAGCTGCCTGGCTAGTACCGGTACTTACTGTCCTTCTTTTTCTTTGAATTCCTCGAGTCTTTCCAGCATCTGTGGAGTGGAGTCGAGTCCATGTAGAATGATTGATGAGCACAGAGCAAGGCAGGCAAGATCAGTAAGTGAGTAAGTGAGTGATGACAAAATCCAGTCAAGGCCAGTGTGGTAGCTATTAATAGCTAGCTTGGCCTGTGGAGTAAGCCAAGATAGCTACGAGCTATCAGTAGCTATCTAGCTACTGATAGCTAGTAGCAGACCCCATTAAGTCAGCCATGGCATCAGAAGCAATGAGTATGGTACTTACCCACTCCCATCTCTGCTCTGCAGTCATTCCACTGCTAGACCGTTTTCTCTTTTTCTTGTTGGTTGCTTTGGACTTGTCCTTACTAGCAGTAGTACCAGTTTTGGGTTTGGCAGAGTTGGGCATGGAAGCTACTGGGGGAGGTTTCCTTAGCGAGGCTTTGGGTACTACTGGCACTGGTACTGGTACTGGTAGTAAGGTTGCTGTTGAACACGTGGGAGCCATTTTTCTGTCATTGTCATTGTCGCTCTCAGAGCCACTTTCCTCGTTGCTACTGTCAGTGTCGGTACTGCTAGCACTTTCACTAGCAGAAGCGTTTTCATCGCTGCTGGAGTCTTCGTCTCCTCTCTTCCTCTTACCCTTACCAGTACCAGTACTAGTAGGCATACTAGTATGTTGCTGTTGGTCTCCTTGTTGCTTGTCTTGCTTGTCCATCATGAGATGAGATGAGAGGCTTGCAAAACAAAACAAAAACAAAAAAGTTGGAATCTATGCGAGCAACAATTTGTAAGTGGACCAGACGAGTACTAGTAACACTACGGTATGATAGTAGCAAGAGAAGTGAGGCTCCACAAACAACAAGAAAAAGTAGAAAAGTTCTCAGGGGACTATTTCACCTCGTGCAACACCACGTAGAAATCGTACCAATGTCCTGTACTAGCACACTAGCACCTCTTGAAAAGTAAACAGGGAGTGTGCCTCTGCAAGCCTCAAGCCTTTTAAGCTTCCGCAAAACTCCTTTAAGCTACTTACGCAGTTAATACTTCATCTGTACACTAAATATCTACTATCAAACATCCTACTCTTCTGGCGGCATCTGCTATCTTTCTGTCGCCAACACTGGCCGAACGTGTTCCAGTGAACCCAATCATTCAGAAACTCATCATTAGCCATTCAACTTACAATAGACTAATATTTAAGTAGAAAAAGGGTTTAGACATTGTGTGGAGGTAAAAAAGAAATCGTATGCGGCATGAGAGACGGTCTCATTTGTCGCAAGACAACTACACATTAAATACATTCTAATCTTGAAGATTGACAAGCCAACTGAAAGCCTTTAGATCTACTTCCACTCGGACAGATACTGTACAAAAGAATTTAGCCTAACTAAGCATTTTTATGTAAAACCACACCAGCATCATAAAAAATGCGAACTTTCAAGCTTTTACGGCGACGTCAGGTTGGACAATAATGTCCTGTAGAAAAATCTCCCGGCGAACTGGAAATCCAGGTCAGTCGTGCAAACCTGAGGCAAAGCCGAAGGTGCATGATTGACCGTGGATTTGAAGCCCGAGGCAGAGGCTCAACCAAAGCAGAGGCAGAGGCGAAAGGAAGGCCGAAGGCCTGGAAAAGCCGAAGCCGATGCTGAGGTTGAAGCCGATGCCAAGGGCGCCAGTGAGGCGGGAGATCTTTGTGTGTAATCTACCTGACAATAGCCCGAGGAAACAGGGGCGCCATTGTCGTGTCGTTGACTGTTCTTGTGTTCTTGTTGTTCAGGTGTTGTTGTTGTTGTTGTTGTTTGTTGTTTCGAGTCGTTGTCGTGTGTACGTTTTACCACTGAATCAGTCGTGTTTCTTGAATTTCAACGGCATTTTTCTGTGTCCTTTGATTACTTAAGGGGTAAGAAACGGCTGAAAATCCAACAGTGGATTCTCCGTGATACTGCTACTGGGATCTTACCCGCCAATTCCCACTCAAGAAAACGGCTGAAAATCCAACAGTGGATTTTACACAGTAACTACTAGAAGAGTAAAACTTCCAATCAACTCGCTTCTTATACAAACCTGGGAAATGGCACTCAGAATCCATGTGGAACATTAAATCTTCAGAGTGGATTCTCCTCTAAAATCCAATAATTTGTCCTCACACAAACAACTAGTGGATTTCGGACGTTTCTTTTTTCAGCCTGTAGAAACAGTACTAGAGCTACGAGGGCTTGGCGGGTGGATTACGCTGGAATTTCGCCACTTTACTCGTACTAGTAGTACTTTTCCTTCATACCTATTAATTTTTCGTTTCAGCTTCAACATGAGGACTCAACTCAACTATGTCTCACTCGCAAGACATCAGGCTCTAGAAGGTCACCAAAGAAAATACTAACGCTGAAGGACTGTCCTTGAGTACACTGAAATTGATACTCCATCGTATCTCAGCACTCAGTGACTTGACTGTCACTCTCGGAGTACTATTAATAGTGCAGTTGTACTATTAATAGCTAGTAGCTACAAGTACATTTACATGTGCACCCGTAGTAGCAATAGCAATGGAGCTCAGATGGTATCTCAAAGGAAAGTCACTGTCCTAATTAAATCACGTTTTAACCCTCAAAATACGTTTGTGACTACTAGTCTATCGTTCAACTATTCGGAGAAGCGGTACATGACTAAACAGTCACAAACACATGGATCGGACAAACACGTAGACCGGACACTAGAGCGTACTGGTACCGGTATGAGAACTCCCGTCAGTTGCGGGGGCTCTGCTCTGTAGCATAGTACATGTACAGTACGATGTAGTATGTAGAGAGCGGTACCATGGTACCATACACCGTGCGTAAGCGGGTGAAGCGGCATCTTTCAGCTTGACAAAGACAAGCCAACCGAGCTGGACCGGTAGATCTATGTTTGCTGCACGCAACAGCAAATAAAACAATGCGAACTCACGTCAGTTCGATTACGTGTACGTGTATCATAGTCATTTTGTTGTTTTATTAGTTAGTCACCCACCAAACTTCTGTAGCATCTGGGCGGCATGCCAGACGTGAAAAGCGGGATGGGCGGCATGGCTGCGGCATCCTGCAGCTGGCCAAGGAACCATCTTGTGTACCAGTAGCTAGTAGAGCAATAGTAGATTCTTGTAGATCTTGTAGATCTTGTAGATGTAGCTTGTAGATGTAGCTTGTAGCATAGCCGAACTGCTAGCTACATCTCCCAGTTCTCCAACTTGTACGGTACAGGTAGTGCGGTAGTCGAACTGTAGGTCGCTGCAGCGGCATCCTCAATCTTTTAGGTCTCAATCGAAAAGGCCTGATAGATCGCGATGGCTGGGTTCGATTGTTCATTCTACACTGATAGTGTTCCCAAGCTCGGGGGATGAGACTAGGGGACCGTGACAGTGTGCCCCAAACTCGGCGGTAAGCCTGCTACATGTAGTACCAGCCAGTTGCAGGCTTGGGAGTGCGTTGCATCCACTGCCAGCCAGCAAAGAATCTACTACAGGAGTTGTGGGTGGTATTCGGGCCTCAGGATCCCAGCCATTGACTCTAGAGCACAGTAGCTAGCTACAGCTATAGACGTGATGCAGTGACCGTGTACATCGTACCTGTGCAAGCTAAGCTGGAGCTGGGCCAGGAACAGAAGTCGAGCCTGGATGGTAAAAATCTGGCTGGAAGGTAGTCCTCCCCACTATGATACGTCTCAGAAGAGATACGTAAAGTCAGGGGCCACCTGGTGTGGGGGCAGGAGTGATGCCAAACTGCACGAGCAGCAACGAGTTGGTCCAGAAGAGTTCACTTTCTCATCATGTTTGTTGGCCATTGCAAAGCTTGTTTCTAGCTTGAGAGTTTGCTTGTAACAGAATCATTACTATATGTTTTTAAAAAACTTCTAACTTTTAGGACCATTTGGAGTGACCCAGTTCTCAAACCCAGCTTGTGCTGTTGCTGCCAGTATCATTGATGGAGCAGGAACAGTCACACCCGCACATGTTATCGTTGCAATCAAAGCCCAGTGAAGTGTTGTCAAGTGTACCACACAGACCCTTTGGAATAGTTCCAAAAATACCATCATTGCCAGAGATATTAAAGAATGAAAGAGGACTCTGATCCACCCCTGGAGTCCACCATGAAGACAGCTCAGGAGGCAATATTCCTGTCAGTAGATTGTTAGAAACATCCCAAACAGACAAGGTACCATTCCACAGACCCAATTCCAAAGGTATAGTGCCAAAAAGCAAGTTTTGGTCCCAGCGAAACTCTATAATGGCCTTCATTGACTGTCCCATGTGCCATGGGATACTGCCATTGAACTGATTGTCAGACAAGACAAAAACTTCCAAATTTTCCATATTGGCAACCTCACCAGGGATCGATCCAGTGATCAGGTTTCCCTCCGCACTCAGTTCTTTCAGGGATGTCAAGTTGAAGAGTGACAAAGGGAGTGAGCCTGTGATTTGATTGTTTCCCAAATACAATTCATAGAGCCTTGTCATGTTGCCAATGTTGGGTGGAATTGTACCTGTCAGCATGTTGTTGTTGAGTTTCAGTTCTTGGAGATTAGTCAACAGCCCCAGCTCTGAAGGTAACTTCCCTGACAGTTGGTTGTCATGTAAGTGAAGCCAAGCCAGATTGGACATGGTCCCCAGGACTACTGCTGGAAGTGTCCCTGTCAAGAGATTTTGAAACAAGTAGGTGTACTGGAGTAACTGGAGTGATCCAATTTCGCTGGGGAGAGTTCCAGATATCCGCGTCATAGCCATGCTCAAAGCTTTGAGGTTTGTGAGGAGTCCCAGCTCTGTGGCAAGCGTCCCAATAAAGGGACCATTGGAAAGCTGCAACTGTTGTAGATGGGTCAGCTGTGTGAAGATTTTCTTCGGTATGGTTCCTTCCAACTCGGTTTTTGAAAGGTACAAGACTGATAGTTGCGTCAGTGCCCCTAGTTCGCTTGGAACTACTCCCGTGAATGGGTTTACTCGAAACGATAGTTCTCGGAGTTCAGACAGCTTGGCAAAGTTGGCTGACAGCGTCCCTGCCAAACCCCGATTGATGCTCAAATCTAGACTTTTTAGGTGAGTCAACCAGTAGAGTTCCTCTGGAATCTTTCCCTGAAGATTGTTGGACCGCAACCACAAACGAACATAGGGATAGTAATGGTTCTCGGCATTGAGAGCAACGGTATCATTTTCGGTGGCTGCTGGCGAAACTGTGTAATTGTCACATGCTGATTCTTCGCCGAATTCTCCTTGGAGTACATCTCTCCGTGGGTTCAAGTGCCACTCACACTCGTGATGCGAGTACGACATCCAGTGTGTTTCCTGCGTCCATGGCTGCGCCCCATTTTCGGATGTTGCATAATAGAAACACGCCAGAGCGAAACGTTGCTGTAATTGCATCCGAGAATATCGTTTGAGTGCAGGATCATCTATCAACCACTGAAATGCCAGCAGTTGTGGCGTCGTGGTTGCTGCAGTTGGTGTTTCCGTCGTGTTTTCCCCACGAATAGACACATCGTGTTTTTGACCCATTTCAGCAAAAATCCTGGCAAGCGTGTCATTGGGGAGCAACCGAACCAGATACTCTTCGGGCGACAGCAAGTAGTTGTCGGCAACGCCGCTCATGTTGAAACCCAAGTCCTCCGTCGGAACGGACTTGTCGTCATTCGCGTTGCCCTTGTTCTCATCCCCGTGTTGCTCAAAGAAACCACTCCACCAAAGTACCAAAAGAACCAACCCCGCCAAAACGACAGCCCCCACTGCAATCCATAATAACATAACGATGGATTCCTGTCGATTGTTTCTTGCTCTTCGTCGTGTGTTTTTGTTTCCTTGCGGATCGACTGGTTGGGCAAATCCCAATGATGGCGACGAGTCCCCCATTAGTTGGTTTTCTGTGACTGCTCGCGCTTCGACGAGTTGCGCCTCATTGGCTGCAGTGACGACGACAGTACTGTTCCCAGCCGTAGTAAAATTAGTATGGATGGTGCTGATGGTTGCGTCGTCGGCCCTGCTCATGAGCCCGACCGAATCCGACGAAGGGGGTATTCTTCGATGGAAAACGGATCTCCCCGCATAGAAACTCTGTTCCGACCCGTACGCTCCTGGGGTGTCGATATGTGACTGAGAGGAGTAATAGGGGATTGGTTGAATTTGTTCTTGAATGGCTTCCATAAGCAGCTGCCGAATCGCAGTGGCGGACGACGAGTACGACTGATGATCCGACGAATCCGAGGGGTCCGATTGTTCCGGTGGTTGTGGACAGGGAGGATGCTCTTGAGATGGTTGCGGCTGCTGTGTTGGTATTTGAGACGAGGAATCGTTTAGCTGGTCTTGTTGGTTTGTGTTTTTGTGATTCTTGCTATCACCGAGCATCTCTAGCTGTTGCCGATGTAACTGATCCGCGTAACTACCGGTACGCGAAGTAGTGCCAGTAGTATCCATAGGGGACTTGCTTTCGCCTGAGCCAAAGTTCTTGGTGATGGTTTGACTTTCATCTTCTATAGCTGTAGTACAAGAACCCTTCAGGTTGAGGTCGGTTTCCTGTGTTTCCACGGTTACTTCCACGCCAGAGCATACGCCTCGTTCCACGTTCTCGATATCTAAGGCTGTTTCTTGCAGCGGCGAGGACTGATTGGCTCCTTGGCAACTGTCATCATCCTCCAATTCACTGCTTCTGCTGCTGCCACTAGTGTCTTCGTCGTCTCTACTACCGGTCCCGCTACCTGTACGAGGACTGCTAGTAATAGTACGCGTATGCATATTGTCCTGATCAGGAGTCTCAGTCGTACCACCGCTAAGGCTCGTTTCAGCCACTAACTCTTCTCTTCTGGTAGTAGTGGTGGTAGTAGTAGTGGTAGTAGTGGTAGTAGCATTTTCTGTGGGAGTTGGCGTAGTGTTGCCGTCGATCTGATTGACTTGCCCCATGGTCAACAACAACAACAGGAGAGATAGACCAATAGAACACGTAACTCAAGGGGAAGGGAGACTTGAACGTGCTGTAGATTCACTTTTTACAACTCGCCTCGAAAACCGGACACCTGACGACGTTTCTGTTCTTTATGTTTCTTTTCTTATGAGTTTCCTAAGTGACGCAACTCGTTTCTGAGTCAGAGATTTATTTTCAATCCTGCAAGAATTTCAGTTGTTAAGTCATTGTGCCCGTCCAACATAAGGAACAAGGAACACTAGCTCGGAAAACGTGACCTTTTCTGGTGCCCTTTTTTGAGTGAAGGTACCAAGTGCCAAGTGCCACGGTGCCAGCACCATGTTAAGGATGGCAACTTCTGTTTGCGCAGAGTGGCTGGATGCAAGGAAGCCCCTGATTGTGTGCTGACCATGGCGTCGCAGCAAAAGCACAGTTAGTAAGGGGGTTTAGTGTAGTAGGGGTGTTATCAACACAAAGTTGGCTAACTACTAGCACTAGCTAGCTAGGGCATGACAACACAGTATTCAGTTCCTGTGATCTCAGAAAGAGAAGAGGCAATCGTGCTGCTTGAGGACGCATCGAAGTACCGCATGCTTGAGAGTCCTGTTGTCACAGATGCATCATGCCGTATGCACACTGTGCTTCCTGAACTCGCAGAAACAACAAAGCCATCCGTACAACAGGCACTCCAAGTAAAAGTGCCAGTGACAGTGCCAGAGGAATACGATGCCTCACCAGCATCATCCACCACGGGGAGACCAGTGACTCCAGTGACTGTAACTTTGGCCTTGCCACCACCAGAGCTCCCGGATACTTGGTTGTAGAGGATCACCAAGTACAAGGTACCGGACCTGTCCACAACTCCAAGGCTCACCTTTCCTGTGTTGCCAACGTGAAGGCCTCCGACTGTATTAGCGTTGCTTCCACCGCCATTGTAATACCAACCATTTGAAGCAGCAATGCCCCCAGCAGTACTGTCCGTGAAAGCATTGGGGTTGTTGTCAACTATGAGTTGTGGCAGGGCTGTAGGAGCAATAGTGGGGGTCCTTGAGGGAGCTTCTGAGGGCATCACTGATGGGAAATCCGAAGGACTGACACTAGGCGTTTTTGAAGGGAAGTCCGAGGGATTGACGCTGGGAACCATCGAAGGCATCATTGAAGGAGACGATGATGGGAAATCCGAAGGACTGACACTAGGCGTTCTTGAAGGGAAGTCCGAGGGACTGACGCTGGGAACCATCGAAGGCGTCATTGAAGGAGACGATGATGGGATATCCGAAGGACTGACACTAGGCGTTCTTGAAGGGAAGTCCGAGGGATTGACGCTGGGAACCATCGAAGGCATCATTGAAGGAGACGATGATGGGAAATCCGAAGGACTGACACTAGGCGTTCTTGAAGGGAAGTCCGAGGGACTGACGCTGGGAACCATCGAAGGCGTCATTGAAGGAGACGATGATGGGATATCCGAAGGACTGACACTAGGCGTTCTTGAAGGGAAGTCCGAGGGATTGATGCTGGGAGTTCTTGAAGGGAAGTCCGAGGGACTGACGCTGGGGAGCATGGAAGGCACCATTGAAGGAGATGACGATGGAACCATGGAAGGACTGATACTAGGAGTTCTAAGGGATCTTGAGGGACTGATACTAGGAGTTCTTGAAGGGAAGTCAGAGGGACTGGTGCTGGGAGTTCTTGAAGGGAAGTCAGATGGCAAAGACGATGGAACCATGGAAGGACTGATACTGGGAGTTCTCGGAAGGGAAGTCCGAGGGACTGGTGCTGGGAATATTGGATGGCAAGGATGATGGACTGATGCTGGGAAGCATGGACGGACTGATACTGGGAGTCATAGATGGGGATTCTGATGGCTGTAAGCTTGGCACGTTGGAGGGAGATGCTGATACAGTAGGGGATCCCGATGGCATTGTGGAAGGTGCTTTGGTTGGTGCTCTGGTGTAACCGATGGACGCACTGAAGGGGCCGAAGAGGGCTGCTTAGAAGGAAGCGAAGATGGGGACATAGAAGGAACAGTGGATGGAGAGAAGGAAGGGCTGTCTGATGGTGTCCTCGAGGGGGAACCTGATGGTGACAAGGACGGAGAGATGGAGGGGGAAATTGATGGTTCAAGAGACGGTTTAGCTGATGGTTGTGTACTTGGTACACTTGAGGGTGATCCAGAAGAAGGCTGACTGCTTGGTACTGTGGACGGAGATTGTGACGTGCTGGGTAATGCTGACGGTTGAATTGTCGGGCTTCTTGTTGGATTTCCTGGTGTTACAGAGGGACTCTGAGAGGGAGATGAGACGGGAGACTAGAAGGTATCGTAGACGTAGAGGGTGTAAATGATGGATTCTGGGATGGAATACTTGAAGGTTCCACTGATGGCGAGGTGGATGGTTGCTTGCTTGGTGCTGATGATGGAGAAAATGAAGTGCTAGGCAGGGAAGAGGGCATAGTCGTAGGGCTTCCAGTTGGGTTTCCTGGTGTTACAGAGGGTCGTTGCGATGGAGAAGAAGATGGGAAACTAGTAGGACTTGTGGAGGGTAAAAATGGTTCGGGATGGAATACCTGAAGGTACAACTGTGGAGAGGTGGATGGTTTTGTTGGTGCTGATGACGGAGAAGATGAAGTGCTAGGCAGGGAGAGGGCGTAGTTGTCGGGCTTCCGGTTGGATTTCCTGGTGTTACAGAGGGTCGTTGCGACGGAGAAGAAGATGGGAAACTAGAAGGACTTGTGGAGGGTGTAAATGATGGATTCTGGGATGGAATACCTGAAGGTACACTGATGGAGCGGTGGTGGGTGTCCCCGTTGTTGGGGATCCATTCCCGGGACTTGCAGTAGTGGGAGCCAGTGAGGGACTTCCAGGAGTAACAGTGGGTGTGCCTGTTGTGGGACTCTCGGTGGTAGGATCCAATGAGGGACTCCCAGGAGTGACAGTAGGACTGACTGTTGTGGGGGCAGCGGTGGGAGTCACAGTTGTGGGGCTGACACTGGAGAACCAGGGTGACTGTGGGAAGAGATGTGGTGGGGGTTGTGGAGGGATTTATCGTGGTGGGAGCCAATGAGGACTTCCAGGAGTAACGGTGGGTGTTCTGTTGTGGGACTCTCGGTGGTAGGAGCCAATGAGGGACTCCCAGGAGTGACAGTAGGACTGACTGATGTGGGGGCAGCGGTAGGAGTCGAAGTTGTGGGGCTGACACTGGGAGAACCAGGGGTGACAGTGGGAAGAGAAGTAGTGGGGTTGTGGAGGGACTTGCAGTGGTGGGAGCCAATGAGGGACTTCCAGGAGTAACCGTGGTGTTCCGTTGTGGGACTCTCGGTGGTAGGAGCAATGAGGGACTCCCAGGAGTGACAGTAGGACTGACTGATGTGGGGGCAGCGGTAGGAGTCGAAGTTGTGGGGCTGACACTGGGAGAACCAGGGTACAGTGGGAAGAGAAGTAGTGGGGGTTGTGGAGGGACTTGCAGTGGTGGGAGCCAATGAGGGACTTCCAGGAGTAACCGTGGGTGTTCCCGTTGTGGGACTCTCGGTGGTAGGAGCCAATGAGGGACTCCCAGGAGTAACTGTAGGGCTTCCAGTGTGGGGGCATCAGTAGGAGTCGAAGTTGTGGGACTGACACTGGGAGAACCTGGGGTGACAGTGGGAAGAGAAGTGGTGGGGGTTGTGGAGGGACTTGCAGTGGTGGGAGCCAATGAGGGACTTCCAGGAGTAACCGTGGTGTTCCCGTTGTGGGACTCTCGGTAGTAGGAGCCAATGAGGGACTCCCAGGAGTGACAGTAGGACTGACTGATGTGGGGGCAGCGGTAGGAGTCGAAGTTGTGGGGCTGACACTGGGAGAACCAGGGGTGACAGTGGGGAGAGATGTGGTGGGGTTGTGGAGGGATTTGTCGTGGTGGGAGCCAATGAGGGACTTCCAGGAGTAACCGTGGGTGTGGCCGTTGTGGGACTCTCGGTAGTAGGAGCCAATGAGGGACTCCCAGGAGTAACTGTAGGGCTTCGAGTAGTGGGGGCATCAGTAGGAGTCGAAGTTGTGGGACTGACACTGGGAGAACCTGGGGTGACGTGGGAAGAGAAGTAGTGGGGGTTGTGGAGGGACTTGCAGTGGTGGGAGCCAATGAGGGACTTCCAGGAGTAACCGTGGGCGTTCCCGTTGTGGGACTCTCGGTGGTAGGAGCCAATGAGGGACTCCCAGGAGTAACTGTAGGGCTTCCAGTAGTGGGGGCAGCAGTGGGAGTCGAAGTTGTGGGACTGACACTGGGAGAACCTGGGGTGACAGTGGGAAGAGAAGTAGTGGGGGTTGTGGAGGGACTTGCAGTGGTGGGAGCCAATGAGGGACTTCCAGGAGTAACTGTTGGCGTTCCTGTTGTGGGACTGGTAGAGGGACTGGTAGAGGGGTTGGAACTTGGGCCTGTTGATAAACTGGGACTTGTGGAAGGTTGTGCACTAGGACTGGTACTGGGGCTTTTTGATGTGCTTGGAGCTGCAGAAGGCACTATGGAGGGCATACCACTGGGTAGAGACGATTCACTGGGAACTGTGGAAGGGCTTGCAGTTGGGATGACACTTGGGCTTTTTGATGTACTGGGTGCTGCAGAAGGCGATGTTGTGGGGTTGGCGCTTGGGCTTGTTGATGTACTAGGAGATGTGGAAGGTGTTGAGGTTGGGCTGGAACTTGGCACTCCTGATGTACTCGGAGCTGTAGAAGGAATTGCAGTTGGGCTAATGCTTGGTCTTGATGATGCACTGGGACCTGCACTAGGATTAATACTGGGAATAATTGATGGGGCCACACTGGCAGTGGGTGCCCCAGTAGTGGGGCTGATGCTTGGAGAAAATGACTCACTTGGACTCATGCTGGGGCTTCCTGACGGAGATGACGTGGCAGTGTCTATTCCAGAAGCAGTTGCTCCACTGAAGGCAGCATTGAAGCCTTGAAGGAATGCTGTGGCATCTATTGTGACATCCAGAAAGATCCTGCCAAAAGGCTGCGTGCTGTTGATACCGAATAGAACTGTTTGGGATGCCTGTAACCTTCTTCGCTGAGATCTACTTTCAACTGTGATGCTGTTGAGAATTACTGAACATGGGTGTGGTATATTGGCATAGCCATTCACAAATGCAGAAATGAGGGTGTCATTGGTAAGTGCAGAGATGTCACTGTCAAAGAAAACATAGTATGTGGATCTTGTATCAACAAGTACCCCTGAACATGAAGTGGGGGCGCTTGACGGGGAATCTGAAGAATCCAGGGACGGTAGCCACGATGGTGAGAGTGAGGGAGACATAGACGGGAGTTGATTGGGGTTGGCTGTCGGCACGTCAGTCAGACTTGATGGATTGTTGGGGGTGGTGGGGAATGTTGTTGCTGTTGTTGGATTGTCCGTTGGTGCGAATGTGGGTTCTGGAGTACTGTTGATTGGTGCAAATGTTGGTGCAGGTGTGGGATCAAACGTTGGTGCAGGGGTGGGATCAAATGTGGGGCTGCCTGTAAGGGCAAAAGTTGGTGCTGGAGTTGGGTTGTCTGTTGGTTGATCAGTTGGTGCAAATGTTGGCGCCGGGGTGGGATTTTCTGTGGGCTCAAATGTAGGGTCGTCTGTTGCAAATGTTGGTGCCGGAGTAGGGTTGTCTGTTGGTTGATCCGTTGGGTTTGTTGTTGGTGTGAATGTAAGAGAAGGGGATGGCCCTTGATTTGCCTCGTCGCTTGGGGCTGGAGTGGCAGAAGGCGCCAAAGGAGCTGGGTTGGCTGCAGGAGCTAAGTCGCCCTCTTGTGATACTGGTGCCGGATTTGTTGGAGTAGTTGGTGTCCCCATGACTGGACTGGAATTTGAGGGTGCATTCATGGTATCCACAACAACTGTAGGGCTTAGCATTGAAGGCATCTGTGCTGGTGAACTTGCGCTTGCAGGACTTGTTAAAGATGAGGTAGGTTGACCGACAGTAACCGGGGCGCCTCCCACTGGAGTCGAAATTGGTGATGAGGCAGCCGGTGGGCTTGGACTGCCATTGGCTTCAGCGGATCCAGTTGGTGTCCCTAACCCTGTGGGGTTTGGTTCCAGGGGGCTTGCCACAGTTGGAACGTTTGCTGGAGCTACAGTTGGAACATTTGCTGGAGCTACAGTTGGCACATTGGCAACGGGACTTGCTGGTGATCTCGTCGGAATGCTGGCAGAAGCTGACCCAAAGGCAGCAGTGTTGTATGGAGCCACTCCTGCCTGTGGACCAGCAGGAGTCATAGTGGGAATCGTGGCGGAAGCTGACCCAAAGGATGCTGTGATGGAAGGAGCCATCGCAGGACCTGCCATATGAGGACTAGCAGGAGCAAGGAACTGGTTTGCGACAGAGGGTGATCCTGGCTGACCGGCAGCAGAGCCAGGTGGGCCCAAAGCAGAAGGTCCCATCAGATTAGCCGCAGACGGAGCACCAGCCTGAGAAGCAGCAGCAGGTGACAAAGGAGGAAAAGGACCAGAAGGTGACCCTTGTTGCACAGCCAAGCCAGAAGGCCCCAAAGCAGCAGCTCCTGGCTGAGCATTTGCAGCAAAAGTGGGTGATCCAAAACCTGCGGATGATGGGGCCAAAGCCACACCAGGAGCCAGGGGATCTGCATTGGTTCCCAGAGTCCCGGATGGTCCCAGTACACCAGAAGGTGCACTCAAAGAAGAGGATGGGTCCATCAAGGTGGGACTGGTAATGCCCTGAGCAGAAGGATTGAAAGGTCCTGTACCTGCGGTTGATGATGATGGGCTCTGTGCCAGTGAGCTAAGGGAAGGACTTGCAGCAGGGACATCGATACCGGGACTCCCTGCTGTTGAGTCAAGGTTGGAAGAGGAACCACCACTAAAATCCCCAGAGTCTTCAAATGGTGAACCAGAGCCTTGTTGATTTTGAGCAGCAGAGGTTCCCAATACAACAGGCAGGATTTGTTGGCACTCCAAAGAAGATGTGGGGTTGGCCACACAATCCAAAATGGTTTGTGGGTCTGTTCCTGCAGTGACCTGTAGTACTTGCTGACAGAATCCAGACTGGGCCACTGCCTCATCCCCATTAATGCTGGCATCCATGCATTCCTCAATATCCGACAGATCATTACTGACAAACGGCACTGTAAAAATTCCACCATTCTGTTGCACAGCCTGCATGGCATTCTCAATTTCGGGCGGCCCAATCTGTAGCACAATGGAATTAGTCTCATCCAAGGTCCCATTAGGAAAGACAGCTCTTGTAGCTCCTGCTACAACCCTAACATCGGTGTCATAAGAGTTGGTGACCGTAACATCAATGGGTGTGGAGCCGTCTCCTTGGAGGACTGGTTCCAGATTGTACCCCACGGAAGCGGCAAACAGGGGGAAGAATCGGGTAAGGTCAAATTCAAATTGTTGCAGCATTCTTTGCTTTGCATTTCTGTTGACGGCTGCTGCGTCAGTATCTTGTTGTTGCCCTTGGTTGTTACTGCTGCCCTCTGGTACATCAAAGAGTGGCTCGTGGTCAGGACACCCCACGCAGTCCAGTCTTGCCTCCCAGAAGGTTGTTGTGATACTCTGTGCCACAGCGGCGTCATACTCTTCCTGTGTCAAGTTTTGAGTGGTTGGGTCCAGTAGTAGAGATGCGGTCATGTCGTTCAAGACTGTGTTGTTGGATTGGTTGCTGTAGCCGGTTCCATTACCGACGGGAAACGTTTCATTCAGTACGACTCCCCACTGCGTATCCCAGCTGACGAGTGTTGCTTGAAGCATGACCCTGGCCATGGGATCTAGGCACATGCCCGTGATTTCATTGTAGATGTCTCTGAACATTTCTTCCATGACCCACTTCCTTGTTCCAATGGCATCGGGTGGTATGGCTCTAATATCGAGTTCCACATACCCAATCTTCTCTTCGGAAGCTGCCGAGCATTCTGGGGGTGTAAAGTTGGAGATGGGTACAATTTCTGCTGCTGAGGTTGTGACAGTCACTGCCACTCCCGCCGACACGGCCACGGTCGTTGCCACAGCCGCCACCCCAACGGCCACCCCGACTTGTGCTGCGGCTCCGGCCCCCGCGACAGCTCCGGCCAATCCCGCCATCCCCAAGCTTCCCGCAGCGGCTGCTCCAGCTGCCCCCGCTGCAGCCCCACTGGCGGCTCCAGAAGCAGCACTATTAGCGGCAGCGGTTGCCATTTCTGCCACTCCCGGAGGAGGTCCCGAAGCCACTCCTCCTCCTCCACTGCCACCACCGCCCACTCCTTCTCCCCCGGTGGGTCCACTAGGTCCCACAGAATAGGTGGACTGTCCAACCTGATTCAATGCTTCGGCATTTGGATTGGCGACATCGAGTGCTTCTTGTGCCACGTCTTCGGCTCCGGCATTTTCCTCATCGTCGTTGTCACCCTTGAATTTCTGACAGAGCCATGCAGTCCATTTGATGAGTCTGGGTAGAAGGATGGTGGAACAAAGTACCGCGAGACATGCCATGAGGATACTCCTTCGAACCTGTTGTTCGCGTTGTTCGGCAATATCAACGGGATCGTCTTCGCAGACGCTGGTTTCGTCCACATAGTCTTGTAGATTGGTGTAGAGCAGGTCCTCGCTTTGTAGACTACCCAAGGATCCATTGTCTTCTTCTTCTTCTTTATCATTATCTTCTTTATCTGCATCCATTGGGGTATCTGGGTCTATGCTAGTGTCCCCAGCTTCCAAGTCCGTTGTGATCAGGTCTTCTTCCTCATCATCTTCTTCGTTTTCTTCTGGTCCTAGGAGACTGGTAGTACTGGCAGTAACTGTACTAGTTGTGGTAGCATGTAGGGCGTGGGTGATTTCGCTGTCTTTTTCGAGACGTCTGGTAGTACTAGTACAGGTTTCTGTGTCATCGTGACCGGAATGATCATTGACGTCCACAGCGATACTGCGTAACGTACTACTACTACTACTGTTGCCATTAGTACCGGTAGTATCAATCTCTCGAATGCTACCCCACACAACTGACCGTTGTTTCTTGTTGTCTTTTTTCTTACTGTTCTTGTTCTTGTTGTTGTTGTTACTAGTAGTGATAGTACTGGCGCTACCTTCTAATAGAAGGTTAAGGGAGGTACCACTGGCATGTCCACCAGCAGCAGTTGTTGGTGTCATGGGGTCCATAGTCTAGTTTAGTAAGTTAGTTAGCGCTCTATTAGATGGTTGGTAACAATGGATGTGGATAGCTAGCTAGCTTGGTGTTGTTAGCAGTGTTGTTAGCCTTGGCAATTGCATTGGTAAAGGCGAAGGATACCTGGTGGGAGCGGGAGGGGCGAGAAAAAGGAGGCCAATTTGGGGATGAAGAATTTGGCCATTGAGCCACTTGCCCATACTAGTACTCTACGGCCTCTAATGCTGAATCGTATAATTCCTTAAGACTCCTACCTGGTCCCAGCAGTCACCACTCTAGAACGAATCCTAAGCAACTACGCCTCCATGCGGTTTTCTAATGCATTTCCTTTGTCAACAGCCTTAATTGAACAGCTTGGAGACAAATGACTATTGCGAGAAATGACTGGCTGGTTTCGAATACATTAAATCCTCCTTCATACAATCGATGAACCAAATTGTCCAGTCTGGCATTTTGAGGCTATTCATCAGCAACAACTCCTTCTACGATCAAACAAGAATAGACCGGACTTATAAGTTTGCCGACAAGGCACATGCTGTGTTCCAACGTTGAAGTTACTTTAAGTCTGTACAATACTCAGTAAAGAGATGTTGCTGTAAATTTGTGACTCGTTTCCAAAAAGGTTCATCGTTTTACAATGGCTCTGTGCCCTTTTTCCAGCACTGTATCACCTCTATTTTCTCTTTTTGACCTTGCACAACAGCACAGCACAGCACAGCGACATAGAGCCATACCGGTAACAATCACATACGCTCTCTCCAAACGCAGAATTGAATTAATGAGTCGAGTCACATCCGGTACAGTACGTAAAGCGCTGGCTGGGTCAAGCATGTTCGCCCATCCTGCCCGAGCCAACAAGCTTCGTAGAATACAGTTGCAATCCATGATCCATTGAAATCAACTATCTAGCTAGTACATGACATTTGTAGCAAGCAAGCTGGCTAGAGGAGCTGGGCTTTTTAGGTGTGCTTCCAAGAGGATTGATTCACCTCCAAAACCGGAAGTTCAGAACGCAATGAAATAAGCCAAACCAATACCGCAGCTAGCTAGTTGTCCATCATCAGATAGGTACCCAGCGCGCTGAAACCGAAGCACGGCTCTGTAGCCTTCCTAGCTAGCTAGTAGCTACCGGTACTAGGCGAGCTAGTGAGCTAGCTAGCTAGTGATAGAGTGATAGACGACCCGCCCACCAACAAAGAAGCAAGTGGGGTTCACGGCAAGATAGATGATGCACAGCCGAAGCCAGCTTAGCTTCACGTTAGCTCTATGTTAGAGAAAAGCAGGTTCTACATGTACGACAACATTGAATTCTACTGCCCGCATCAGCTAGTAGAGCGTACTCGAGTGCCAACGGCCTCGCACGTACGTTACGTACGGTACGAAGAGAGGACAGGGCCTCCGAGTCCCAAAGACTCGACCGTGTTTTGGCTGGACTCTCACTGGACTCGACTAGACTACGAGACTCCGTACTCCGTAGTAGACAGCCACGTCGCTCCGAGTCAAGTGGAAGTGACAGTCACTTCCTCCGAAGGGTTTTACCCAACTGGCTGCCCTTTTGCTTGCGAAGTGCAGGGTGTCCATCGTCATGCCTTTCCCACCCAAGTCTTCTATAGTATACATGATACAGCCATGTACTTGGGTTTGCTGCTAGACTCAAAAGGAAAACGAACTCCAAACTGGTGGGCTGTGAGCGAAGGTACCAGCTAGCAAAAACGTTCAGCAGCAATCCTAAAAGATACCCATCCAGATTTTTAAACATAGCTAGTGCATTTGTTCACTGTGTCGACACGTCCATACCAGCTCCAGTTATCGATGATGTTACCTCCTCTTCAGCGGCTGCTCTTTTGAAGACGTGGAGAGCGTACGTTACGTTCGATAGACAGGTCGATCGACGTGGATGACAGCTTGCGCTGAACAACAAACGGTGACGCCTGAACACGCCATTGTTGATTGTTGAGAGCCAATCTGACAGAAGGGACATCCCATTCTGTGTAAAACTTGAGCTGCCTAGTAGCTTGCTAGAGTAACGTGAGTGCAGCCTGCAAAGTTGATCACATGTACCTGCTTCCAAGTTTCAACGTTTGCACAGGGTATGGTAAATGAGAGTTAATTATTAACATGAGGTAAGAATTAGTTCCCACGAATTAAGTGTTCCCACGTCCGCGCCAGCATTGTCAGAAACCTTCAGTGTCCAGGTGCCTGCAGACGATTCCCCATCAAATGCAGTTAGAGCATTTTGCGGCTGAACATGTGTGCCAGCCGGGCTGGTGCACGAATCTGCTACCGCAATGCTACTGGAATCATCAAAAACAACATTAATGTCATCTTGGCCGCTGCACTGCCTTGGTCTGAGCACTAAGGAAGTGGACTCAAACTCAATAGAAACAATCAAATCACCACCGTAAGTGTGTGTGATGTCGACCCCCACCTGAACACCACAGATTAGGAAGCTATCAGAAACAACAATGCTGTCTGAACTCTCTGCATTGTCTGTGATTGCTACGTTGACATTTCCAGAGGGGTAGGGAAAGACAGTGCCCGGGGCAACAACTGGAGGAGGAGATGGTTGGTTGGATGGGGATTCTGAGGGGCTGACACTCGGTATATTGGAAGGCGCCATTGAAGGAGAAGATGATGGAGTCATGGAAGGACTGATGCTGGGAGTTCTTGAAGGGAAGTCTGAGGGACTGACACTGGGAATATTGGATGGAGCCGTCGAAGGAGAAGACGATGGGAAATCCGAAGGACTGATACTAGGAGTTCTTGAAGGGAAGTCTGAGGGACTGACACTGGGAATATTGGATGGAGCCATCGAAGGAGAAGACGATGGGAAATCCGAAGGACTGATACTAGGAGTTCTTGAAGGGAAGTCCGAGGGACTGACACTGGGAATATTGGATGGAGCCATTGAAGGAGAAGACGATGGAACCATGGAAGGACTGATACTCGGAGTGCTTGAAGGGAAGTCCGAGGGACTAACACTGGGCATATTGGATGGCGCCATTGAAGGAGAAAATGATGGAGTCATGGAAGGACTGATACTGGGAGGTCTTGAAGGGTGGTCCGAGGGACTGATGCTGGGCAGCATGGAAGGCGCCATTGAAGGAGAAGACGATGGAACCATCGAAGGGGAGATTGAAGGAGAAGCCGATGGAACCAGGGAAGGCGCCATTGAAGGAGAAGACGATGGAACCATGGAAGGACTGCCACTGGGAGTCCTTGAAGGGCCGCCGGAGGGACTGGTGCTGGGACTATTGGATGGCAAGGATGAGGGACGCATGCTGGGAAGCATGGATGGACTGATACTGGGAGTCATAGATGGAGATTCAGATGGATTGAAGCTTGGCAAATTGGAGGGAGAAGCTGATACAGTAGGGGATTCCGATGGCATTGCGGACGGGCTTTTGGTAGGTGTCCCTGGTGTAACCGATGGACGCACTGAAGGGGCGGAGGATGGCTGCTTGGAAGGAAGCGAAGACGGGGACATAGAAGGAACAGTGGATGGAGACCTGGAGGGAGTCATCGAAGGAGCGACAGAAGGAAGAGTGGATGGGGAGGAGGAAGGGCTGTCTGATGGTGTCTTGGAGGGGGATTTTGATGGCGATGAGGATGGAGAGTTGGAGGGGGATTTGGATGGTTCACGAGATGGTTCAAGAGATGGTGTGGCTGATGGTTGTGTACTTGGTACACTTGAGGGCGATCCAGAAGAAGGTTGACTGCTGGGTACTGTGGATGGAGATTGTGATGTGCTGGGTGATGCGGATGGTTGGATTGTCGGGCTGCCTGTTGGGTTTCCTGGCGTTACAGAGGGACTGCCAGAGGGTGATGAAGACGGGAGACTAGACGGGAGACTAGAGGGGATAAAAGACGGATTCTCGGATGGTATACCTGAAGGTACAACTGATGGAGAGGTGGATGGTTGCTTGATTGGTGCTGATGAGGGTGAAGATGAGGTGCTAGGTGCGGAAGAGGGAATTCTTGTAGGCCCTCCTGTTGGCGCTCCTGGTGTTACAGAGGGACTGTGAGAGGGAACCCGAAGATAGGGTGACTAGAAGAACTTGTAGAGGGTTCAATGATGGATTCTGGGATGGAATTCAAGAAGGTACAACTGATGGAGAGGTGGATGGTTGATTGATTGGTGCTGATGAAGGAGAAGATGAGGTGCTAGGTGGGGCAGAGGGATAGCTGTAGGGCTTTGTTGGATTTCCTTGTGTTACGGAGGGACTGTGAGAGGGAGATGAAGAGGGAGACTAGAAGGTCTGTAGAGGGTGTAATGATGGATTCTGGGATGGAACATGTGAAGGTACAACTGATGGAAGAGGTGGATGGTTGCTTGCTTGGTGCTGATGAGGGAGAAGATGAGATGCTAGGAAGGACCGAGGGCATCGTTGTTGGCCTTCCTGTTGGATTTCCTGGTGTTACAGAGGGTCGTTGAGATGGAGATGAGGTTGGGAGACTGGAAGGTCTCGTAGACGTAGAGGGTGTATATGATGGATTCTGTGATGGACTGCCTGAAGGTACAACTGATGGAAAGGTGGATGGTAGTATGCTTGGTGCCGTCGAGGGAGACGATGAGGTGCTTGGGGGGGAAGATAGAAGAGTTGTAGGGCTTCCTGTTGAGGGGCCATCAGTGGTGGGTGCCATTGATGGACTTCCAGAGGGCTGTGCACTGGGACTTTTTGATGTGCTTGGACTGATGCTGGGGCTTCCTGACGGAGATGACGTGGCAGTGTCTATTCTGAAAGCAGTTGCTCCACTGTAGGCAGCATTGAAGCCTTGAAGGAATGCTGCAGCATCTGTAGTGACATCCAGAAAGGTCCTGCCAGAAGGCTGGGTGCTGCTGATATCAAATAGAACTGTTTGGGATGCTTGTAGCCTTCTTCGCTGAGATCTGCCTTCAACTGTGATGCTGTTGATAATCACTGAACATGGGTGTGGTATATTGGCATAGCCATTCACAAAAGCAGAAATGAGGGTGTCATTGGTAAGTGCAGAGATGTCACTGTCAAAGAAAACATAGTATGTGGATCTTGTATCAACAAGTACCCCTGAACATGAAGTGGGGGCACTTGATGGGGACTCTGAAGGCTCCAAGGAAGGCTCTACAGATGGTAGCCACGACGGCGAGAGTGAGGGAGACACAGAAGGTAGTAGACTGGGGTTGGCTGTCGGCAAATCAGTGGCACTTGTTGGATTGTCAGAAGTGGATACTGGTGATGGAGTTGGATTGGCAGTTAGCTCTAGGGTTTCACTGACTGTAGGCGCAACTGTGGGTTCTGGTGTTGGGTCATTTGTTGGAGAAACGGTTGGTGCTGTTGTTGGTGCTGTTGTTGGACTGCTGGTAGGGTCATCTGTTGGATCAGCTGTAGGTTCTGGAGTGGGACTATTGGTAGGGTCATCAGTTGGACTCACAGTTGGACTCACGGTGGGCTGCGATGTAGGCTGTGATGTAGGCTGTGATGTTGGGCTTTCAGTTGGTGCTTTGCTTGGCGATGGCGATGGCCGGATGGTGGGAGCGAGAGTTGGCTGAGAAGTTTGTTGGTTCACCGATTGTACAGCTGTCTGGATGGTTGGTTCTTCTGAAGCATTGGAAGGGCCTGGAGTCATTGCAAGTTTTGTTGGCTGGGTAGTTGGTGCTATGGTGGAGACAACAGTAGGAGGGGCAGTTGGAAATCCAGTAGGCATTTTGGTGGGAGCTTTGGAAGGAGCCACTGTAGAAGGAGCCACTTGTGGACCAGCAGGAGTCATAGTTGGAACGTAGGCAGATGCTGCCCCAAACGATTCAGTGATGGAAGGAGCCACTGGAGAAGCAACAGGAGTCCTAGCTGGAAGGGAGGCGGATGCAGCCCCAAAGGATTCGCTGTTGGAAGGAGCCACTGGAGAAGCAACAGGAGTCCTAGTTGGAAGGGAGGCGGATGCAGCCCCAAAGGATTCGCTGTTGGAAGGAGGTGCTAAAGGAGGAAGTGATGGGGCCACAGTAGGAGCATTTGTTGTAGGAGGAGAGAAGTCTTCCAATGATAAATCAGCGCCTCGTTGGTTTTGAGCCGAGGCTTCCAATGCCACAGGAAGTAATTGCTGGCACTCCAAAGAAGCTGTTGGGTTTGCCAGGCAATCAAAAATGACTTGTGGGTCTATTCCTGCAGTGAGCTCTAGCACATCCTCACAGAATTCAGACTGGGGTGCTGTCTCTTCCCCACCAAGGATGCTGTTGTCCAAGCATTCCTCAATATCGGAGAGATCATTGCTGACAAACGGCACTGTAAAAACTCCACCGTTTTCTTGCACAGCTTGCATGGCATCTTCGATTTCCGCCGGCCCAATCTGCAACACGACTGAATTCTCATCCACGGTACCATTGGGAAAGACTGCCCTTGTGGCCCCTGCTACAATCCTAACATTGCTTGCATAAGAGTTGGTGAGAGTAATGTCAATGGGCGTTGTTCCATCTCCTTTTAGGACAGGTTCCAGATTGTATCCCACAGAAGCGGCAAAGAGAGGAAAGAACTGGCTCAAATCAAACAACCTTAGCTGCTCTTGCAGTCTCCGTTGTCTGCTGTTTCTGTTTGCCACAGCAACCGCACTAGTATCTTGATCCTCTGGCACATCAAAGAGGGGTTCATGGTCAGGACATCCCAAGCAATCGACCGTTGCTTCCCAGTAGGTTGTGGTGACACTCTGCGCCACAGCTAGGTCATACTCTTCCTCTGTCAAGTTTTGTTTGGTTGGATCCAGAATGGTGTAGTTGGTCAAGTTGGATGATGGCAGCAGGCCAGTGCTGCTGGTATTGCCAAAAGTGGATGTCCCATTTGCCGCAACACCCCACTCTGTTTCCCATCTGACTAGAGTTACCGATAGCATGACTCTTGCCATTGGATCCAGACACATGCCGGTGATTTCATTGTAGATGTCTCTAAACATTTCTTCCATGACCCATTTCCTGGGTCCAATTTCCTTGGGTGGTATGGATTGGATACTGAGTTCTACATAACCCACTTTCTCTTCGGAGGCTGCTGAGCAATCGGGAGGCGTAAAGTTGGAGATTGGTACTGGTAGGAATGGTAGTTCTGTAGTCGTCGTTGCGTTTGTGTTGGCTCCAGTGACGGCAACTCCACTGGTAACTGCGACGGCTGCTACAGTGGCGACGCCAACGGCCACACCGGCTTGTGTAGCCACACTCGCCCCGGCCACAGCTCCGGCCATGGCTGCCATTCCAAACGTTCCAGCAGCGGCAGCCCCGGCGGCTGCTCCACTGGCAGCTCCCGAAGCGGCACTATTGGCGGCGGCGGTTGCCATTTCTGCTACTCCGGGAGGAGGTCCTGGAGCGACTCCTCCTCCACCTCCGCCTCCACCACCACCACCACTACTGGGAGTGACTGTTAGATTCATGGAAGATGACGCTTGATGGTGTGACGTGGAGACATCCATGGCATTTTGTGTGAGGTCCATCATGACATCTTCCTGGCCCACAGCATCTAGATCTTCTCCATTGTCGAATATCTTGCGACACTTTCCGAATAAAAATGGAAGAGCGTAGAGACATTTCTGCAACAGCGCCACTTGAAGGAGTGCCAGACAACACGTCCATCTTAGTTTTCGTTCTCGTTCCGCCGCCATGTCGATTGTGGAAACGGAATCTTGGCAAATGCTGTCTTGCTCTCCTTCCTTTTCATTTTCATTTTCATTTTCATTTTCATGTTCTACTAGTTGAATGGACTCTTCTTCCTCCTCCTCTTCTTCTAGTAGTTGAATAGAGTCCGAGTCTTCGTCGTCGTAGTGTGGACGTCTACAGTGGTCCTTCTCCATGGCCGTTGGCTCTTGACTCTCAATATCTACAACGTCCATGTTCATCTCCAAGTCCAGATCTGCCATGGACATACTCATAGACATAGACATACTCATGGACAAAGAGTCATCGTTGCTCGTCTGATCGTTCCATCGAACGCTTGGACTTCTTGGACTGTATTTGCTCTTCCTCTTGATATTGCTATTGGTGGTAATGGCAGTAATGGTGGGGGTAGCAGCAGGGGTAGCATCATTAGCAGCAGGGGTAGCAACACTATTATCTGGCATTGGCTGCAGAGGCGGTAAAGCTGAAAAGGAGTCCATGGTGCCGTAAGGTAGCTATTAGCTATTAATTAAAATGTATAGCTAGTGTAGTTAGCTATTAGTTAGTGTTGACTTGGTTCTGTTTTGCTTTGCTTGCTGCGGCTGTGCTCGATCTGCTGTTTGCTGTTGCTTCGAGCTACCATGGAGGATGGCAGTAGTACCTAGTGCGTGGTGCGTGGGAGTTGGAATTGGAAATGGAATGCAGAGGAACAGTAAAACGTGAAGTGATGTTCCGGCAATTGACTTGTGACCTCCTTGTATGTACCAGCAAGCGGAAGTTTCGCTGGTTTCTTAGTAGCAGTAAATCTATTAAGAGTCCTCAAGAGATTTAAAAGACAAGTCAAGTAGTCTTGGTGGACCTATTTAACAATAACTCGTTACAATGCCAAGCCACGTGGTCTTCAAACTAGCACGACCGAGAGTACTACTAGTACCATGCAGGCGTGTGACCCTCATTAATTCCGGCAATCATCACCACATCACCACCTCTCCTTCTTATGCATCCAAACTACGAGTACTGATAATACCGCACTTCACTTCTGTCTCGTTCATTACAATTTTTCGTGACCAGAATTATTTTTATAACATACTTGGCCTCTCTGTTCTCGCATTAGATCTCTACATGTATGGTACCCGGTAGCTGGTCTGCATGTAATTCGATGCTGGTTATTTTTATTAGCCTGCTTCTGAGAAGAGTTTCATCAACCTTCGCGCCTCACGCCAATAATGACTGACTGAAAAACAACGGCTGTACAATGCGTCAATGCGTCAATGCGTCCAAGTAGAGATGAATCGAATCCGCAGAATGGCATCGAAGCATGCTTTTTGAAACAAGGATTTGCTCCTACTGCGCCCCAACAAAGACTGGCTAGATCTAGATCTATCTGTCAATGTCTTGGCCTCTTGGCCTTCTTGGATACATGTGCATGTACCGGTATGTACCTCGGCTACTAGTACTCGTATTTCGAGAGGGTTCAAGTGTTCAAGTACAGTACTGGCTTTGCGTCGTATGAACACCAAGTCTTGTGGCTGGCACATCGGCTTTCTTTGTCTCGAGCGACCTCCTACTACCTACTACAACGTGGCTAGAGCTAGCAACAAGCAACTCTGCGATTTGCGATTTCCCTTGTCAACACGTGAACATGTATGTTCAGGCTTCGAGTACTAGTAGGCCGGTACCAGGTACTAGCTAGTACGGGATGCCCGTCCCGACCAGAACGAGCAAGGCACAGGCCAGGCAGCAATTGATGCCTACTACCTACTAGCTAGTCTCTGGCTAGAGCAGATTCGATTCTGCAGCACCATAGACCGCGCTTCGTGTGGCAGCTTGCTTTAACCGTAGTACGGCTATTCACGCACACTGGCTGCTATTGAGGAGGTGCATCCCAGCCAGAGCGAGAGCAGCAGGGACCACGAACCATTGGACACGAGCGAGCGATCAAACAGAGGTTTTGTTTGCTAGCGTATTGTACCGTACCGGTAGCTACGATACTAGTGTGCTGCAAAGATCGCTCCTTACTTCACTTGAGCTGCAGCCACCTTGCTATCTGTTCAATTACCCTGCCTCCGTCCTGGATCCAACTCCTGTTTTGCTTGCAGCTGTTGGCTTCTTCGAGCGAGCCACTGACTCCACTAGACTGGCATGGCTCCGGACGTCGATCGTTCATGCTCGTACTATCCGTCCATGCTCGTGTCTCGTTCCGTTCCTCGAACTTCTTGCTTCTCGTGCCAATGTGCATGGATCCCTCGTACAGTAGGGTTCTACTATTTGACGTTCGACGTATCTTTCGATGAGGCTTTCTTGGTACATTGCACAGCACGTGGTGCTATTGCTTCTTTCGAACGCTTCCAGCGCCTCCAAGCACTCTCGGCGGTTGTTACAGTACCCACGATTCATGCATGGTTGACTTCTCTAGAGATCGTCCGTACATGAATCTTTGTCATTTCTTGACCCAATTCACTACCTGTTGTTTCATGAAGCCACCATGACACTTCCTCTTTCGCCGAGCCACAAAAACGCCTCTACAGGCCAGTGGCTATCGGTACTACGCTCACTATATGGAAATTGCGACTGGCACACCTACCGTACCGGTACTACGTTGGATACAGAGCGAGCAATCTGAACCCATGGACGGCCCATTTCGGTCCACAGACTCGACTCTTCCTTTTGGTGGGTGCAACTGTCACAAACCACCTACCCGTACAAGTGCTACTACTATTGAAACAAGCAGCTGCTTCTTTACTGAAGTTCTGAGTGGTCCATGTAACCAGATCGCACTAAACATTGTCTAGTTTTGATTCAATTTCTAACTCTTCTACCATAAATGACGTCAGTGTCCTCCAGAATGAGACCCAGGGCAGCCGTTGTCACATAGCCACTCAATCATTTCGCTGTTGTCACACATGTAGGCTTCTCGATATGTATCTTCATCCCATGGACAACCATTTTCACGAGCCCACTTTAGAATTTCCAAATGCCCATATGCAGCAGCATGGGTACATGTCCCTGCATCCCAGGGACAACCATTCTCTCGTAACCACTTCAAAACCTCCAAGTGTCCACCTTCAGCAGCTTGAGCACATGTTCGTTCATTCCATGGACACTCATTTTCACGAGCCCACTTTAGTGTTTCCAAATGGCCATTTTGTGCAGCATAATGACATGTATCTTCATCCCATGGACAACCATTTTCATGAGCCCACTTTAGAATTTCCAAATTCCCATTTCCAGCAGCAACGGCACATGTGTGATAATTCCATGGACAACCATTTTCACGGGCCCACTTCAAAACCTCCAAATGTCCATATCGAGCAGCACGTGTACATGTATACTCATCCCATGGACAGCCATTTTCACGAGCCCACTTCAAAACTTCCAAATTTCCATATTGAGCAGCCGCCTCACATGTATACTCATCCCATGGACAACCATTTGCACGAGCCCACTTCAGAATTTCCAAGTGGCCACCTTCAGCAGCACGAGCACATGTCCACTCATCCCATGGGCACCCATTTGCATGCAGCCATTGGAGCATTTCCAAATGTCCATGTTGAGCAGCTTTAGCACATGTAAATGAACAATATAGGAATCCTTGTTGGCGCGCCCACTGCATGACAGCGGGATTGCCAACTGTGGCAATTGCATTGCAAACTTGAAAATGACGACCAGGTGTCCTGTTGGTGGAATTGTCCTTGAGCCAGTATTCTGCACGTGGCTGGTTACAGAATGTTTCGCTATGAACCGTGTCTGTGATTTCTGCAGAGCGCCTGACAGAATAATCTTCAGGGTTAGACTTAACCTTTCTTGGATTATTCTTGAGTTCAATTTTGCAGTACTCTTTGTATAGTCGATTCATCTTCTTGTTGACAGCTCCTAGAAAAGCATACTGTCCAACGCCAACAAACGATAGAATCTGGCCACTCCAAACTAAATCATCCGCAAACAGAAGAGGTGACTCGGTACTACTAGTAGTAGTACCTTTATCGTTAGTCTTAGTATTAGTATTAGTCTTAGTCTTAGTATTCATAGTGCAGTTGTGGCAACGTTTGATCTAGGTATCAAACTCAGACAATGATTAGCTTGCTATTGTGGCTACTAGCTAGTAGATAGAAAGCGAGATTTGTGCTGTTGGTTGCTTGGTTGGTTGCTTGGTTGCTGCTGTTGTCGATCGAGATCCTGGCTGGATCCGCTCTCCGGAACCCTTTTGCAAATCTCTATCCCTAATAAGATAGTGTTTCGTGAATGGACCAAACGATGACGTTTTGATAAATCTCTGGTTCCCAAAAAGACGAGACAGGGATGCACTCACTCGGAACACACATACAAGCTCCGTGTCCGCTGTTGGCCTAAATAAGGTTGAAATTTGGGCCTGGAAGGATTGTGACTGTAGCAGTAACAGTAGTGAACTCGCAAGAGGACAAACCTGGGAATGAAAAAATGAGCGACCTGACCGACCGCTCTAATGGCACGACCTCTTCTACAGTACTACTAATAGCGGTGGTAGCACGCGGCTTTGATCCTTGCTTGTCACTTCTTTCGTCCCATCGCTGTCTACTGCACGACCACTCGGAACTGAATGAGTTGATCTGCAGATGACCAACCCACAAATCCTCACTTCAATACTAATCAGATAGCTATCTATCCATCTACTAGTAGCTAGCTATGAGATCAATGACAAGAAGAAGGAGACCTGCAATGAGCCCCTTGTGTTGGCTGAGCTTACTACTAGTAGCAGTATTGATAGAAAGCTGTCATTCTTATGAGCTTCGTTCCTTGCAGTCGTCAACCAATTGGAGCGGCTTCAACGCGTTGGTCTCCTCGGCTGTCATTCGGTTTCCAGATTCGGAACTGGAATCCGGAGGACTTACGTTGAAAGTGAGCGACTTGCAGTGTTCCAATGTGCGCGTCCAAGATATTCAGCTGACTAGCGATGCAGCTAGTACTACCAGTCAACAACTCCCCCTGGACTTTCTGGTATCTGGCCTGGACATGACGTGCACGGCGCGGTACGAGTTCTACGGACTCCTCATTGTCAATGGCAGTGGTGATCTCTACGTGGAGTCCTACGGCAATGCAGCTCTCCTTCGCACTGTTTTGGAATCCCTGGACTATTCCCGCTACCCTCCTCATGACTCGTACATTGCTTCTTGTCAACCCACCATTCAGATCCAAACACTCGACTTTTCCAACGGTGGCTTCTGGGGATGGACACTCGATACCTTGCAAGGAATGTTCAGAGGAAGGTTTGAAGATTTGGCGGAAACTAGACTTTGTCAGGAACTAGAAGACATGGCCAATCAAGATCTAGATCAAATCCTCAATGACGTACAAAACTACCTGGTTCAGTACAATCCGGATTCTGCCAATGCCCAACAACTCAATGATCCCTTGCATGCCGAGACACTCATGATGGCTTTCTACCCCCAGCTTATTAACACACAACAATCCAATCAACAACTCATCAATTGGCAACAGCCAGACTCTTATCCATTTGGATTCTGGATGGACACTGCTTGGCAAGATACAGTCCAACATCTCAACACTTATGATACTACACAAAACACAATCAATGCCAATCTACTCCTCAGACAACACATTCTCAATCCACAGGGAGTACTCGTTGTCAATGCTGATGGTACTGATGATACTACCGGTATTACTGAAAGCACAAGAATTCTATATGAGGGACAAGACAAGTGGATGAAAACACAAATCCTTCTAAATCAAGTCAGAATCAAGGGATTGGATACTCTCACGGCATTGGATCCACTTGTTACCATTGGGAAGTACACTCTACAAAGCAAACTATCCTGGCAATCACTGGCGCTTGAAATGGATCTAGAATTGTACATTCAACCATCCACACTCCCCGACAGTTACATTACGCAAGGAGCTACTCAAAATAATGGTGGCATTCGAGAACAAATCACCGTCCAACTGGCACTCTCCCAAGTCGATGCCGGAATTGGAATTTTATTGGCATTGGATCAAAATACACTCGAGGAACTCCAGCTCGGACATTTCCTACAAAAAGACAATATTCTACCCTGCTTTCTCACTTCCATTTTTCAAGTACAGGTATCCACACTCTCCGTACAAGCCATGGATTTAGAGCCCCCAGTTATTACCGCCACTTCTTCCTCACTCTCGCCAGGACTCTATCAAGTCCTTTCCAATGCCATGAATGCCGCCTTTTACATGTACGAATCCTCCCTCTTACGGTCCAGTCAGGCATTCTTTCAAACCGTCATTCGAGATGTCGTCAATCAGCAATTGGAAGCGCAAAAAGAGAGTCTCTCCCAGGGAGAAAAATGTACGCTCTGGGAATTGACACCGCCACTCGGGAATATCAATGTCCGACAATTATTGCTGGGACCGCCCACTGTCGATTTGGTGCCCACTTCGTCCGGTGGCACCGTGGGTAGATATGGCAATTTGTTTCACGAATTTGTCGTGCCCACTCTACAAAATGAAGTACTCACCGATGATAAACTCAATCAACGATTCGTACGACCCTACACACTCGATCAGTCGGGACGTGAAGGAATTCTCATGTCGTCCACCGACGCTCCCTTGCTCGATTTTGTACAAGAAGGAACGGGCAATCCATACCAGCTCCAACAAGAAGATTATTACAACAATATCAACAACAATGAGACGACGACGGCCACCACCACCAATTGGGTCACGCTACTGGGATGGGAACAGTTCCAGTTCCAAGCCAAAGATGCCATTCTCTACAATATCGATACCATCACGTCTCCCGTTGAACTGTTCGTACCACTCGATACACAACTACTGGGGAATACCATTCGAACGGGCGATGCAACTCCGGATCGACCACTCCAATTCACCATGCAACTCGTCGCACAAGCACTACCCTTTGGTCACTCTTCTTTGGAACAACAACAACCAGAAGAAATACACAATCATGTGGAACTTTCCATTACCATTCCCTCCTCCGTTTTCATATTCGAACTATTTGTCGCCATGAACGAAACGGCACTCCTCCACTTTCCACTCGAGAATTTGGAAAATGAATATTGTTGGTTGGCCGCCATGTCGTCGTCCTCCACCGAAACATCACCACTCAACTTGGAACGCGTCGTTACGGGGCTCGCATCCTCCTTCACGTTGGACGCCGCCTGTGTCTCGTGCTCCAGTCCGGGGGCAACGGCATTGCCACAAGTCTTGCAGGTACTACAAAATGCCGGATTGACAACGCGATTCCAACCCTACCTCGAAGACCTATTGGCCAATGTCGTACAGGGAGCCTTTACCAATATGAACTTTGATGCGTGGATTGCCGATGCTCATCGACTCTGTCCTCACGATGACCAATACGATCCGCTGGCCGTGCCGCAAGAAAATCTCTACGGACTAGCCAAGGCTTTTGCAACACCGCCGCGATGGTCCCGGCAATCGGTCGAAACCATGTCGACGTTTGGATTCCTGTCGCTCTACGCCAGTCTGTTTTTGTTGGCCAAAAACTACATTCTGCAGCCGCCGCCGCCCCTGGTACTGGAGGAGGAGCTTCCGGTGGTTTTGAATGCGGCTACGAATCAATCGTCCACCACCACGAGCAGTACTACTACTACTAGGTTGTTGGATTGGACCAATCTATCGGCAACGCTCGGGCCTTGGGCCGATTCCGTACTGGAGGAAGCGCGGGTGGCGCTGCAAGCGTCGGTCATGACTGACTTGTCCACGTACAATGCGACGCGACGACTCGAAGGGAACGAGACAAAGGAGGAGACGCCACAAGTGCTGCAAGCTGATTCTTTTATTCGCGATCATCTCCTTGACGAACAAGGACAACTGATCGTTGCGTTCGACGACATGCAGTTTGATCTGGCAGGAGTCGTCTTTTCTGTGTGGCAAACCCGGGTGCTGGGGATTGATTCCATTACGCATTTAGACCCATTCGTTGTGGTGGGGCCTCAAACGCTCCAAAACAGTCTGGAGTTGCAGCAGCTCAACGTCACCTTGGACCTGCTAGTGGACCTGGGATCTGGAGAAACGCACAACATGACAGTGTCCATTGATTTCCAAAACATCGTGGTGGAGTTCCCATTGTTGCTTGCCATGGACGTGGACAAACTCGGCCAAATCGAGCTGGGCAGCCTGCTCAAGATCAACCAAGTCCTTCCGTGTCTTCTGGAGGGAGCCCATGAGGTGTTCATTCCGCGCCTTAACGTGTCCATTGGGAACATGGGGAAACCCTCTATTGAAGGATTCTTGTCGCCAGATCTTCATGGCGTACTGGCTCTCATGAATCAAGTTTTGTACGATTCCTTTGGAGAAGAGTTGGCATTTGCTCTACCGGGCATCTTCGATAGCTCTATCAGGCATTCGTTCAACGTTTGGCTCCAACAGTATGTGTCACAAGTAGACCCAACCCTGTGCTCTGTTGAGGCAGGTGGCGACATTCTTGACTTTAGGGATTTGTTTCTCCCACCAACAGAGTCCAAAAGCTTGGGAGGTACTGGAAGGGAGCAGTATGGAGATATTTTCCAACTCTTGCACGGAGTGATGAAGCAAGAGCTCGAAACCAAAGACGGCGAACCGCCGTCAATCAACGACCACCTCTCGTCTTGGACAGCAGATCACTTTAACATGAGCGGAGCTGTGAATATCCCTGGCAACCTTTTGGACACGACGGCAAGCGTGAAGTTGGCGGGCTTGGATGCCGTGTTGGCTTTTCAACTTGGAGATATTGCGCTTGAAAACATTGACACGCTGGGGGCACCTCTGTCCCTTTTGGATCCTGTAAATGCTCACACGTTGAACAATACCATCTCATTGGGTGTTGGAACCGAGCCTCTTAAAGTGAAGGCTAGACTGATGCTCGCCATTTCTGACAACGGTAAGTTTCAGTGTACAATCGGAGTTGTCTCTCGTATTAAAGCTCGAGGAGTGCTGACATAGTTTCGCTTCCACGTTGTGCAAAAGAGGAGATGCAAGTTCGAAACGTCGTTGACGTCAGTGTGGATGTCTATGACGCAAACGCTCTTGCCACCATCCTGCTCAGGATTAGAGAAGACAGCTTTTTGAAGTTTCCTTTGAAGGATGTACCAAATGTCTTCTGCTGGCTTTCCACCATCCTTGCTGCAGACGGTGACATCCATGGGATATCGCTCTTGGATGAATCCTTGAGTCTGGGGGACATGGATCTGAATGTCTCGTGTGTTTCTTGCACGAGCCCCCAATTTGGTGATCTCGTGGCTGATCTCTATACCCCAGCCAGCGCCGATGAAGCAACCGAAACGGTCTACCAGACCTTGAGTCAAATCCTCGATGGCGAGGCCATCCAAGACTTCCTGGACCAAGTTGTAGCCGAATCTTCCAGGAAGTGTCCCCATGCTGGTGACTATGACCCAGACGCACTCATCACCGCCTCCGAATACTTACAAAACCAAGCAGAACCTTTTGGTTTCACAGATTTTACCGAGCGTGATGATACGTCTTCCTATTTCAATATTGCTAGTGGAATCTTTGCAGCTTTCCTTCTCCTCGCCTTCATCCTTGGGAAACTCTTGATCCGACGGAGCAACAAGAAGTGGAAGGAATCACTTTCTTCGGAGGGGATGTTTCTGCTGCGCCGACAAAAGGCCAGGGAACAAGAGCAAGAGAAAATCATAAACATGTATTCTCAGTCTCTCCTGCACAGTGCTGTCTTGGACGCCAAAGTCAGGTGGGCTGTTCCTGTGATGATTTTGCTCAACATTGGGCTATACATGGGCGGTCACCTTGGCATTCTTTCAACAGTTGATCTGGACGTGCACCTTGCGGGGGAAGAGTTTACAATACACAATTTTTTGGAGTTCTCCTTTATTGACTCTACGGCAAACACCTATCGGAATGGGGGAATGGAGATGTCCATTATGTTGTGGATATTCACGGGTACGTTTTCTAGCAATCATGCTTCTTTGCAGTGACATCTTCTTCTCCTTCTAAAGTGCCCTGCTTTCTCGCATACAGGCATTTGGCCATACGTAAAGCTTCTCGCATCGTTGTTTCTTTGGCTCGTGCCACCACGAATGCTATCCGTCAGTTACAGAGGGAAGATGCTTCTGTGGATTGATGCCTTGACAAAGCTAAGCATCGTGGATATCTTTACGATGATATTGGCTCTTGGTGAGTTCGGCATATCTCACCGTCTCTGGAATCCACGAGAAGATTGTTGTTCTAATTTGCTTTTCCTTGTCGGCAGCTGTGTTGCTTGTGTACATTGGTGGGCCCGACGAAGCCTTGGACGCCGAAGGGGCTCTATACTCGATGAAAGTTATTGTCATCCCAGGCGCAAGCTGCTATTGCATCGTTATGGCACAGCGAATGTCGAGAGTTAGTTCAAGGTTCTTTCTGGATTGCCACGATAAGGTGGTTCTTGCTGCACGTGAGGGCTGCGCCAAAGGTGAAGTTGCAAGTTTCTACCAAAAAGAGCCCAAATCGTGCAATGAAGCATTGGCGGAGCAAATGGACTGCAGCGATAACGGCTGGTTAGAAGACGAGAGTAACCAGGAAGAGGAAAGCTCCTTGAATCTTTCCCCGGATCCAAAGAGGGATCTGAACACGGGACTCGCGTCTGCAGATGACAGCCCGGAGCTGCCGAGGAGAACATTCGATAACACATCACTGCCAACTCACCTGGGCAGTGCTGGTGGGAGCACCATGTCTCCGGTGGACCAAGAGATGTCCAGTGTACTCGAAAAGCGACTCTCTCCAGCACCAGAGCACGTGGGTGACAAGGACAAGGAGTGTTCTTCGATTGGCGACCAGTCAAGTGCCACAGCAGAGCGAGGAGATTCTCGTTGCTCCACCTTGCTCAAACGCCTGAAGAATGTTCTTGTCAATCGTCATTTTGGGGTAGCCTTTGGCGTACTGGCGGTGCTGGTGCTCCTTGTCATTGGTTGCATATATGCTCCCTCTGTTTCAGTTAATATCTCGGACCTATGGGGACTTGCTCTGGAGTCAGGGACCACGTTCGAAGAAGCGGTCACCAAATATGGAGTTTTCTCGGTTGTGAGTGCCGTGCTGTTGCAGTCACGGTTTGTCTTGGACACAACCTGGGACTACGTCGCACTGGGTTTCTTGTTGGTGGTTGCTTTCGTATCCATGGGGATGGTTTTCTTCATTGGTTGTTACCAATTCGTGAGGCGCCTCATGAGGGGCGGATGGTCCGCTGTCCGACCCATCCAAAAATCACCAGCTTATGAACTACCTTCCTACCTCAGACTTCATGCCTACAAACACTTTGAAATCTACGTTGTGGCGGTTGTGGTTGGTTGTTGGCAGCTTGGATCTGTTTCTATCTATGCCATCCATCTGTACTGTTCAATTCTCGACTCTGTCTACAAGGTGCTTACTTACATTGGGCTCGTCCAGCCTACCAATGCTCAATGCTTTGAAGCCCAAATGACGCTTCTCGATAACCTCCTCATCTTTTTTGGCGCTTTGTTGATACTACTGGCCAAATTTTTCATCCAATGCTCAAGCCAGTACCGCAAGAACGTCACCGAGGCCACCGAATTGCTGCGCCACGAAGACCACGACATTGACAAGCTCTCAAGTCTTTGGAATACCCCAAGCAGTCCAAAGCCAAGCTTCTGGAGCAGCAGCAGCAGAAACATACTCAACCAAACTGCGTCGTTCTCTGACATGAACTCGGCAGTAGATGAAAGCCCCGGCAGCTACGACACAACACGGAGCTTCGCAACAGCACGAAGCTCGGCTCCTCTCGTCTACTCTCCAGCGCAGCAGGATAGCGTTTCACTGAGCAGTGTGTCCCCCGGGGGGCAAGACCGGGATGCAATGTCTATCAGCAATCTTCCTTCTCAGTAGAATTTGCGGACTTGCCAAACTTCGCTGTACAAACGTACTTTGATTCAGCCGCTCGTGTCCCACCCAACCTTCTGGCCCACTCCCGCCTTCCATAGACTAATTCACTAATCAAAGGCCCCTACAGCTTATGGAATCGATTCAATTATTAAGAGCTTCACCATACTCCACAAAAGATATCTTTGTGAACATGCTACTAGTCTACGAATATCAGGCTGATATTTGAGGGTTTAGTTAGAGTAGGGTTGATATCCACAGAGGCTGATTGAGCCAGTAGGCCCATGTACTTGTCCTGCCCCTGATTCCACGGAACCTCCAGTCGAATGTGCAGCATTGTATGGTAGCAGTGGCCGACCCAGTCCCACTCAGAGACACAAATACTAAATACATAAGATACGTTTTAAAGCGGGGGCCTCGTCATGGCATCGGGAGGCTCAAATGGCTGTGGGCTGGTTGGAAGGCTGAATGGAAGGCTGGTTCGTGATCGGACTTCCCGAAGGCTGGTTCGTGATCGGACTTCCGGAAGGCTGGTTCGTGATCGGACTCCCAGAGGGCTGGTTCGTGATTGGACTTGCGGAACGGCCCGAGGGAGGCAAGCTTGGAGTCTCTGAAGGCTGGTTCGAAGGTATCAGGCTCGGACTTTTGGAAGGAGGGCTTGAAGGCATGGACGATGGTTCTTCGCTGGGTTTTCTTGATGGCTGCAAGGAAGGCGCAGCACTGGGCAGTGAGGGCTGTGTCGAAGGAAATGAGCTAAGAGAAGGCGAAAAAGAGGGCCTTGCGCTTCTTGATGGAGAATCTGACGGCACTAGGCTGCCAGATGGAGAAATAGAGGGCCTTTGGCTTATTGATGGAGTAGTAGATGGCAATGAGCTTAGTGATGGGAAAATGGATGGCCTGGAGCTAGTTGACAGAGAAACAGATGGCATCGAGCTTGTGGAAGGAGAAATCGATTGCCTGGAGCTGATGGATGGTGAAATAGATGGCACTGCACTGATAGATGGCGAAATGGATGGCACAGAGCTGATAGATGGAGAATTCGATGGTCTTGAACTCCTGGATGGCGAAGAGGATGGAATTGAGCTCAGCGACGGAAGACTTGATGGCACCACGCTGAGAGAGGGAGAAAGTGATGGCCCTAAGCTAAAGGAAGGAGAAAAGGACGGCTTTGAACTAACAGACGGAGAGTTTGATGGAGAGGAAGTGCTCGAAGGAGATGAAGATGGCCATGAACTGATCGACGGTGACAAAGATGGACTTGAACTCATGGATGGAAACGTAGATGGCCTTGAGCTGAAAGAGGGATGGCTGCTGGGCATTGAACTAAGAGATGGCCCGATTGTTGGCGATCCTGGAGTAACCGTTGGTACTGATGCAGTGGGACTCACACTGGTTGGAGCCGAGGATGGGCTGCCAGGAGTAACAGTGGGCGATCCAACAGTGGGATTCGCTGCAGTTGGGCTGACACTGGGCGAGCCAGGAATCACAGTGGGTACAAAACCAACAGGACTAGTAGTGGTAGGTGCCAGGGATGGGCTTCCAGGAGTGACAGTAGGCAATCCAGTAGTGGGGTTGGCTGCAGTTGGACTGACACTGGGGGAGCCAGGAGTCACGGTGGGTACAGAACCAACAGGACTAGCAGTGGTAGGTGCCAGGGATGGGCTTCCAGGAGTCACAGTGGGCAACCCCACAGTCGGGTTGGCTGCAGTTGGATTGACACTGGGGGAGCCAGGAGTAACTGTTGGCATGGAACCTGCAGGACTGGCGGTTGTAGGAGCTAGGGATGGGCTTCCAGGAGTAACCGTTGGAGTCCCGTTCGATGGATTTCCTGCGGATGGTGCCACACTGGGAGATCCTGGAGTTACAGTTGGTACAGAACCCACAGGACTAGTAGTGGTAGGTGCCAGGGATGGGCTTCCAGGAGTAACTGTTGGAGTCCCGGTCAATGGATTTCCTGCAGTTGGGCGGACACTGGGTGAGCCAGGAGTTACAGTGGGTACAGAACCAACAGGACTAGTAGTGGTAGGTGCCAGGGATGGGCTTCCAGGAGTAACCGTTATAGTCCCGGTCGATGGATTTCCTGCGGTTGGGGTGACACTGGGAGATCCTGGAGTTACAGTTGGTACTTTTGCTGCGGGCCTAGTAGTGGTAGGTACCAAGGATGGGCCACCATGAGTCACAGTGGGCGAGCCAGCAGTAGGGTTGGCTGCAGTTGGACTGACGCTGGGGGAGCCAGGAGTACCTGTTGGCATGGAACCTGCAGGACTGGTGGTTGTAGGAGCCAGGGATGGGCTTCCAGGAGCCACAGTGGGCAATCGAGAAGTGGGAATGGCTGCAGTTGGACTAACACTTGGTGAATCAGGTGTCACAGTGGGGACAGAACCAGAGGGAGTCACAGTGGTAGGAGCCAGGGATGGACTTCCAGGAGTCACAGTTGGTACATTTGGGTTGGCTGCAGTTGGACTGACACTGGGGGATCCTGGTGTCACAGTGGGTATTGAAGCAGTGGGAGTGACGGCTATTGGTGCACCTGAAGGGTTTTCAGGAGTCACAGTTGGTGATCCAGCATTAGGACTGCCACTTGGAGAACCAGGAGTCCCAGTTGGCAGATCAACGAAAGGGCTGGGTGTGGTCGGAGCCGCAGAAGGGCTTCCAGGAGTCACCGTGGGTATTCCGGTTGTTGGGCTGGTATTTGGAGAGTTCGTAGTAATGGGGGCAGGAGCTGTGGGACTTTCAGTTGTTGTTGGTGTAGAGGGGCTTCCGGGAGTCACTGTTGGTGTTGCAGTTGTGGGAGTGCCTGTTGTTGGACTAACATTGGGAGAGCCTGCAGAAACAGTTGGGACAGGAGTGGTGGGACTGCTCGTGGTTGGTGTTGCAGAGGGGCTTCCAGGAGTCACTGTTGGTGTTGCAGTTGTGGGAGTGCAGTTGTCTGACTAATATTGGGAGAGCCAGTAGAAACTGTTGGAACAGGAGTTGTGGGCCTGGCAGTGGTTGGTGTTGCAGAGGGGCTTCCAGGAGTCACTGTTGGTGTTGCAGTTGTGGGAGTGCCGTTGTCTGACTAATATTGGGAGCCAGTAGAAACTGTTGGAACAGGAGTTGTGGCCTGGCAGTGTTGGGTTGAGGGGCTTCCAGGAGTCACTGTGGGTGTTCCAGTGGTTGGACTAGGACTGGGAGAACCAGTAGAAGTGGTTGGGATAGTAGTGGTGGGCCTGGCAGTGGTTGGTGTTGCAGAGGGGCTTCCAGGAGTCACTGTGGGTGTTCCAGTGGTTTTTTTTGGGAACCTTTAAAAGGGGGAAAAAAAAACCCTGGGGAAAAAAAAAAAGAAATCCCCAGAAAGGTATAAAGAGCAATAAAAAAAAAATTTTTTTGGTTTGGGACAGGGAGTGGTGGGACTGACAGTTGTTGGTGTCGCAGAGGGGCTTCCAGGAGTCACTGTTGGGGTTCCAGTTGTGGGACTGGCAGTTGATGGACTACGACTGGGGGTGCCAGTAGAAGCAGTGGGGACAGGAGTGGTGGGAATGCCAGTGGTTGGTGCTACAGAGGGGCTTCCAGGAGTCACTGTCGGTGTGCTACTTGGGCTCTCTGTTGGTTGGGATGTATCAGTGCTTATCCCATTTGCTGTTGTTGTTAATAATGCATTCTCAAAGCACTATTGAATCCTTCTAGAAAAGCAAGGCTGTCTGCTGTTGTGTCAATAAGTATTGTGCCTTCAGTTTGGGTACTGCTGGTCTGAAACCTTATGGTCTGAATTACCTGCAGCCTTCTTCGTTGACTCCTGCTTTGGACTGTTACCGTGTTGAGGATTGGGGCACAAACCTGCATTGGGATAGCTTCAAAGCCACTCCTAAATGCTGTGATCAGCGTGTTGTCATCCACCGCCGAAACATCATTTTCAAAAAAGACATAGTATGTTGAAATGGAATTCACCAATGGCGGAGGGCACTCCTGGGCAGTAGGGTTTGGGACTGGAGTTGGTTGCGTTGTGGTGGGCAATGGCTGAACAGTAGGATTGGGGACAGGTTGTGGTGTCGGTTCTGGTATCTGGTTGATGGTAGGAGCGACGGTTGCGGGGCTGGGTGTCTGTGCCTCTGTTGGTTGTGGAGTTGGGTCTGGGGTAGGCTGAAATGTTGGTGCTGGAGTAGGATTTGGTGTGGGCTCAGGTGTCGGATTGGGTGTGGGCTGCGGTGTAGGGTTGGGAGTAGGATCTGGTATGGGCTGCGGTGCGGGGTTGGGGGTTGGATCTGGGATTGGTTGTGGTGTTTGGTTCTGTAGTGCATGAGGGGTGGGATTTGGATTAGGAGTGGATCGGTCTGGACCCCCAGGAGTGATAACAGGAGTAGGTGTGGCACCGGTGGTGCCTGGGGGAGCTGTTGATGCTTCTGCAGGAACAGGTGTGGTTCCTGGATTTCCTGGAGTAGTAGTGGCTATTGGATTTCCTGGGGTAGTTGTGGCAACTGGATTTCCAGGAGACACCAAGGAGCCAGGGGAGATTGTTGTTGTTGTGACGGGAATTCCAGGTGGTGCTGTGGAACCAGGAGGCACAGGTGCTGTAGTGGCGACTGGATTTCCGGGAGTAGTAGTTGCCATTGGATTTCCAGGAGAGGCTGAGGAGCCTGAAGGTACTGGTGTGGTAGTTGTTACTGGACTATCAGTTGGGCTTCCTGTGGCACCTGGAGATGATTCAGGAGTGAGTTGTGTTGCTGGAGGTAGATTCTGTGTTGGTGTAGTACCAACCGTTGGCGGCAACTGAGCTAAAGTTGGTTGTGTCGTTGTACCAGGAGCATCAAACGCCGATGTTGGCGCAGGAGAGCTGTCAATTAGGGCTGATGCTTTGCTGGGGACTGCGGGCACTGACTGAGGAGACATAGTTGCAGGTATTGAAGGAGCCACAATATTGGTCGACGGGCCTGTAGGGGAAGGCACAAGAGCTTGTGCTGATGGGCTGTAGCTTGTTGGGTTCATGACAGGAGCAATATCACCAGTTGGAGTATTTGTAGCGTCTGGGTTGAAGGAAGATGCATCATTGGCCCTAGTAGGAACCAAGGACGTAGTCTGAAAAGCAGAAGGGCTTGCAATAGGAGTATCAGCCGTAGTTGGTTGGCTTGCTGTTGAGTCTTGATTCACTGCAGCCCCACTAAAGTCCTGAGGCGTTTCCTCTTGCTGTACCACCTCTTGTTCATCTACATTGGACACTTGGGCTGAAGTGCCCAATAATTCAGGCAAGAGTTCTTGGCACTCCAAAGAAGATGTGGGGTTGGCAGCACAATCCAACAAGACCTGCACATCTGCTTCCCCACTGGCTTCCAAAACCTGCTGACAGAATGATGATTTTGAAACAGTCTCATCGCCAGAAATGCTGTTGTCCAAGCATTCTTCAATGTCTGACAGATCGTTAATGACAAAAGGAACTGTGATAATTCCACTGTTCTCTTGGATAGCTTGTAGAGCTTCGGAGATTTCTGGTGTCCCAATCTGCAGCACAAATGTGTTTTCATCCAAAGCACCATTTGGCAAGACTGCTCTTGTGGCCCCTGCTACAACCCTAACATTGCTTTCATAAGAGTTTGTGAGAGTAACATCAATGGGAGTTGTGCCGTCTCCCTGCAGGACTGGTTCCATGTTGTATCCCACGGAAGCAGCAAACAGAGGGAAGAACTGGATCAAATCAAACAGTGGCTCCTGTAGTCTCCTTTGTTTGATGTTTCTGTTTGCTGCACCAATCACAGCATCTTGCTCCTCTGGCACATCAAAGAGGGGCTCATGGTCAGGACATCCCAAGCAATCGACCGTTGCTTCCCAGTAGGTTGTAGTGACACTCTGAGCAACTGCCAATTCGTACTCTGCCAGCGTCAGGTTTTGTTTGGTTGGATCCAAAATGGTGTAGTTGGTCAAATTGGATGATGTCAGCAGCAGGTCAATGCTACTGCTATTGCCAAAAGTGGATATCCCATTTGCAGCAACACCCCACTGCGTTTCCCATCCCACCAGAGTTGCCTGTAGCATTACCCTGGCCATGGGATCCAGACACATGCCAGTGATTTCGTTGTAGATGTCTCTGAACATTTCTTCCATGACCCACTTCCTTGTTCCAATGGCATCGGGTGGTAGGGCTTGTAGGCTGAGTTCGACATAACCAACTTTCTCGTTGGAAGCATTGGAGCAGGCAGGTGGTAAAAAGCTGGAGATTGGTAGGACTGGAACATCTGAAGCGATTGTTATATTGGTTGCATCTGTAGAAGACGTGGTTGCTACGGTGACCGCAACACCTGCGGAGACGGCTACAGCGGTCGCAGTGCCTGTGATGGGACAGACGGCAGGCAGCCAAGCAAGCATGAGTGAGGGGCCAACCCAAAGCAAACCACATTTTTTGGCCACTCGTGTTTTTGCATACGGTACATACCAACACCCACTGCAATCCCTGCTTGAGTGGCAAGGCCAGCACCGGCGATGGCCCCTGCGAGAGTCAACCCGCCTACTGCTGCCCCTGTGATTGCCCCGGCAGCAGCTGTGCCGCTTGCCACCCCCGTGGCAGCCGTGTTTCCCTGTTTTGGCATGGCACGTACAAAACGAAAAGAAAACAGCTACTGAGAACTTAATCACGGGGACAAAAGGCAAACAAATTGAGAAGGACAGCTTAACTTACCGCTGCAGTGGCCATTTCCGCAACGCCTGGTGGTGGTACTGGAGTTGTTGTTGGCGTAACTCCCGTGGGAACTCCAGTTTCCCCTCCAGTGCCTCCCGCACTGTTGACAGTACCGGTAGTAGTAGTAGTTGGCTGTCCCATTTGCTGATTTGCCACATCTAGAGTATCTCTTGACACGTCCTGCCCCGTGTCGTCGTGTTGTTTGCCCCGACAACAGCGGTTCCACAACTTGGCCAAAAAATTGAAAACCTTTTGCAGGACATCATTTTGAAAAAAAACTGAACGTCTAATAACGGATTCAGACGAGATGTGCTTGAGGACTACCCACGAGCTAGGGCTCGGGTATTTCCCACAGTCAAGTCTGCTCACCGGCCACACTGGCCTCCTGAGAGGGTGCGACGCCTGTTAGCTATCTAAGGATTTGTACACTGAGGTCAGAGCCATGATTCACCACAAATCACGAGCTCTTTGTTGAAGAGAGTTGGGGTTGGTAAAGAAGTTTGAGGGGGTAGGAGGGGTAAGGAAAAAGGGATGGTAGGACATCATTTTGAAGATAGTTGATCACGACGGCCAGAAAACCAGCTCGAATGGCAGCTTCTTTGGCTTCTTCCGAATCCACACTGCTGGACTCCTCGTCCTCACCGTCGTCACTGTCACTGGCAGCACTATCATCGTCGTCCTCCAGACCAAGTTCTTCGTCTTCTTCAGTTTTGTCAACGTCAATGTCAATGTCAACGTCCCCCAATGGTATCTCCGCCACAATTTCGTCTACATCCACGCTCTGGCTCGGGCTCTGGCTGTGCAGCAGTAACTGTTGGCTTTCCAAATCAACCTCTGCAATACTGGTGTGCTGCTGCAAGGCTTGGTGAGCATAGGATGCAGGGGGATCCATGGCGGATTGCTAAGCTAGATAGCTAGCTAGCTAGTATAAGGAAGGTTTGTCGAGATGGATGGATGAGCTAACGTCTGTTTCAAGGGTGCTTGCTGTCAAAGGGTCAAAGCAATGAAGTTCCGCAAGAATTGACAGTTTTAGTTTGCCTATAATGAAAAAATGAAGCAGGAGAAGGCCACTCCCGAAACCTTGCACCACCCTGTCACCCCCGTGGACCACCCACCACCCACACAGCTTCACCCCTTGCCATCACCAAACCCGCAAAAGATGCCTGCATACAGTAGCTCTGGAGCTGCTCTGCATAATAATAAATCTCTGGCAGGTTTACTTAAAGTTTTTCGTTCTCTTTACTTTAGAGTAGGAATTAAAGCTTTACCAGAGATGGCACAACAGTTAAGACCTTCACTGTTCGCTGTTCTCCTATTTTTGAGATGGATGAACTGGCTTTCTAATTCCTTGCATTTGGCCAGACCCTAAGATTCTCCGAAACTTGTCACACATGGAGATCACGTTTCTTACAAGAAGTAGAACTGTCCAAAGTGCACGCAGTACAGTACTGTACTTTCGGTACGCACGGCGAGAATGACGGCGATGACAGGAACCTCGGCTTGCTGTGGGCATCATCACTGTGGCGATGCCTTGAACTTTTTGAAGCCGGGAGGACGCACGGCAACAGGCAACCTACACAAGCCATCCCCAATAGATAGCAAGGATTCCCCGACGTTGGCATCAGTGCGCCTACATTGTGACGTTGTGGAAGGATAGAAAAACTCAGGACATCTACAGCACCAACCCAAACAGGAAGGTTTGCACGAGCTAGCTATACCTAGACGTTATTAGCTTGTGGGCATTTCTCACCCCCAAAAGTCAGAATCTACAATCAGCTGGTTGTTTTGTTGGTTTTGGCAGGGGCTACTGCCATCAGTATCAAGACAGCTCCCATTCTGCTCTGTTCTTATTCCACCATCACTGTGCGAATACCATTGCTCAATTACAGGTGGTGTTGTGGAGCAGCTGGTTAATGCCACTCCACTATTGCCACTATTGCCATTCTGAAATTCCAGACACCCTCCACTACTAGATTGAATCACAATCTGTTGAGTGCATTGATTGTATTGGAATATCTGGTTGGATGCAGAACTACAGGGTTCCATTTCAAAGCTGACATCATTCGATTGCAGTGTCAGGCATGACCCTGTGTCAGCTCTGTGATAGATGGTACGTGGATTTGTTGTTGCTGTGCATTGTGAAACTGGAGACTCTGTTGGAATATTGGATGGTGCTAGAGACGGTCTAGATGAAGGCATTTCTGAAGGGGAAGAGGACAGTTTGTTGGATGGTGTAGTACTGGGATTCAGGGATGGAGCCAGGGATGGACTTGCACTAGGAAACAAAGACGGAGCAGCTGACAGAGAAGATGGAGACCTTGAGGGACTGTGACTGGGGACAGATGAAGGGGGTTCTGAGGGACTGTTGCTAGGAACCAGAGAAGGCGCCATTGATGGAGAGATGGAGGGTACGACTGAAGGACCAATGCTCGGAATTGTTGATGGCCCCAGAGATGGGCTGGAACTAGGAGTCATGGAAGGAGGCTCACTCGAAGCTGAGCTGACAGAGGGGGGTGCAGATGCTAGACCAGAGGGAGATTGTGATGGAGCTTGAGAAGGCACCATTGATGGAGAGATGGAGGGTATGGCTGAAGGGCCAATGCTTGGGAGTGTAGATGGCCCCAGAGATGGGCCGGAACTAGGAGTCGTGGGCATGACAACACAGTATTCAGTTCCTGTAATCTCAGAAAGAGATGAGGCAATCTCACTGCTTGACGACCCATCACCTTGGAAGAACCGCATTTCCGAGAGTCCTGATGTCCCCGACGCATCATGCCGTATGCACACTGTGCTTCCTGAACTCGCAGAAACAACAAAGCCATCTGTCCAGCTCGAACCCCAACCAAAATTGCCAATGACAGTGCCGGAGGAGTACGATGCCTCACCACTATCATCCACCACGGGGAGACCGGTGACTCCAGTAACAGTCACTTTGGCCGAGCCACCTCCAGCGCCACCGGATGCTTGGTTGTAAATGATAACCAAGTACAAGGCACCGGACCTTTCCACAATTCCAAGGCTCACCTTTCCTGCGTTGCCATTTTGAAGGCCTCCGGGTGTGTTGGCATTATTTCCACTACCATTGTAGTACCAACCATCTGCATCAGCAATACCACCAGCCGTACCATCCGAGAAAGCAATATTGGGTTCGTCGTCAACTATGCGTTGTGGTAGGGGTGTCACAGCAAAAGTGGGGGTCTCTGAGGGAGCTTCTGAGGGCATCACTGATGGGAAATCCGAAGGACTGACACTAGGCGTTCTTGAAGGGAAGTCCGAGGGACTGATGCTGGGGACCATGGAAGGCGCCATTGAAGGAGAAGTCGATGGGAATTCTGAAGGACTGACACTAGGCGTTCTTGAAGGGAAGTCCGAGGGACTGATGCTGGGAACCATGGAAGGTTCCATTGAAGGAGAAGACGATGGGAAATCCGAAGGACTGATACTGGGAGTTCTTGAAGGGAAGTCCGAGGAAATGGTGCTGGGAGTTCTTGAAGGGAAGTCCGAGGGACTGGTGCTGGGAGTCCTTGAAAGGAAGCCCGAGGGAGTGATGCTGGGAGTTCTTGAAGGGAAGTCAGATGGCGAAGACGATGGAACCATGGAAGGACTGATACTGGGAGTTCTTGAAGGGACGTCCGAGGGACTGGTGCTGGGAAAATTGGATGGCGAGGATGATGGATTGATGCTTGGAAGCATGGAAGGACTGATACTGGTAGTCATAGATGGAGATTCAGATGGTTGGAAGCTTGGCAAATTGGAGGGAGAGGCTGATTCAGTAGGGGATCCAGATGGCATTGTGGAAGGGGCTCTCGTTGGTGCTCCTGGTGTAACCGATGGACCCACTGAAGGGGCAGACGAGGGCTGCTTGGAAGGAAGTGAAGACGGGGAAACAGAAGGAACAGTGGATGGAGAGAAGGAAGGGCTGTCTGATGGTTTCCTGGAGGGGGAACCTGATGGTGACAAGGACGGAGAGATGGAGGGGGAAATGGATGGTTCAAGAGACGGTTTAGCTGATGGTTGTGTACTTGGTACACTTGAGGGTGATCCAGAAGAAGGCGGACTGATTGGTACAGTGGACGGAGATTGTGACGTGCTGGGTGATGCTGAGGGTTGGATCATTGGGCTTCCTGTTGGATTCCCTGGCGTTACAGAGGGACTCTGAAAAGGAGATGAAGACGGGAGACTAGAAGGTCTCGTAGACGTAGAGGGTGTAAATGATGGATTCTGGGATGGAATACTTGAAGGTACAACGGATGGAGAGGAGGATGGTTGCTTGCTTGGTGCTGATGACGGAAAGGATGAGGCGCTAGGTGGAGAAGAGGGCTTATTCGTAGGGCTTCCGGATGGATTTCCTGGTGTTACAGATGGTCGTTGCCCGATGGAGAGAAGTGGGAATCTAGAGGGACTTGTGGAGGGTGTAAAAGATGGTTCTGGGATGGAATACCTGAAGGTACACTGATGGAGAGGTGGATGGTTGCTTGCTTGGTACTGAGGAGGAGAAGGATGAGGGCTAGGTGGGGAGAGGGCATAGTTCGTAGGGCTTTGTTGGATTTCCTGGTGTTCAGAGGGTCGTTGAGATGGAGAAGATGATGGGAGACCAGCAGGACTTGTGGAGGGTGTAAAAGATGGATTCTGGGATGGAATACCTGAGGTACTACTGATGGAGAGGTGGATGGTTGTTGGTTGGTGCTGATGACGGAGAAGATGAGGTGCTAGGTGGGGCAGAGGGCATAGTTGTAGGGCTTCCTGTTGGATTTCCTGGTGTTACAGAGGGACTGTGAGAAGATGAAGTCGGGAATCTAGAGGGATTTGTGGAGGGTGTAAAGATGGACTGGGATGGAATACCTGAAGGTACTACTGATGGAGAGGTGATGGTTGCTTGCTTGTGCTGAGGACGGAGACGATGAGGTGCTAGGGGGGAAGAGGCATAGTGTAGGGCTTGCGTTGGATTTGCTGGTGTTACCGAGGGTCGTTGCGATGGAGAGAAGATGGGAAACCAGCAGGACTTGTAAAAAGTGGATTCTGGGATGGAATACCTGAGGGTACTACTGATGGAGGTGGATGGTTGCTTGGTTGGTGCTGATGACGAGAAGATGAGGTGCAGGTGGGGCAGAGGCATAGTGTAGGGCTTCTGTTGGATTTCTGGTGTTACGAGGGCTGTGAGAGGAGATGAAGTCGAATCTGAGGGATTGTGGAGGGTGTAAAAGATCCGTTCCCAGGACTTGCATTGGTGGGGGCCAATGAGGGACTTCCAGGAGTAACCGTAGGTATTCCTGTTGTGGGACTCTCGGAGGTTGGAGCAAATGAAGGACTCCCAGGAGTAGCAGGGCTTCCGGTGTGGGGGCAGCAGTGGGAGTCACAGTTGTGGGTCTGACACTGGAGAACAAGGGTGACCGTGGGAAGAGAAGTGGTGGGTGTTGTAGATGGACTTGCAGGGGTGGGAGCAAATGACGGACTTCCAAGAGTCACTGTTGGTGTCCGGGTAGTGGGACTGGTGCTGGGGGTACCAGGTGTCACGGTGGGAAGAAGTGTGGCGGGTGTTGTGGAGGGACTTCCAGGGGTCACTGTGGTGTTCCAGTTGTGGGAATTCCAGTAGTAGGACCGGCGCTGGAAGCACCTGGTGTCACCGTGGGGCCAAGTGGACTGGCTGTGGTAGGCGTGAGTGAGGGGCTCCCTGGAGTCACTGTTGCTGTTCCAGTTGTGGGACTTCCGGTAGTTGGACTGGTACTGGGAGAACCAGGTGTCACAGTGGGGACATAACCTATGGTGGGTGTAACTGAGGGGCTTCCAGGAGTACGTTGGCGTTGTTGACTGTTTGTCGAGGGACTGGTGCTGGGAGACCCGGGAGTCACGGTGGGGATAGAACCAAGGGGACTCGATGCGGTGGGTGTTGTGGAGGGACTCCAGGGGTCACTGTTGGCGTTCCAGTTGTGGGACTGTCCGTAAGTCAGTAGTCGGACTGGCGCTGGGAGCACCGGGTGTCACCGTGGGAAGAGCAGTTGTGGGTGTTGTGGAGGGGCTACCAGGGGTCACTGTTGGTGTTCTAGTTGTGGGACTATTCATTGAGGGACTGGTGCTGGGAGAGCCAGGAGTCACGGTGGGAAGAGAAGTGGTGGGTGTTGTGGAGGGACTTCCAGGAGTCACTGTTGGTGTTCCAGTTGAGGGGCTTCCACTGGGACTTGTTGAGGGGATTGTCAGAGAAGATTCTAACCCAGACGCGCTGACAGTACTGGTGCTGGCGAGAGCATCATTAAACCCCACAAGGAATGCCGATGAATCTGTGGCTTCATCCAACACTACAGTTCCACTCACATGGGTGGCATTCATGCCAAACAGCACAGATTGGATAGTTTGTAGTCTTCTCCGCTGAGTCCGGCTCTCTACACTTACTAGTGTAAGTATTGGAGGACATGCACCATTGTGCACTGTGGAAAAGCCACTTTCAAAGGCATCAATGAGAGTGTCATCCGACAAGGCCGATATGTCACTGTTGAAGTATACATAGAAAGTGTTCCAGGTAGTGGAAGTTTGCTCTGTGCATTGTTGGCTTGGGTTCAGGGATTGTTCTACTGTGGGGATAGTGGTTGGCTCAGCAAAGGGAGTTGTGGTGGGGTTAGCTGCGCTGGTGGGTTCTGGAGTTCGGTTGTTTGTAGGTTCTGGAGTTGGGCTGTTTGTAGGCTCTGGAGTTGGGTTGAATGTGGGCTCTGCTGTAGGTTCTATTGTAGGTAGTGCAGTTGGGTTGTTAGTGGGTTCATCAGTAGGCCTATTTGTTGGGCTTTCTGTTGGTGTTCGGGTTGGCTCATCAGTGGGCCCAAGCGTTGGTTCAGACATGGATCCAAGCGATGATGGTGGGTTGGTCGATTCTGTTGCACTAGACAAAGTTGCCGATGGGTTGGCAGTGGCTGGCAATCCTTCTAATCTTGTTGTACTGGGAGTAGTTGTTGAATCCATTGTACCGGAGGTACTAGGCGTCGATGTGGGCTGTGGGGATAGCTCTGCAGGTGCAATTGAGGTCACCTGTGGGGTAGGTGTTCCTGGTTCCACTGGTGGCGGTGCTTCCATGGATGATACAGCACTTGGAGTCAAGCTTACTGGTGCAGTGAGGACCATTGAATCCGTTGGTTTAGGACTTGTCGATGAAGCAGATATGGATCCTGGACTTGAAGCACTTGGAGCAGCTGTGGATTCAGGTGATGTAGCTGTGTTGATTGATTCAGTGCCAGGTGCTGTAGGTGCAACCAGACTAGGCTTCAGGGTTATGGAGCCATCAGGCATCGTGGTGGGCCCCGTCAAACCAGAACTGAGAGCGCTTCCCACCATGATGTCATCTGAAATTGGCGAGGGAGCAGTGGCTACCCCAGTTGCTTCTGGGGGGGTAGCCGGGTTTGCTTGCTCCGCAGAATCAGCGCCGCTGGGTGTTGTTGCTGGAGAGGTCTCTTGTGTTCCAGCTGGGGCTAAGGCTTCTGGCATGGATGAATCAGCCCCAGTTTCAACCAATGATCCACCAGATGATGATGGTGAAACAATGGGACTGGCAGAAAGGTCTGAACTTCCAGCTGCATTGTCAAGATTAGGGTTGCTTGACATCAACTCTACGCTTTGGCTTCCCAAAGCTGAGTCTAGGCCTTCAGTTCCACTAGTGATGGATCCAGCAGGGTTGTCATCCAAGGACTGACCAGTGCTTGCAGCTTCTGATTGCAACTCTGAGGGTGCTGTTGCTGCCTGAAGCAAAGTAGGAAGAATCTCTTGACATTCCAGTGACGATGTTGGGTTCTTGACACATTCCAAAACAGTAACTGCAGCAATGCCAATACTACCAGATTTTTCCAAAACAGCAGCACAAAAGTCAGATGTTACAACTTGTGAGCCAGGTTCAACACACTCTTGAATAGCTGTCAAGCCACTGTTGGTAAATGCTGCCACAATAGTTCCATTGTTTTCAACTATGGTTCCATATGCTCCCTCAACTTGTGATGGTCCAATTTCTGTAACCACAGCAGTTTCATCAAAAGTTCCATCTGGGTTGATTCTCTTGGTTGATCCTGCCACAACACGAACCTGATCTTGATATGCCGTGATGATGGTGATATCCAATGGCTCCAATCCATTGCCTTCAAGCACAACCTCCATATTGAATCCAATGGAGGCTGCAAAAAGCTCAAAGAACTGCTCCAGGGGGAACTCTTCAAGGTGCCTCCCACTTGGCTGAAATGCCAGCATTCTGGCGGAACCACCTGTAGCCCTATTATCTCCTTCTCCTGTATCAAACAGTGGCTCATAGTCGGGACAACCAAGGCAGTCCACCCGCGCCTCCCAAAATGTGGTAGTAGTGCTTTCGGCCACTGCCAGGTCATACTCCTCGTCTGTCATATTGTAGTAGCTAGTGCCAGTCACAGTGCTGTTGGGACCCCAGTCTGTCTCCCACTCAAGCAAAGATGATTGATGCATAACTCTCAGCAAGGGATCCAAACACATGCCTGAGATTTCATTGTAGACATCTCTGAAGAGTTCCTCCAGTTCCTGCTTTCTTTGGTCGATAGCAATCGGTGACAACTGAGCAATCTTGAGCTCTACAAAGCCAGACTTTAATTCTGATTGGTCCGAGCACACCGGTGGCACAAAACCAGTAAACGGTACAATGTCTGCAATCTGGGTAGTTGTGTTTGTTGCTGCCCCTAAACCAGACGCCGATACCCCCGCAGAAACAGCTGCTGCTGCCGCCACTGTAGCTAAAGAATCAAGATTAGGCAGGGAGAGTCACTTTGGTTAGCTACTATATGCTTGCATGTACAGTATGTCCACTATATGATCCAGTCAAAAGTTCATACCTGCACCCACAACCATGCCTGCCTGTGCCACAGCTCCAGCCCCGGCAATGGCACCTGCTAATCCCGCAAGACCGCCTGCTGCTCCAGCTGCGGCCCCTGCTGCTGCCGCTGCACCAGCAGCTCCAGCTGCGCCCGCAGCACTTCCCTACAGAACAAAGACGGACTTTTGGTGAGTTCACTCCACATCCTTTATCATGGATGTTTTGAGGATCCAATTTATTATATAAAAGACTGCATGGTAGTATATACGTACCGCTGCTGTTGCCATTTGGGAAGTTCCGGGTGGAGACGATGTGGTGGATGCTCCATTGCCTGTTGTTGGGCTTGGTTGCGGAACAGAAGACCCCTGTGCAAGATTGTGTGAAGTATGTGATTCGTCCAACATGACATCTCGGAGTGCATCTTGTGTCATGTCGTTTACCCCACCATTGTCATTGTCTTGGCTTCCCCCCTTTCCACACTTTTTGAGCCACTTGTAGAGTTTGTCCAAATATCCCAATATCTTTTGCAGGACGTCATTTTGAATGTAACTGATAACGACCCCCAGGAATCCTGCTCGAATGGCGGCTTCCCTGGCATCTGCAGAATCTATGGACGATACGGAATCGGAAAAGTAACTGCAGTCGTCACGGTCAATGTCTACCGCAGATGCTTCCAGATCTGGTAGAAGGTCACAGTCACTCTCGTCTTCGCCTGTCTTGTTGGAAGCTATAGAATTCAGCAGGCTCTCTTGGTCGTCCCCACTGCTGATGTTGTCTGAATCATGGTCCCTGGGCATGGCACTACTGATAGTGTCACTATTAATAGTGGATCCCCCGCTCTCCAGTAGCTGGCTGTCTTGGTGATTCCCTGTTTCAATATCGCGATGAAAGCTTGCTTGGCTCGTCACGGCGTCGTTAGCGTTGCCGCTATGAATAGCCGACTGTGACTCGATTGTTCCTTCCTCCGTCCCCCTTGTCATCTTGGTTGTGGCAACTGGTACATGCAATGCAAATTGCAATGGATATTGATGAATCGAATCGTTTTATTAGTCTAGTGATGGCTGGTCGATGATGGATTGATGTGTTGGAGTGTTGGAGTGTTGGAGTGTTGGAGTTGGCAAAGTCGGTCTAGTCGGTTGCATTGCTGTTGCGCTTGTCTTGGTTGAGAAAGCTAGCTAGAAAGAGCCAGTGGTTTATGGTTGCCAACAGACTGGCTCATTTCATTTGATGGGGAAGCACCTCATCTTTGTTGTTCTGACGTTCTGATAGCTGTTCTAACGTTCTAACCCGAAAAACAAAAAAAATTCAAAGAAGACGAAGCCATTCCCAGCTGGTTCAGGATTTCACACGAATCATTGTCCTCAGCATGAGCCAGTTAGCTCCAAGACGCCTCCTTTTTAGTGTGAGAGTTCAGTAACTCGGACGGGGTCTTCAGGCTTTAAATCATCTTAAGGATCAACTGTGTTCTGTTTTACAGTTCTCGCGCGCTGTTCGACCAAAATGAAATTTAAAAATGAAGACATGCATAAGGATTTATCAAATAATGCTTCTATTTAAAAGCAAGGGAAACCGAGAATTAACATGGCGTTTTGAATCTTGGGTGGATTGTGGTTTTTGGGTTTGGCGTCTTGGCGTCTTCGCACCAATTTATTTGAGGCTTATCGATATCCGTACTAGCTAGCTAGCAGCCGCACGGGTACTATGCCAAGAACACGCCTCGGAACTCTTCTTCCGAACCACACACCTACCGGTAGTCTTGACCACCAAAAGTGGATTCGATTCCATGGAAGCTGATGGATGAGGCAGCTATCTTGGATTTTGGATCAAGGTGGATGTGCGGAAGGGGTTGCACGATGGCAACGAACGACGGTTCCGTCAAGCCTGTTTGGCGTTTTGCTTCAAAATCGATTGGTTGATTCGTTGATTCAATCAAGACACCGGACTACCAGTACATGTATCCCCCAAACGTGATTGCCTCCTCTTGTGGGTAGTGGTTGCAAGCGGGAGGTGGGCTTTCGCTTCGGGTAAACAGGTACCATCGAGCGAAAGTAGGAATCGGACTCTAGCAACACCCCTACTAGCTAGCTAGCCATTCAATCCCAGCCACCAACTGACTCATGCTTCGTGCTCGAATAAGAAACCGCCGTGATGCATTCCCTTTCTGCCGGATTCACAGGCAGCCGTGAGAGTCGGGACAGGCATGTGGTTCGTGATCCAGAGGCAGTTGCTTGAGAAGAAGCATTAGGTTTAGTAAAAATTAGAATAATAAATAACAGTAGCAATGACTAAAACGTTAGTACTGGTTTCTAGCTAATAGCAAATCAAGCCCAAAAACTGGAATCCACAATCAGCTGGTCCTGTTGTTTGTTTTGGCAGGGACTACTGCCATCAGTATCAAGACAGCTGCCATTTTGGGTGCTGGCAATCCCCCCACCACTGTCAGCACTCCATTGCTGATAAGTATTGGAAGCAGAACAAGTCGCTATTGAAACCCAAGCACTTCCCCCAGCAAACTCCAAACATCCTTGACTAGACTGTACAACAATCTGGCTGCAGGTGTTGTACTGGAATTGTTGGTTGGGGGCGCCAGTACAAGTTTCCATGGCAACACTTGCACCATCAGATTGAAGAGTAACACATGATGTCGAGTCACTTCTGTGGTAAACGGAGCTGGCTGTTCCTACTTGAGAACAGCTTGCTACTGGCGCAACCGATGGATTCTTCGATGGTGCCATCGAGGGTTGAGATGAAGGTACCGGAAGGGATGGATTGCTGGGATTCTGGGATGGAACAATGGAAGGACGGGTGCTTGGGCTTGATGATGGAGCAGCTGCCAGAAGGGCTGTAGGGGACCCAGAGGGACTAGTGCTAGGAAGCACCGATGGGAAATCTGAAGGACTGACACTAGGAGTTCTTGAAGGGAAGTCCGAGGGACTGATGCTGGGAACCATGGAAGGCGCCATTGAAGGAGATATGGATGGGAAATCCGAAGGAATGATACTGGGGGTTTTTGAAGGGAAGTCCGAGGGACTGATGCTGGGAACCATGGAAGGCGCCATTGAAGGAGATATGAAATCCGAAGGAATGATACTGGGAGTTCTTGAAGGGAAGTCCGAGGGAATGATGCTGGGAACCATGGAAGGCGCCATTGAAGGAGTAGACGACGGAACCATCGAAGGACTGCTACTGGGAGTTTTTGAAGGGAAGCTCGAGGGACTGGTGCTGGGAAGCATGGAAGGTACCATTGAAGGAGTAGACGATGGAACCATGGAAGGACTGCTACTGGGACTTCTTGAAGGGAGTCCGAGGATGGTGCTGGGAATATTGGATGGCAAGGATGATGGACTGATGCTGGGAAATGGAGGGCAATTGAAGGAGAAGACGATGGGAAATCGAAGGACTGAACTGGGTTCTTGAAGGGAAGTCCGAGGGACTGGTGCTGGGAGTTTTTGAAGGGAACTCCGAGGGACTGATGCTGGGAGTTCTCGAAGGGAAGTCAGATGGCAAAGACGACGGGACCCTGGAAGGACTGATACTGGGAGTTTTTGAAGGGAAGTTGGAGGGACTGGTGCTGGGAATATTGGATGGCAAGGATGATGGATTGATGCTTGGAAGCATGGAAGGACTGATACTGGGAGTCACAGATGGAGATTCAGATGGTTGGAAGCTTGGCAAATTGGATGGAGACGCTGATACAGTTGGGGATCCCGATGGTATTGTGGAAGGGCTTCTGGTAGGTGCCCCTGGTGTAACCGAAGGACGCACTGAAGGGGTAGAGGAGGGCTGCTTGGAAGGAAGTGAAGAGGGGAACAGAAGGAACAGTGGATGGAGACCTGGAGGGATTCATGATGGTGCCCAAGACGGAACAGTGGATGGAGAGAAGGATGGAGAGTTGGAGGGGGAAAGGATGGTCCAAGAGATGGTGTGGCTGATGGTTGTGTGCTTGGTACACTTGAGGGCGATCCAGAAGACGGTTGATTGCTTGGTTCTGTGGACGGAGATTGAGACGTGCTGGGTGATGCTGAGGTTGATTGTCGGCTTCGGTTGGATTTCCTGGTGTTACAGAGGGACTCTGAGAGGGAGATGAAGACGGGAGACTAGAAGGTCTTGTAGAGGGTGTATAGGATGGATTCTGGGATGGAATATGTGAAGGTACAACTGATGGAGAGGTGGATGGTTGCTTGCTTGGTGCGATGACGGAGAAGATGCAGTGCTAGGCTGGGAAGATGGCATAGTCGTAGGCCTTATTACGATTGCAGGAGCAAGGGATGGGCTTCCAGGAGCAAAAGTGGGCGTCCCAGTCGAGGGAGTGCCTGGGGTTGGGTTGACACTAGGTGATCCTGGAGTTAAAGTCGGGACTGATGCCGTGGGGCTAACATTGGTTGGTGCCAAGGATGGGCTTCCAGGATTCACAGTGGGCGATCCAACAGTAGGATTCCCTGAAGTTGGACTGACACTGGGAGATATAGGAGTCACTGTGGGGATAGAACCTGTGGTGGGCGTAGCAGATGGGCTTCCAGGGGTCACAGTTGGTGTTCCAGTTGTGGGACTTCCAGTAGTCGGACTGGCGCTGGGAGCACGGGTGTGACCGTGGGGCCAAGTGGACTGCTGTGATAGGCGAGAGTGAGGGCTACCAGGAGTCACTGATGGTGTCCCAGCAGTGGGACTGTCTGTGGTTGGACTGGTGCTGGGAGAACCAGGGGTGACCGTGGGAAGAGAAGTGGTGGGTGTTGTGGAGGGGCTACCAGGGGACACTGTTGGTGTTCCAGTTCTGGGATTGTTCGTTGAGGGACTGGTGCTGGGAGAGCCAGGAGTCACGGTGGGAAGAGAAGCGGTGGGTGTAGCAGATGGACTTCCAGGGGTCACTGTCGGTGTTCCAGTTGTGGGAGTTCCAGTAGTCGGACTGGCGCTGGGAGAACCTGGTGTCACAGTGGGGACAGAACCAAGGGGACTCGACGTGGTGGGCAAGAGTGAGGGGCTACCAGCGGTCACTGTTGGCGTCCCAGTTGTGGGACTGTCTGTGGTTGGACTGGTGCTGGGAGCCCCAGGGGTGACCGTGGGAAGAGCAGTGCTGGGTGTTGTGGAGGGACTTCCAGGGTCACTGTTGGTGGTTCCAGTTGTGGGATTGTTCGTTGGAGGGACTGGTGCTGGGAGAGCCAGGAGTCACGGTGGAAAGAGAAGCGGTGGGTGTAGCAGATGGACTTCCAGGGGTCACTGTTGGTGTTCCAGTTGTGGGATGTCTGTGTGGGACTGGGCTGGGAGACCGGTGTCACAGTGGGGACAGAACCAAGGGGACTCGACGTGGTGGGCAAGAGTGAGGGGCTACCAGGGATCACTGTTGGCGTCCCAGTTGTGGGACTGTCTGTGGTTGGACTGGTGCTGGGAGAACAGGGGTGACCGTGGGAGAGAAGTGGTGGGTGTTGTGGAGGGGCTCCAGGGGTCACGTTGGTGTTCCAGTTGTGGGACTGTCTGTGGTTGGACTGGTGCTGGGAGACCCAGGGGTGACCGTGGGAAGAGCAGTACTGGGTGTTGTGGAGGGACTTCCAAGGGTCACTGTTGGTGTTCCAGTTGTGGGATTGTTCGTGAGGGACTGGTGCTGGGAGAGCCAGGAGTTACGGTGGGAAGAGAAGCGGTGGGTGTAGCAGATGGACTTCCAGGGGTCACTGTTGGTGTTCCAGTTGTGGGAGTTCCAGTAGTCGGACTGGCGCTGGGAAAACCGAGTGTCACAGTGGGGACAGAACCAAGGGGACTCGACGTGGTGGGCAAGAGTGAGGGGCTACCAGCGGTCACTGTTGGCGTCCCAGTTGTGGGACTGTCTGTGGTTGGACTGGTGCTGGGAGAACCAGGGGTGACCGTGGGAAGAGAAGTGGTGGGTGTTGTGGAGGGGCTACCAGGGGTCACTGTTGGTGTTCCAGTTGTGGGACTGTTCGTTGAGGGACTGGTGCTGGGAGAGCCAGGGGTCACGGTGGGAAGAGAAGCTGTGGGTGTAGCAGATGGACTTCCAGGTGTCGTTGTTGGTGTTCCAGTTGTGGACTTCCAGTAGTCGGAGTGGCGCTGGGCGCTCCGGGTGTCACTGTGGGGCCAAGTGGACTGGCTGTTGTAGGCCTGAGTGAGGGGCTACCAGGATCACTGTTGGTGTTCCAGTTGTGGGACTGTTCGTTGAGGGACTGGTGCTGGGAGACCAGGAGTCACGGTGGGAAGAGAGTGGTGGGTGTTGTGGAGGGACTTCCAGGGTCACTGTTGGTGTTCCAGTTGTGGGACTTCCAGTAGCCGGACTGGCGCTGGGAGCACCGGGTGTCACCGTGGGGCCAAGTGGACTGGCTGTTGTAGGCCTGAGTGAGGGCTACCAGGAGTCACTGTTGGTGTCCCAGTAGTGGGACTGTCTGTGGTTGGACTGGTGCTGGGAGAACCAGGGGTCCGTGGGAGAGCAGTGGTGGGTGTTGTGGAGGGACTTCCAGGGGTCACTGTTGGTGTTCCAGTTGTGGGACTTCCAGTAGTCGGAGTGGCGCTGGGCGCTCCGGGTGTCACTGTGGGGCCAAGTGGACTGGCTGTTGTAGGCCTGAGTGAGGGGCTACCAGGAATCACTGTTGGTATTCCAGTTGTGGGACTGTTCGTTGAGGGACCGGTGCTGGGAGAGCCAGGAGTCACGGTGGGAAGAGAAGTGGTGGGCATGAGTGATGGGCTTTCAGGAGTCACTGTTGGTGTTCCAGTTGTGGGGTTTCCACTGGGACTTGTTGAGGGGATTGTCAGAGAAGATTCTAACCCAGAGGCGCTGACAGTACTGGTGCTGGCGAGAGCATCATTAAACCCCACAAGGAATGCAGATGCATCTGTGGCTTCATCCAACACTACAGTTCCACTCACATGGGTGGCATTCATGCCAAACAGCACAGATTGGATAGTTTGTAGTTTTCTCCGCTGAGTCCGGCTTTCTACACTTACTAGTGTAAGTATTGGAGGACATGCACCATTGTGCACTGTGGAAAAGCCACTTTCAAAGGCATCAATGAGAGTGTCATCGGACAAGGCTGATATGTCACTGTTGAAGTATACATAGAAAGTGTTCCAAGTTGTGGAAGTTTGCTCTGTGCATTGTTGGCTTGGGTTCAGGGATTGTTCTACTGTGGGGATAGTGGTTGGCTCAGCAAAGGGAGTTGTGGTGGGGTTAGCAGTGCTGGTGGGTTCTGGAGTTGGGTTGTTTGTGGGTTCTGGAGTTGGGCTGTTTGTAGGCTCTGGAGTTGGGTTGAATGTGGGCTCTGCTGTAGGTTCCATTGTAGGTAGTGCAGTTGGGTTGTTTGTGGGTTCATCAGTAGGCCTATTTGTTGGGCTTTCTGTTGGTGTTCGGGTTGGCTCATCAGTGGGCACAAGCGTTGGTTCAGACATGGATCCAAGTGATGATGGTGGGTTGGTCGATTCTGTTGCACTAGATAAAGTTGCCGATGGGTTGGCAGTGGCTGGCAATCCTTCTAATCTTGGCGTGCTGGGAGTAGTTGTTGAATCCATTGTACCGGAGGTACTAGGCGTCGATGTAGGCTGTGGGGATAGCTCTGCAGGTGCAATTGAGGTCGCCTGTGGGGTAGGCGTTCCTGGTTCCACTGGTGGCGGTGCTTCCATGGATGATACAGCACTTGGAGTCAAGCTTACTGGTGCAGTGATGACCATTGAATCCGTTGGTTTAGGACTTGTCGATGAAGCAGATATGGATCCTGGACTTGAAGCACTTGGAGCAGCTGTGGATTCAGGTGATGTAGCTGTGTTGATTGATTCAGTGCCAGGTGCTGTAGGTGCAACCAGACTAGGCTTCAGGGTTATGGAACCATCAGGCATCGTGGTGGGCCCCGTCAAACCAGAACTGAGAGTGCTTCCCACCATGATGTCATCTGAAATTGGCGAGGGGGCAGTGGCTACCCCAGTTGCTTCTGGGGGGGTAGCCGGGTTTGCTTGCTCCGCAGAATCAGCGCCGCTGGGTGTTGTTGCTGGAGAGGTCTCTTGTGTTCCAGCTGGGGCTAAGGCTTCTGGCATGGATGAATCAGCCCCGTTTGAAATCAAGGATCCATCAGGGGATGACGGCGACACCATTGGACTTGCAGAAAGGTCTGAACTTTCAGCTGTATTGTCAAGATTCGCCAACTCTACGCTTTGGCTTCCCAAAGCTGAGTCAAGGCCTTCAGTTCCACTTGTGATGGAATCAGTTGGGTTGTCATCCAACTCTACGCTTTGGCTTCCCAAAGCTGAGTCTAGGCCTTCAGTTCCACTAGCGATGGATCCAGTAGGGTTGTCATCAAAGGACTGACCAGTGCTTGCAGCTTCTGATTGCAACTCTGAGGGTGGTGTTGCTGCCTGAAGCAACATGGAAAGAGTCGCTTGACATTCCAGCGATGCTGTTGGCTCCTTGACACATTCCAACACAGTAGTGACATCGACCCCAGCATTGCTGGCTCTTTCTATGACAGCAGCACAAAAGTCGGTGGCTAGCATTTGTGAGCCGGGTTCAACACACTCTTGAATAGCTGTCAAGCCACTGTTGGCAAATGGTGCCACAATAGTTCCATTGTTTTCAACTATGGTTCCATATGCTCCCTCAACTTGTGATGGTCCAATTTCTGTAACCACAGCAGTTTCATCAAAAGTTCCATCTGGGTTGATTCTCTTGGTTGATCCTGCCACAACACGAACCTGATCTTGATATGCCGTGACGATGGTGATATCCAATGGCTCCAATCCATTGCCTTCAAGTACAACCTCCATATTGAATCCAATGGAGGCAGCAAATAGTGCAAAGAATTGGTCAAGAGGGAAGTCTGCCAGGTGCCTCCCACTTGGCTGAAATGCCAGCATTCTGGCGGAACCACCTGTAGCCCTATTATCTCCTTCTCCTGTATCAAACAGTGGCTCATAGTCGGGACAACCAAGGCAGTCCACCCGCGCCTCCCAAAATGTGGTAGTACTGCTTTCGGCCACTGCCAGGTCATACTCCTCGTCTGTCATATTGTAGTAGCTAGTGCCAGTCACAGTGCTGTTGGGACCCCAATCTGTCTCCCACTCGAGCAACGATGCTTGATGCACAACTCTCATCAAAGGATCCAAACACATGCCTGATATTTCATTGTAGACATCTCTGAAGAGTTCTTCCAGCACCTGTCTTCTCTGGTCGATGGCAATCGGTGACAACTGGGCAATCTTGAGCTCAACAAAGCCAGTCTTTAGTTCTGATTGGTCCGAGCACACAGGTGGGACGAAGCCAGTAAATGGTAGGGTAGATGTGGTTACATTTGTTGCTGCCCCTGAACTAGACGCTGATACCCCTGCAGAAACAGCTGCAGCTGCCGCCACTGTAGCTAAAGAATCAAGATTGGGGCGACAAGGGTTAGCTGATGGATTTGCGTGTGTACAGTATACCCAGTATACTAGGAAGTCAAAAGGTTCCATACCTGCACCAACAGCTATGCCTGCCTGTGCTGCAGCTCCAGCCCCGGCAATGACACCTGCTAATCCTGCAAGGCCACCTGCTGCTCCAGCTGCGGCCCCTGCTGCCGCTGCACCAGCCGCTCCTGCTGCGCCTGCAGCACTTCCCTAAAATACACAAGAACAAAAGAAAAAGTCACCAGCTGAGAATTGTGATTCGAATCTGCTGAGGGTGTCATTGGGGTTTGTACTGTACAACTTACTGCTGCTGTTGCCATTTGGGCAGTTCCTGGCGGAGAAGAGCCAGAGGAAGTACCACCGCCGCCACCACTGCCTGGTTGCCCCGTGGCAGAACTTAGATTTTGCGTTGCGTGTGATTCATCCAACATGGCATCTCTGATTCCATCTTGTGCCATGTCTTGAAGGCCACCATCGTCGTCTTCTCCTCCCTTTCCACACTTTTTGAGCCACTTGTAGAGTTTATCTAGATATCCCAATATCTTTTGAAGGACACCGTTTTGAATGTAAGCGATAATGACCCCCAGGAATCCTGCTCGAATGGCTGCTTCCCGCGCCTCTGTCGAATCTATTGTGGATACGGAATCGGAAAAGTAACTGCAGGCATCTTCGTCTTGATCGTCTTGACCTTCTTCTTGGTCTTTGTCGTCTTGTTCGTCGTCGTTTATTACCGGTATCTTTCCCGCTTCCAAATCTTCCAAATCACCCTGGATGAATCGGTGTTGATAGACTTGACTGGAATCCCCGATACCGGTAGATCTGGCTTGGTCGCCGAGGATGATAATGTCCCCAAAGGAGACGGAAAGACGAGAACCCGAGGAGTTGGAAAAGCTGCCCTCGCTGCTGCCACTATTGCTGCTGTCTTGGTGCTTCGATTCCTCATGGGTAGACGTCATGGGTAGCAGGATAGGCAAGTCGGCAGATGGTTCCGTTTCTGGCGATACTCGTGGAACTGACAGAGTCTCCACGTTGGAATCCAACTCCACGTTTGTAGTAGCAGCAGCAGTAGTAGTAGTAGTAGTAGTAGTAGTAGTAGTAGTAGTGCTGTTGTGGTGGCCACTATCATGATCATGATTTTGATCAGTACTGACACCGGAGTGTCCAGTGTTGGAATCGGACTCGATATCGTTATCGTTGTCGTTATCGTTAAGGTGGCTGTTGTCTTGGTGTTCCGGATCCTCGTGGGTAGAACCCATGCGTATCAGGGTAGGCAGGGCCACTCCGCTTTCCGGATCTTGCGATGATCGTCGAAGCGACCGGCGAGTACTACTGGTAGTATTGGTACTACTAGTAGTGTTGGTAGTGTTGGTGTTGGTGGCAGCCTCGGTATTGTTTTGAGACATCATCTTGCTACCAGGTACCGTTCTTTGTGTGAGATAAGGCTTGGATGGATAGACAGATGGATGGATAGCTACCGGGGGTATCTATCTAGGTATACTAGCTAGCTAATAGCTTAGATGGAGCAATTGAACACCGTTGCTGTAATAGAAGTGGATACTAAAGGTAGGTTTTTCAAAAGTCTTGTGAGGCATGCGCATGGATGTACTGGATGTACTCCTGAGTAGAAATCTGTTGGTCGCCTCCACCCACCACAATCCGCTTTGACGATCGAGGAGCTTTCAGGACGCTTTTTGGTTTTCTATCATGCCTTAATTGCCTCACAGTGGCCAAAGACGTTTCTGTGACTGACAGTCTGTCTGTGATCTGCCAAGACGCCAAGACCACTTACTGGATCATTTGGGAGAAAGAAGACTGCTTCCGGATTGGAGTTGCGGGAATACCTGTTCAATTCATTGCTTTTGGAAGAATGAAGCAATCCGGAAGAATGACTAAAAATGGAAGAATGACTCAATGTGGAAGAATGACGCAATCTGGAAAGCTCCACGTAACATTGCGTAGACATTAGTACTGGATGACGTAATCTGGAAGAAAGATGGAATCTGGAAGATTGTTGCCATTCGGTAGCATGACTCAAAGTGGAAGATTGACATAAACCAGCAGTAGCCCCCAAAAGGAAGTACTCCAAAAGTCCATTCCCCGCAACTCCATTCGATGCGCATCCTGGGAAATCTAAAGGGTCTTCTTACAATATTTGGTTGAAGGTACAGTACAGTGCCGGTACCGATACTTCACTTACATGTATGTATTCCAGCAAATTGCCACAAAAAGCATTACTGGGTGGCATACCGGTACGGTAGAAATCGTCAATAACTGAGTCTTGATTGATGTCTAGTTTTACCATTTTGGGGAAACGCAGAATTAATGAGCAATGCTTCTGCCAACAAGATGCTTCTTCCTTTTGTTCGCCACATCTTTTGCTGTGCGGGATCTGTAGCGACTACACGTGTAGTTGTAACCAATTAATTTTGTCCAATGTAGGACGTAAATTGTAAATTGATCCTGCTTCCACACTCTTTTACATCTATCTATTGCTGCAACTTTTCCAACTTTCCACTCCCTGCCGGTACTAGACTACCGGAGCTGCCACCTACCCGCATGGATCTGTCAACTGTCAACAAGATCGCTTCTTCCAACATCGACTGATGAGCAGATGAGCAGTGACTTTTGATGCTGTGAAGGTATGACCATATATGGCTATCGGTGCTGTTATCGTGGCCACGCAGAGTTATGAAGCGAAACTTCAAGGTTCAAGGAACTTCCCACTCGAGGGATGTGGATGCCTACACGTAACTACTTCTTCCTGCATGTTTACATTCTGCACCTCAGGTGACAAGACCACTCTATCTATCCTCTTTGCAGGAACACTCTAATTCTCGGAGTGAAGGAAATAGGGATCATTCCTGCATTCCTCAGAGTAACAATGCAGGATCGCAATGGCTGCCTGCCGCCATCCCCCTAAATGCCAACAAGGAACTGTCCGTCACAAAGGCAGCGTTGTTGCCGATGCTAGACTATTCTATTACTGTTGTTTACTCGAGTACTCGAAGTACATTGTGGGGTCGCCAGTCGCCAGCCACAGCGTAGATTTTGAGGTGATGCCTCAAGCAACGTCGTTTTGCGGTAGGGGCCAGGAACAAAGTGTAGAGTAGTCTAGCTAGAGCTTGAGCTCTGCTCTGAGTTCTGAGTACCTACAGTAATAGGAAAGGAGCCACGGTAGCTAGCTAGCTGCTGGCTACCGTGGCCATCGTGGCTCCTTTTAAGAAGCAAGAGTGCCAGTTTCGCAGCGGGTAGCAGCTGCGCTGCGGTGCCGTTCAACCAAGAAAGCGGAAGCTACTGCATGGTCATGCTTTTCTTGTAGGAAATGCGAAGCTTGCCTCTGAAGTTGCCGATTTGTCGCAGACTATTGCGGGAACAGCAGCTTGCTCAATCAACAGCCAGCAATCCACAACGCACAACGGAGCAAAAGCTACCCAACGAGACAAGAACCATCCTCCATGTCAAGCTGCTTTGCGCGCACATAATAGCTATGGTAGCTAACTATTGCCAGCGATAGCTGAAGCAGTCAAAGCTTCTGTTTTTCGCTACCGGAGCTAGCTATAGTTCTCAGCTTCCGCCGTGAACAATGGACTCACATGGCTCACTGGACTCATTGACATTATCTATAAAGAATGGTGGAAACTCTGGGACATGCGCAACCAAGACAGACATGGGCACGACATGAGAACCAAGTCACAAGCAAAGAAAGCACAAGCAATCCGACAACTCACTCAGTTCTACGAAGTATACCAGCAAGAAGTCCCCGAACATTTGGAATGGCTATTCCAGATACCACTCGAATCGCGCATGCAACTGAATACACCAGTCATCATTCAATTTTTGAACACATGGGAACCTGTGTTACAAGAGAGTCACTACACCACAGCCCTGGAAACAGGATAGTCGGACATTTCTACCATCCCTTTTTCCTTACCCCTCCTACCCCCTCAAACTTCTTTACCAACCCCAACTCTCTTCAACAAAGAGCTCGTGATTTGTGGTGAATCATGGCTCCGACCTCAGTGTACAAATCCTTAGATAGCTAACAGGCGTCGCACCCTCTCAGGAGGCCAGTGTGGCCGGTGAGCAGACTTGACTGTGGGAAATACCCGAGCCTTAGCTCGTGGGTAGTCCTCAAGCACATCTCGTCTGAATCCGTTATTAGACGTTCAGTTTTTTTTTTTGTGATGGTTGGGGAGAAGAAACCAACTCCATCATTGGTATGCAATGCAGTCAGCCATGGCTGTCTAGCTAGATACCCGGTAGCTAGCCCTATCATCGTCCTCCTGCGCTGGTGCCAACCATGAATTTCAAAGGCAGCATCTAGCAGCATCTCTAGAGAGCCATTCACAATATCAAAGCATTAGCTAATACTCTTAGTTGTTAGCGTCCTTGTAGCTGGAGATGGTAGCGACTTGTTTGGTCAGTGCTTAAATGACTCCACGAGAGGAAGCGGAGACTTGAAGGCTGTTTCTCAGATGAGTTTGCCGTGTGTCCCCACAATTACACATTGTCATCTCAACTTAAACCCAAAAACTGGAATCCACAATCAGCTGGTCCTGTTGTTGGTTTTGGCAGGGACTACTGCGATCAGTATCAAGACACTGGCCATTCTGGCTATTTTCAATGCCCCCACCACTGTCAGCAATCCATTGCTGATTACTATCGGAAGAAGAGCAAGTTGCTATTGACACCCAACTAGCATCATACTCCAAACATCCTTGGCCAGACTGTATCACAATCTGGCTGCAGGTGTTGTACTCAAATTGTTGGTTTGAGGCGCCAGTACAAGTTTCCATGGCAACACTTACACCATCAGATTGAAGAGTAAGACACGATGTTGAGTCAGTTCTGTGAAAAATGGAGCTTGCTGTTCCTACTTGAGCACAGCTTGCCACTGGAGCAACTGTTGGATTGATGGATGGTGCCATCGAAGGTTGAGATGAAGGTACTGGAATGGATGGATTGCTGCTCGGATTCAGGGATGGGGCAAAGGAAGGCCTGTTGCTTGGGCTTGATGATGTGAGAGGCACCGATGGAGACCCTGAGGGAATACTACTGGGAACTTGAGAAGAGGCCTTGGAGGGAATAGTGCTAGGGAGCATTGTTGGAGATTTCGATGGGGTCATACTGGTAAGTGTGGTTGGTACGTCTGATGGAGAGGATGATGGTAGCCTTGATGGATAGATGCTTGGAAGGCTTGAGGTTTCTGAGGGACTGATGCTGGGAATCATGGATGGGCTAGCTGATGGCAATTCAGAGGGTTTGCATGAGGGGTCGAGACTAGGGTGCCAGGATGGTAGCTCTGAGGAGGTGATGCTGGGATTGCCTGATGGACTCTCTGAAGGACCTAGGCTGAGAACCACGGAGGGTCTGTCTGAAGGTGCAAGAGAGGGTATACTTGAAGGTATCATGCTTGGGATTGACGATGGTTTCGTGGATGGGCTGACACTGGGAGTTCTGGAAGGCATGTAGGTAGGGTTAGCAGAGGGCACAGTTGAGGGGTTGACGCTGGGAATTGAAGATGGTTTTGTGGATGGGGTTGTAGAGGGCATGACTGAAGGGTTGATGCTTGGAGTTGAAGAAGGTGTTGAGGATGGGATGGCAGAAGGCATGACTGAAGGGTTGATGCTGGGAATTGACGATGGTTTTGTGGATGGAGTTGTAGAGGGCATGACTGAGGGGTTGATGCTTGGAGTTGAAGATGGGTTGATAGAGGGCATGGCTGAAGGGATGATGCTTGGAGTTGAAGATGGGATGTCAGAGGGCATGGCTGAAGGGTTGCTGCGTGGGATATATGATGGCTTTGAGGATGGAATGTTACTGGGATTCAGCGATGGTGGCTTTGAAGGGATCCCAGAGAGCATGTTTGAGGGTGTGTTTGAGGGCGTTCCAGAAGGGGTCAAAGAGGGCAATTAAGCCAGCGGAGCTGTGTAACCTCGGCAGAAAGGTTTCAGTGTACAAGCAGATACCCCTATTAGCTTGCTTGCTAGCTAGAAGCAGATACCTCTAGTGCTTAGCTAGTGCTTAACTTGCGCATAGCTAGCTAGAAGCAGATTCCCCCTAGCTAGAAGCAGATTCCCAAAGCAAGCTAGAAGCAGATACCCTAGCTTGCTAGAATACTAGTTATATAGCTTTCACTGGCTTTAGAGTTTTTCCTGGTAGAAGAAGACCCCCCTACTAAGATGCATGTAAATAGCTTTAGCTGGTTTAAAAGCACCATCCTGGGAACTTATTTAGTTTTTGCTGACTTATTTGTGTTCTAACCCTACCCTTATCCCTGCAGGGACCACCGTAGCAGGAAAAACAATTAAAGGGGTTGAGGGCTCTGGCAGCAAGACTGCCGAGGTGAAGAAGGTTTTGATGTTGTAGATAGTGAGGGAAGCATCAAGGTCGGCTGTGATGGTGCCTGTGCAGATGTTGATGGTGAGCCAGTGGGAGCACTTGATCCAGACAATGAGGGACTTCCAGGAGTCTCGGTGGGTGCTCCTGTTGTGGGACTCTTGGTGGTTGGAGCCAATGAGGGACTGCCCAGAGTAACAGTAGGACTTCCGGTTATTGGGGCAGCAGTGGGCATCACAGTTGTGGGGCTGGCACTGGGAAACCCAGGCGTGACTGTGGGAATAGAAGTGGTGGGTATCCCTGCTGTTGGGGATCCGTTCCCAGGACTTGCCGTGGTGGGAGCCAATGATGGACTTCCAGGAGTCACTGTGGGTGTTCCTGTTGTGGGACTTGCCGTGGTGGGAGCCAATGAGGGACTTCCAGGAGTAGCCATAGGGCTTCCAGTTGTGGTGGCTAGAGTGGGGGTCACAGTTGTGGGACTGACACTGGGAGAACCAGGGGCGACAGTCGGGGGAGAAGTGGTGGGTGTTTTGGTGGGACCTGCCGTGGTGGGAGCCAATGAGGGACTTCCGGGACTAACGGTGGGGGTTCCTGTTGTGGGACTCTCGGTGGTGGGAGCCAGTGAGGGACTCCCAGGAGTAACCGTAAGGCTTGGGCTTGTTGATGTACCAGGAGATGTCGAAGGTGTCGAGGTTGGGCTGGAACTTGGCACAGCTGTTGTACTCGGAGCTGTAGAAGGAATTGCAGTTGGGCTAGTGCTTGGACTTGATGATACACTGGGACCCACACTAGGATGAATGCTGGGAATAATTGACGGAGCCACACTTGCAGTGGGTGCTCCAGTAGTGGGGCTGATGCTTGGAGAAAATGACTCACTTGGAATGATGCTGGGGCTGCCTGAAGGAGATGATGTGACAGTGTCTATTCTAAAAGCAGTGGCTCCACTGTAGGCAGCATTGAAGCCTTGAAGGAATGCTGTGGCATCTGTTGTGATGTCCAAGAAGGTCCTGCCAGAAGCCTGGGTGCTGTTGATATCAAATAGAACTGTTTGGGATTCTTGTAGCCTTCTTTGCTGAGATCTGCCTTCAACTGTGATGCTGTTGATAATCACTGAACATGGGTGTGGTATATTGGCATAGCCATTCACAAATGCAGAAATTACAGTGTCATTGGTCAGCGCAGCAATATCACTGTCAAAGAAGACATAGTATAATGATCTTGTATCAACAAGTACCCCTGAGGAACACAAAGTGGGGGCACTTGACGGGGAATCTGAAGGCTCCAAGGAAGGCGAGAGTGAGGGAGACACAGAAGGTAGTAGACTGGGGTTGCCTGTCTGCACGCCAGTGGCACTTGTTGGATTGTCGGTAGGGTCAGAAGTGGATACTGGCGTTGGAGTTGGATTGGCAGTTGGCTCTAGGGTTTCACTGACTGTAGGCGCAAATGTGGGTTCCGGTGTTGGGTCATTTGTTGGAGAAACGGTTGGTGAAGTTGTTGGTGCTGTTGTTGGCGCTGTTGTTGGACTGCTGGTAGGGTCATCGGTTGGATCAGTAATAGGTTCTGGGGTGGGACTATTGGTAGGGTCATCAGTTGGGCTTATTGTAGGCTGTCTAGTCGGGCGTTCAGTTGGTTCTTGGCTTGGCTCTGGTGTTGGCTGGATGGTCGGAACCATTGCAAGAGGAGTTGGCTGAGAAGCTTGTTTGTTAGCCAATTGCACGTCTGTCTGGATGGTTGGCTCTTCTGGAGCAAGGGAGTGGCTTGGAGTCATTGCAAGTGTTGTTGGTTGGCTAGTCCTAGCAGGAGTTGGTGCTATGGTGGAGGTAGGAGGGGAAGTTGGATATGCTTCCTTTGAAGCAGCGGACAAATAGACTGCTCTGCTGGAAGGGTGGCGTGTGGGGGCTCCTGCTTGCAGAGTTGAGTAGGCTACCGTTGGTGCCTTTTTGGATGGTGCACCAATCACAGCAACACTTGGTGTAGTAGGAGAAGGCAAAGCTGAGGAAAGCACAGTAGTGATAATGGGTTGGCCTGTAGCCGGAGCTGACACCTGAGGGGTGCTAGCTAATGGATTGGGAGGACCCAGAAGTCCGGAGGCGGCATGTTGTAGGGCAGGTGCTTCAGATGTAATCGAAGCATGGGCTTTTCCAAAACCGATCACCGAGGGTGGCATAGCAGGCGATTGGTCAGAATTTTTGGAGGGTTGTGACAAGGCAGCGGGATTTCCAACAATCAATGCAGTCGGTCGCCCCAGACTGGGAGTTGCTATTGTTGGGGTATTTGGCTGTGCACCATGTGCAGTTGGATTGAGAGGAAATGGGGCTTGTACTGGACTATCCAACGACACAGAAAGAACAACAATGGATGATGGTGTGAAAACAATGCCATCATCAGTGGGATTTGTGATCATAGAGCTTGATGGTTGGGTAATGGATGTCATCTGAGATGTTGTACTTGGGCTCGCCATAGGCGGTGTGGTCTGTGAGTCAATTACAACTGATACGCCACCAAAATCCCCAGCGTCTTCGAGTGGCGAACCAGATCCACCTTGGTTTTGAGCAGAGATTCCCAATACACTAGGCAGGATTTGTTGGCACTCCAAAGAAGATGTGGGGTAGGACACACAATCCAGAATCGTTTGTGGGTCTGTCCCTGAAGTGACGTGTAGAACATCCTGACAGAATTCCGACTGGGTCACTGCCTCATCCCCATTAATGCTGGAATCCATGCATTCCTCAATGTCTGACAGATCACTAATGACAAATGGTACCATGATGATTCCGTCATTATCTTGGACAGCTTGCAAGGCCTCTTCAACTTTAGTGGGACCAACTTCCAAGACAACAGACCTATCTCCCAAAGGGCTAGTTCTGGGCTGGGCAGCCCTGGTAGTTCCTCGCGTCACTCTTGCATTGCGCAAGGAGGATGATTGACAGTTGCTGCTGGAGGCGGTGATGGTCACATTTCCCTGAAGCAAGGGCACCAAGTTGAAACCCACAGAGGCAGCAAACAGAACAAAAAAGTCCTCCAGTTCATACTGTCTCAGGTTCCGTCTTCTTTCACTCCCAAGGCCATCTTGCCTGGCATCGAAGAGGGGCTCATGATCAGGACACCCCAAGCAATCCACCGTTGCTTCCCAGTAGGTGGTTGTGACACTCTGAGCCACAGCCAGGTCATACTCTTCTTGAGTCAAGTTTTGTGCTGTTGGATCCAGAACTGTGGTATTGCCAAAGGTGGATGTCCCATTTGCAGCAACACCCCACTGCGTTTCCCATCCCACGAGTGTTGCTTGGAGCATGACTCTTGCCATTGGATCCAGACACATGCCAATGATTTCATTGTAGACATCCCTGAACATTTCTTCCATGACCCATTTCCTTGGTCCAATGGCATCAGGTGGTATAGCCTGGATGTCCAGTTCGACATAGCCAACCTTGTTATCGGACTCCTCCGAGCACTTGGGTGGGACAAAAGAACTCAGGCGCGACACTGTCGCTTCTTGTGTTGCTGTACCAGTGGAAGCAGTGGAGTTGAAAGAAGAGGAGGCCGCCACAACTCCAACCGTTGCCGTGACTGCTGCCACACTCATGGCCACCCCCACTTGCGTTGCAACTCCCGCAGCCCCAATTGCTCCCATGACCCCCCCTGCAGCAGCGGCCGGTCCTGCCACTACCATCCCCGCCGATGCTCCTGCTGCTGCTGCAGCGTTGGCCTTTGGAACGACGCACATCAAGCATGGTTGAGATGCGATTGGCGTTTCGAATCAAAATCGAATCAAGTCAAATCATAATACACGTATATATCTGCTTACCGCTGCGGTTGCCATTTCGGCCACACCGGGTGGTGGCGTGGGTGAGAACGATGTGCTGCTGGGTTGCTGCGGAGACGGCTGCCCATGAGTACCTGTGGTGTGCGATGTATGCGATTCATCCATCAAGGCATCGTGATGCTGGAACATGTCATCGCGATCCATCCCCGTCTGATCTTCGTCTCCCTTTCCACACTTTTTGAGCCACTTGAAGAGTCTATCGCAATATCCCACGATCTTTTGCAGAACATCATTTTGAAGGTAACTGATAAAGACTGCAAGAAAACCTGCTCGAATGGCAGCTTCGCGTACCTCTGTGGAATCTATTGAGGATATGGAATCGGAAAAGTAACTGCAGGCATTGTCGTCTTGGCTTGTGGCAGCTTCCAGATCTGGCTCATCATCGTCACTAGCCTCTTCGTCTTTTGGGGTAATATCTAGATCTAGATCTGGATCTAGATCCTTCACGTAAACCTCTGGTGCTCCACTTGTCGCACTGCGCGCCACAACGGGCGCAAATCTCACTCGAGTTTGCTTACCGCTCTGTTCCTCTAGATCTGTAGTATCACTACGACTGTTAGCACAGCTCCAAAAGATTCATTCACCCAACAAACAAGAGATTCTCACCAAGCATGAGCACCTCTGTGACAACAAAAGCATCGGAGAAGTAGTCACTAAGCACACATCATTTCACAAAATATACCCCAACACCACACTGGGCTCTGAGTGGGACATCATTGCAGAAATCAGACACACAATGTTAGAAGACCTCGACGAAGCATCCAGGCCCTCAATCCATCACATAAAGGGACATCAAGACGACAACAAACCATATGACCAACTCCCGCTGAAAGCTCAGCTGAATGTAGATGCCGATAAGCTAGCCGACACATGGCTCCAAGCTCACTCGGACACCGACTTCACCAGAGTTCCCATCTTACCCACCAGTGGATGCCAAGTTGAACTGAAACAAGGAACAGTCACATTCAATCTCAAACAAGAGCTGAAATGTGCCAGAACCTACCCACTGCTCAAACAGAAATTGATGAAAGACTACAACTGGTCAGAAGACACATTCAATGACATTGACTGGACCGCACATGGAAGAGCTTTGCGAAGACACGATAATCATCGTCCAACAATGGTCAAATACCTCAACAAAGTCCTACCTGTTGGAGCATTCCTTCATAAAACAAACCCCAAGTATTATGCAGGATGTCCATCATGCAACAACCCTTCAGAAACAAGGCACCATCTGATGGAATTCAGCAGCCCTGAAAGAATCAAATGGCGTGAGAAATGCTACAGTGCAGTCCTAGCATATGCCCAGAAAAAGGACAACTCTCCAAAAATCCAGGGGCTTCTCCTATCAGGCCTCAAAGTATGTTTACATCACCAAAACCCAACAACAATCCAAGAAGATCCTTCATGGGACACACTGAAACAAGCACAAGATGCCATTGGATGGCATCATCTGTTAAAGGGGAGAATCTCTAAACAATTCAGTCAGGAACAAGACCGATATTTGAACATGAAAAAGACCGCAACCAAACGCAACAATGGACTCACATGGCTCACTGGACTCATTGACATTATCTATAAAGAATGGTGGAAACTCTGGGACATGCGCAACCAAGACAGACATGGGCACGACATGAGAACCAAGTCACAAGCAAAGAAAGCACAAGCAATCCGACAACTCACTCAGTTCTACGAAGCATACCAGCAAGAAGTCCCCGAACATTTGGAATGGCTATTCCAGATACCACTCGAATCGCGCATGCAACTGAATACACCAGTCATCATTCAATTTTTGAACACATGGGAACCTGTGTTACAAGAGAGTCACTACACCACAGCCCTGGAAACAGGATAGTCGGACATTCCTACCATCCCTTTTTCCTTACCCCTCCTACCCCCTCAAACTTCTTTACCAACCCCAACTCTCTTCAACAAAGAGCTCGTGATTTGTGGTGAATCATGGCTCTGACCTCAGTGTACAAATCCTTAGATAGCTAACAGGCGTCGCACCCTCTCAGGAGGCCAGTGTGGCCGGTGAGCAGACTTGACTGTGGGAAATACCCAAGCCCTCGCTCGTGGGTAGTCCTCAAGCACATCTCGTCTGAATCCGTTATTAGACGTTCAGTTTTTTTTTGTAGTATCACTACGACTGACAGCTGGAGCTGGAGTTTGCAACGGTAACGGGGCTCCTCTTTTTTCTGGCTCCCTTCGCCGCCACTGCTGTTGCCTCTGATCAGCACCACTAGACCTACTACTCCCAACAGGGGAGATCGTAGCGCTGTTCGTCTTGGTCATCTTCTCCCTCCCACCGTACCCGCTTGGTTCAGGTAACGTGCTTGGCTCTAATAGTCTAATAGGAAGACTGTTGTGTGAAGTAAGTGGTGATGTGAGGCGAGGTCAGCTCTTGCTTTTGACTTGAGGAGGGAGGAGGCAAACCAAAGGATTGAAGTTCATTCGATTTTCAAACATTTTTGAAGAGTTAGCGTAGCTTGGATACCGGCGGGGTCGGATGAGTGACCCCCTTGAGTTCACCTCTTGGTTCTTTTTCAGCTGTTGCAGCGGAGCGTGGTTCCAAATCACAAGATCCCAGCAGTACCACTGCGTTCTTATGGTCGCACGGAACGCCACGAACGGGTAACGACATTTAAATCCTCGATGGTAAGTAAGTATTGATACCTGGTATGCATACATACTCATACATGCACCTGAATGTCAGTGCTAATTCTACCAAAAACGATTTTAAGAATAGATTTATCACGTCTTTAGTTCCTCAGTAAGACTGGTTCAGAGCACAGCTCCATTTCTTAAGGGGAATTCGGTAATACTAGTAGAACCTCATTACCTCAAGCTTTCGTCAGGAGAATGTCAGTAGCTATGTCAGCTCTTTTGCGGATTGCAGATTCGATTCCTCACAATGGAGAATGGAGTTAATTGTACCGCAGATCTTCGCAGCACTCGTAGATATACATGGGCGCCACGATCATTTACAGCAGACATTCTTGGGTAATTATTGAAATCATACCGTATCATAGTTCCTACTGAGTAGGCAAAATATTTAAAGAAAGATTCTCCTCTCGTCCTAGTTTTGGCTACTGAAATAACAGAAGGCACCAGAGCACAGAACTTTATGTTTATGGTCGTGCAACACTCTCGCATTCAACAGATATATAGATTTAACAGAGACGAGTCGAGTCAACCGGCTCTGTTTGCCGACTGTCGACTTGGAAATTCTGGACCGAGTCAAACTATAGCTGTCAAACTGCACACCGCACAGTTCCATGCGGTCTGCTACCATAGTAAATGAAGCGTAAGGATGAGGATGGTGCTGTCTACATGTAACCAGATCATGTTTGGCGGGGCAGGTGGCTTCAATCGAAGAGAGTATGAGCGAAATGGCGGATCAAATGGTTCAAACCAATGCAACGATGGGCTCTCCAACGAGTTGGCATCGTTGTAGCAACTGCAGCTTTCGTGTGACCGTATTGCCAGGTGACCATGGGAGTCCTTATCCTCCCTGGCCTCGAAGATCTCTCTCTCTCAGATTAGTTTTTCATAGCTTTCTAATCATCTCATAACTTTCATTCTCTCAAACCCAAAACACTCGAAAGATCTTTACACTAGCTTTTAGCGTAGTGCACTTGCTTGCGCTGGGAAACAGACCGTGACGCCTCAACACACCATTGAGAGAGAATCTGACAGAAAGGAACGTCCCATTCTTAGTGAAACTTGAGCTGCCTAACTAGACTAAGCCTACAAAAATTTATCACAATGTGTGCTTCCAAGTTTCAACATTTTTTGATGGAAACAGGGTATGGTAAAGGAGAGTTGATTATCTTAACATGCCGTAAGAATTAGCTCCCACGAATTAAGTTTTCCCTCGTCCTGGTTAGCATCGTCAGCAACCTTCAGTGTCCAGGTGCCTGCAGATGATTCCCTATCAAATGCAGTTAGAGCATTTTCCGGCTGAACATGTGTGCCAGCCGCGACGCCACAGGAACTTGCTACCACAATGCTACTGGAATCATCAAAAACAACATTAATGTCATCTTCACTGTTGCACTGTCTTGGTCTGAGCACTAAGGAAGTGGACTCAGATTCAATAGAAACAGTCAAATCGCCACTCCAAGTGTGTGTGACATCCACCTCCAACTGAACATCACAGATTTCGAAGCTGTCAGAAACAACAATGCTGTGTTCAGTCACTTCATTGTCTTTGATGTCTACTTCGATGTTTCCAGAGGCGTAGGGAAAGACCGTGCCTGGAGAAACAACTGGAGGAGGAGATGGTTGGTCGGATGGGGATTCTGAGGGACTGACACTGGGAATATTGGAAGGCGTCATTGAAGGAGAAGATGATGGAGTCATGGAAGGACTGATGCTGGGAGTTCTTGAAGGGAAGTCTGAGGGACTGACACTGGGAATATTGGATGGAGCCATCGAAGGAGAAGATGATGGGAAATCCGAAGGACTGATACTAGGAGTTCTTGAAGGGAAGTCTGAGGGACTGATGCTGGGCAGCATGGATGGAGCAATTGAAGGAGAAGACGATGGCACCATGGAAGGACTGATACTGGGAGTGCTTGAAGGGAAGCCTGAGGGACTAACACTGGGAATATTGGATGGAGCCATTGAAGGAGAAGACGATGGAACCATGGAAGGACTGATACTGGGAGTTCTTGAAGGGTGGTCCGAGGGACTGATGCTGGGCAGCATGGAAGGCGCCATTGAAGGAGAAGACGATGGAACCATGGAAGGGACAATTGAAGGAGCAGCTGATGGAACCATGGAAGGTGACATTGAAGGAGAAGACGATGGAACCATGGAAGGACTGATACTGGGAGCTCTTGAAGGGAAGTCCGAGGGACTGGTGCTGGGAATATTGGATGGCGAGGATGATGGACTGATGCTGGGGAGCATGGACGGACTGCTACTGGGAGTCATAGATGGCGCTTCAGATGGTTGGAAGCTTGGCAAATAGGAGGGAGAGGATGATTCAGTAGGGGATCCAGATGGCATTGTGGAAGGGGCTCTCGTTGGGGTCCCTGGTGTAACCGAAGGACGCTCTGAAGGGGTAGAGGAGGGATGATTAGAAGGCAATGAAGACGGGAGAAGTGATGGAACAGTGGATGGAAACCTGGAGGGAGTCATCGACGGAGCGACAGAAGGAACAGTGGATGGAGAGGAGGAAGGGCTGCCTGATGGTGTTTTGGAAGGGGGGTTTGATGGTAAAGAGGATGGAGAGTTGGAAGGGGGTTCGGATGGTTCAAGAGATGGTGAGGCCGATGATGTCTTCGATGGTGGCAAGGATGCAGAGTTGGTGGGGGAATTGGATGGTTCAAGAGATGGTGTGGCAGATGGTTGTGTACTTGGTACACTTGAGGGCAATGCAGAAGAAGGTTGACTGCTTGGTACTGTGGAGGGAGATTGTGATGTGCTGGGTGATGCTGAGGGTTGGATTCTTGGGCTTACTGTTGGATTTCCTGGTGCTACAGAGGGACTCTGAGAGGGAGATGAAGACGGGAGACTAGAAGGTCTTATAGAGGGTACAAAAGATGGATTCAGGGATAGAAGACGTGAAGGTACAAATGATGGAAGGTTGGATGGTTGCTTGATTGGTGCTGATGGGGGAGAAGATGAGGCACTAGGTGGGGAAGAGGGCATAGCTGTAGGGCTTCCTGTTGGATTTCCTGGTGTTACAGATGGTCGTTGCAATGGAGATGATGATGGGAATCTAGACGGACTTGTAGAGGGCGTAAATGATGGAATCTGGAATGGAATCACTGAAGGTCCAACTGATGGAGAGTTGGATGGTTGCTTGCTTGGTGCTGATGAAAGAGAAGATGAGGTGCTAGGTGGGGCAGAGGGCATAGTCGTAGGGCTTCCGGTTGGATTTCCTGGTGTTACCGAGGGTCGTTGAGATGGAGATGAAGATGGGAAACCAGAAGGACTTGTGGAGGGTGTAAAAGATGGATTCTGGGATGGAATACCTGAAGGTTCTACTGATGGAGAGGTGGATAGTTGCTTGGTTGGTGCTGATGATGGAGAAGATGAGGTGCTAGGTGGGGCAGAGGGCATAGTTGTAGGGCTTCCTGTTGGATTTCCTGGTGTTACAGAGGGACTGTGGGAAGGAGATGAAGTCGGGAATCTAGATGGACTTGTGGAGGGTTTAAATGATGGAATCTGGGATGGAATCCCTGAAGGTACAACTGATGGAGAGGTGGATGGTTGCTTGCTTGGTGCTGATGACGGAGAAGATGAGGTTCTCGGTGGGGCAGAGGGCATAGTTGTAGGGCTTCGTGTTGGATTTCCTGGTGTTACCGAAGGTCTGTGAGAAGGAGATGAAGTCGGGAATCTAGAGGGACTTGTGGAGGGTGTAACAGATCCGTTCCCAGAACTTGCATTGGTGGGAGCCAACGAGGGCTTTCTGGGACTAACCGTAGGGCTTCCTGTTGTGGGACTCTTGGTGGTGGGAGCCAGTGAGGGACTCCCAGGAGTAACCATAGGGCTTCCAGTTGTGGGGGCAGCAGATGGAGTCGCAGTTGTCGGACTGGCACTGGGAGAACCAGGGGTGACTGTTGGGAGAGAAGTGGTGGGTGTTGTAGAGGGACTTGCCGTGGTGGGGGCCAATGAGGACTTCCGGGACTACCGTGGGTGTTCCTGTTGTGGGACTCTCAGTGGTGGGAGCCAGTGAGGACTCCCAGGAGTAACCATAGGGCTTCCAGTTGTGGGGGCAGCAGATGGAGTCGCAGTTGTCGGACTGGCACTGGGAGAACCAGGGGTGACTGTTGGGAGAGAAGTGGTGGGTGTTGTAGAGGGACTTGCCGTGGTGGGGGCCAATGAGGACTTCCGGGACTACCGTTGGTGTTCCTGTTGTGGGACTCTCGTGGTGGGAGCCAGTGAGGGACTCCAGGAGTACCGTAGGGCTTCCAGTTGTGGGGGCAGCAGATGGGTCACAGTTGTGGACTGCATGGGGAACCAGGGGTGACTGTTGGGAGAGAAGTGGTGGGTGTTGTAGAGGGACTTGCCGTGGTGGGGGCCAATGAGGGACTTCCGGGACTAATGGTGGGTGTTCCTGTTGTGGGACTCTGGTGGTGGGAGCCAGTGAGGCTCCCAGGAGTAACCTAGGGCTCCAGTTGTGGGGCAGCAGATGGAGTCGCAGTTGTCGGACTGGCACTGGGAGAACCAGGGTGACGTGGGAGAGTGGTGGGTTTAGAGGGACTGCGTGGTGGGCCATGAGGACTTCCGGGACTAATGTGGGTGTTCCTGTTGTGGGACTCTCGGTGTGGGAGCCAGTGAGGGACTCCCAGGTGAACCTAGGGCTTCCAGTTGGGGGGCAGCAGATGGGTCACAGTTGTGGACTGGCTGGGAGACCAGGGGTGACTGTGGGAGAGAAGTGGTGGGTGTTGTAGAGGGACTTGCCGTGGTGGGGCCAATGAGGACTTCCGGGACTAGTGGGTGTTCCTGTTGTGGGACTCTCGGTGTGGGAGCCAGTGAGGGACTCCCAGGTGAAACCGTAGGGCTTCCAGTTGTGGGGGCAGCAGATGGTGTCACAGTTGTCGGACTGGCACTGGGAGAACCAGGGGTGACTGTTGGGAGAGAAGTGGTGGGTTGTAGAGGGACTTCCGTGGTGGGGGCCAATGAAGGACTTCCGGGACTACCGGTGGGTGTCCTGTTGTGGGACTCTCGGTGGTGGGAGCCAGTGAGGACTCCCAGAGTACCGTAGGGCTTCCAGTTGTGGGGCAGCAGATGGTGTCACAGTTGTGGACTGACAGTGGGAGAACCAGGGGTGACGTTGGGAGAGAAGTGTGGGTGTTGTAGAGGGACTTGCCGTGGTGGGGGCCAATGAGGGACTACTGGGACTACCGGTGGGTGTTCCTGTTGTGGGACTCTCGGTGGTGGGAGCCAGTGAGGGACTCCCGGGTGTAACCGTAGGGCTTCCAGTTGTGGGTGCCATAGTTGGAGCCTGAGTGGATTGTGTGACAGCTGTGGCAGCTACACCTGGCAACCCCAGGGCAACGGTAAATGCTTCAATGAAAGCAGCTTCATCATTGACTGATGGGAAAAGGCTGGACCCACTTGGCTGTCTCGACATAATAAGAAATGGTGTTGCAGGGGAAGATGGAATTTGCAGTCTACGTTGACCTGTTGGTGCAAGCAGCTCTATGTCCAGTAGCACTGCAGAACATTCTTTTTTGCTCACTGCTTGGTATCCCATAGCAAAGGCATTCACTAGCGTGTCAGGTCCAGTGCCGCCAATATCTGTTGAGCTGAATACATAATATAATTGTTGCTCTTCAACAAAGCCACACCCATGGTTGGCAACAGTAGATGGCTCTCCTGATGGTGCATGCGATGGTGACCTAACTGGAGATCTAGTGGGCAGTGCAGATGTGTTTGGTGGGGCAGATGGGTTTGGTGGTTGTCCTGATGGTGCTTCTGATGGTGCCTGCAATGGTGACATAGCTGGAGACATAGTGGGTTTAACAGTTGTGCTGGATGATGGGGGAAAGGGTCGTGCTGTGGAGGGAGAAGTCAAAGGGCTAGAGGTTGGCGAGCTGGTTACAAGGGCCGTAGATGGCTCTGATGTTGGATGTGGCATGGGCTCTGGGGTTGGGCTCAGTGTGGGCTCCGCAGTGGGCTCAGGTGATGGTTCTGGAGTTGGTTCTCCTGTTGGCTCTTGAGTCAATGGAGGAAGAGTAATGGTTATGGACAGAGAAGATGTCACGGTGTTTGCAGTTGGGCGACCTGTTGGTTCTTGAGTCACTGGAGGAAGTGTGATGGTGATGGATGAAGAAGAAGAAGGCATGATGCCTGCAGAGGGATTAGTTGTGGTAGTGATCGCTACTGTATGATCAGAACTAGATGATGATGATGATGATGATGTTGAAGGTGCGCCAGATGAGTCAAAGGAACTGGTTGGTGAATTCTTCACAGTGGGACTGGCTGGTTCTGCACGAGCACCAGCTGGACTGAAAGAAGCAACTGGGCTGGTTGGATTGCTTTCCGATGTAGGATTTGGTGGCAGGTTTGGTTGCAATTGAGGACCATTAGCTTGGTTGTCACTGCCTGGACTGCTTGGACTGCTTGGAGTGATGGTGACAGCAGGGTGGCTTCCCAGAGTATGACCAGGTGCCATGCTTGATGGGATTGGCGAGTACTGTGCCAATATAGTCGGTCTGGGTTGTTCTACAAGGGGATTGGTAGGTGACAAGGGAATTTGTCCAAAACTGTTGTCAGAAGTAGTCTCAGTTGTGGTTTCTGAAGTAGGAAACTGAGAACCAGCAGGATCATTGACCCACATTGCCGCAAGTGTTGGCTCGTTGCGACTTCCAAGAGAGTCATCTAGTTGATTAAATGGACCAGCAGGGGAAGCACTTGGTTCACGTATTCCCGCTCGGGCAGAATCATAGGCTGATGGTGCCAATGCAGTTGCAACAGGACTTACTGCCAAATTCACTGGACTTGATAAAGGAGCCGATCCAATGGCTGTAGTGTTGGAACCTGTAGTAGAGGGAAGGTGAGTGCCTGATGTTACAACTGTGGGTACACTAGCCAACAAATCAAGATGCCCAACAGCAGTAGGATTTTCAGCATCTTCTAGGTCAAACACATTCGGGCTCAAGTCATCTTCACTGGACTCTTTGGAAGGATCAGGTGACAGTTCCAGAAGCAAGCCAGGCAATAGCCTCTGGCACTCTTGAGATGAAGTTGGATTGTTGGAACACTCCATAACAGTCTCAGCAGAAGCTCCTGATGCTTCCGCTGTTTCCAACATAGAGCTGCACAACGGAGATGAGGGTCTCATTCTTGTAGCTCCATCTTGTAGGCCAGTCCCAAAGCAACCTTGAATCTCAACCAGGCCATTGCCAATGAAGGGTGCTACAGGTGTACCGCCATTCTCCTCCACTTCAATGGTAGCATCTTGAATCAGGCGCAAGTCAACCACAAGGACTACAACATCTCCCAGCTTTGTGTATCCTAGGATTGCCTTGGTTTCTTGCTGGACGAAGCTACTACCAGTATCATGCACAGTGACCCCACTGACAGGCAGGGCACCATTAGCCTGAAAGTATGGAGCCAAGTTGTAGCTGAAGGATGCAACAAATAGGGCAAAGAAATCTAACCAAAGATCAAACATGGGCTCACCCTCTGGACAATCCACACACTGTAATTTGGATTCCCAGTAGGTGGTGGTGATAGATTGGGTAGCTGCAATATCATACTTTTCCATGGTTGTGTTAGTAGTGATGGTCCTGTTGCTGACGTAGGTGTCATTAACACTGTAGATCTGCCCATCAGTCTCCCACCTTGTGAGGTTGGCATCAAGCATAATTCTAGACATGGAATCCAGACACATTCCAGAGATTGTGTTGTACACATCCCGGAATAGGTTCTCCAAGACATGCTTTTGGTGAGGAAGGGCATGAGGTGGTAAACCTTGGATACTAAGTTCAACATAACCAATCTTTTCTTCTAGCAAGTCAGCATCAGAGCAGGAGGGAGGAGTGAAGACTGGTGATGTGGGATCAAATCCAATTGAGGCATTGCCAGGACTGCTGCTGGAAGTGGGTGCCGAATCTGTCCGCCCCTTCCTGGAAAGGACTGCCACTGTTGTGACAATCCCAGCCAAGAGTGCAAGAGCCACAATCATGACTGCAGTCTTGGAGGCTGTGCCGGCTCCTGCCCACCAAAAGCAACAGGTGGCTGCCTTTTTCCTTGAGGAAGTGGTGGATACAGAAGCTGCATCGTCAGGTCCTCCCTCTGGGATAGTGGTTTCCATTCCACTGTAAACATCTTCAGCATGATTTGCATCAGCTGGAGGCAATGGTGTAACACTGTTTGTCATTGTTGCAAAATCTTATTGTGCATTTACTGTGTGTCAAAGTTGTTTCTTTCTTTGGCAAAATTGTGAGGGTTTGGTGTGGTTTGCAGCAAACTCTGCTCGAGCACGCAGCGGGCGGCTTTTCTATTATTAGTACCTTGGAAGTCATTTATTTGAAGGGTCATGCTCGAAAAGCTCTCCATTCAACATTCAACCAGGTTCCATGAAAAATATATTTGGTTTTATGGACCTGTTTCCGCACCTTGCAGCAACCACTCTGAGCGAGTTCAAACCAACCAGCTTCTGCCTTTTCGATGAGGCCTCGAACTTTCTGCATTGTACGGTGACGTGCATGGTTCGGTTTGGAACTTAATTACTAGTAATACTCGAGCAGAAGTTTAAAAAGTCCTTTCATCGAGCTGACGTTCGACGATTCAGAGAACTAATATTCCTATTTAAGAATTAACTGCGAGGCCACACCAACAAGTTCTGGGCTACGGCTGTACCGATAGTTATGAGATTGCTATGTGGGGATCAACGGAAACGCTTGGTTGCCAAATACGCAGCGACTGGATAGCTAGTACTAGTATAGCCAGTAGCCAGCACCAACCAGTTCACCAAGGGTCATCGGAGGTTGGCACTTAATTAAACTTTGCTAAAATCGTATGACTTAATTAAATTGACACTTGACTGTTTTTCAACCACCACGCAATGTCACGCAATTTTACCGCCCAGCATCAACTAATCGAGGCCATCGGCAAGCAAAAGCTACCGGCCGCTAGTTAGATAGTAGTGGGTAATGGCAGTAGCTAGCTAGCTAGCTGGCTGGCTGCGTGTAGCTCCTTCCACCAAAGATTTCCAAACTCGGTCGAAAAACAAACCACCACTGCACCAACATCGAAAACACAACAAACAAAGTGAAGTCTGTGGGTGCGTTCTTCAACTAGTACATGCCAGGTGGTACCGGTACAGTACCAGCATCAGCCAGGTGTACCATTCTCTAGTACGGGTAGCCATAAGCAGGCATGAGCTGTGGGCTGTTGTGCTGTCGAGTCTTATAGGACATTCATTCTAGAGAAGAGTGGCATGCGGCCCAGCTTCAATTCATGAGTTCCTAACTAATCTCAGAAGCCTACGTCATTCGTCACGGGGCCTACGTTATTCGTCACCAATGGGGCGAGCCAAAATCACTGAAGACTTCCGCTCCCTGCTACCGTATGCATACCCTGTACCGGTACTCGTACTTACGAATGATGAAGGTGTTGTACTGAGCCTATTGTAGTCTCAAAGCAATGGTATACGGTAGAATAAGTACCGTACCAAGCACGAGGACGGAGATACTTGGAATAATGGTTGGATAATGCGGCAGGCGAGGGGAGGGGATGCTGTCAGTCGACGATCGAGAAGTACATGTACCGGTAGAAGTCGGCGATGCGGTCGGCCTTGGCGATGGGGAAGGAAAGGGGGGGGGGGGGTGGGGGGGGGGGGGGGTGATTCACACCGGTAGCAGGGTGATGGCAAATGATCAAGATCAAGATGTTATTGCTATGAATTCATTAATTAGGATTATCACTTACTAGTATAGTATATAAGGGGGTTTAGAGTAGGGAAATATCTACGGAAGCCAGCCGGGGCCAGGCTTAAGCAAAGAACAGTCGAAATTCAGGACTAGGTTCTGAGGGATCAGGGCAAGAAATTGAGGACCATTACGGGGGCAAAGGGTTTGGCTTTGCGGATCCACGGAGACATAAATGGGTAGCTTCACAAGGGCAATTGAGATACGGGTCTGCATGAAGAACATATTTGAGAGTAGGAAAATGATTTTGGAGGCAGTAGCAGAAGCAAGGCGTTGTAAGAGAGTCTTGGCTTGAGGGGCAAGCATGCCATCCACTGAAACAACAAAGGGGTGGAAGGAAGCGCGATTGGACTCGCACGCGTCTTTATATTGGAAATTTTGTCGCGTTCTTGTTGGGTTAAAACTTTGACGGGATCTTTGTTGCGGTAAGAGGCACAGTCCAAATCAGTGACACGTACGTCAATAATAGCTGTAGTACACTCGTTCAAACAAGCCGCGAATAGGAAGATCACCGTAAGAGCTCGGGGGCTGGAGGGGGATTGGAGGGGGGGAGGAAGGGGAGAAGGAGAAATTGGGTGACCGGCAGGGATAGTGGGGGGGGAACAGAGGGAAGGGTGGTTCTGACTGGACGCTAGAGGAACCAAAGCATTCAATGCAATAGAACCAAGTTCATTGCGGATTTCATATGGCGACGGATGATTAAGCCGCCGCGTTTGCAATCCAGAGCATGTGGAACGCTGAAGGGACCAGTACAGCCATCACAAAGTGCTGGAAGAGCTGGGGGGGTAAGACCGAACCGGAGAAAAAGAGCATCACGCATTCTTGAGCAGAGAGGTGAGTGCGTTTGGCAATATTGGGCATGACTGCAAGCCAGGAGCCAGTGCAACGACTGCGATTGAGGCGGGACTGCTCAGCCGGAGTGAGAGTGGCTTGATGGGTCTCGAAAGCCGCTTGGTAGGCGTCGTGATGGCGTTTGGTGGCGCTGATATGACCTTCTGTGAGGGCTGTGCGATGGTCTTCAATTCTGAAGGGATGACGTGGGGGCTCAATGAAGGGGGTGGCAGGGTCGTTTCAATACGAAAACGTGCGAAACGAAAGCAGCAGCATAAAAGCCAGACACAATCTTAAGGGAGACAGGAACTAATAGCGCCCAAGTCACAAAGGTTGCATGGCCAGAGAATATGTAGTATATACGGCCGGTGTGTAGCTCTGCATGAACTGGCAAAAGCTACCGGTACTTGCAGCCAGCCACCATGACTGTTTCGTCGTCGTGTCTTGTAGTAATAGCAGTACCACCCCTGGGCTGTACTTTTAATTTGGCACGACGGCTATAGATCCTGTTTCCTTTAGACTAGCTATTACCGGTAGTCGCACGAGACGGTCGACCACCAGCCCGCTAGCCAAATCCCTAGCGGAATCCTAATCGAATCGACACCACATGCTCTAAGCTGACTCGCCGGTTGAATAGGAACGTCTACGATGTGTTAGAAGGGACTACAAGTAGCAGGGAGATGGTAATGATCAAGATATGGCTATGAATGAAGATTATCATGTACTCTGGAGTAGTTGGTTTCAATACAAAAAGCAACGTGCAAAACCTAAAACCCAAGTCACAAAGGGCGCCCAGGGCTACTGTAATATACGGCCGGGTGTGTAGCTCTGCATGCACTGACAAAAGCTACTTGCAGCCACCATGGCTGTTTCGTAGTGGTGTCTTGCAGCACATCAAGTTTTGGCGCCAACATGGTCAACATGTAGTTCGGTTCACTAGTAGCTAGCTACACCTCGATTTCGACTGGTGCGGCATCTTGAGGGCTTCTTGTAGGAGCAGCAGACTCGGAAAAGGTCCCTCTGGGAAACTTTGCAGGCCGCTTGTTCAGATTGTGTTCTTTGGTCCCGTACGTTTTCACACAGACTTGCATCATTTCCTTCACAACGTCTTCCCCTTTGGCTTCCCATTCCGCACGGTTGTTCAAAGCATAGTTCAAGCACTCGTCGGAGGATACACCAAAGACACCACACTCCTTGAGCTTTCTCGTAAGGGGTATGATGTAAAAGTCAAAGAAACCAAACTCGCCCCTATACCAAAACGTTTCGGGGCTCTTCTCGAGCCTGCCATGGAGGTAAGCCACGTAGAGCTCTTCAAAGAGTTTCTGGTTCCACTGACGGTAGACATGCCAGTGTTGCATCTACATGTGGCAGTACGATATTAAAAGTGAAAGTGAGACCACCATCACCCTCACAACAACAGCTGCAGGCACAGCCAAAGGGGTGCAACTTACTGTGTGTGAAATATCCGAGGCTTGGATGATGTGTTCAATCTGCAAGCAAAAAAAGGGCGGAAAGATTTATTGAGCATGCAGGCAGTACACACACCCGGCAATGCATTGCTTGAACAGAACGCGACAATTTCTTCGTATCTTTGCTTTACTTACAACGATTGTGGCTTTTCGGTTGACATCATCACGGTGGTTCTTCTCGACGTAGTCTGCGCTGTCTCCTTCCTTGAAGGCCTTGTCCCAACGACCGTTCCTCAGGGCCTTGAGATCCTTGTCTACAATGTCCGTCTAAAGGCGTGCATGCAACGAGGAAAACGAAGACCGTGAGCAACACGAACGGTGGAGACATGGAGGACAGGCCAATTTAACTTACCGCCATGACACTGTTAACCACTGCGTGTGTGACACGGAAACGAGAGAACCAGGAGGGCATGATCGTGTTGTTAGAATTTCCACGGATAATTCTCGATCCGTCTAACTATAGACACACTTCGACTTACCAAGCTGGCGGAAGCGATTGAGCTGCGTTTCAGTGGGGAACAGAAACTCTCGCAACAGGTTGTATTCGGGGCTCATCAACAGGTCCCAGCTCAAATCCAGGGAGTTCTATATAGAGGAAGGTTGTGGATCAATCAAGAGAGCTCACATGGTTAGCACCACTATATATCGTACACCAGTTGCTTTTGTGCCTACGCATCTGCCACCGTACCTGCTCAGCTACGCTCCGGTTCTTGTACTTCGCAGCAATGGGAACGCCTTCCTTTACCAGCTGTGCATTGCTGACACCGACGTGATCCACATCATGAATCAACGCTGAGAAAGCACAAGCCAGCTGCGTGAGTGGGTCGCTGGTAATACCTGGAAATATATTAAAACACAAGCAATGCATGCAGTTAGAACCCATGGCACCCATCCGGCATGACAGCGAGCCTCACACCAAAATGCACTTACCATATGTGTGGTCATGCAAAGCTGCAGAAGTAGTAGAATCCAGATCCCTGGGAGCGATAATGCGAGACATCAGCTTGATGACTGACATGACAACGTGGGAGGCATGCTGGATGTACAGCGTCAGCAAAGGAAAGTTTCATTAGTGAGCTCGATCGTTTGGCGGAATCATGACAAAGCATCACTCCATTGACTGAAACGGCGTACCTCAAACCCATGAAACGGATTATTGTTGTACATGGTTGCAATCATGCTGACAAAATCGTGTAGCTGGGAAACAACGTCGGATGGAATCTCCATTTTCTCGGGGTCTAGTTTTCGTCCAGATTTGGCATCGAACTCCGGAAGAGCAACGATTTCGACAACCTCTTCCAGAGGCGTAAGCCCTGAACCGAATTCCTCGAAGAGGGTGGGCCTACGTTTCTTCGTGGAATCAGCGGGACTGCCTGTAGCTGCCCGCTGAGCTACTATCTGTTTCATGATCTGAAGCAGCATCTCCACATTCCAATCAATCAGTCTATACATCTTCTCGGACATCCCAGGAATCCTTGTGCCATACCGGTACGTCCTGGTAGCGCCCAGTTCTCCTTCAGTATCATCACTTCCAGAGACTACGCTTCCAGTCCCATGTTCACCCTTCAGGTTCACCCAATAAGTAGTCATCAGCCCCTTTCCTTTTGCTTGTATTTGATTCCTCCTCTGTTCCAGCCAGCTCTCTTTGCCAGCTCTTTTCAGAAGGTCAGCCGTTTCCTTGGAACAATGTATGCGCCCAGGGGCTCCTGAAGCCTCGATTCTTCCGCAGACATTGACAGTATCGCCAAACCTGGGTTGAGTTAGAGACAGAAAGGTACATCAAGTTGAGCTTGACTAGTTCAAGTACAGAGCTTGGCCAATGATGAGATCAACTGAGATTAGTCGCCTTACAGCTGGAATCTTTGCATCGATCCTCGCAAAACGCCAGCGGTAACAGGACCACTATGCATGCCAATTCGAAGTCTGGGTATAGCGGGAAGGGTTAGCACTCGCATTCTACGGACCTCCAGCAAGCACTGCACTCGGTGACGGTCTCACCTAAGATCTGCCGTGTCAGGGCCCAACATGATCTCTAGTTGCCTGGTGGAGGTGTGCATCTTTCCCAGAATGTCTCTTGCAAAGCGCGCCATGACCACCGCTGAAACAAAAGAAGATGAGATATCGCGCGGATGATAGCTCAACGCAACAGAGTACCGCCGGTATAGTTCCTGTATACGCACCGTGATCTTTCACGGGATTTGGTATTCCGCAAACGGCAACCTGTACGGAATGCAATACCCAAGAATAGAGTTTTAGCCCGGAAGATCTCACTCGATCGCAGAGATACACGACAGTGGAAGCTAGGACCTTACATAGCAATCTCCAACTGAACAGTATTGAAAGGGCGACGGAGACAATAAGCTGGTGAGCAATCAGCTTCTCCAGAGCCTGTTATTCCCTGTCCTGTCGCAAGGTGCACTTGCCTGTTTCCACTTTATACACACGCCTTTTCTTCGCAATGATGTCGAATTCTTGGTAAATTGTTTCTAGCAATTGGAACACTTGGGTTGGCTCGCGCACGCTGGACCAAGCCTGTGTGCATGTTTGAATGGAGGACAGTAGTAGTTAGGACATCATTGCAATGGGGAGATCTACGTTCTGAGCACTGGATGTTGCATCTACTTGCCGTGAATCCCGTAATGTCTGCATACAACACAGTCGTATCAAGGTAGAGATCTGCCAAGGGCTTGGTGGTGAACGTGAACTTGGAGTTGTTTTCTCCTCGATCGTCAATGAATTCCTTCAGGTTGCCACCCTTCTTCTTCTTGGCCGCCTGGGCCTGCTCGGCTTCTTCGGCAAGTCGATCCCTCATGTTCTCGGGGAAGAGTGACGTGACAATGGCATTGGTCCGTGCCGCTTTCATGATCAGATTTGTGTTTCTCATTTGTACAAAGGTATCGTACATGAAGAAAACGAGGGCCACCACCACAAAGGTGACGGCAACCACAATGGCAAATGTTTCGGGAGTATTTGAGTCGTATGCTGCTTGGAACTCTCTGGATGGATAAACGTGCATGGAATACTGACAGTGCCCTTCTGTGGCTGTAAAGTCGGCATGTGTGTGCAAATTCAATGGAACGACAACTTTGTGGTCATCGAATTCTTCTTCGTGAAAGTCTCCGTCTCCAATAAAGATGGCATCGCCACCCTGAATATCGTAGGTGTAGGTCTGACCGCAATCATTCGTAAGGACTGCATGAATGCCCTTGACGTTACTTGGAAGCAAATCGAGCAAGGATACATCCCAGGCAAAGGCACTGCCAATAATGCCAACAATCTCGGAATCGGTATAAGTGGCATCTCGATGAATGGGGTGGAAGCAGAAGGTATGAGGATTCTTCAAGTTGGAGTCTCGGAGTGTAGAATGCATTTTGGCGTGCTCCTCCACCGAAATGGCGGTGGGTACTGCGACATGTGTTCTGACGCGGGTGCATAGGGTTTCGTTCTTGAGCTTGTGAAGGCCTGGCAGGATATTTTCATAGTCAGGAACGCTTGGCAAATCCCAGTTATTGAATCCATAGGTGACTGGAGGAGGATGATAATGCCATGCCGGGAAATAGTAGTCTGTACGGTTGATGTCTGGTTCGAATTTGCCTGGCCCCACGGCTCTGGAAATGAATCGATTCAAAGACTTGTTGCCCGAAACATCTTTGAGCCGTTCAAAGGATCCCGATCGGATCATGTGGGATTCCCACATCCAGCTTTGAACGTGTTCATTGGACCAGTCGATGTATTCGTGTCGGAGTTCTGGATAAACCTTGGGAAAGAAGCAGGTCAATTCGGCATGAGCTTGATGGGTAAAGTCTCGCGCATAGACCTCCCATTCCGAAACATAAATGTAAGGCCATGTCTGATTGGTTCCTCGAACATAGGTCGATACGAAATCTGTCATGGCTTCAATTCCATCTCGGAAATCCTGCTGCTGAGCCACCGCCGCAGCGCCCACGGTACGCGAGAATTGTTCGAACTAATGTGCGGGAGTCAATCAATCAAGTAAGTGTGAGTGAAGCAAGACTTAGTGTGAGTCGATCCAAGGTCACGTTGCAGATAGTCTAGCTAGATGAAAGCCCCGAGACTTTGGGGTCTCTACAGCTTTTCCTTACCGCAGTTTCAAAGTTGTTGGTTTCCTCTCTCTTGAGGAAACGATAGGTGGTGTAAGTGATGGCCAACGCAGTCACCAAAAGGCAACAGGTAGCCGCCAAGCGCCACAGTTGGACTCTGCGAGTGTCCTTTTGGGACAGCTTTTGGATTTCCTTGACTTCGTCGCGTTCTTCTTCTCGAGCGGAAGATGGTTCATGATCCGTGGTCGTAAAGGAAATGCAGTCGTCGTCGCTGTCCACGTACGAGTGCTCCTCGGTGCTCTTGCTGTTCGTCATGGTCACTTGGGATGGATCGTACCGTACCGGTAGGTAGCTTGGTGGATTTTGATTGATTGAACAAACTGGGTAGGTAAACAAGTGGCTTGGTCAGACTGAAGCTTTGCTTTCTTTGCTTATCATAGGTTGAGTTTCGCAGTTATAGTTGTTTGTTTTTGGGACGAGAAAGGTTTGTGAGATTTGATTAATCATTCTGGTGCTGCGGCAGCCCAATGAAACAGAACTCCTGGCTTGCCTTCGGCTTTGACAGATAGAAACCGCAAGATCCCACCTTTTGCATCAACCTTTGGCAAAGTCAGTGGTGGACTCCAGAGGAGTGGTTCCAAGGAAAGCAGAATGCGAAGAGGCACGTCAAAAGTCTTAAAGTATTTTTGAACTTTTATCAACTCATTAATGCTTTTTCGCTGGATGAGAACCTTTCTGCTTTGGGTGCCCAAAGCCTTTGATAAGGGCGACAGCAGAAGTCATGATTCAAGTTCGCTTTACGACGGACACCTAAAATCGACAGTTGAAGAGCAGCTTGGACTTGTCTTGCGTCACTCTTTGTGTCTCGGTTGTCCCATCCCGGACATTGCATAGAAAGTACTTAGTCTTGTGGCTTGGGGCTGCTGGCCAGCTTATTACATGTACATGTAGTGAGGGGGGAGTGCTACCTCTAGCTAGACGGCAGAGAGGACAGAGAATAAAATCCTGGCCAGCAACACTAGCTAGTAGCTCCAGTAGGGTCCTGTTCATGCAAGAATGCTGCAATCAATGTTAGCCCTCAGTGGCACATTCAGCTGTCGCCACCTCCTTGGCGGACGTTATGTAATACCAGATATGTTCCTTCGTCCTTACAGCAATGCTTTGCCGTTACTGGCCTGGTCCCCAGTAGCTTCTCCAAGTCTGGCCACCACATAGGTCAATGGGAGCTCGCGAGAGCCGATTGCAAGAACATTTCCTTCTCATCCTTGTTCCTGCGGAGAAAACCCAGGACGGGTTCGTCTAAGTAATAAGCATTCCACTCCTGTATTCTTCACTGGACTTCCTCCCCTGCAAGTCCAAACGATATATATTTTGGTGTATTCCCACTTTTGGCTCCCATGAATCTTGCTTTTGGTTGGTTCTGTTTGTTGGACCTCAGGAACGTTGCTCTTTGGCTGCCGCGCTGCCGCGCTGCCGCGTCCCAACAACTGTTAGAGAGTAAGCTTCTTCAGAGTACCGGTAGCATCAATGAGAAGTGTTCCGTAGATAATTTCCCTACTCTAACACTCCTTCCACCCCTTTGTTGTTTCAGTGGATGGCATGCTTGCCCCTCAAGCCAAGACTCTCTTACAACGCCTTGCTTCTGCTACTGCCTCCAAAACTCAATTTTCCTACTCTCAAATGATGTTCTTCATGCAGACCCGTATCTCAATTGCCCTTGTGAAAGCTACCCATTTATGTCTCCGTGGATCCCGCAAAGCCAAACCCTTTGCCCCCCGTAATGGTCCTCAATTTCTTGCGCCTGATCCCACAGAACCTAGTCCTGAATTTCGACTGTTCTTTGCTTAAGCCTGGCCCCGGCTGGCTTCCGTAGATAATTTCCCTACTCTAAAACCCCCCTTACTACCCCTATATGAGAAGTGTTGCAAAAAGTGTTCTCATCGTGGACCAACCCAATTTAAGCCAACAGGCAGGCTGAAACTTAAAACGTCTTGGGCGTCAAGATTGTCAATAAGATCCAACGAACCAAGATTTCAGTTTGCATTTTAAGCAGCAAAAGAGGGCTTTTTACAAGCGTTGATGTATGAGGCATCAAGCAGGAATTGGTGTTGATTTGGGGCTCCTATGATCCTAGTAGGGATGGTCAGGCTTCCATCTCAATTCCCTTTTGAGTAATCCCTCCTCCGACCGTCTGAAACCTGTACAGAAAGCACTTTCGCTACAGGACCATGACCCCTGTGCTTACATAGAGAATTACGATGCCAGTATACACAGAGCGATGAAATTGAAGGGGGGGGGAGGCCAACAATTCAGAACTCAAACGAAGCTGCAAGCCATGTATGTATTAATCCAGAAACGGAGGGCGCATTATTGCGCTTCTGAGAGGTATATTTGCTACCTATTTTCACAGACTTGATACTTTCTGGTCGTCTCACCCTATTGCCAAGCTACGAGGACACTTGGCTGTCGTCCAAAACTGGTTACATCATGATTGTAAGAGAATTATAATCTGTCTGATTAGATGGTCAGCCAGCCAGTCTTGTTTTACCCTTCTCCTTTGCCTTCCTTTATCTGAAAATCAACACGAAGCTACTGGGTGGTACAGCGTAGGGCACCTGGTTACAGCCAGTTGACCCGAACGAAAGGCGGATGCGGCTCCTCTCACTAAATCAGTGGGCGCTTTCCCCTGGAGCAAAAGTTGAGTGGGCTACAATTGCTTCGAGCAGGTCCCTCCAGTGTCTTTCTCTCATCCTCAGTGAACGTCTTGAGCACTGGCATCTCTGCTTCCGAGATTGTGTGCGGTACAGGGGATGATGCGGTCCGGTCCAGGTGGTTACCGTGGTAGCCGAAGATTTGGGTCCTGCCTTTGTAATACCCGAGATGTTATTGTTATTGTTAAATCTGACTTCCCTTCTTGAATGTGTGTTCACTCGCACTTTTTAGAGTGTACGTGTAACGGTAGTTACGGTACCTGAGACGCCCTCGCCTTCTTAATTAACGTGAACTTATCTCCAGCAAGACATGCAACCAGGTACCGGTACCAGGTAGCAAGTCACTCACCGGTGGTATCCTCTTGCGGTTTGGCCTTTACAGGACCGAAACGAATACAACAGTTCCTGGAACCAATGCAAATGTGAAAGAGTAAAGTCCACTCTCACAAAGTATCGCCACCGAAGCAACCAAGAGCAAGAATGCGTTCCATCAACGACGCCTTTGAATATGGCGTGGCTCCAAGTTTCCCAGAATCCACACGCAGCCTTGTTGCTGCTGCGAAGACCAAAACTGGCCACAAGTCTCTGATGAAAGCGCCCCGTGCGCCCCGACTTGGGGAAGTCTTGTCTCACAGAAAGGGCTATGAAATTCTGGACTCTTCCAATCAAGATAATGTTAGTGGTGTCGACAGTGTCACCGAACCCCAGATGCAAAAGGTTGCCAAAATGGTTGCGGCCAGGAGGGAAGACAGAAGGAGGGGGCGCTCATGGGACCGCGCATGCCCTGGGGGCCACAAGGCTCCCAACACCAAAGTGGACCGACGAAGCATGAGGAGTGCGAGTAAAGTTCGGTCTTCGCGCGGTGATTCTGTTTCCACTACTAGACGAAGAGGGCTTTCATCCCGTCCCACCGTAAAACGCTCCCAATCCAGTCTACTTTCAAATGGACAGCTTCAACGGGTACACAACTCAGAGCGCACAAATCGTTTGAATCGTAGCATGAGCTGCCTGGATACAAAACATCATGCAATCTCTCCCAACAAGAAGAGCACTTGCAATTTTGTCGATTCAATGAGCAACGTTGCTGGCAAGGTGGATGAGTTTGGCTTTATCCTCCACAAATCCACGTCTTGCCAGCAAAGTGAAACTGAAGCCTGGCTTGCTAGTTTGCCAACGGAAGAAGACTATACAACAACCACCAGCAATACTATTTGCACTACCACAAGGGATCGTGTTCTTCCTCGTCGGACCAAGAGTGCAGCATCCGTTGATTCGACAAGACGAAGCATGCTGAAAAACGCCCGTATCAATAGTCGGAGGGAACTGCAAAGAGAGGTTGGCCCTGAGGACAAACGAAGAGCAAGCAAAGTTTCTCACCAAAATGCTGGAGAAGAGAACAGTGTCCCATCACCGTCATCCAAACCCGGGAGGAACCGAAGGAATCGTGGGTTGGCCGAGATGCTGTCGGAGCATGGTGAGTCCCGACGAAGGATACACAAGTCAAGTTCCAAACGCTCGATTGTGTCCTCCAGCTCTAGACGGTGCCTGTCCTCAGTTTCTCCCAGTTCTGCCCTCGTAACTGCAGAGGGAAGGGGAGGGCATCGATGGACAGAATGTACTGCGGATCAAACGTCGTCCAACGTCGGAAAGAAGCCCAAGAGGACCTCGTCCTGCTCCAGAGACAACTTGACGGCCAGCAGCCACCATGAGAGTAGGCACAGGAGCAGCGCCAGAAAGTTGTGCCAGCAAGGGCACGACAGCCGCCTGGATGTACGACCCCTGCCTCCAAGGCGTCAAGGAAGTGATCGCTCCTCGCTTTCCCGCAAGCCCAAGTCTTGCAAAGACTCTGACTTGTCCTCTGTTCCTGCTCCACGAGACGATGACAAATGCAAAAAGGACGCAAGTACAGCAGTGGAGGACGTATCGGAGCTCCAGGAACTCTGGAAGGCTGCCACGACCCTCACCAGTCGTCCACCTGTCGTCGCGGTCGCTCGGCTCACTCTGAAAGAGCAACCAAGATGTACCGGTACACATAAGATACAGATAGATACGTATTCTTATTAGGGCAATCCTTGAAAACTGCAAAGATCCAACTGTCACCCAGCTCCCGCCTTTCCATAGCGAGATTTCTACATATACTATCCAACGTTAGTTGGAACGCAATGCAATCAAAATAAAGTAAAAGCTAAAATTGTTATAACGTGTAAGGCGGCACTAGATTCGATTCATGCTGGCTAGCTAGTACAAGTAGCTAGCCAGTGGGAAACAGGGCAGAGCGAGCAAGCAGCAAAGGGACAATGTAGCAGGACAGGGACAGATAGACTTAGGCAGTGACCTGGTGCAAGAAGGCTCCGTAGGATTCCCAGTTGAAGCTCTGCTGGTTGGTTTCCCAATCGAAAAAGTCGGGTGGTACGAGGTCGGGTGCTACTGCCAGACACTCGTCCAACTCTCCTTCTTTCCACGCCACCAAGCTAGGGAGGACGTCGTCGTCGTCGTCATCGACATTGCGCTCCTCGTCCCACGCCACCAAGCTAGGCAAGGACTGGTGAAACCGATGCGTCTTCTTACCATGGTGGGACGATGATGACAAGGAGTCGTCGGCGGTGAACAAGTCGACCATGGAAAGAGAATCGTGGAAACTGGACTCGCTCATGGCTTCCGTGGCTGCAGTGGATGCCGAGTCTCTTCGTAGTAGTTCCTTTTTATGGGTCTTGGAGGAGAGCAGCAAAGACTTTGGAGGACTGTAGGTACTCCAGTCATAGCAAGGCGAGCCATTCATAAACTTGTTCTTCAAGTTGTCGCGATCGACAAGTAGCTTATTGCAGGATCGGCTCTTTTGGAATGAGGATCCGCGTCTGCGGTCACGGCGGGTCTTGTTACTACCGGTATGAGTACTACTACTACCTCTGGATGTAGCAGCATTCATGAGAGAGGGCATACTATTCTGCTTGGTGAGCTTCTTGTTCCTCTTATTACTGTTCCTCTTGACAAGACGCTGCTCTCGTTGCTCTCGTTCCCAGCGTTCCTCATGGCAAGGCGAGCCATTCATAAACTTGTTCTTCAAGTTGTCGGAATGGACAAGTAGCTTATTGCAGGATCGGCTCTTTTGGAACGAGGACCTGCGTCGGCGGTCACGGCGAGTCTTGTTAGTGCTAGTGCTACCTCCGGAGGTAGCAGCATTCATCAGGGAAGGCATACTATTCTGCTTGGTGAGCTTCTTGTTCCTCTCATTCTTGTTCCTCTTGGCGAGACGTTGCTCTCGTTGCTCTCGTTCCCAGCGTTCCTTGTTCTGCAGGACTTGCTGCTCCGTGTTGGTCCAGTACTCCAGGAGGGCATCTGTTTGCATCTTCTTGGCAGCAGCTTTGATGGCCTTTTTCATGGCCATTTCCTCCTGGTGCGCCTGGAGCCGACGTTGCAACTTCCAGCGCTGTTCTTGCATCTCACGGGTCAGTGCTGCCTTTGCCTTGGCAATCTTGGTGGCAGCAGCGTTTGCCTCGTGGGGCATGATGAGCCACGAGACGGCTCGAGACTGAGGCACGGGAGTCAACGCCATGGTCGTCTCGTCGTCGTAGTGTTCAAGGAAACTAGTAGTAGGCATGGTGGTGAAAGCAAGGGGGTTTTGGAAGTATAAAACGGTTGAGGTAGCTTAGCAGAGGAGCCTTGGGGCGTTGAGCAACTCAAAATTGTGAGAACTAGGTTGGTTGGCTTTATCCAGCTAAGGTATGCATACTATTAATAGATCCTAGCTATCTGGTAGCCATCTACCGGTAGCAAGTACCTATTGCTCCCATACTGGTACCGCAATAGCTGTAGCAGCTGCTGTGGCCGAAGCCGAGCCCAGCTCAGTCGATGATCGTCCACACTGGCATTGCTCAGGGGAAGCTTCAGTCGAAGTATTCATCTATGTTTCAATCTATCTTATTGCGAGGCCATTGCACAGCATTAGCGGCTGGTAGATGTTTCACTTTATGTACGGTACCAAAAAGATGCTGGGTTCTTGGCCGTAAATATCCACACTTCTGCGCACCTACATGACCTCAATACTTATCACTCAGTCACACTAGATACAAATCATGGGATTCATTGAGGCATTCATTTATTTACCAGTCAAACACACTTGATTTATCAAGGAGTCACTGAGGCATTTTGTTATTAACGTGTAAGTCCTGCTTTCCCGTTTCAAGTGACCACGTTCGATCAATGAACTTGAAAAGGCTTGCCGGTACCAATTCTGGCTACTGAGGGGTTTTAATGCTGCGGACACGACCGAACGTTTGACTACCGGTACAACCGATTTTGCTTCGGATGGCAGCGGATTGTGGGGTCTCCCACCAAAAGTCCTAGAAGTTCTCGGATGGTCTTGAGCGCTATCTAGCTAGAACCCTTGATATTGTTCTCGGGGGATGAGCAAATGTTGCTATAGCGCTGTAGTGTACTCTATTGGGTACCGTTACATCGATAGTTTGGAATTCCACAAACTCAGTACCTAATAGCTACTACTAGCCTTAACGGTTCGCTGCAGGTACGAAAAGGATCCATTTTTTTGCTTTGGATGGATATTGTGGATTGGATTGCATTGCATTGCATTGAATTGGATTGGATTGCATTGAATTTGCATTTACTATACAAATATCAGTACTTTCATGGATCCAATCCAATCCAATTCAATCCAATCCAATTCAAACCAATCCAATTCAATTGAACTCATTTTCCAGCCAAAACGCGAATTTTAAATTTTCAACTGATGTTAGTTAGGCACTGCTGTAAGTCAGTTGCTTTTCTATATCAATGTACCGGTAATTATGACGGGTAAAGTACCACAGACCAATGCAATGTAGTGCTATGTGCAAGTTTGCTCATCCCCTCGTGCAGAGTGTGCAGAGCGATACCGGCATAGATAGGAGTTCTCGGTACATGTACATGTAGTGGGGTCAGCGCCAGCGCCAGCTGGGGAGGGCCTGCTAGCCCTTGCTATTGTTCTCGTGCAGCCAGCGCCAGCTCAGGAGGGCCTTGAACACAAAATAGCTGCTACAGCTGTTGCTACAGAGTAGAGTGCTCTTGCAGCTGCTACTAGTATTTCCATCGTCGAAGCAAGCATCACTTGGCTCAAAATTTCTGCATCTTTCATGCGGTTGTCTACTTTGCACAAATACTAGTAGCTACTTACGGTAACGGGGAACTGTTTCGTTGAAGTTGGATCCATGAAATCCTATTTTTATAATATGCATTCAAATGTTTAGCAATCATCGGGGGGCAACCCCGTAGCATTTGGGGACCCTTGTCTCCGCAGCTACTACTCTAGTGACACGGTTTTTTCTCGTGCCCACTGCATGACCATAATATTTCCAATTTTGGCAATGGCAGTACAAACAAGATCACCACAAGGTTTTTTGTTGCTGGAATTGTCCCTTAGCCAGTACTCTGCACGTGGCACATTGCAGAATGTTTCGCTGTAAAGAGTAGCATAAGCCATTGCATCACTTCCCCCTACGGTATCTATATAACTCGCAGCTCGAATTGTATTCTCAGCCATGTCACGGACAACGCACCGTGCTCAGAGCTCTCAAGCAATCACACCAAACTTTCCAAATGACCATCTTTAGCAGCGTGAAAGACCCCGCGGATGTTCGTGCAGCTGCTCTTCCATTGTGGCTGTTCCAGTTGTATTGGTTGGGGTGGTGTTCATGGCTAGCTGGTGGCTGCAATAGAAGTGCGTTTGCTTGTGATGTATGGTCCTTGTTATAGTTGCTTTTGTGTTTGCTGCGGATCGCTGATTGTGAGAGGGGCTCCAGCCAACTCTGGTTGGTTCCAAACCATCCTTCCTTCCTTCCTTACTGCAGTCTTCAGTCGATGATGGATGGAACTGAAACGCAAACCTTGTCGAGGGTACAGTATGAGTTCGGCAAGAAGTCTGAAGGTGGTGCATGGTTGTGCTTTGCGTGGGAGTACAATATATGAGTCGGAGTTGGAGATTGAGTCACCGTCACTCCCGCACCAACGTCACTCACTCACTCCCACACCCCACAGCACACTCCAACCAAGACGGAAATCGACTTTGCAAAGCTCTTTTGCGAAGAGTTGGTGGATTTGATCAAAAATTTCGACTGGACTGTCACTCGATGAGGGGATCGAAGCCCTCATTGATTCGATTCATTCGTCGGCTGAGCGGGCCTCCAGCCAAAACCAAATTGAAGTGATAAAGCCTGCTTACTACTAGCTAGAGTACTACAGTTTCATCGGATGGATGGCTGTCTCTGAATGCAGAAGAATAAAATCGAATGAATCTCAATCTGGTGACACTTTCTTTTCTGGCTGTTTGGTGGCAACAGGCAAACTGTAGTTCTTGTTGCTTGCGATCACCTGTTTGCTGCAGTGGCTGTTAGTAGGGTGGAGAGCGAACTTGCAGAACCAAACACAGCTTATTACTACCGTACGGCACCTAAAGTTTGGAATGAGCTACGAGTTCGCAAAACTGTGGTGGTCAAAAACCAGCCAGCTAGCCAGTCAGCAAGTACTGTAGTTATTCGGCACCGCCAGGTGGTTGGTGTACAGTATCGAGGAGAAGCGAGAAGACCTCCCATCGGTCCAGAGCTTCTAGCTAGTAGCTATGCATAGCTAGCAAGTTCCAAAACAGTTGCTACTGGTAAAGCTGGCTTGCTATTGCGATGGTTGACAGAGCTGTTGACAGACACAACAACCGGCCGGACATGACAAGCTACAGTTGTAATGATATTTTCATGTATCAATGTAAAACCTTACGTATTCAGGTGCGAATGCAGGGAATAAAGGAACTTACAGTTTATCATGATGTATCATACGGTAATACCTTACTAGTAGAAACGGTATGTTTTATTAAGAGAGTCATAAATTGCAGGAATACGGAATTAGAAGAGATGCCTGTTGTTCCATTCAGTCATGACTAAGTTGAAGAAGCTTCGAAGAGCTTCCTTCCGGCAAACTAAGAGGAGCAATTGAAGGACTAAGTCAATTGATCCTCTCGTCTACGCTCTAATAAATCTACGACCATGATGACCGTTCTTTGCGGATGACCATCGAAAGGAAAGAACGCCAGGTCTTGGAAGAGGGGGTACACGTGTACCAGTGGACATATTGCTTTTAGTCATTTCGACTGACGAACACTGCAGTCATGTATTTTCTCCGAGTACCGGTATGGTGCTGGGTGCTGGAGGGGGCATCAATCGGAAAACTAAAAAGGCCGAATTCGCACTGCCTGTTATCTCGCTGATAACGCAGTCTAGTTATGCCCAGGGTGTGGGACTCACATGAAATACACGCTGTGGGTACACGATGTGAGTACGGGTATTGAGTACTGAGTATACTCGATACCCATACTCACTTGACCCTCGAAAATGTGAGTAATACTCAATACCCGTACTCACATGACTCCGGAATCTGAGTACTTTTGAGTCTTCGGTGAGTACTTCGGTGAGTATTCGAAGTGAGTACCAGTGAGTACTCGTGAGTACTCGGTGAGTATTTTGTGAGTATTTCGCCAACTCGCAGCCCCATAAATTCCCATTTTCTCACATTGAGCCACTGTTGAAGCCACTGTTGAGCCACTGTTGACTCTAGCCACTCTTTTGTTCTGTTGTCTCTTCTGTGTCACCATGGCTGATGTGGAGGATGATGACATCTTGTCACAGGCAGCGATTGAGGAAGCTGTCAATGGAGCCGATGGATTGGAAGAACCGGAACAAGAAGAAGAAGGTGATATCGAAGAAGAAGAAGAAGATGAAGAAGCTGCAGCTGCGATGATACATGGCCGCGGCAATGGGAACTGATTTGACTGCACAGTACGTGCAAGCCAAGAGTATTCCCACGCTCAGTCGCAAGCCACCCGGCCGTTCTGGCGTTTGGAATGTTACTACAGTGTCGACATTCCCGACCTCGAACACTTGGAAAACCTCGCAATATTTCAAGAAAAACAGCATCGGTATGCTACAAACAACAACATTCCTCTTCGTGTTTTGACGGACCACAAAGCATGTCCTGAATTCAGAGACATGATGATCTATGCCATGCAGAATGGAGCCGCTCTTCTGAATGTCCCAACAATGGCTTGATGGGACGCATGGCCCATACAAACTACAGAGCCAAGATTACCAAACTTTCATGGCTGCGGTTGGAATGCATCTAGGAGAGACGGACCAGTACTATATGAAAACCTTTGGTTGTCATAAGTCTTTCCTTACTGTCGCTCATGACGTTTGGGACTCTAACAAGAAGGAAATACTTGGAGTGACGATCTTCTTTTACAACCCAAAAGGGGTGTCTATCTAAGAATTCCGTTGCACTGGCGGAATCTAAAGACAAGAAGGGAGAGCCCACACGAATCAGATCATGGATATTCTCAAGCTTTTGGTATTGAGGACCGAATGATCTACAAGGCCATGAATGACACTACCAACACGGCGCTATTGGTGGGCCGCAACCTGAGTGGAGAAAATGCCTACTGTGCCATGCATGAGATTCAGTTGGCTTTTTCGCATGCCACGGTCAAAGGAAACGCTACAAGGACAAGGTAGTGGTTGACGAGTTTGATGCTTGTCAGGCTATTCGAAAACAAGCGAGGAAACCGCCAAGTGGTTGCCAACAAGAAATCGAAGGGGAGATGGAAGAAGTTCACGGACAACTCTCTGCTGCGGCCGGATACCCAGGGCCTTTTGCATGTCAAACCATACAAGGGCCGGAGGAGAAGCTTTGTTCTACGCTTCGTTTATCCAAGCTCGGTGGAACCTTCACCACTATTGCATTGTTGACGATACATGTCCGGAGGTGGAGGATTCTAAGTACCATGTCATGGCACAAACACTTGCCGTGGAATTCCCCATGTTTGAAGCTTGTTTGCTTTGTCCAGTCGGACCACTATGGTGCCAATTCCTATACTGCCTATGGGACATACCGTGTGTTTGCTTCTTATTGTTACTCCAAGGTGGTTTGGGTGCCAGAGACTCGCCGAAGCAAAGCTACCAATGACACTGAAAAGTGGAATGGCACTGCAAGTTACCCACCAAGTTGATGGCTTCTCCGCATGGAACCAAGAAGACGAGGGAAGGACTTTACCTTCCTTCCACCACTGAGAGGATTGGTTTGAGGAAAATCAAAGTCGCGAAACTCCATAAGATTCCACAGAAACTATTCCAGCGAATCCCAAGTGATTGCGACGCTATGGTGCTTGTGTTTCAAGCTCTAAGCAGGATGACAAACCCTCGCCATGATGTGTAACCTTTCGGAAGACCACATGCTGACGACTTGAAACACTTGCTACTGTTGTCGATGGTTCGGATACCCTCCGGCAAACAAACTGATGGGCAAAGGTGTTCGGCAGAGAGCCACGACGATATTGACGATCTGGGTCAAGCAGATGTGGGGAAACAAATTCGACCTAGCCGAACAAGCGACTGCAAATGCAAGTCCGAAGAAACCACAGGCCAAGCCACGAACCAACGACCCTCTTGCATTGGCAAGGGAAGCCAAACGAAGGAGAACCGAGGATACTCCTGTGGAAGAAGGAGTTGACCCATCCAGAAAGCAATCGACAAATGGTTAGGCGAAGACTTCAACTTGTTGATGCTCTTCGGGCTCAGAAGCGGAAGCCTATCGGTAAAGATGTTCTCTCTACACTTGGCAATGAAGAACATTGCTGGTTGGACAAACATTGAAGTGGTGAAAATCTATTTGACTTACAAGAATGGTGGGAGACAACTGCAAAACCAACCACCCAATCAATTTATGAAATTGCTGTGCGCATCTTTGCAATGCCAGATAGAACGGCTTCCAAGAAAGAGTTTTCAGTTCTTGTACATGTTTTGATGGAAAACTCAGCAATGGAAAGAAGGTTGACATGACATTCCAATGCGCCTTCTTTGCTACAAGAACATTGCATTCATCCAGAACTACAAGCAATGCCTCAATATGCAAGAAAGGAATGGCTAAGAATAGGACCAAGGCTCTCCCAAGCTAACTGCCAGCAGAGTGAAGAGGAGGATTATGACAGTGATATTGATGCCATGGTGCCCTTTACAACAAGATTGATGAGCCCCAGCCCAGAACTAGAAAAAACAAAATAATTTCCCTAAGTAATTATTTATGAGTACTCAGTGAGTATCTATATACCCACAAAGTACCTGTACTCACATGATACCCGTACCCACTTGACCCTGGGAATTGTGAGTATTACTCAGTACCCATACTCACTTGACTTTGGATTTGTGAGTACTACTCAGTACCCATACTCACATGCTAAAACAGTGTGAGTACCACGCCCTGGTTATGCCGCCGCAGGCCACAGCACACTCTCAGACAAGGCAACAGCCCTCCAATCGACAGGAAAGAGGAAAGGCAACATCAGCACAACAACAATAACAATAGACTGAGTGAGCAGTGATCAGTGAGCAGTGATCAGTGTAAACTACCAAGAGCAACACCAAACACAAAGCTCTAGCTAGCTAGAATATAGAATAGGTATACTACTAGTAGTAGATATAGATTAGACAGAAGACAGACAGCAAGCTAACTACCCAGAAAGAAATTGAAGATGAGCAAGAAAACAACGGCCAAGTCGGCACATGAAGATGATGACAATGAGATGGACGCCAGTTTGACTTACGCTAATACAGCTACTGCTACCGGTACTCCTAGTAGTAGCAATCGAGGTAGGAGTAGCAGAAGAACGGAAGAGTTTGTGAGTCAAGACAGTGAGGCTCTGTTGGCCATGGTGCAAGGCGAAGCCAGTGCCAGTGATGAACTTAACCTTAATACAGGAGATCAGGATAATGATGGTGGCAAGGTGGACCAGAGCTATTCCTATGTGACTGCCGTGGGAAACTACCAAGATGAAGATCATTCCAGGCTTTTGACTTATACCACCAAGTTGCTACAGCAGAATCAGAACCAACCAGATGATCAAGGTCAAGGTCAACAGCAAGCTACTGTTAGTACTGGTGCTAGTGCTAGTGCTAGCAGTAAGAGGGATGACCTAGGCAGAGCCTCCTCCCATCACTTGGCAGAAATGTGGATGATGGCGGCTGGCAAGTCCCTTCATAATATGTCCACCCAAGGCAGTCAATTGTTTCAACAGCCTGAAGGCCAACACGAAGACCAGGAAGATGTGGAATCTTTTGGAGGAGATGAGGGACCTGACAATGATAAGGACAAAAACAATACCAAGGATCCCAAACAACTTATGGAAGAGGAAGAAGAAGAAGAGTCTGACATGGACCAACTGGACAATGTCAGCCACTGTTCCTCGTCCATTATTCCCGACAGTCTCGATTCCGAAGATCACGCCAACGAAGCCGAAAAGGCCATTCTCGGTGGAATCGTTTTTTGGGTCGTCATGCAGCAATCCATGTTGCACGGATGGGGACTAATGATGCGCTGCATGGGATTCTTTTCCAGATTCTTTCCCAAATGGTGTCGCAAAGCAGGAAGAAATAACAATGACGCTGCGGTCGATGAAGATGACATTAGTATCGATGCTGCTCGAAACCTCCTCGATCTCAACGACCCGACATCCGAAGGCTTTAGTCAGAGCTTTCGCAGCGAGGCAGGCACTGGCGGCGGCGGCGGTGGTCAAGGACAAGGAGGTGCGGGTGGAGGAGGTGCCACGGCAGGAATGGCGGTCGCAGCGGTACGTAAACTTTCACTCAAGTCAGCAATGAAACAAACGGTCACGGACCATGACATACGTAAATCGAGTGGCTCACTCCTTTTCTCACTCCTTTCTTTTTGTTTTGTTTCTCTTTTAAATAGGCAAGTGCGGCTGCCGGTGGGGCCGCTTCGGGAGCAGCCGCTGGAGCTGCAGCAGGAGCAGCCGCTGGAGGAATGGCGTCCACCATTGCCGGAGCCATTGCCGGAGCGGGAGCGGCCTCGCAACTGGCTGTAGTTGTGGGAGTTGGTACGTACCGTACCTCCAGACATTATTTATCATGCCGTCCCGCTGTTGCCGGTCTTGTCTTGGGTGCTCACACACAACCGTTTTGTTCTGCCGTTCGAAATTGAATCGAATCCAATCGAACGTCTATCTTCTGCCGACGTTCCTTCTCTACTACGTCCTTCCATCGATTCACAGCCGCCGTCACGGCTGCCGCAGTGTCCACCGCCACGGTTCGAAACGTGCAAGAACCCAGTCAGGCTCCACAGGCGGCGCCCTTTTACGACAAGAACTTTACGCCTCCCCAATGTCTTGACGTTACCGAACAGAAAATAGGTTTTGTACGGCTCGAAATACAGGCATTGCCACCGGCCATCATTCCCAAACAAAAATGGATCATGGAAGAAATGTTCCGAGATATTTACAATGAAATATCTGGAATGTGCCTAGATCCAATGAATAGAGTCATGCATCAGGCATACTTGACACACTGGGAAACTGACTGGGGAAATCTCACCAACACCACCGCCATCAACAACAAATTCAACTGGACCGAATTGGAACCAATCTTGTTCCTTGCCGACAGCAGCAACAGCAGCAGCAGCAGCAGTGAACACAGTAACAGCACCAACAGCAGCCTCACCAGTATTCTAACTCCACAACAGCAGGAGCTACTTCGAGAGTACCAGCAAGCGGTGCTACAAAGTGTCACCACGACGTATTGGGAAGCCAGATTGGAGTGTACCGGGTGTCCAGACCACGAGCCTTTGTTTGATGTGGGTGACGATGGAACCGTATCCCTGGCAGGAACTAATTCCAGCAGACGCAAGCTGGCTCTGGGCGGTTGCGGTGGTGGCAGTGATCACGGTTTGCTTTGTCCCGTGGCTAGGAGTAGTGATCACGAAACCACGGACATGCAGCAACAAGAACGACATCTCCGTCAATTCGACATTCAAGAATTCTTTGCGCTATTCGCCGCTTCCTTCAGCTACAATCTAGAGCCATACTTGCGAGCGAATGGAGCGACAGACGTCGAGGTTACCATTGTGCGAGACTACGAAAACCAAGCAATCAAGATCGTGGCTGGTTCTACGATCGCAGTACAAGCTGATGGGACAGCCGACGACCAGGTCATTGTGCTCGAGATCAACACGGCAACCATTCAAGATGCCTCGGAAGCAGTAGAGGACAATGGTGGACCTCTTGTCGCCCCTTTTGTCAGCAATGATTTGTCGAACATTGAAGATTGTTTAGAGGCCAGCATTATGGACCAGTCCGACAGCTCCCAAGTGTTGGAATCTGTCTTTTGCCAGCTTATTCTCGAAACAGTCAATGACATTGGAGCTGATACGGAAGCACTGGTTGATTGCATCCAAAGGCCAACATCTCTGGATTGCCAACAAGTCCTTCCAGGGCTCATCCAGCAAACAGAGGCCTCGTTGCTGCCTGAAGAAGACAACACGGGCAGAGACACAAATTTCGACCCAGTCACAGAGAATTCTGAGAGCTCCAACATAGTCGAGTCTGGCGAAACGGAGAGTGAAGGAGCGGGATCTCCATCAACGACAAGCTTCAATGATGTGACAGCAGAAGGTGAGAGCCTTCTGGACTCCACGGCAGGTGTTCCCTCGGGTGGTGTTGCTAGCGATAACAACGCACCCGCAACTAGTACCCCTGGTCAGCCCACTGGCCTTTCCACGGCAGCCGGAACCTCTGGCAGTCCAAGTCCAACATCAGCCTCTGCTCCCTCCAGTTCCACTGCATTTCAATCCGCAACGGATACTGGAACCCCAACTGTTACTCCTGGAAGCCCATCCTTGGCACCCACCACAGACAATCCCCTAGGAACTGTACCCACTGTGACACCTGGTTCTCCCAATTTCAGTCCAAGTACTGGCAGTCCCACTACTGGTCCACCCACAGTGACCCCTGGAAGTCCCTCACTGCCACCCACCACAGCCAGTCCCGATGGTTCTCATCCCACGTTTACTCCAGGCTCTCTCAGCACCAGTCCTAATACGGACAGTCAGAACGACCCGACCCCCAACCGTGACTCCTGGAAGCCCCTCACTTACACCCACTGCGACTCCCAGCGTCAGTCCAATACGGCAGTCCCACAACTGGAACACCAACGTGACCCTGGAAGCCCATCTGCTATGCCCACCACAACCAATCCCGATGGATCTGTACCCACGGTTACTCCAGGCTCTCCCAGCACCAGTCCAACTACTGGTAACCCCACCACCAGAGTACCAACAGTGATTCCAGGAAGCCCCTCACTGGCACCGACTACTGCCAATCCAGGCGGTTCTGTGCCCACCGTGACACCTGGTTCTCCCAGCACAAGTCCAACTACTGGCAGTCAAACAACTGCAACGCCAACTGTGGCTCCTGGGAGCCCATCTCTAGCCCCAACGACTGCGAATCCAAGTACCATTTCAGATACAGCACTACCTAGCCTTACTGAAGAATCTACAACACCCCCAACGTTGGATCCGTCACCCGAGCCCACCAATGAGCCAACTACAGATCCCACCAATGAACCAACTACAGAGCCCACAAACAACCCAACTCCAGCACCAACAAATGAACCAACCATGAACCCAACAACAGCTCCAACAGTTTCACTCACAACTGATGAGCCAACCGAAACTCCTGGAAGCCAAACCTTGGCGCCAACCACTGCCACTTCCTTTGGTTCTGTCCCCACTGTGACACCTGGTTCTCCCAGTTTCAATCCAAGTACAGGCAGCCCAACAACGGAACACCGACAGTAACCCCTGGAAGCCCATCCTGGCACCCACCACGGCCAGTCCCGTTGGATCTGTTCCCACGGTGACACCTGGTTCTCCCAGTGTCAGTCCAACTACTGGCAGTCCCACAACAGGAACACCGACAGTACCCCTGGAAGCCCCTCGCTGCACCACCACGGCCAGTCCCCTTGATCTGTACCCACCGTGACCCTGGTTCTCCCAGCACCAGTCCGACAACTGGCATCCCACAACGGAACACCTACAGTGACCCCTGGAAGCCCCTCGCTGGCACCACCACAGCCAGTCCTGCTGTTCCCACGTGACCCTGGTTCTCCCAGTGCCAGTCCAACTACTGGCAGTCCCACAACAGGAACACCGACAGTAACCCCTGGAAGCCCCTCGCTGGCACCCACCACGGCCAGTCCCTTGAATCTGTACCCACCGTGACTCCTGGTTCTCCCAGCACCAGTCCGACAACTGGCAGTCCCACAACCGGAACACCTACAGTGACCCCTGGAAGCCCCTCGCTGGCACCCACCACAGCCAGTCCTGCTGTTCCCACCGGACTCGTTCTCCAGTGTCAGTCCAACTACTGCAGTCCACAAACAGACACCGACAGTGACCCTTGGAAGCCCCTCGCTGGCACCCACCACGGCCAGTCCCCTTGAATCTGTACCCACCGTGACTCCTGGTTCTCCCAGCACCAGTCCGACAACTGGCAGTCCCACAACGGAACACCTACAGTGACCCCTGGAAGCCCCTCGCTGGCACCCACCACAGCCAGTCCTGCTGTTCCCACCGTGACTCCTGTTCCCCCAGTGCCAGTCCAACTACTGGCAGTCCCACAACAGGAACACCTACAGTGACCCCTGGAAGCCCCCGTTGGCACCACACGCCAGTCCTGCTGTCCCACGTGACTCCTGGTTCCCCAGTGTCATCCAACTACTGAGTCCCACACCGGAACACCGACAGTAACCCCTGGAAGCCCCTCGCTGGCACCCACCACGGCCAGTCCCCTTGAATCTGTACCCACCGTGACCCTGGTTCTCCCAGCACCAGTCCGACACTGGCAGCCCACAACCGGAACACCTACAGTGACCCCTGGAAGCCCTCGCTGGCACCCACCACGGCCAGTCCCCTTGAATCTGTACCCACCGTGACTCCTGGTTCTCCCAGCACCAGTCCCACAACTGGCAGTCCCACAACCGAACACCTACAGTGACCCCTGGAAGCCCCTCGCTGGCACCCACCACAGCCAGTCCTGCTGTTCCCACCGTGACTCCTGGTTCTCCCAGTGTCAGTCCAACTACTGGCAGTCCCACAACCGGAACACCTACAGTAACCCCTGGAAGCCCCTCGCTGGCACCCACCACGGCCAGTCCCCTTGAATCTGTACCCACCGTGACTCCTGGTTCTCCCAGCACCAGTCCGACAACTGGCAGTCCCACAACCGGAACACCTACAGTGACCCCTGGAAGCCCCTCGCTGGCACCCACCACGGCCAGTCCTGTTGAATCTGTTCCCACCGTGACACCTGGTTCTCCCAGTGTCAGTCCAACTACTGGCAGTCCAACTACTGGTGGTCCCACAACTGGAACGCCAACAGTGACTTTTGCAAGTCCATCCTTTGCACCCACAACTGCCAATCCTGGGAATGGATCCCCAACTACAGGGGCGCCCACCACTGCTCATCCAACCGTCATCCTAGGTTCACCAAGTGCCAGTCCCACAACTGAGACTCCTACTGCACCAACTAGTGGACTCCCGACTGTTTCTCCTGGCAGTCCCTCGGTGGCGCCCACCACTGCAAGTCCCACTAGGGCGTCCGTCACTTCGTCTCCTACGGTCACTCCTGGTTCTCCCAGTATCCGTCCATCAACGTCGGGTCCTACTGCTGGGCCACCGACCACCGGCAATCCGACTGTCATACCCGGAAGCCCTTCCATGGCTCCCTCTACTGCAAACCCCACGGGTGGATCCCCAACATCAGGAACTCCCACTGTTACCCCCGGTTCACCAAGTCTCAGTCCCACCACAGGGACTCCTACTGCAGCAGCTGGGTCGCCAAGTTTCAGTCCCTCAACAGTCCAATCTTCTGCCCCCAGCCAAGGTTGTGCAACTGCTTTTGTTGAGGAGCAGAAGGTTTACTATGTGTTCACATCAGCAAATGTGAGTGGTACAGCAGCAGACACATTGGTGAATGCATTCACTGTTGGCTATGAAGCTGTCAACAAGACAGTGTGCTCTGCAGAGCTGCTAAATGTAGCATTATACATTCCATCAGGCCAACGCAGACTACAAGTTCCAGCTTCACCTGCAACAGCATTTCTCGTGTTGGCCCGCCAAATCAGTGGTGCCAGCCTTTTTCCTTCTACAAATGATGAAGTTACTTTCCTTCAAGCATACACAACTGCTCTGGGAATTACTGGTGCAACTGCAACAGCTGTTACGTTGTCCACTCAATCTCCAACCACGGCACCAACATCTCTGCCTTCAGTAGCCCCTGGGAATCCTACGGGCAGCCCAACAAAAGTGCAATCGTCATTGCCATCTTCAACGCCTAGCGTTTCACAATCTCCTTTGGCTGCACCAAGCAGGCAACCAACCTTCCAACCTACTAAAATCCCAACAACGAGACCTTCAGCAGCACCAAGCAGCACAACTTCAGCAGCACCAAGTAGCCATCCATCCTTCGTCCCATCTTCTCCACCCTCGTCAATTCCTTCCACTGCCCCTTCATCATCTCCCTCACACAGTCCCTCTGTATTACCAGGAAATCCCACAAAAAGCCCAACAATCCTGCCCTCTGCACCACCCAGCAAGTCGCAATCTCCCTCCACAGTACCAAGCAAGCAACCATCCACCTCTCCATCAGTTGTACCTTCACAAATTCCATCCCAGAATCCATCCTATACACCCTCTATAAGACCTTCTAGTCTCCCGTCTTCATCTCCCTCTCACAGCCCCTCTGTAACACCAGGGAATCCAACAAAAAGCCCTACAGCTATTCCCTCTGCCTCACCTAGCACCTCATCTTCTCCTTCATCAGTGCCAAGCAGTCAAACTTCTGCATCGCCCTCAAGCATACCAAGCACAAAACCTTCAGCTATACCATCGTTTGGGCCATCCAGTGCCGCCTCTGGTACACTTTCAACGCACCCATCTGAGCCACCATCCAACTCTCCCTCCAACGTGCCGTCGACAGGTCCGTCAATCTTGTCATCGAGTGTTCCTTCTCTTTCCCCGTCTTTGCATCCTTCAACAGATCCTTCTGCATCTCCATCACTGAATCCAACAGCGATGACAGGTGCACCTACTGGAAGCCCATCCAAGATTCCATCTGGATACCCTTCTTCTGTGCCAAGCTTACATCCATCAAATGCTCCATCCCTGGCACCATCAAATTCACCTTCCACGCCCCCTTCAAATTCTCCAACACAGCTTTCCTCGGTTCCTTCGTCTTCCCCATCAGAACAACCATCAGAATCCCCTTCTAGTTTCCCCTCCTTCACTCCATCAGATGCTCCCTCAAGGGTTCCATCTGTAGTTCCATCTCTCAGCTCAGCTCCCAGCAATGCACCATCCGGGTCCCCATCTGAATCACCATCCATGACCCCCAGTGCCAGCAAACCATCATCAAGCCCAAGTAGTCCACCTTCAGAAGATCCTTCCAGACAACCCAGCATAAGCTCAGCACCCAGTGCTAGCCCATCAAAAAATCCTTCCACAATGCCCAGCGCCCATCCATCCAAAGACCCATCTCTGAGCCCAAGCATCAGCCCTTCGTTGACGCCCTCTGGTTTGAAATCAGCTAGTCCATCTGGATCAGCCGTGCCTTCCATGATTCCCAGTATCAGTCCCTCAGACATTCCTTCAAGAACTCCCAGTATCAGTCCTTCAGATATACCATCGGTACTCCCTAGCAGTAGCCCATCAAAAAATCCTTCCACAATGCCCAGCGCCCATCCATCCAAAGACCCATCGCTGAGCCCAAGCATCAGCCCTTCGTTGACGCCATCTGGTTTGAAATCAGCTAGTCCATCCATGGTTCCCAGCATTAGTCCATCCATGATTCCCAGCATTAGTCCATCAGACGCCCCGTCATTTCTTCCTAGCTCCAGTCCATCCAGATTACCATCATCATCTGGATCAGCCGTGCCTTCCATGATTCCCAGTATCAGTCCCTCAGACATTCCTTCAAGAACTCCCAGTACCAGTCCTTCAGATTTACCGTCGGTACTTCCTAGCAGTAGTCCCTCGGAATCTCCATCTGGGCCTCTGGCAGCTGCTCCATCATCAAGCCCAAGCACCCGTCCTTCTGTTGCTCCATCCCTATCCAGTGAAAGTCCATCCAGCACACCATCCCTTCCTGTACCTTCATCTCAACCTTCCATATCACCATCCAAGAGTCCATCGGCTGCTCCAGTGGACTCCTGTTCTTCACTGGGAACAGCAGGCCCCCTTTTTCTCAGGACAACTGGTAGCCCAGGATCATGTCTGACGCTACAGTCAGATGGTGTATCTCTTGCAATGGAGGCCTGTGATTCTAGCTCCAACCAGCAGTTCCAGTACAACTCATGCAACCAGATTGAGGCTCCATCTGGTGCCAAGTGTGTGCTTGATAGTGGCGGAAATGGTTGGATTACAATAGTGACTTGTTCATCTGCGGATGCCAATCAGATTTGGATTGCTCATGCTGATGGTGGCATTGCATCACAGCAGAGCAACAACTGCATTGACAATGATGGTACCAGTCCTTGTCAAAACAAACAAAACGAGCAGTTGATTGTAGACAGCAACTTTTGGTCCTAAAAGATTCAAGCTAGAACTGCTTGAAGAATCCAGAACCACTGAGAATCCAGCGAATATAGTGCTTTTGAGTTTCTCTACTATCTTTAGTTCTTCTAGCTAGCTAGAGCTCAGAATGTCTCTGAGAAGAGCCAACACCTACAATAGCTATTCAGTAGGTGTAGATAACTTCTTGCTGAAGCAACAGAAAATTTGTTGTCTGAGGGCATTGTCACAGCATGGATCCTCAACTACATAGTGGGAGAGGTAGGACTGACTAGGTTTCGAGAGAGCTACCGTACTAGGCCAGCAATGCTGCTTTGTTGCCTGTGCGGCCAAGAAAACTTTGATACCAGCAGCAATAGAACGTCGTGTCTGCCAGGTGCCTTGGCGCTTGGCTGTGACTGTAACTCTTCAACTCCTCAGGATCCCAAAGTTCCGTGACAAGTCGCTTGGTTGGTGAAGACTTATTGCTAGCTAGTACCAGGTAGCTCGTAGCTCGTAGCTAGCTATAGCTAGGGGTGCGCAACTTTTGCGGTTAGTCATCGCTATTGATAGGCAGGTTGCACTGTATCATCTCTTGACTTCACTGGTACCGTACAAGTTAGTAGCTCTGGTGACATGCTGCCTTCTGCAACCGGGACTTGTGGCTGGGTATGAGGGTGAAGCAAGCTACTAGTAGTATCATGAGCAGACATCACTAGCTAGGATTGATTGATTCAACTCCAAACTGAACTAAAACAAAGCAACTAGTCTACACAATAGGATACCTACAATGTCGTGTAGAAGGTGGCAAATAAACGAGGAATACATGGTGCATGCGAGCGTGTACTAGTACATGTATGTATGTTCGTGAAGCTGTTCGTGATCCCAGGTGATCCTATGCGTGATGTCCTTTGGTTTTGCTGTTACCCATGCCACAGATGGCTCGAAGGTTTATTTCTTTGGTTGTGGAGTAGCCACGGCAAACGAGAGCAAACCTTTGGTGATGAAGAGCAACTCGATCGTTGATCTTGACGCACAGGAGCCAGGAGCCAGTTGTCGGTTGCCTGTGAGCCTGGGGGGAATCGGTACAATAATCCCGCTCAGATCAAACAGAAAACAGCTGTATGTCGTCGTGTAGGCCCTCTCATTTTCCCAGCTGCGCCCCCCTCTGAGCATAAAATTGAATAATTGACTGAGCCACAAGGTAACTCGTGCTGGTGTCAGTACTGGTACCGCGGCACATGGTACCAATAGGGGCACAGTAGTAGTATCGTATACTAAGGCTTGTCTTGGCAGTCTAGTCTAGATGGATGGCACTGGATTTCTCCACCCCCCCAGTGTCTCTACAATAGCTATCTGGCGCTAGCTAGCTACTAGTACCAGGTACATCCCGTTCTGATGTTTCACGGTTACACCAGGTCATCGTTACCATGATGTCATGTCATGAATGTTACGTGTAGGGCTTTAGAAGCTTTGGCCATTGGCCGAGTTTGGCCGTGTCAACCTCCGGGTCTGATGATTTAAATTTAATCGCATCAATTCGGAAAGGTAAGATGGATTTAATTCCCATTCTGAATTCTGGTTGCAGGCGTCTTGTTCATCATTGCCATTTTGTTTATGTCTTTGTGGCAAGTATCGCGATTGGGGGCTTTTACGAAATATTTCTTTTCCAAGAAACCGGTGCATACTTTCACTTTGGCATCCATGCAGCGAAATACAATGTCATGTACTAGTGTACTAGTAGTATTGAATCCTCCTTTGTTTTTCCCACTTTTGTTGGTGGATTGCCAATAAATTGTGAGATGCCCTTGTTCCCGAGTGTAACCAAGGACAATGTGACCCCATGTATGAGGCTTTACTGAGTTATGTGTGTGTCTGTTCAATTTACTCACGAATGCTTGACTATTTGGTTCACAAAGTCCCGTTGTCAAAGAAAGCGGTACTGTGTTGTGTACTTTAATTAAGTCCTTTGTTTTGTCCTTGAACACCTCAATGCGAAGCGTGTAGAAAAGCAATATCATTTGATTGAATTCTAGCTTTTAGGATTTAGAAGATACACTAGAGTCTTCTTTTTCTTGTTCTCTGCTGAACTCCTCTTTCTTTCAGTAAGTGTTTGGCGGTAATGGGTCTCACATTTTGGAGGTGAAGTTTTGCTGTGTAAGTTATTTTTTTATTTGTGTCGGGTGAGCTTGTTACGATAGCTTCCCTATGATTTTGGGGTAAGCTGCTCTATTTTGGCACTACGAGCAGTCTACGAGCACACCAGTTCATGCCTGTATGGCTCAGTCACAGGCCTCAAAACTCTCAAACTAACTGACTAGCTAGTAGGTCCACACCCGGAATACAACAGACCAACAGCATCTGAATACTAGCTATAGTAGTGGCTACTACCAAGCTACTAGTAGAGTAGCAACAGCTGACCTCTCCATTCGAAGAGAGACAAAGATCCAGTAATAGCTAGCTGATACCGTAGCAGGATGGCCAAGTCTTCTTCTTCCTCCGTTGCTGATGGTGCTGATGGTGCTGATGGTGGTACCAGTAGTGCTACTAGCGACATCCCACCCTTGATGGCAATGCCTTTACATGAAGCAGAGGTTGATGAGGTTGATGTAGATGATGTGGCTGATGTAGAGAACCAACGGCAAGACATACTACTACTAGCAGACGAAGAAGACGCTCTAGCAGATGAAGAAGACAGCACTAATGATGAGCATGACGATGACAATGATACTCTCAAGCTTCGAAACAACTGGAGAAAACGAGCCAACGATCAACGGGGTCGTCTTACGGGTAGCGACGGTTCTCTCAAGAGCAAGGAGAGGAGTACTTATTTCGACTACAATAGCTCGGAAGAGTTGTATGCCAACGACGATGATGATGATGAGGAGGAGGAGGAGGGTGATATTGAGGATGGCAGTAGTCACTGTTCCTCATCTGTGATTCCCGACAGTCTCGACTCTGAAGATTACGCCTACGAAAAAGAAAGGGCCGTTTTCTGTGGAATCTTTTTTTATCTCTGTATGCAGCAGTTTGCCACTGCCATTTGGACTGCCTGGCTACAGTTCTCGGGAATCGTGACAAAACTCTGCGGACGATGCAGCAAAGGTGGAGACAACGATAATCCAGTTCTCGAAGGAAATCCTCAAGAGATGCTACAACAAGAGTTGCTACACGTTCCCGAAATGGATATGTCTGCCACGTCTCACAGTTCCGTGGGGACCAGCGGTGGTGGTAGTGGTGGTGGAGGAGGAGCCGCTCCTCCGGGACCTCCTCCTGCCGTGGCGCAAATGGCAACGGCGGCCGCCAATAATGCTGCAGGGAGTGCTGCCAGTGGAACCGCAGCTGCTTCTGGCACGGCTGCCGCATCAGGAGCCGCCGGAAATCTGGCCAGTGCCGTCGCTAGTGCCGGGGCTACATCCCAAGTGGCGGCCGTGGCAGCGGGAGTCGCCGTCGTTTCCGTGGCCGCCATTGCCGCCACGTCGGGACCGTCAACAGCCATGGTACTTCCCGCTCTGTTTGTACCACCCACATGTGCCAATGCCGATCTGGCCGAAGACAAGACGGGCTATGTACAACTCAAGATTGAAGGGATACCACCCCGTGTCTTTCAAGAGCACAAGCATCTCATGGAGGAACTCTTTCGGGATGTATACAATGAAATATCGGGCATGTGCCTCGATCCCATGTCCCGTATCATGCTCTCGGCCAATCTGACGGAATGGGACACGGATTGGGGAAACCACACCAACTTTGACTCGTTCGATCCCAACAATAGTACCAACACCAATGCCACTCTCGCAGCCTACGATGCCGCCGTAGCAGAGTCCGTCACCACCACCTATTGGCAAGCAATATTACAATGTGTCGGATGTCCCGACCACGAGCCACTCTTTGACGTGCAGGACGATAACGACGCGGTTGTGTCCCTCAACACCAACACCACCCGACGGAGACTCCAAGAAGACAAAGACTTTAATGAACTATTGCAGTTGCAACTGCAACAACACCGGTTTCTGCAACAGTTTGATCTCAGCCAGTTCTTTGAAATGTTTGCCGCTTCCTTTAGTTACAGCCTCGCACCCTACCTCGAAGAGAATGGCATTATCGCAGCAGCTTCGGCAGCAGCCGTAGCCAGTTTCAGAGAGTACGCCAATCAGGTAATTCGAGTGGTCCAAGCCACCACCATGGATGCAGAGGGCCGAACTGCCATTGTTCTCTTTATAGACAAAGAACAGATTGAATTGGCATCGGCGGCGGTGGAAGCCAACGGTGGCACTCCGGTGGCCATTTTTGTTTCCAGTGACTTGTCGGACATTGAAAATTGCTTCTTGTCGGGAAACAGCACGGCCAAGTCGTCCCTGTCTAATTCTTCATCGTCGTCTTCATCATCAACCCAGTCACAATATTGCCAAACGCTCTTGGCACTGGCAGAAGACTCTGGTGCATCGGTGGACACCATTCTCGATTGTGCCAGCAAGCCAACATCGACCGAGGAATGCCAACGGTTACTGCATGATATTCTGACGCTAGAAACCGAGGCCCCGACGCCCAATCCCACAACAGCTCCTCCCTCTGACATGCCATCCATGTCACCGTCTGATTCACCCTCCATGATTCCCTCACTCACGCCATCCTTGATTCCTTCCGACACACCGTCTGTGCCTCCCAGTGCTTCCCCATCAGCCAAACCAACAGGAGGGCCAACGCTTGCTCCTTCCCATTCTCCTACGGCAAGTCCTACGTCCAATCCAACCAATCTTCCCACAGCAGAGCCAACAGTGGCTCCAACGGAAAGCCCGACATACGGCCCTACCACTGCCCCAACAAGGGAGCCTACTCCTTCCCCAACCAATGCACCCTCACCAAGGCCAACTTCTTTCCCTACCAGTACCCCAAGAGCAGAACAAGGAATGACCTTTGCAACACAGGAACCCACATTCATCCCAACGATTCCACCAACTCCAGCCCCAACCTATGAACCCACCGAAAGCCCAACGCAGCAGCCAACACCAGCCCCAAGAGATGGGCCAACTTCTTCTCCTACAGTTACTCCCACTTCAGAGCCTACACAGCTGCCAACTCTTGCCCCAACCGATGGGCCAACTTCTTCGCCTACAGTTACTCCCACTTCAGAGCCTACACTGCCTCCCACACTAGAGCCTACTGCAAATCCTACATCAAGCCCCACAAATCAGCCTACTCCTGGTCCAACACTTGACCCCACAAACCTGCCTACTCCTGGTCCCACACAAAGCCCAACGAAACAGCCTACTCCTGACCCCACTGGCGCTCCCACTGATGTTCCCAGTTTCCATCCCATTAGCAGTCCAAGTGGCAGTCCCTCAAGGCATCCCAGTAGCAGTCCAAGCACAATTCCTTCTCTGGTGCCCAGTGCACATCCCTCCCTTGTTCCATCCACCGCCCCAAGTCCAGGGTGTGCCACTCCTTTTGTGGACGAACAAACTGTATACTATCTCTTTGGATTAGGAAATGTCACTGGAGAGGGAGACGCATTGGTGAATGCTTTCATAGTGGGCTATGAAGCTGTGAGCAAGACAGTGTGCTCTGCTAAGCTGCTCAGTGTAGAATTGTACGTTCCATCAGGGCAACGCAGGCTGCAAGTTCCAACTTCCCCAGCAACAGGATTTCTTGTGTTGGCCAGTCAAATCAGCGGCGCCAGCCTTTTCCCTTCTACAGACGATGAAGCTGCTTTCCTAGAAGGATTTAATTCTGTGACTGGGTTGTCTGCAACATCTGTTACAGCATCGACAGCAGCACCTACTGCTACTCCGAGCAAACAATCATCCACGAATCCATCCTCGGCTCCATCAAACTCACCATCTCGATATCCATCGTCAAACCCATCAATGATGCCTTCCACTAGCCCAACTATATCTCCATCTCACAACCCAACAGTGACACCTGGGAACCCATCAGGGAGCCCAACAACCAGGCAGCCGTCCTCCTCTCCATCGAAGGGCCCTACGAGCTCACCATCTATAGATCCATCATCGAATCCATCCCAGAGCCCTTCTGGAAGCCCTTCAGTGATGCCATCTTTGACACCATCAGGAACTCCCACTTTGTCTCCTTCAAGTGGCCCATCTAGTCTGCCTTCAAGGAGGCCTTCTAACCTGCCATCTGAACACCCATCCAGACTACCCTCAAGGATGCCATCAGCAGATCCTTCAAATTCCCCATCATCTGTGCCTTCTGTTGCACCAACCCAGTCGCCGACCCCGGCATCGGCTTCACCTACTAAAAGCCCATCAAACATTCCATCGGCCACTCCCACCGTATCAGCATTTCCATCTACTGCACCAAGTTTGCTTCCATCGGCCACGCCATCCACAGATCCCTCGCACACCCCATCTGTGCCTCCTTCATTATCCCCATCAAAGTCATCCTCAAAACCATCTTCTACGCCATCGGCATCACCATCTATTCACCCATCTCATAGTCCATCGCTAGCTCCCTCAGCCCTTGCATCTGCATTTCCATCTGTCAGCTCTACTCCCAGCAAGTCTCCTTCCATGACTCCTAGTTCCAGCCCTTCTCTTGAGCCATCATCAAGCCCCAGCATTGGACCTTCAGGTAAACCTTCTGTCTCTCCATCGATTGTTCCTTCCTTGAGCCCTAGCGATGTTCCATCGGCGGTTCCATCTGTGACTCCCAGCTTCGTCCCATCAGGCAAACCCTCAATCTCCCCGTCGAGTATTCCCTCCCGTCCTCCATCACGATCTCCATCTGGTCTAGGGTCTGCATTTCCCTCTGCCAGCTTAGCCCCAAGCCAGCCTCCTTCCATGATTCCCAGTGGCAGCCCATCCATGGGGCCATCATCAAGTCCAAGCAATGCCCCATCAGCTGAACCTTCAATCGTTCCATCCAGCATGCCCTCCTATAATCCATCTGGTCTAGGCTCTGCATCTCCCTCTGTCAGCTTCGCCCCAAGTCAGCCTCCTTCCATGATTCCAAGTGGCAGCCCATCCATGGGGCCATCATCAAGTCCAAGCAATGCCCCATCAGCTGAACCTTCAATCGTTCCATCCAGTACGCCCTCCTATAATCCATCTGGTCTAGGCTCTGCATCTCCCTCTGTCAGCTCCGCACCAAGTCAGCCTCCTTCCATGATTCCAAGTGGCAGCCCATCCATGGAGCCATCATCAAGCCCCAGCAACGGGCCTTCAGCTGAACTTTCAATCGTTCCATCCAGCACGCCCTCCTATAATCCATCTGGTCTAGGCTCTGCATTTCCCTCTGTCAGCTCGGCACCAAGTCAGCCTCCTTCCATGATTCCAAGTGCCACCCATCCACGGAGCCATCATCAAGCCCCAGCAATGGGCCTTCAGCTGAACCTTCAATCGTTCCATCCAGTACGCCCTCCTTTAATCCATCTGGTCTAGGCTCTGCATCTCCCTCTGTCAGCTCCGCACCAAGTCAGCCTCCTTCCATGATTCCAAGTGTCAGCCCATCCATGGATCCATCATCAAGCCCAAGCATTGGATCTTCAAATGTTCCCTCCACCTCTCCATCAATTATGCCTTCTCAAGTTCCAAGCAGGAGTCCATCATCGATTCTTAGTAACACTCCTTCCACGGCTCCATCCCCAAAACCCAGTAACGCGCCATCCAATCAGCCATCCTCGTCCCCTGTGGACATGCCTTCATCGAGACCATCAGTAGCACCATCGCAGCCCCCAACAACAGCTCCAGTTTCTTCATGCACAGCAACAACAGTGCCAGGTGCCATTTATCACAGAGAGAATACTGGGTCATGTCTGACCCTCCAATCTGATGGTGTCAACTTTGCAATGGAATCCTGTAGCTCCTCCTCCAACCAGGTATTCCAATTCAATGAATGCACTCAGCAGATAGTGATTCAATCTAGTGGAGGATGCCTGGAATTTCAAAATGGCAACAGCTGGGTGGCTGTAACGAGCTGCTCCACGACACCACCATCAATCGAGCAATGGTATTCGCACAGTGATGGTGGAATAAGAACAGAGCAGAATGGGAGCTGTCTTGATACTGATGGCAGTAGCCCCTGCCAAAACCAACAAAACAACCAGCTGATTGTGGATTCTGACTTTTGGGGTTGAGATATGACACGGGCTGGGCTGCTTTTAGATTTATCCTGTAAAATAACCTTTTCAATGATGCCATGATCTCTGAGGAATTGGCTATCCTAGTGTAGCTACGTCTATTTTAGTGATGGTCGTTGCTTCATTGCCCATGGCTGCTTTACCAATCGTCGAGGATCGAGTCAGGGACACGAGGATGCGGTGCATCAACGGCAAAGCTTGCCCCTAATCACAGAAAGAGAAGAATTCGATGTTGCATAGTACGAGTAAAGTAGCCATAGTCGATCGATGTCCACGCAGCTGTCCTCGCTCGTACTACTTCATCGTGGGGGCATCCAATGATCAATCGTCATCGGTGTGGGGTGCCGACTTGACAGGCCAGCAAGCAAGATGGACCGACTCGCTCGTCACTCCAGCACCGCCATCTAACACATTGGTGATCAAATGTCACCTGAAGTAAATCATCAGCGCTGAATAAGGGCGTCAAGGTTGAAAGCGACACAGAAAAGCTCCTGTTCCAGAAGGCAGCGTCTACTAGCTAGTGCATGTAGGGGCAGAGCGAGATACCAGTAATCAAAATGCGAGGTAAAATGCGAGGTAATCGCGTGCGACGCCATGTGACTCGACGACTGAGATTCGACTTTTTCACTCGAGTTCACTGCCACTGTTTGTTCGTCACTTTGGCAGAAGGTTAGGTTCACCAGGCTTGGCCCCTCCACGCAGTTCATCTTTTGGCTTCCTGGAGCAGTCCCATCGATGCTTGCTTCCACCCTGCGCCATTGTATCAGTTCCAGCCACCCCCTAGCTAGCTAGTACTTCACCTGTTTGCACTGGAGGAGAACCGAAACTGGATAGGCCGCGAGGAGCTACCCCACCCCAAGCAAGCTACAGGAGAAATCCTCGTGAACTCCTCCAATAGGAAATTGTCACAAGAAGACGCCGTTGTTGCCCAGTGACTGTCACTGATCCCGCTGGCTGCCATGCAGGCAGAGAGCCTTGAGTGCCTCAGACGCCATAAAACCAGAAGTACCATCCCTTCGGCATGACATGACTCAGGCAACAAGTTGCCTCGCTGCGTGTACTACCTTCCACCATATTGCCGCTTCCGTCAGCCTACTAGTATGCCCGCAGCTTCCTGTAATCGAGTGCCCAGTCAAGTTTGAATCCATAGGCTACTAGTAGCCAGCAGTAGCACGCTAGCCAGAGCTCCAGACTTCTTTTCGATCCAGCTGCTCTCCCCCTTTCCATAGAAAAAAGGGATCTTGGAAAAACCAAAAGCCACAACCGGGGACCAGTGACCAAAGAAGCTTTGAGCTGATGGACAACTCTCGTGATCGTGCCGCCTCTGACGTGTTGTTCCACTACAGCATGTTACATGTACATGTACATGTAGTACTGGTTAGCCAGATACTTGTAGATTGCCTCGACTATCGACCGTGTTGCTCGAAAAAGCCGATAAGGATTTAACATACGGAAGCCTTTTTGGTAATTTCGGTGACTCGGGTCATATGAACAGGAATGGCTTATGTAGGCAAGGTTTAGATGGACAAGTTACTGTCTATAGACTGTAGCCATTTGACTAGAATCGTCGAAAAGACCCTCCTGTAACAGCTGCAACGAACACGTAGGCATATCTCTTATTGCCCCGGCATACGAACTTCTAACACCCAGTGCCCACGTCACCCAGCCCAATGTCTGATGCTGTGGGTGCGTGGGTGCGTGGTAAAAAGTCTCTCCAGACAAATCCATTCAAGTATCAAACCTCCACATACATTGCCCAATCAAACACCCACCTAAAAGCTACTAGCTAGCAAAGGTTGCATTGTCACCCAAGGAAACACAATGAAACGAAAACCAAAGGAGGCGCAGATCAAATAATACCACCACAACCATGGATACCTGCCAAGCCGAGAGAATGACAGAAGCTAGTTTAGAACTGCCGATGCCAGAACTAGCAGAGCATGAGACCAATGCTACCTTTGCGGGCGAGAATCCCGAAAGAGATGACCACAGCTACCTCCTGGAAGACAGCAGTCAACTTTTATGCCAAATGGAGAGCCAGCAGACTTTTGCTCAAGCAGACGGCGACGATTCTGATGCTCTCAACTTTCGAGACGACTGGAAGCTTTACTCTGACGATCAAAGGGGTCGTCTTGCTGGTAGCGACGGTGCTCTCAAGATCAAGGCGAGGAGTACTTATTTCGACTACAATAGCTCCGATGACGAACTTGAGGAGGCGGAAGAAGCCCATAGCGCTGGTGACTCCTCGTCTGCTGTCACGGACAGTGTTGACTCGGTGGACTGGGATCAGGAACGAGAAAAGGCCATCATCAGTGGCGTCATCTTTTGGCTTTGCATGCAGCAAGCCATGAAATATGCCTGGGAATTGCAGGTCATGTGCTCCAGCTATATTGGCAAGCTGTGCAAGAAGCTCATGAAGCGATTCAAAAACGACGACGACGACGGCAACTTGGGTGATCAAACTCAGCAGCTCAATGACATGAACAATCTAGATGCCAACACCCAACATACCACTGGAAGCCATGGAAATGCCAATGGTGGAAATGCCAGTGGCGGTAACGCCAGTGCTGGCAATGCAGGAGGTGCCGGGGGAGGAGGTGCCGGTGGTGGAGCGGGTGCCGGTGCAGGTGCTGCCACGAGCGGAATGGCAACCGCAGCTGCCAGCACAGCAGCAGCAGGTGCCGCGGTGGGAGCTTCAACTGCCGCAGCTACCGCAGCCGCCACCTCTGGCCTAGCGGCAGCCATTGGATCGGCTGTTGCTAGTGCTGGTGTGGCGTCACAAGTGGGAGTCATGGCTGGAGTGGCCATGGCTGTCTCTGTCGCCACCATCACGGCGGGCGTGGCAGTTGCCAACCAGGGACAACCAGCAGAGGATTCCGTGTCGGTTGGGTACGATCCATCGTCCCCTGTGTTTGTGCCACCCATCTGTGATGACTCTGACCTCAAAGAAGAAAAGGTGGGATTAGTGGAACTCAGTATCCAAGGCCTCCCTGTACACACCCTCCAACAGCACAAGCACATTCTGGAAGAACTATTTCAAGATGTCTACAATGAAATTTCTGGCATGTGTCTCGACCCACTGTCCAGAATCATGCTCTCTGCCAGCCTTACAAGCTGGGAGACGGATTGGGGTAACTACACAAACTACGACTACATCACCAATAATGCAACCAACTCTACCGCCAATCTCACTGAAACAGGTACAAACGCAACATTGCCAGAAGACTATGATCTGGCCGTTGCTGAATCCGTTACTACCACCTACTGGGAAGCCAAGCTCCAGTGTGTGGGATGCCCGGACCATGAGCCCTTGTTTGATACTGAGGAAGGCTCTCTACTATCGATCAATCCAAGCAGAAAACTTCATGCCCAGCAGCAGCGCTTTCTACGTGAGTTTGATTTGAGTGAGTTTTTTGCGCTCTTTGCAGCATCCTTCAGCTACAACCTGGCACCCCTTCTACAGGCCAATGACATTATTGCATTGAACATCACTATTGTCAGAGATTATGACAAGCAAGAAATTCGAGTGGTGGCAGGCAAAGCCTTGGCTGCACAAGGTGATGAGTCAGTGCAAGGAGGGACCGTTGTCCTTGTTGTGGAACTCGATCAAATCATTGATGCCTCTGCAGAGGTAGAGGAGAACGGCGGGACACTGGTGGCACCTTTTGTTGGCAGCGGCCTCTTGGAGATTCAAGAATGCATAGTGACTGGGACAACAGCTGAAAGTTCTCCATCACAGTCAAGCTTTTGTAGCGCTGTCATTCAAGCAGCTGAGGCATCTGGTGCTACCCCTGAGACTGTTCTGGATTGTGCCGGCAGCCCAACTTCTTCTGAGGAATGCCAGAGGCTCTTGCCTGGCTTACTCTTGGAAGTATCTGAAGATGCCTCTAATGGCTCAGATGAAGATGGGAGAAGCGAAAGTGGGTCTGGCTCAGAAGGTGTTCCAGGCTCTATTAATGCAGCAAATCCTGGTGGTGCTGAGCAGCTGGACTCCTTGGCACTGACACCCACAACAACATTCCAGAACCCAGGGCCACTAACACCCACAACAACTGCAGCGGCACCAGTGGATTCTCCTTTGCCAGCAATGGATACTTCCCCCACTGCTGTTTTAAGCTCATCCGACTCTAGTACACCAGACAGTCCTCCACCCTTTGCCACTCCTGTAACAGAAGCTAGTGCTTTGCCACCCAGTAGTCCCATGACTGCACCTGCCAACCCCACCAGTGACACAGCAAGTCAAACTCAGGACCAGCCTGGGCCAGGTAACCCCACTAGTGCAACTGTGCCCACTAGGCCAGCCTCTCCTTTGGCATCAGCCCCTGGGTCACCTCCTTATACTACTGCTTCTGAGGAGAATACAGCCCCTTCCAATGTTGCATTGCCTCCATCAGCAGTGATGGTGCATGCTAGCGCTGCATCCCCGGCTTTTGCTGGCTCTCCCTCCAATCAAATTGGCCTTCCCACATCTATCAGTGCTTCCAGAGAAAGCCCCCCTGCTGCAATAATAGGTGCAGGGCCCAAAGCAGATAACCCAAGTGCATTGTCCCCATCGGCCCCTTCTTTTCCTGCTGCCCCATCTATTATAGGTGCTGACTCTTCAACTCTTAGTGGAATCACCCCCACAGACATCCCAGTCATCACTCCTTCCCCCCCTTCTCCGTCTGGGGCTCAGTCCGGACCCATTGATGTTTCTCCAGCCCCACTTTTGGGCGCACCTATCACAGCCAATGCGCCTTCAAGCCCAACAGCTCTATCATTATCACCACACAACGCAGTTCCGGTGACAGCACTAACACCCACTGTTGTCCCAGGGGAATCAGAAAATAAAGGTGTTGAAGATACCCCCAACCCTGGGGCCTTAGGTGGCCCAGCAGTAACTTCTCCAACCAGCCAACTTGCACCATCTGGACAACGTCAACAGACCCCGGGCCCAACGGATGAACCTACTCCAGATCCAACACCAAAGCCAACACTTGAGCCAACTCCAGAACCAACATCAGAACCAACTCCTAACCCATCGCCAGAGCCAACGCCCAACCCAACGCCAGAGCCAACCCCTGAGCCATCAACTGAGTCAACTGCAAACCCAACAATTTCAGCTGAGTCCCGGAGTTTCAGCCCCACAAATGAAAGGACAATCTCTGGAGAACCAACCACAACGTCTGACAGCACAGCAAATCTCCCTCAAAACCCTGAAATCTCCAGTACAAGCCCCACGCCAACTACAAGACTGCCAACAGTTACGCCTGGCAGCCCTTCACTGACACCTACAACTGCCAGTCCTATTGGCTCTGTACCCACTGTAACTCCAGGAACTCCCAGTGTCAGTCCGAGCACAGGTACCCCCACCACTGGGTTACCAACGGTAACACCTGGAAGCCCATCATTGACCCCCACCACTGCCAGTCCAGTTGGTTTTCTGCCCACTGCAACTCCAGGCTCGCCCAGCACCAATCCAATTACCGGAAGTCCCACAACTGGAATCCCTACTGTTACATCCGGAAGCCCCTCACTGACACCCACGACAACCAGTCCTGTGGGATTAGTTCCAACTGTAACTCCAGGCTCTCCCAGTGTCAGTACAACTACTACTACTACACCAACAACCTCACTACCAACGGTGGCACCTGGAAGCCCTTCCTTGACTCCCACCACTGCCAACACAGTTGCTTCTGTCCCCAGTGTATCTCCAGGCTCTCCTAGTTCCAGTCCAACTACGGCTACTCCGACCACTGGGATACCAACCGTGACCCCAGGAAGCCCCTCAATCACACCCACCACAGCCAGTCCAGTTGGATCCGTTCCCACTGTGATGCCAGGCTCTCCCAGCACCAGTCCAACTATGGGAAGTCCCACAACTGGAACCCCTACTGTTACTCCTGGTAGCCCCTCACTAACACCCACCACTGCCAGTCCTGATGGATCTGTTCCCACTGTGATGCCAGGCTCTCCAAGTGTCAGTCCAAGTACTGGTAGTCCCACAACCGGAACACCTACAGAGACCCCTGGAAGCCCCTCGCTGGCACCCACCACGGCCAGTCCCGTTGGATCTGTTCCCACGGTGACACCTGGTTCTCCCAGTGCCAGTCCAACTACTGGCAGTCCCACAACAGGAACACCGACAGTAACCCCTGGAAGCCCCTCGCTGGCACCCACCACGGCCAGTCCCGTTGTCCGTACCCACAGTGACTCCTGCTCTCCAGTGTCAGTCCAAGTACTGGCAGCCCCACAACCAGAACACCTACAGTGACCCCTGGAAGCCCATCGCTGGAACCAACCACAGCCAGTCCTGCTGTACCCACCGTGACTCCTGGTTCTCCCAGTATCAGTCCGACAACTGGCAGTCCCACAACCGAACACCTACAGTGACCCCTGGAAGCCCCTCACTGGCACCCACCACAGCCAGTCCTGCTGTTCCCACCGTGACTCCTGGTTCTCCCAGTATCAGTCCGACAACTGGCAGTCCCACAACTGGAACACTACAGTCACCCTGGAGCCCTCACTGCACCCACCACGGCCAGTCCCCTTGAATCTGTACCCACAGTGACACCTGGTTCTCCCAGTGTCAGTCCAACTAGTGGCAGTCCCACAACCGGAACACCTACAGTGACCCTCGGAAGCCCATCGCTGGCACCCACCACGGCCAGTCCCGTTGGTTCCGTACCCACAGTGACTCCTGGTTCTCCCAGCACCAGTCCGACTACTGGCAGCCCCACAACCGGAACACCTACAGTGACCCCTGGAAGCCCATCGCTGGCACCCACCACAGCCAGCCCTGTGGGATCCCTTCCAACAGTAACTCCAGGCTCTCCCAGTGCCAGCTCAACTACGGCTGCTCCCAGCGATGGTTGTGCCTTGCTATTTGTGAACATGCAGGTGGATTACTACGTCACTTTCGGTGAATCAGTTGCAGCAGTAGACAACAGCACTCTTATTCTTGCATTTGAGCAAGGTTATGCAGCTGTCCCAAAAGACTCTTGCTCTCCAATTCTGAACACTGTGACAGTTATAAGCAGAGGGTCAAGGAGAAGACTGCAAACGACCAATGCAGCTATTTTGTATGCTCTTGGGACAAGCCAACCTGTATCCCGAAGTCTGGTTGAATCAGCTGCTGCTTCGACAGCTTTTCTTGCAGCGTATAATGCAGCCTTGGGGGGTACAGCAATAGCAGGCACATCCATAGTCACTTCAACATTGGCACCATCATCAAGCCCCTCTTCATCTCCATCTGGCAAACCAAGTGCATCTGCAACACCATCATCAATACCCTCTTTTTCTCCATCGTCCAATCCATCAGTTACTCCTGGAAATCCCACTATGAACCCTACAAAGAACCCATCTGCAATACCCAGCAATTCGCTCTCTCCTTCTGGAGCTCCAAGCAGCCAACCATCTGCACTTCCCTCCTCGGCACCTTCAGGTGGTGCAATTCAAGTGCCAACATCTACACCCTCAGCAAGCCCTTCATCCCAACCAACCAAAACCTCCACTAATAGCCCCTCCAACCAACCTTCCTTCTTGCCTTCAAAATCTCCATCTAGGGCACCAACACCTCAGCCTTCTACCATGCCATCATTGGTTCCTACTAATACTCGATCGGCAATTCCATCACTGGGTCCTTCAATTTCACCCTCCAAGAATCCAACAGTGACACCTGGAAACCCCACCAATAACCCCTCAATGAGCCCATCCACCGTGCCTTCATTTACAGCATCCTTGTTGCCATCACTGTCCCCATCCTCTCTTCCCTCACAGAATCCATCAACAGGACCTTCAGCAGTCCCATCATCCTTTCCTTCGATTCCTTCTAAACCTTCTCTTGGTCCATCTTCTACGCCTTCTAAACCTTCTCTTGGTCCATCTTCTACGCCTTCGATGTCGCCATCGACAGCACCATCAAGGTCGCCATCTTCTACTCCTTCTGTTTCTTCCTCAGAGTCGTCGAAGCCTTCAGCTGTTCCATCCTTTGTACCGTCGGATTCCTCGAATCCTTCAGAGAGCCCATCAATGGTGCCTTCCACTGCCCCATCATTGGTTCCCTCCGGGTTTCCATCCTCAAAGCCTTCAGAGATCCCATCGAATGTGCCTTCTTTGGTTCCGTCCTTGGGAATGGAACCCTCAGGGTCACCATCATCCATTCCTTCTGAGATCCCATCAATCGTACCTTCATCTAGACCATCTTTGGAACCCTCAGGGTGGCCATCATCTACTCCCTCAGAGAGCCCATCAACTGTACCTTCATCTAAGCCATCTCTGGAACCATCAGGGTCCCCATTGTCTGTTCCATCACATAGTCCATCACAGAGTCCATCACAGAGTCCATCGATAGAGCCTTCAAACGTTCCCACTGGGTCTGACAAGCCTTCTACTGTGCCATCCTCTGCGCCCTCAATCTCTGCCAAACCCTCAGAGAGCCCATCGTCTGTACCGTCCGTGAATCCATCCACCACACCATCTGGGTCGCCGTCCTTTCTTCCATCCCTCTCTCCTTCTCAGTCACCAAAGCCTTCAACCGCTCCATCATTTGTGCCATCAGTGTCTCAAAATCCTTCAGAGAGCCCGTCACTGTTGCCTTCAGGGTCCCCATCTTCTATTCCCTCAAAGCTTCCATCCACAGCGCCTTCAGCTGTTCCATCCTCCACCGCATCTTCAGAACCTTCATCGGTGCCATCAATATCTCCTACTGCCCCCGCCACAACAGTGACAATAACAAATGTCCTTCCGTTCACCGATAGCACTGGTCATGATATTGCCTCTACCAACGGATGGTACTACAATGGGGGCAACGGGGCAAATACTCCAGGAGGCCTTCAAAACAGCAATTCAAATCAACTAAGCGTTGGAACTGTTTGGAGTGGAGGAAGCTTGTATGTGGTTGGTGTTTATAGCCAGGCGAACGACAATAAAGCTGGCACCGCACTTGTAACCATTACCGGGTCCACAGGCCTAATTCTCTCAGACGAACCAGAAGATGCAACGGAATCTTCCGGTGTAGTCACAGGAAACTTTGACTGGAATTCATGTTGCATGGATGGTTTTGTTCTTTCAGCTGCTCCAGGTAGTCAGGTTTGCATGACGCATGATAATGCAGGAACCACATTTGTTTACAGGATGCGTTTCGTGAATGGTGACGGAACAACGGCCCTACACGCAAACACCAACACGGAGCTTAAAAGCTATGAAATTTGCATTGATCTCCCACCAAGTGCCGAGAGCCCATCCAGTGTTCCTTCTAGTGTCCCCAGCGCGTCACCCACAGGCTTTGGAACCCTAAACTTGTAAGTTTGATGGCTGACTATATACGTCATGTTCTTGTTTGATTCAGTCGACGCTGTTAGATCTCAATGTTTTCTGTGCTCGTCCTGCAACTGTCTTTAGTGGATCGACACCCCTTCGACAAGATCCAAATCTAGTCTTCACCAGTTCAGAAGCCACGATGGAGGCATGGTACAAACTCTATTTGCTTACCGGCACCAGCTCTGGCAATGACAACAGAGCCACTGTCGCCATTATTCAAGATAGTTCGAATGACTACTTTGTCATGATTGCTTACAATGGGAGGAACCTGCCCAGTGGCGCGGCAGGTACCGCCGATGTGGATGTAACGACGAATAGTGGATCCCTGAGTGTCAGTTATTCCCAGAACTCGGGAGAGGCCACAGTAATCAACAGTCAACTTGTGGAAGGACGTTATGGTTGGAATTTTGACTCACAGGATGGCTTGGTGGTCCAGGCAGCTTCTGGTGCCACAGTGTGTTTTGATCACATTGCATCATCGTTGGTGGGCATGAGTTTTGTGCAAGGCGACAACACGGTTATCGAAATTGCGTCATCCAACCAAGAGGTGGTGAATAATGTGTTTTGTGTTGTCGTTCCTTTTTAATAAAAATGTTGTCCTCGACGCAAGGAAGGACGATACAATACCGGTATCCACCCCGTGAACCATGCAGCCACGAGCGAGCACCGAAACTCCACCATGCATTGGAACCCAATAATGAACGCCCTTAATTCAGCACCTACCAAACCAAACAGCCCGAACAAGAATGATAACGTTAACTGGCATTCTTCGGTCGGGTGAGGGCGATGACGAATTGCTTGTCTACCATGAGCAAAGCATCCATGCATGCAGAGACGACAAACGACAATGTTGGCATCGGCGCATCATAAATTGCAGACGGGCCCACAGAGAGCGCGCGTCCGTTCCGTGGCGACATGCATTGCATTGCGGGCATCCATGCACCGACGAAAACGATGGAGCGAGTCGATTGAATCGAATCGATTGAATCGAATCATTCGCTTCTAGCTGTAGTGATGAGATGCCCCTCGGCCTCCCTTGTATAGTACATACACAGAAAAATGAATAGAATGTCACTACTAGCTAGAGTACGGTAGCTGGTATCGAAAATTGGTGACAAAGTACATGTAGCTCTGTGCCACCCGAGCAAGGTAGTTGATTATTGCTGCAGAGGGCTACAGTACCTGTTCTGTACCAGCAGTCAGGCTTGGGAATGGAAAAGGCGAAAGTCTAGCTACTAGAGCTACAGGTTGAGTGGATCCAGGGCCACAAACACTGGGGACCAACACCAGGACTCATGTACTGGTACGTGCCACCAAGAACCACGAAGGTGGTCGTTGCTTGCATAATATTATTATTAGTGGGGATATGGTACCGTATGCATGCCTGTACTACGGTAGTAATAGCTGTACTGAGTTCTCCTAGTGCTCCGCTCATTCGACCCGGCATTCTGGAATTGTTAAAAGGGGATCCATTCATCACCCACGAGCAGCGTCTTCCAGTCGTGCGTGTGCTCTTAATCCGATCGAAACAAGGGGAGTCAATAGAATTCAACTCTAAATCTGACCCTAGAAAGGGTCTGGTTACACTTGCCTCCTTCCTCCTACGCTAAAGCAAACGGTTTTTAAAAGTGACTGGTCTACATACACTTCCGGTGTGTTCACCCAGTACTGAACATTGCTTAAATAAGTTGACACTTTCACCTGGACTTGGATTTAAAGACTTCTATTTGTTCACAGTTCCTACTTGAAGTTGGTTTCTTTTTCACAGCTTTGAGAACTCCAATGAATGCTTCCAACCTGGCCAAAAAGAAATGACTCACCAAAATAATTACAAAATAATTACCACAAGGTAATACTGAGTGAGCACTCAGTAACAGACACGGATCAGGCTGGATCGATGCCACTTCCCACAGCAGCAATTCACGCTTTATTTTATTGCGGAAGCTACAGTAGCGAACGGCCGTCCTCCTCCACTTTCATTATACTCGAGTAAGACACTAGCTAGCTAGCGACCACAACATCCCTCGATCAATCAATCAATCGATTGTGTGATAGCAGTTGTCTGGAAGGATGTGGACAAGAAGATCCAAAGAAACGGCAGTAGAGGAGGAGGAAGAGGAAGTCTTTGTGACTGGGATGGACACCTCCTTTGTTCCTCAAGTAGAAGGAGATGATCAAGGAGATGATCAAGAAGAAGAGATTGATTTGACAGGATTAGAAGAAGTCGATTTGAATAATGGACAAGATGAAGAAATCGATTTGGAAGAACAGCCACTCTACACGGCTTCTACTACCACGGCACAGAATATCAGAGCCAGTCTTGACAGTAACTCGTACCACTTTGTGACCGATGCGAGTGACCGAGATCACAGTCGTCTCTTGGAGTACAGCAGTCGACTCCTCCAACAAAGTCAACTCCAGCAACGGCAAGATCGATTGAAGCACGAGCGAGATAGCGACAGTGATAGTGATAGTGATAGTAGTGACTCGGATGAGGAGAACGAGGAAGAAGACCAGCAGCAGCATGATCGAGGCAGGAGAGGAGAGTGGCAGAATAGTCAGCACACTCAACCAAGACCTCATCAAGATCAAAATGGTGGTGAAGAAGAAAAAGAAGAAGAAAACGACAATCTCTCCCAAGCTTCTGATTCTGCAGAACTCGACAGTCTCAGTACCATCGATTGGGACAAGGATCGGGAAAAGACCATTCTCAGTGGAATCGTGTTTTGGGTGTGTATGCAGCAAGTTCTGAAATATATCTCGGTCGGATATGCCACTCTTTGCGAATCCATTAGTTGCTGTCAACCCGTATTGCTCTATCGATGCAAAAATTGGATTACCAAGTGTTGTCGCAAATTCAAAAAGGACGACGATAATGAAAACGATCACGATGTCGATGATGATTACGAGTTGGGACAGGAGTTGGCCGACACTAATAACACCACCACAAACAACAACATGACGACTCAACAACCACAGCAATCAGGAGGGAATGGCAGCAGTAACAACAACAACACTACCCCAACCTCCACAGCCATGGCGGTAGCGGCGGCGGGGAGTGCGGCCAGTGGGGCGGTTGCCGGGACCACTGCGGCCATGACGGCTGCCGCAACATCGGCCGGAATGACAGCCAGTGTGGCTACGGCCTCGGTGGTGGGAGTGGCTGGAGTGGCCGTTGTGGTCGCCACGGGATTGGCTCTGGGTACAACCAGTGGTGGACCTGCAAACGTGTCGTCATCCACCGAACCAGCAACACTACCACTACCATCAGGCTTTGTGCCACCCAACTGCTCCAATTCTCATTTGGCAGAAGAAAAAATGGGATTTGTGGAATTCAAGATTCAAGCATTGCCACCACATGCTCTTCTCAATCACAAACACATTCTGGAAGTACTATTTCGGGATGTCTACAATGAAATATCTGGCATGTGTCTTGATCCATTGTCCAGAATTCTTCATTTTGCCAATCTGACACGATGGGAGACCGACTGGGGAAACTACAGCAACATCTATGATGACTATTACCTTATTGGTGCCTCCAACAATAATAAGACTACTGACAACAACAACACAACCAACACCAACAACAACACAAATTCGCTAGATGACTATGATCTGGCAGTGGCACAATCCATTACTACCACCTACTGGGAAGCCAAGCTCCAGTGTGTAGGATGCCCTGACCGTGAGCCCCTATTTGATGTCGACGATGACATGGTGCTGTCATTGAATCGAAATGCCAGACAGTTACAAAAACAACAACAAGCCAATCAGCAACAAAGATTCCTTCAAGAATTTGACTTGAGAGAGTTCTTTGCTCTGTTTGCGGCATCCTTCAGCTACAATCTTGAACCCTACTTACAGGCCAATGGCATTCTCAATACAGATGTTACAATCGTTACTGATTATGACCAGCAAGAGATCCGAGTGGTGGCAGGGAGAGCCAAAGCGGTACAAGCGGATGGGTCGGTCCAAGAAAATGTCACAGTCTTGGTGATTGAGACAGAGCAGATACAAGATGCATCCACCGCTGTGGAAGATAATGGAGGCACGTTGGTGACACCTTTTGTTGACAAGAATGGCCTTGCAGAGATTGAAGATTGTGCGCTGCAAGCCGGAGAAGAACAAGGGGAATCCAGCTTTTGTGCCACTGTCTTGGGACTGGCAGAGGCTTTGGGGGTTTCAGTGGAATTTGTGCTAGATTGTACCAACAACCCAACATCCACAGAGGAGTGCCAGAGATTGTTGCCAGATTTGCTTCTAGAAGCATCCACTTCGGGATCTGATGGTGGTTCAACAACAACAGGTGGAACTGGCATCAGTATTGCCAATCCTTCTGCTGGCAGTGAGAGTTCAACCGGTGGAACTGGAATCAGCGTTGCTAGTCCTCCTGGCAGTGAGAGTTCAACCGGTGGCACTGGGATCAGTATTGCAAATCCTCCCGGCAGTGAGAGTTCAACAGGTGGCATTGGGATCAGTATTGCTAGTCCTCCTGGCAGTGAGAACGGCGACACCACTGCCAATGTGCCAACCATGGCTCCAGTTCCAACTGCTCCATCATTTGGTACAGCTTCAGTGATGCTGCCTCCATCCTTGGTGGAGTCTGTATCCTCAGAAGCGTCCACACCCAACAACTCTGATTCTCCCGTCTTTGACGACGTGCAGAATGAACAGCCTTCCTTCAATAGTCCTTATTTGTCTGCTCCCTCCACCCCAACAGCTCCCAATCCTGCAGCCATGGGACCGTCTGTTTCTTCTAAGAATCCAACAGTGGCGGAGAATGAAAGAGAAATTGAGGGTTATCCAAAACCCAGTACAACCCAGCTTCCCTCTTTTGTTAATCCAACAGCGGCAGCCATAATTGGACCAACTTCTGGTCCTGCAGCTGTCAGGCCACCCAACGATGGCAACAAGCCAACCAATTCAGGCGGCACTACCAACCAGGACACTCCCAGACCTTCTATTAGACCAGCTGGCCCTGCATTGCCAACACCAAGTACTACAACCACCCCAACAACGTCGATCCCTACCTCAGCGAAACCAGCAGAAGTGGCAGTTCCGAGCAACAATGCATCACCAAGTTTTGATCCTAGTGTAGATCCTCCACCTAGTATGGGGGCCGCAGGCCCTGTGCCACCCACTCTTGCCCCCAATTCCAATCCCACCAATTTTGTCTCCCCAGCAGTCTCTCCCACCATTCTATCCAATCCCACCTCTGGCATTACTTCTCCTACAACAAAGGATCCAGCTACCATACCTGCTCCATCCATACAACCCACATCCAATACCCTTTCGGAACCATCCAGCCCCTCTGCTCTCACCCCCAGCAGTTCAGCTAGCCCACAAGTTGTGATGTTACAATCTACAACCACCACAAGCAATCCCATCACCTACCCTACAGACACTCCTAGCCTAACCCCAACCACTCCTCCCCCCACAATAAATCCCACGGATGTCCCTACACCGAACCCCACGCCAAGCCCTACACCAGACCCCACAGCAGACCCTACTCCAGAGCCAACACCCAACCCAACATCAGAGCCCACGCCAAACCCCACAGCAGAACCAACATCTGAACCAACATCAGAGCCCACTTCTGCCCCAACTGTGAATCCAAATCCTCCTAGTGCCATTCCGACTAATGCAAACCCTGTTTCCACCACCCCTTCCGTCACACCTTCATTGGCACCCACTACGGCGAGTCCTGCAGGCGATGTCCCTACTGTGACTCCAGGCTCACCCAGCGCCAATCCAACCACTAGAAGCCCCACTACAAGAACTCCAACAGTCACTCCTGGAAACCCCTCGCTGTCTCCAACCACAGCACGTCCTGCTGGTTCACAACCAACCGTGACTCCAGGCTCACCCAGTGTCAGTCCAACTTCTGTCAGTCCCACAACTGGTACCCCTACTGTTACTCCTGGAAGCCCATCCCTTGCACCCACCACAGCCAGTCCGCTTGGTTCTGTCCCCACTGTGCCTCCAGGCTCACCCAGCGCCAACCCAACTACTGGCAGCCCCACCACAAGAACTCCAACAGTCACTCCTGGAAACCCCTCACTGGCTCCAACCACTGCCAGTCCGTTTGGTTCACTACCAACCGTGACTCCAGGCTCACCCAGCATTAGGCCAACTACAGGCACTCCAACAACTGGGACACCAACAGTGACTCCAGGAAGCCCATCCCTATCCCCTACCACGGACAACCCTATTGGTGCTGCCCCCACTGTGACCGCAACCTTCCTCCCTTCCTACTCTGCAGTTCCTTCACTCAAACCATCTGGAGTACCATCCAAGGAGCCATCTTTTGTTCCTTCTGCTTCCAAAACACCATCAACGCCTCCTTCATTGCAGCCGTCCCCTTATCCCTCTGTTATCCCATCGCAGCTGCCTTCTGTAATGATTAGTATGAGTCCAAGCAATATTCCATCCACTACACCCAGTTCTTATCCATCCATCAACCCCTCTTTAAGTCCAAGTTCTAGCCCCTCATCGATGCCATCAGATTCGATCTCTCCATCCATAAATCCAAGCACAAGCCCATTAATCAAACCATCTTCAAGGCCAAGCATTAGACCATCAGTAATGCCTTCTACATGGTCATCTGCCACACCATCGATGCTCCCTAGTATCAGCCCTTCTGATCTCCCATCCACTCTCCCTACTATGAACCCATCTTCTTTCCCCTCCTTTCAACCAAGCATTAACCCATCGTCAATGCCCTCTGCTTTGCCATCATCAAGCCCATCAATGGTGCCTTCCAGAAGCCCTACTTTTGGACCCACAAGGATGCCAAGTGTCAGTCCTTCAGATTCTCCATCACAAATCCCTAGTATCAGTCCATCAGATGTGCCTTCCAGCAGGCCTACATTTGGACCCACAAGGATGCCAAGTGTCAGTCCATCTGCTGTGCCTACCAGAAGCCCTTCTTTTGCTCCCACGGGTTTCCCAAGTGTCAGTCCATCAGCTGTGCCTACCAGAAGCCCTTCTTTTTCTCCCACAGGTTTCCCAAGTGTTTCTCCTAGTAGAGTCCCTACAGAAATTCCATCAAAGAGTCCTTCCACCAGTCCTTCGATGAGTCCTTCTTCTTTTCCCAGTATGTCACCGAGTCTCTCTTCCGTCCCCAGCGCACAGCCATCTTCTAATGTCTTCATCACACTTAGAAGTGACAGCGGTCTTTGCATGAATGTTGACATCGGTAGTGGTGACAATGCATACATGCAAGCTTGTAACTACAATGCAAATCAACAGTTCCAGTATGACTCAAGCACACAAGAAATTCAAGTTTTGTCAGCAGCTGCGGGCCAGGGCTGCCTCACTTATGACTTCTCTACAGTTAATGTGATGGCAGCATCTTGCAATGGAGGGAACAACCAGAAATGGTACAGGACTAGCAATGGTGAACTGAGAACGGAATACAGTGGTTACTGCTTGGATGTATGGTTCGGTGGAGGCAACAATTTGATTATGTAAGTCAAGTTGGACACCATTTCACCTTCAAGATTCGATATGCACATCATGGTACTAACTGATCCTCCCTCCCATCTTATGATGTAGGCATGGTTGTCACAATGGGAGGAACCAAAAGTTTTCTGTTCCATCGAGTGTGGGGATAACAGTCAAATCCCCTCCAGAATACTCTGTGATTACACGTTTCACTGACAGCAGTCTTTGTGTCGAGATTGCAAGCGACGGCAATGCCTACATGAATACTTGTGATTATGGATGGAGACAACTATTCAAGTACAACTCTGGGACCCAAGAAATCCAACTATGGAATGCAGGCAGCGGTCAAGATTGTTTGGACTATAACACTGGCACTAATAATGTTGCCACAGCCTCATGCAGTAGTGGTAACAACCAGAAATGGTACATGACCACCAAGAATGAAATGAGAACTGAGTTTGATGGGAATTGCTTTGACTTGAATCTAAGTGACAGCAACAACCTCATCGTGTAAGCGGAAGGACGGACTCTGATTTGGATCTGTTGATTTCGCCCTGACAATCCTTCTATTTTTGTTGCAGGTTTGGTTGCCACAATGGTAACAACCAGAAGTTTGCTTTCATTTCCAGCTTTGGAATCATCGTCAAGTAGGCCTTTTCGGCCATTGTATGCCAGTTCCCCGAGTCCTTGGTGGTTCACTGGACCGGCCATGTGTTGGTCATCGTTTGGCGGCAAGTTTCATGTTCTGACCTTTTGAATGATTCCATCTGAGCTGAGAATGCTTGCGTGCCATTACATTTGAGATGCCTTCTTGAGCTTCTGTAAATGCCTAGCTAGACTTGTTACTGCCAGCGCCAGAGTATCCTTCCCGCAAACAGAGAAAGCAGTCTACCGCGGGGTCGAACTCCTTCAACTCTGCAGTTCCGGTAAGAATCTCCCCTGCAAAAAAGCTCCCGCTCGTGGTTGTGGTGGTCTTCATCTTCATTGTCATCGTCACCGGTGCAACATCCAATCGGAAATCCGCGACGAGTTGTTCATGGTCATGGTATTGCCAGTTAACTGCTTATGTCTTCGGTGGTTGCGGCGTCGACTCGAAGACGACATTCCCCTGGACGAGCTGCGCCGTCTACGGCGGTGATTGTTAGACCGGTCCAATCCGTTTTCTACTTCCTTTTCTGCGTTTCCGTCTACGTTGTTTCCATTGTATGGTGCGTCCAGAGCCGTTTTGATTTCGTTCGCCTCGTCGAGGAACCCATTGGGCTGATCGAGGGGCTCGTCTTCGGCAATCGTGGCTGTATCCGCTAGCGCACCAACGAGAAAACGTCGAGAAGACATGGAACGCAAGTAGCCCATGAGTCCTCCGCCGGCCCTTCCGCTGCTTCCAGAACTGGGGAATCGTCGTGGCTGTGGACGAGCATGGTATTCATCTCGACGCCCGTTCGGCTCCCTAGTCGTTGGTTCCGGAGCAGTCGTCGGTGGACGTGCACAATCTGCATCATCGTGTCCCAAAGGTTCACTGGGAGCTTCTGCCGCTAATCTGGCTGTTGTAGACTGTTGCAAGCGCAGTCGAGTGTCTTGCAGCACTCTCGGACGATGACCTCGGGTATCGGTAGGGTCTTGGTCATTGATCCAATGGGCCGAGTGACCGCCAAAAACGGCCGAGGCGCGCTCTTGGTTGGCGGTGCCATCATAGCCGTTTCCGGTAGCATCGTTACTACCGATCGTCGGGTTCTCTTGTTCCTTTCGGTGGGCCGTTCATGGTTCTTTCTAAAGCAAACGTAGCCGACAAGCAACGAGACAGGGTGCTCAGGTTCGATGGATGGATGGTTTGGTAGTACCGTATGGTTTGCAGTCCAGTAGCTACTACCGGTATACTTGCTTGCCTCTATAAGATGCAAAGGAGGTCAGGTCGCTGTCAAGGGCTTTGACTAAGGTTTACTTCTCTTACTCTTCAATCTTCACTTTTGGTTTCAAAAGCTTCGAATGAGGTCAAAGGATAAGGGCTCCTTCTCTGCGGATGCATCTTGATGCATCGCCTGAGTAACTTTGGCAGCACAGAACACATGGTCTCGAGACAGCATGTGATTACGATGAGATCCAACGGGGATCGATCAGCATCTTTGCGAGTGGGGTGGATAGCGACGTACTTGCTCCAGTCTAGCTAGCTAGAACCACAGCACCACGAACATTCCTCAGCACACACGATCCCCGCAGCGACCACTCTATGACAACTCGAGCAGTCAAGCGCAGACTCTTAGTGACTGGCGCCATCAGCGAATGGATGGATGGATGGATACAGTATAAGATCACATTAAAAGAAGCAGGATCCACATTTGGAGAAAGCCATATGCTTCTTTATGAAAAACAGTATAATTTCAGTGCAGCGGCCAGCTTTTAGTGGCACATGAAAAGCAAACTTGGGCCTCTGTCACCAAGATCAAAGCTCAATAATTACTTTACGATGATTCCAAAGCTGGAAATGAAAGCAAACTTCTGGTTGTTACCATTGTGGCAACCAAACCTACAACAAAAATAGAAGGATTGTCAGCGCGCAATCAACAATCCAAATCAGAGTCCGTCCTTCCACTTACACGATGAGGTTGTTGCTGTCACTTAGATTCAAGTCAAAGCAATTCCCATCAAACTCAGTTCTCATTTCATTCTTGGTGGTCATGTACCATTTCTGGTTGTTACCACTACTGCATGAGGCTGTGGCAACATTATTAGTGCCAGTGTTATAGTCCAAACAATCTTGACCGCTGCCTGCATTCCATAGTTGGATTTCTTGGGTCCCAGAGTTGTACTTGAATAGTTGTCTCCATCCATAATCACAAGTATTCATGTAGGCATTGCCGTCGCTTGCAATCTCGACACAAAGACTGCTGTCAGTGAAACGTGTAATCACAGAGTATTCTGGAGGGGATTTGACTGTTATCCCCACACTCGATGGAACAGAAAACTTTTGGTTCCTCCCATTGTGACAACCATGCCTACATCATAAGATGGGAGGGAGGATCAGTTAGTACCATGATGTGCATATCGAATCTTGAAGGTGAAATGGTGTCCAACTTGACTTACATAATCAAATTGTTGCCTCCACCGAACCATACATCCAAGCAGTAACCACTGTATTCCGTTCTCAGTTCACCATTGCTAGTCCTGTACCATTTCTGGTTGTTCCCTCCATTGCAAGATGCTGCCATCACATTAACTGTAGAGAAGTCATAAGTGAGGCAGCCCTGGCCCGCAGCTGCTGACAAAACTTGAATTTCTTGTGTGCTTGAGTCATAATGGAACTGTTGATTTGCATTGTAGTTACAAGCTTGCATGTATGCATTGTCACCACTACCGATGTCAACATTCATGCAAAGACCGCTGTCACTTCTAAGTGTGATGAAGACATTAGAAGATGGCTGTGCGCTGGGGACGGAAGAGAGACTCGGTGACATACTGGGAAAAGAAGAAGGACTCATCGAAGGACTGGTGGAAGACTCTTTGATGGAATTTCTGTAGGGACTCTACTAGGAGAAACACTTGGGAAACCTGTGGGAGAAAAAGAAGGGCTTCTGGTAGGCACAGCTGATGGACTGACACTTGGGAAACCCGTGGGAGCAAAAGAAGGGCTTCTGGTAGGCACAGCAGATGGACTGACACTTGGCATCCTTGTGGGTCCAAATGTAGGCCTGCTGGAAGGCACATCTGATGGACTGATACTAGGGATTTGTGATGGAGAATCTGAAGGACTGACACTTGGCATCCTTGTGGGTCCAAAAGTAGGGCTTCTGGAAGGCACCATTGATGGGCTTGATGATGGCAAGGAGGGGCAAAGGGCATTGACGATGGGTTAATGCTTGGTTGAAAGGAGGGGAAAGAAGATGGGTTCATAGTAGGGAGAGTGGATGGGAGATCAGAAGGGCTGATACTAGGGAGCATCGATGGTGTGGCAGATGGCCATGTAGAAGGCATTACTGATGGTCTAATGCTTGGCCTTGAAGATGGTTTGATTGATGGGCTTGTGCTTGGATTTATGGATGGAGAGATCGAATCTGATGGCATCGATGAGGGGCTAGAACTTGGACTTGAGGAGGGGTCATTGGATGGCTCTTTAGATGGGATTGTAGATGGAATAACCAAGGGGGAAGACGGCAAAGAGGGAGACATGGAAGGGCTTTTGGTAGCGTTTCCAGCAGGGGAAGATGGAAGTTGAGAGGGCTTTGAAGAGGCATTCACTGAAGGAACCCGAGAAGGGGACATTGATGGAAAAGAAGTGCTTTCTGGATTCACTGTTGGAGTTCCTGAGGTAGGATTCTTGGTAGCATTTGTGCTTGGTCTCGCGGATGCACTAGGAATTTCAGTGGGGCCAATGCTGGGACTCACAGTTGGACCTTTGCTGGGATGAGTAGAAGGAGCGGTGCTTTCAGTGGGTGTAGCTGTTGTGGGGCTAATGCTGGGAACAAAGGAAACACTCGGTCTGACGGTGGGGCTTCCCGAAGGAGACGATGTAACAGTGTCCACTCCAAATGCAGTTGCTGTAGTTGATTCACTTAAGGCACCATTAAAACCATCAAGAAATGCTGGGGCATCTACCATGAGATCCAGCAGGTTTGTACCAGCAGCTTGGGTGCTATTGATACCAAACAACACTGTTTGTGTCATTTGTAACCAGTTTTCAACCGTGATGCTATTGAGGATCGTTGAACAGGGGTGCGGTAGATTGGCAAAGCCATTCACAAAAGCTGCAATGAGAGTGTCATTGTTCAATGCAGAGATGTCGCTGCCAAAGAACACATAGTATGTTGATCTTGTTTCAACAAGAGTTCCTGAACATGAAGTGGGGGAGCTTGATGGGGAATCTGAAGCTAGCCTTGACGGCAATTGTGATGGTGATACAGATATCAGTTCAATGGGGGGGAATGTTGGCAGATATGGAGGCGGGCTTGTAGTTGGTGCAAATGTTGGTACGGGAGTTGGGTTATCAGTTGGTGCAGGAGTTGGGTTATCAGTTGGCTCAACTGTGGGCTTGTCAGTTGGTGCAAACGTTGGCGCCAGTGTTGGATTTTCTGTGGGCTCAAATGTAGGGCCGTCTGTTGCAAATGTTGGTGCTGGAGTTGGATTTTCTGTAGGTTGATCTGTGGGGTTCTTGCTCGGTGCAAACGTTGGTGCCGGTGTGGGGTTGTCGGCACGGTCAACTGCAGAGCTGATAGTTGCAAATGTTGGTGCTGGGGTTGGGGTACTGGACGGCTGATCAGTGTGCATTATTGTTGGAGCAAATGTAGGAGCCAGGGATGGTGCAAATGTCGGTGCAGGTGTGGGATTGGCTGTAGCCTCAAATGTGTAGCTATTTGTTGGTGCTGGGGATGGGTTGTTTGTTGGTTGAACCGTCGGACCAAACGTTTGCGAAAATGTTGGACCAGGTGATGGTGTTTGAGATGACTCATCAGTTGGGGCTGGAGTGGGAAAAGGTTCTTGGATGGCTTGAGCAGCTGCCTGGGGAGCACTCAGGGTAACACTGGCCTGTGCAAAAGAGCCCACGGGAGTGGGACTGCCCAATATTGTTGGACTGGATGTTCCAGCGCTGATAGGTCTTTGTAAGTTGACAGTCAGGACGCCAAGAGAAGGATCGGGTTGTGTCCCAGGATCTGCTGGAGGTGCTGTTGCTGGGCTATGACTGGTGGTGCTTACAGTGGAGCTGTAAGGACCACCCAGATCAGGAGAAGATGTTGGACTGTCAGCGAAAGGGGTAGGTGCTACTGGGTTCACAGGTGTGTCTCTTGCTGTGATGTCTATTCCAAAGGATAGAGTTGTTTGCTGAATGAGCCCAGGTAGAATCTCTTGGCATTCCAAGGATGTTGGGTTCTGTATGCAGTCAACAAATGCCTCTGTATCAGCTCCAATATTGTTGGCTGTCTCAATTACTAGCTCACAAAAGTCAGATACCTCAACTACCACATCAACATTGCTGTCTTCTCCTTGGAAACTGGTCTCAAAGCACGCCTCAATATCCGACAAATCGTTGCTGACAAATGGAGTCACAATTCTTCCTTCATTTGCCTGAACAATCAGATAGGCTTCTTCTAATTCTTCCTCCCCATGCTTTGTTACGACATCATCTCTGTCTGCGGTGCCGTCTGGTTTTACAGGCCTTGTAGTGCCTCCCACAACCCGAACGGGCCTGATATCTTGTTGTTCTGTTGTTCCATTTAGAACAATTTGAATATTTGCCGTGTCTCCCAGAAGCACAGGTTGCATATTGTAGCCAAAGTTTGCAGCAAATAGCAAGAAGAATTGCTCTAGTGGAAATTCTTGCAGTGACCGTCGGTCTTGCACTGACATGAATCGCCGGCTATTAGAGTTGGACAGTGGAGGAGAATGCAAACCAGTGTCATCTCGTGGTAGAAACAATGGTTCTTGGTCTGGACAGCCGTTGCAGTCAACCTGCGCTTCCCAGTAGGTTGTTGTCACACTTTGGGCCACTGCTTCGTCGTATTCTTGTACGGTCATGTTTTGCCAACTACTATCCGTCATGTTGCTGTAGAGGCCCCAATCTGTCTCCCACTCTTGTAAGACAGCTTCAATCATAACCCGTTGCATGGGATCCAAACACATTCCAGACATTTCATTGTAGATATCTCGGAATAGGTCTTCGAGATCTTGTTTGTTTGCTTCTAGAACACTGGGGGGTATTGATGCAATCTGAAGTTCCACATAGCCAATCTTTTCTTCAGATGAAGCTGAACAATCGGGTAGTTTGAGTTGGCCATGGGCGTTATTGCCGTCTCCGCGGTTATGGCACTGCTGGTGGCAGCGATGCCTGCTGACACTGCTGCAGCTGCTGCAACTGCTGCGACACTAACAGCCACTCCTGCCTGAGCGGCTGCTCCTGCGCCAGCAACCAGTCCCCCAGCAGCTGCCACTGCCCCTGCTCCAGCACCAGCCGCTGCTCCCGCAGCCGCACTACTGGCCGCAGCCATTGCCATTCCTGCCACAACGGGAGGGGATCCTGGAGCCACTCCACCACCTCCACCACCACCTCCTCCTGGTCCACCTCCTCCAGGTCCACCTCCCCCTGGTCCAGCGCCAATGGTTTGGACACTTTGACTCATAAAGTTGGCATTGTCGGCAGCCTCCTCCATGGCTTCCTCTGCCAAATCTTCCACTCCCAGTGCATCCTCCTGGTCATTGCCCTTTCCAAATTTTTTCATGAGTTTTTGGCACATTTTGGACACAAAGGCCAGGACCTTTTGAAAGACGTCGTTTTGAAAATAGCTGATAACGACAGCAAGAAAACCCGCTTGAATGGCGGCTTCCCGAGCTTCTGCTGAGTTAAACGTAGAATTGGAGTCTTCTGGCTCCGAGCACATGTCACTGATATTATCTTGTTCGTGATCCGTGCTTTTGCGCAGAGAATTATTGTCATTGTCATTCAAAGAAATGTCTTGGTATTGCTGGCTTTCGTGGTCTGTGACGTTCCGTGAATTGGGTTGTTGTTGTGCTCTGATTTGTGTTTCGGCGGATGGAAAATTGGCAGCATCTTGACTATTTGTACTGTCATCATCCTCATCATCGTAGACTGACACGGCGGTGGAGTAACTATTGTGGGAGTCATCGATGGATTCTCGGATCCGTCTTCGGATCGTTCCCTGTTCCATCCGATTGGCGGTATCATCAGTGTGAGAGGAAGAGCCTGTCAGGCTAGTCGGCAATGCTCGTCCCTGATAGCGGTGGATGGACATCGTACGGCGGCTGATGCCATGATGACTGATGTGGTTGGAGAGTGCCAGTGATCGTCGACCGCTACCGGTGCTGTGAGACGACCCCCGTTGTTCAGTCGAGGGAGCATTCGAATGGCCACTTCCGGTGGAACGTTCCATGGTTGATCTATAGAATAGGATATCCTAGCAAGGTGTAGCTGCTGCTAGCTATAGGGATTGGCTGCTGAATATATTAATTTAGTAGAGCGTTTGTTGTTGGCAATTATAAGTTTGTTGTCGCACTTTGCATGCAAGCTCGGAGCGGAGTGACTGCTCGATTGGAGAAGCAAAATCCAAATCCATAACATACTCTGCATTCAGTCGGTGGAAGATTTATAGAAAGAGGAGGTGTCCCCGCGGATGATGTATGAAGTCATTACTCCGAGTAGATGCCTTCTCTGAAGAAAAGACAGTTGAAGAAATGTACTTAAGAAAGAGAACAGACCATTTAGTTCCACAACAAAATGTCCACGATTCCACTAGACAGAAATTAGGCGAAGGCTCTGGCAACGACCTACCGGTACCTTTAGAAGTATACAACATACATCATGTACTTCCAAGCTTCCAGGGGATACTTAATTAATTCTTCAGTCTAGACTACATGTATGTTTGCACAAGCTACCAGTATGCAGAAGCGATCACCATGGAGCCGGGACCCATGCCAGCAGCGGTCGATCGGCGTCTTGTACTTTGAACAGCTTAATCGCTTTTATCGGGACATCCCAAATATCTTTTATGGTCAACGTGGCAGCTTGTGGCTCGTCTTTGAGTGGCCAGCTAGCTACCGGATACAGTAGACCAGCGCTAGCTAGTTAGCTGAGCCTTCGTTTCCCCCTATACTCAGTAGCTTTCAGCATGGTAGCGTATGGTATTTCTCAGCGCTCAGTGTGACTTCGGCGGGAGGCCTCGCAGGATCCCGGAGATTGCCTGGGGCAGCTATGCATAGAGCTGTACTGTAGCTATTCCGGAGTCGTACCTGTGCTACGAGCAGGTCCTGGTACAAGTAACGGCGGCAGCTTCATAGCCTCCGCGCAGCCGCGCAGTACGGTATACGGTACCATCAGGGACTCGACTCAGTAAGTGCCTGCACTTGCGCCCCCACGTCAGTGGATTTAGAGATGAATTGAAGATGATGTAGAAAGAATGTTGAAGTGTAAAGGTATGATTTAGCAATCATAGAAGCCTTCGCTGAAGAAAATGTCAAATATGTGTCTGAAGAAAGCCCCTTGAATTTACGTTTCGAAATGCAAGGGAACAGGAGAGGCTCAAGAATGGATGCGATTCCGATTCATGCATCTATCCTCTCCCCATCGATCGTCGGCCTTGGTTCAATCGATCCATCGCTGTGGTTTAAGGCAAGCCTATGACTATGGTATCTGGCAAGCCTGCTATTGAAGGTGTAGATTCGAAAGCCATCCCTCATTTATTTCTACCAGTATGGACCTTGGGAGGGCAGTCAGAATTCGGTCTTCAACAGTAGCGTAAGTGTGGAGAGTTCTTTATCCATCCGACGCACCGCTACCGTACGGTATTACGGCACCAGTACTGGTATCAACCCTCAGTCAATCGGGACGTCTCTGGTGCAAAACTCCTGGCTGCAGACTGTCAAGTTGGTGCATTGTGAAGAGCAAGGGTGAGTATAACTGCATGGTTTTCTTCAGTTCAGCGCAGAAACAAAACTCATGTCTATTAATTTGTTGTTTTCTCTGCTGCACTGATGACGGCCGACGAAGTACCTTATGTTGAGTGAGTCCTTTCAGTAAAATTTACTTTAAAATCCAGTCACTCTTTGCTAAAATCTTATGAGTCCTTTTCAGCCAATCGATCGATCCATCACGGAAAACACCAAGAGGAAGAGGCCGCTTGGATGGCTGTCCGCTACATGAAGCGGTTTCATTCTTGTCAACTCAAAAATATTTTGTCGCTTCTATTAATCTTTGGTTTTGATGTCGGTCGATCTGTTCGATGGATTCAACGCTGTTATGGGCCAATGAGATTGGATTGCTCTCTTGTTTAGCACGGGCTTCCAATGATGGAGCGGAGTGACTCAGGCAGTAATATTGTCACAGGTCTTCCTTATCGTAAATCTCGGTCTTGGATCTTGGATGATCAAGTGTTGGATCTCACCCGAATCGACGAATCTGGGGTTGGGCCCCAGTTCTGCGGCGTGGTTCGTCAATGTTCAGATGTATCAATGTTCATCATTGACTCCCTGCCTCGTTTTGATTATTGCGTGACTCTTCATTGCCAATCTGAATTGAGTTCCCTCTATCATCCATGGCCTGACTCTGTACTGCAGGCGAATGGCTCCTAGAGCTGATTGCAATACCCTCATTTTTGATCAGAAACAACCTAACAATTCTTGCCTAGCTTTTAGCAGATCGTCCGAATGGTAATGGCGATAGGAGATACCATGGCAAGGCTGGCCGGTTGGCTTCCAGGTGCACCAGTGCACGTGCGACAGAGTCAATGCTCATGCTCAGGGTGCTGACACTCAAAGGTAAAAATGTACAGCTGGCGATGCCATTAGTAATAGAGAATGATTTAGCCTAGGTCAATATATAGAGCAGCTCATGGGCCCGTCCCAATCAAGTGAGTGTTTTGCACGCCTGAGGAGTGTGGATTTTCTGTGGCCAAGAGCATCCAGTCTAGAGCTATAGGAGTGGCTTAACACATTGATTTTTTAGGGCATAACAACACAGTATTCAGTTCCTGTAATCTCAGCAAGAGAGGAGGCAATCGTGCGGCTTGCTGACCCGTCACCTGGAAAGTACCGCATGCTCGAAAGTCCTGATGTCCCAGATGTATCATGCCGTATGCACACTGTGCTTCCTGAAGTTGCAGAAACAGCAAAGCCATCTGATGCTCTGGCACGCCAAACAAATCTGCCAGTCACAGTGCCAGAGGAATATGATGCCTCACCACTATCATCCACCAGGGGAAGACCTGTGACTCCATTAACAGTCACTTGGGCTTTTCCACCACCAGAACTTCCAGATTCTTGGTTGTAGAGGACAACCAAGTACAAGGTACCGGACCTGTCCACAATACCAAGGCTCACCTTTCCTGTGTTGTCAATGTGGAGGCCTCCGACTGTATTAGCATTGTTTCCACCACCATTGTAGAACCAACCATCTGAAGCAGCAATACCACCAGCAGTACTGTCGGAGAAAGCAATGTTGGGGCTGTCGTCAACTGTGTATCGTGGTAGGGGTGTTGGTGAGGGAGCTTCTGAGGGAATCACTGATGGGAAGTTTGACGGTGACCAGGATGGAATATTGGATGGGAAGTTGGAAGGGGCCCGTGAAGGTAGATCCGATGGGCTTACGGTTGGAAGCGCCGTTGGGAAATCCGAAGGACTGGCACTAGGATTGCTTGAAGGGAAGTCCGAGGGACTAATGCTGGGAACCATGGAAGGTGCCATTGAAGGAGAAGATGATGGAACCATGGAAGGACTGATACTGGGAATGCGAGAAGGGAAGTCTGAGGGACTAATGCTAGGAAGCATAGAAGGTGCCATTGAAGGAAAAGATGATGGAACCATGGAAGGCCTGATACTGGGAATGCTAGAAGGGAAGTCGGAGGGACGGATGCTAGGAAGCATAGAAGGTGCCATTGAAGGAGAAGACGATGGAAACGTGGAAGGGCTGATGCTGGGAATGCTTGAAGGGAAGTCCGAGGGACTGGTGATGGGGGTTCTTGAAGGGAAGTCGGAGGGACTGATGCTGGGAAGCACGGAAGGGAAGGCCGATGGCAAAGACGTTGGAACCATGGAAGGACTGATACTGGGAGTTCTTGAAGGGAAGTCGGAGGGACTGATGCTGGGAAGCATGGAAGGGAATGATGATGGACTGATGCTGGGATGCATGGACGGACTGATACTGGGAGTTATAGATGGGGATTCTGATGGCTGTAAGCTTGGCAAATTGGACGGAGAGGCTGATTCAGTAGGGGATCCAGATGGCATTGTGGAAGGGGCTCTCGTTGGTGCTCCTGGTGTAACCGATGGACGCACTGAAGGGGCAGACGAGGGCTGCTTGGAAGGAAGTGAAGATGGGGACATAGAAGGAACAGTGGATGGAGAGAAGGAAGGGCTGTCTGATGGTGTCCTCGAGGGAGAATCTGATGGTGATAAGGATGGAGAGATGGAGGGGGAAATGGATGGTTCAAGAGACGGTGTAGCTGATGGTTGTGTACTTGGTACACTTGAGGGTGATCCAGAAGAAGGCGGACTGCTTGGTACAGTGGACGGATATTGTGATGTGCTGGGTGATGCTGAGGGTTGGATTGTCGGGCTTCCTGTTGGATTTCCTGGTGTTACAGAGGGACTCTGAGAGGGAGATGAAGTCGGGAATCTAGAGGGACTTGTGGAGGGTGTAAAAGATGGATTCTGGGATGGAATACCTGAGGGTACTACTGATGGAGAGGTGGATGGTTGCTTGGTTGGTGCTGATGACGGAGAAGATGAGGTGCTAGGTGGGGCAGAGGGCATAGTTGTAGGGATTCCTGTTGGATTTCCTGGTGTCACAGAGGGACTGTGAGAAGGAGATGAAGTCAGGAATCTAGAGGGACTTGTGGAGGGTGTAAAAGATGGATTCTGGGATGGAATACCTGAAGGTACTACTGATGGAAGGTGGATGGTTGACTGGCTGGTCCTGATGAGGGAGAAGATGAGGTGCTAGGTGGGGCCGAGGGAGTAGTTGTAGGGCTTCCTGTTGGATTTCCTGGTGTTTCCGAAGGCCGTTGCGTTGCTGAAGATGGGGCTAGAAGGACTTGTGGAGGGTGTAATGATGGAATCTGAGAGGGCATACCTGAAGGTACAACTAATGAAGTGGTGGTGGGTGTCCCTGTTGTCGGGTCTGCATTCCCAGGACTTGCTGTGGTGGGTGCTAAGGAGGGACTTCCAGGAGTATCCGTGGGTGTTCCGGTTGTGAGACTCCCGGTGGTAGGAGGCAAAGAGGACTCCCAGGAGTAGCAATTGGGCTTCCTGTTGTTGGGGCAGCAGAGGGGGTAACATTTGTGGGACTGACACTGGGCGAACCAGGGGTGACCGTGGGAAGGGAAGTGATGGGTGTTGTGGAGGGACTACCAGTGGTTGGAGCCAATGAGGGACTTCCAGGAGTAATTGTGGTGTTCTGTTGTGGGACTCCCGGTGGTAGGAGCCAAGGATGGACTCCCAGGAGTAACAGTAGGGCTTCCAGTCGTAAGGGCAGCAGTGGGGGTCACAGTTGTGGGGCTGACACTGGGAGAACGGGGGTGACGTGGGAAGGGAAGTGGTGGGTGTTGTGGAGGGACTGGCAGTGGTGGGAGCCAATGAGGGACTTCCAGGAGTAACCGTGGGTGTTCCTGTTGTGGGACTCTCTGTGGTGGGGGCCAAGGAGGGACTCCCAGGAGTAACAGTAGGGCTTCCAGTTGTAGTGGCAGTAGTGGGGGTCACAGTTGTGGGGCTGACACTGGGAGAACCAGGAGTTACGGTGGGAAGAGAAGTGGTGGGTGTTATCACAGGACCGACCGTGGTTGGAGCCAATGAGGGACTTCCAGGAGTAACGTGGGTGTTCGGTTGTGGGACTCCCAGTAGTAGGAGCCAATGAGGGACTCCAGGAGTAACAGGAGGCTTTCAGCGTGGGGGCAGCGGTGGGGGTCACAGTTGTGGGGCTGACACTGGGAGAACTGGGGGTGACGGTGGGAAGGGAAGTGTGGGTGTTTGAGGGACCTACGTGGTGGGAGCCAATGAGGGACTTCAGGAGTAACCGTGGGTGTTCCGTTGTGGGACTCTCGGGGTGTTCCGGTTGTGGGACTCCCAGTAGTAGGAGCCAATGAGGGACTCCCAGGAGTAACCGTAGGGCTTCCAGTTGTAGGTGCAGCAGTGGGGGTCACAGTTGTGGGGCTGACACTGGGAGAACCGGGGGTGACGGTGGGAAGGGAAGTGATCGGTGTTGTGGAGGGACCTACAGTGGTGGGAGCCAATGAGGGACTTCCAGGAGTAACCACTGGTGTTCCTGTTGTGGGACTCGTAGAGGGACTTGTAGAAGGGTTGGAGCTTGGGCCTGCTGATAAACTGGGGCTTGTGGAAGGTTGTGCACTAGGACTGGTACTGGGGCTTTTTGATTCACTTGGAGCTGCAGAAGGCACTATGGAGGGCATACCACTGGGTAGAGACGATTCACTGGGAACTGTGGAAGGGCTTGCAGTGGGGATGACACTTGGGCTTTTTGATGTAATGGGTGCTGCTGAAGGCGATGTTGTGGGGTTGGTGCTTGGGCTTGTTGATGTACTAGGAGATGTGGAAGCTGTCGAGGTTGGACTGGAACTTTGCACTGCTGAAGTACTTGGAACCATAGAAGGAATTGCGGTTGGACTAGTGCTTGGTCTTGACGATGCACTGGGACCTGCACTAGGATTAATACTGGGAATAATTGATGGGGCCACACTGGCAGTGGGTGCCCCAGTAGTGGGGCTGATGCTTGGAGAAAATGACTCACTTGGACTGATGCTGGGGCTTCCTGACGGAGATGACGTGGCAGTGTCTATTCCAGAAGCAGTTGCTCCACTGAAGGCAGCATTGAAGTCTTGAAGGAATGCTGTGGCATCTATTATGACATCCAGAAAGATCCTGCCAAAAGGCTGTGTGCTGTTGATACCGAATAGAACTGTTTGGGATGCTTGTAGCCTTCTTCGCTGAGATCTGCCTTCAACTGTGATGCTGTGGATAATCACTGAACATGGGTGTGGTATATTGGCATAGCCATTCACAAAAGCAGAAATGAGGGTGTCGTTGGTAAATGCAGAGATGTCACTGTCAAAGAAAACATAGTATGTGGATCTTGTATCAACAAGTACCCCTGAACATGAAGTGGGGGCACTTGACGGGGAATCTGAAGAATCCAGGGACGGTAGCCACGATGGTGAGAGTGAGGGAGACATAGAGGGGAGTTGATTCGGGTTGGCTGTCGGCACGTCAGTCAGACTTGATGGACTGTTGGGGGTGGTGGGGAATGTTGTTGCTGTTGTTGGATTGTCCGTTGGTGTGAATGTGGGTTCTGGAGTACTGTTGATTGGTGCAAATGTTGGTGCAGGTGTGGGATCAAACGTTGGTGCAGGGGTTGGATCAAATGTGGGGCTGCCTGTAGGGGCAAACGTTGGTGCTGGAGTTGGGTTGTCTGTTGGTTGATCAGTTGGTGCAAATGTTGGCGCCGGTGTGGGATTTTCTGTGGGCTCAAATGTAGGACTGTCTGTAGCAAATGTTGGTGCCGGAGTAGGGTTGTCTGTTGGTTGATCCGTTGGGTTTGTGGTTGGTGTGAATGTAGGAGCAGGGGATGGCCCTTGATTTGTCTCATCTCTTGGGGCTGGAGTGGGAGAAGGCGCCACAGGAGCTGGGTCGCCCTTTTGTGATACTGGTGCCGGATTTGTTTGAGTAGATGATGTCTCCATGACTGGAATGGAATTTGAGGGTGCATTCATGGTATCAACAACAGCTGTAGGGCTTAGCATTGAAGGAATCTGTGCCGGCGATGATGAAGTAGGTTGACCAACTGGGCCACCTGTTACTGGAGTCGAAATTGATGATGAGGCTTCTGGTGGACTTGGGCTGCCATTGGCTTCAGTGACTGTTGGTGGCCCAAACCATGTGGGGTTTGGTCCTGGAATTGCTGGAGCTACGGTTGGATTGCTGACTGTAGCAGGGGGGCTTGCTGGTGAATCTGTAAGAATGCTGGCAGAAGCTGACCCAAAGGCAGCCGTGTTGGATGGAGCCCCTGGAGGAGTGCCTACCTTTGGCCCAGCAGGAATCACAGTAGGAATGTAGGGAGATGCTGACCCAAAGGATTCTGCATTGGAAGGAGTCATCACCAAACCTGCCACATGTGGACTAACCAGAGAATGGAACGGGGTTGTGACAGAGGGTGATCCTGGCTGACCAGAAGCAGAGCTAGATGGTTCCAAAGCAGAAGGGCCGATTTGAGTAGCCCCAGATGGAGCACCAGCCTGAGAAGCTGCAGAAGCGGGCCACAAAGGAGGAAGAGTGCCAGAGAGCAAACCTTGCTGTTCAGCTAAGCCAGAAGGCCCTAAAGCAGCAGCTCCTGGATGAGCATTTGCAGCAAAAGTGGGTGATCCAAAACCTGCTGATGATGGGGCTAAAGCCATATTGGAAGGCAGGGGTGATTCATTGGTTGTCAGAGCTGCAGATGGTCCCATTACACCAGAAGGTGCATTTAAAAAAGTAGAAGATGGAGCCATCAAGGTGGGAGTGGCAACGCCTGAAACTGTAGGATAGAAAGGTTGTGTAGCTGTGGTTGGTGATGAGGTCTGTGCAAGTGAGCTTAGTGAAGCACTTGTAGTGGGGTCATTAATACCTGGATAAGCGATAGGTGCACCTGGTTTCACGATTGTGTCTCTTCCTGTGATGTCTATTCCAAAGGATAGAGTTGTTTGCTGAATGAGCCCAGGTAGAATCTCTTGGCATTCCAAGGATGTTGGGTTCTGTATGCAGTCAAAATATGTTGCTGTCTCAATTACTAGCTCACAAAAGTCAGATACCTCAACTACCACATCAACATTGCTGTCTTCTCCTTGGAAACTGGTCTCAAAGCACGCCTCAATATCCGACAAATCGTTGCTGACAAATGGAGTCACAATTCTTCCTTCATTTGCCTGAACAATCAGATAGGCTTCTTCTAAATCTTCCTCCCCATGCTTTGTTACGACATCATCTCTGTCTGCGGTGCCGTCTGGTTTTACAGGCCTTGTAGTGCCTCCCACAACACGAATGGGCCTGACATCTTGTTGTTCTGTTGTTCCATTTAGAACAATTTGAATATTTGCCGTGTCTCCCAGAAGCACAGGTTGCATATTGTAGCCAAAGTTTGCAGCAAATAGCAAGAAGAATTGCTCTAGTGGAAATTCTTGCAGTGACCGTCGGTCTTGCACTGACATGAATCGCCGGCTATTAGAGTTGGACAGTGGAGGAGAATGCAAACCAGTGTCATCTCGTGGTAGAAACAATGGTTCTTGGTCTGGACAGCTGTTGCAGTCAACCTGCGCTTCCCAGTAGGTTGTTGTCACACTTTGGGCCACTGCTTCGTCGTATTCTTGTACGGTCATGTTTTGCCAACTACTATCCGTCATGTTGCTGTAGAGCCCCAATCTGTCTCCCACTCTTGTAAGACAGCTTCAATCATAACCCGTTGCATGGGATCCAAACACATTCCAGACATTTCATTGTAGATATCTTGGAATAGGTCTTCAAGATCTTGTTTGTTTGCTTCTAGAACACTGGGGGGTATTGATGCAATCTGAAGTTCCACATAGCCAATCTTTTCTTCAGATGAAGCTGAACAATCGGGTAGGTTTGAGTTGGCCATGGGCGTTATTGCCGTCTCCGCGGTTATGGCACTGCTGGTGGCAGCGATGCCTGCTGACACTGCTGCAGCTGCTGCAACTGCTGCGACACTAACAGCCACTCCTGCCTGAGCGGCTGCTCCTGCGCCAGCAACAACTCCCGCCAGTCCCCCAGCAGCTGCCACTGCCCCTGCTCCAGGACCAGCCGCTGCTCCCGCAGCCGCACTACTGGCCGCAGCCATTGCCATTCCTGCCACGACAGGAGGGGGTCCTGGAGCCACTCCACCACCACCTCCTCCTCCTGGTCCACCTCCTCCAGGTCCACCTCCCCCTGGTCCAGCGCCAATGGCTTGGACACTTTGACTCATAAAGTTGGCATTGTCGGCAGCCTCCTCCATGGCTTCTTCTGCCAAATCTTCCACTCCCAGTGCATCCTCCTGGTCATTGCCCTTTCCAAATTTTTTCATGAGTTTTTGGCACATTTTGGACACAAAGGCCAGGACCTTTTGAAAGACGTCGTTTTGAACATAGCTGATAATGACAGCAAGAAAACCCGCTTGAATGGCGGCTTCCCGAGCTTCTGCTGAGTCAAACGTAGAATTGGAGTCTTCTGGCTCCGAGCACATGTCACTGATATTATCTTGTTCGTGATCCGTGCTTTTGCGGAGAGAATTATTGTCATTGTCATTCAAAGAAATGTCTTGGTATTGCTGGCTTTCGTGGTCTGTGATGTTCCGTGAATTGGGTTGATGTTGTGCTCTGATTTGTGTTTCGGCGGATGGAAAATTGGCAGCATCTTGACTATTTGTACTGTCATCATCCTCATCATCGTAGACTGACACGGCGGTGGAGTAACTATTGTGGGAGTCATCGATGGATTCTCGGATTCGTCTTCGGATCGTTCCCTGTTCCATCCGATTGGCGGTATCATCAGTGTGAGAGGAAGAGCCTGTCAGGCTAGTCGGCAATGCTCGTCCCTGATAGCGGTGGATGGCCAGTGTACGACGGCTGATGCCATGATGACTGCTGTGGTTGGAGAGTGCCAGTGACCGTCGACCACTACCAGTGCTGTGAGACGACCCCCGTTGTTCAGTGAAGGGAGCATTCATGGTTAATAGAATAGCTGCCGCTAGAGCTTGGCTGCTGAATATATTTGTAGTAGATCGTTTGTCGCCGCTGTTTGTTGCCTCTGTGGTTGGTTTAGACTTCAAAGAAAAATTGAGCTCCATGCATGGGTCAATTGTTCGGTTGCTATCCACAATCCAACGATGGGTGAGCAGAAGTGTTTCGTCATGTTTGGCTAAAAGGGAAATGAGAGACGACCGTGTCTGCATTGGTGCCAAGATTGCAGGGATTTATTGCTTTATTGAAGCTATCTGGGAAGTGTGATGAGGTGTCCTCGAGTGATTTAAAATTATTGAAGTCCTCTGCTGAAGAAAAGACCCTTGTTCAGAAAGGAGAACAGAGAAATCAATGATTTAGTTCCTCAGCTGAAGTGTCCACGATTCTTCCACTCTCTAATTTACTTAACGGGGGTTTCAGGGTTTAGAGTTTAGAGCGCACATAATAGATTTGTCCAAGAGTTGTCCAAGAGCGACAGTCGAGTTTTACACACCGTACACTGTACATACCAGTCATTTCCAAGAGCGAATTCTCGAGTGTCCACGATTCTCTCCACCCTCTCTCGGTCCGGGCCAAGCTCCCATCACTTCCAACGATGGCAATTTCCGAAGCTCCAAAAATGCGGCTTTGTTACATACACCATCAGCTCTTCTATCCTCGTGCATGTGTATCACCCACAAACCAAAAGCGATCACCAGCCGTGAGGTGTCTTGGACAGCTTGGTCTTTCCGAACAGGCGAGCTTGTGCAGGTCGTCTCTAACTCTATTTCTCAAATCACCAAATGCTAGCTACATGTACCTGAGCCTTCGTTTTATATGGTCGTACTCGATGTATACCATCCCCGGGATCCTCGAGGTCGCTCCTCCAGGCCCAACTGGATCGTAGAAAGTGCCTACTAGCTAGTAGAAGCTACATCGCTAGCTAGCTAGACTCCCGTGAAATCATGAAATTGAGTCTCAGTCAACCGTTTCGATTGATCATTCGATTCTTTCACACCGGGCCTTCCGTGTGCCGTGCAAAACTCAGCAGTCCTTCCAGACCGCAACATCGGGTGTGTTGACGGCTGACGGAGCCTTCATCAGATGAAGACTTTGCCTCTTGATGAGGCGGTTGGTGAAAAGCGGGAGCATAACCCGAGTATCAGGAATCATTGATGGAACTACCTCTGTGTGAAGGAATACCTCTGCGAGAAGGAATTCCCTCGTGCATTCATGTGAATTACAGAGCCAAATTCCTTGGAGGAATTACTCATTGACTGCCTTCCCTTGTTCAAAAGGGGCGCAGAAATCCAGTAATGGCCAACTAACAGACTCAGTAGAAGAGATCTTTAATTGCGCGATTTAACCATTATTCTACGTCCAGAACCAAGGATTGCAAAAATAGGGACTTCGCCTCTACCTTTAATTAAATTGTAGCATTGCTCAACTTCGCATTGGCCATGGCCGGCGGGTGCGTACCAACACGACGGATACATCTTTCAACGACTCCAGCCATGCTGTGAAATTGGCCACGGCGTTGATAGGGGGGGGGGGGGGCACGAGGAAGTCGCTCTTTTGGCTTTCATAGTGTGGCATACTTTTCATCCACATGCTCGGCTGCATGTCCATCGCTACAGTACGATGCAGGGCCATGCAGAGCTCAGCAATCCTGGCCAAGAGGAATGACTGCAAGCACTGTGGCTGATTGATGGTCGGAAGAGCTAGCTAGCAACTTTGTCCCCTCCAAGCTTTTTAAAACAACTCGTCGTTGCGAATCGCACAGAATGGTGGCTTCTGGCGTCATTCCAACTGCTCTGGTGGAGGCTCCAGCAAGGATACCTCAACATATGTTGATAAAGATCCACCTGCTTCCAAACAGACCTATTGGGGCCCTAGCCAGCCATGCATTCAATCCCAGCCAACAACAGACTCGTGCTTTGTGCTCGAATAAGATTCCGCCGCCATGAATTCCCTTGTACCGGATTCACTGGCAGCTATGAGAGCCGGGACAAGCAGTGAACTGACAGACATGCTTCGAAAAGTTGAAGATGTGTAAAACTAATGACAATAACAGCAGCGATGACTATCACGTTAGTACTGTTAGTACTGGTCTCTAGATAATTGCAATCTCAAACCCAAAAACTGGAATCCACAATCAGCTGGTCCTGTTGTTTGTTTTGGCAGGGACTACTGCCAGCAGTATCAAGACAGCTCCCATTTTGGGCACTTGCAATCCCTCCACCACTGTCAGCATTCCAGTGATGAAAAGTATTGGAAGAAGAGCAAGTCGCTATTGAAACCCAACCACTTCCACCGGCATACTCCAAACATCCTTGACTAGACTGTATCACAATCTGGCTGCAGGTGTTGTACTGGAATTGCTGGTTTGAGGCGCCAGTACAAGTTTCCATGGCAACACTTACACCATCAGATTGAAGAGTAAGACATGACGTCAAGTCGCTTCTGTGGTAAATGGAGCTTGCTGTTCCTACTGCTACTTGAGTACAGGTTGCCACTGGAGCAACTGTTGGATTGATGGATGGTGCCATGGAGGGTTGAGATGAAGGTACCGGAAGGGATGGACTTTCACTGGGATTCAGGGATGGAGCAAAGGAATTACGGGTGCTTGGACTTGATGATGGAGCAGCTGCCAGAGGCCCACTAGGAGACCCAGAGGGACTAGTGCTAGGAAGCACCGATGGGAAACCTGAAGGACTGGCACTAGGAGTTCTTGAAGGGAAGTCCGAGGGACTGATGCTGGGAACCATGGAAGGTGCCATTGAAGGAGATATCGATGGGAAATCCGAAGGACTGATACTGGGACTTGTTGAAGGGAAGTCCGAGGGACTGATGCTGGGAACCATGGAAGGTACCATTGAAGGAGTAGACGATGGAACCATGGAAGGACTGCTACTGGGACTTGTTGAAGGGAAGTCCGAGGGACTGGTGCTGGGAATACTGGATGGCAAGGATGATGGACTGATGCTGGGAAGCATGGAAGGGACCATTGAAGGTGAAGATGATGGAACCATAGAAGGACTGATACTGGGAGTTCTTGAAGGGAATTCCGAGGGACTGATGCTTGGTAGCATGGAAGGCAAGCCCGATGGCAAAGACGATGGAACCATGGAAGGACTGATACTGGGACTTATTGAAGGGAAGTCCGAGGGACTGGTGCTGGGAATATTGGATGGTAAGGATGATGGACTAATGCTGGGAATCATGGAGGGACTGATACTGGGAGTCATAGATGGAGATTCATTTGGATTGAAGCTAGGCAAATTGGAGGGAGAAGCTGATACAGTAGGGGATCCCGATGGCATTGTGGAAGGGCTTCTGGTAGGTGCCCCTGGTGTAACCGAAGGACGCACTGAAGGGGTGGACGAGGGCTGCTTGGAAGGAAGTGAGGATGGGGACATAGAAGGAACAGTGGATGGAGACCTGGAGGGATTCATCGATGGTGCCCCAGATGGAAGAGTGGATGGAGAGAAGGATGGAGAGTTGGAGGGGGAAATGGATGGTTCAAGAGATGGTGTGGCAGATGGTTCTGTACTTGGTACACTTGAGGGTGATCCAGAAGAAGGTTGACTGCTCGGTACTGTGGACGGAGATTGAGACGTGCTGGGTGATGCTGACGGTTGAATTGTCAGGCTTCCGGTTGGATTTCCTGGTGTTACAGAGGGACTCTGAGAGGGAGATGAAGACGGGCGACTAGAAGGCCTCCTAGGCGTAGAGGGTGTAAATGATGGATTCTGGGATGGAATACCTGAAGGTACAACTGATGGAGAGGTGGATGGTTGCTTGCTCGGTGCTGATGATGGAGAAGAGGAGGCGCTAGGCGGGGAAGATGGCATAGTTGTAGGGCTTCCGGTTGGATTTCCTGGTGTTACAGAGGGTCGTAACGATGATGGAGAAGAAGAGGGAAAACTAGAAGGGCTAGTGGAGGGTGTCAATGATGGACTCTGGGATGGAGTACCTGTTTGTAGAACTGATGGAGAGGTGGATGGTTGTGTGCTTGGTGCTGATGGCAGAGAAGATGAAGTGCTAGGCAGGGAAGAGGGCATAGTCGTAGGGCTTCCAATTGTAGGAGCAAGGGATGGGCTTCCAGGAGTAACCGTTGGAGTCCCGGTCGATGGATTTCCTGCAGTTGGACTGACACTGGGGGAGCCAGGAGTCAAAGTGGGTACCAAACCTGCAGGACTGGGATAAGTCGGAGCAAGTGATGGGCTTCCAGGAGTAAAAGTGGGTGTCCCAATTGAGGGATTGGCTAGGGTTGGGTTGACACTAGGTGATCCTGGAGTTACAGTCGGTACTGATGTGGGACTAACATTGGTTGGCGCCGAGGATGGGCTTCCAGGATTCACAGTGGGCGACCCAACAGTAGGATTCCCTGCAGTTGGACTCACACTGGGAGAGCCAGGAGTCACTGTGGGGACAGAACCTGTGGTGGGCGTAGCAGATGGGCTTCCAGGGCTCACTGTTGGTGTTCCAGTTGGGGGACTTCCAGTAGTCGGACTGGCACTGGAAGCTCCGGGTGTTACCGTGGGGCCAAGTGGGCTGGCTGTTGTAGGCCTGAGTGAGGGGCTACCAGATCACTGTTGGTGTCCCAGTAGTGGACTGTCTGTGGGGACTGGGGCTGGGAGAACAGGAGTGACGTGGAAGAGAAGTGGTGGTTTTGTGAAGGACTTCCAGGGGCACTGTAGGTGTTCCATTTGTGGACTGCCAGTAGTCGGACTGGTGCTGGAGAACCAGGTGTCACAGTGGGGACAGAACCAAGGGGACTCGATGTGGTGGGGAGAGTGAGGGACCAGGGTCACTGTCGTGTTCCATTGTGACTGCATTTGGACTGACACTGGGAGAACCAGTGTAACAGTGGGGACAGAACCAAGGGAACTGGCTGTGTTGGTTCGAGTGAGGGGCTTCCAGGGTCACTGTGGTGTTCCAGTTGTGGGACTGCCAAGTCGGACTGGTGCTGGGAGAACCAGGTCACAGTGGGGACAGAACCAAGGGGGCTCGAGTGGTGGCGAGATGAGGGCTTCCAGGCGTCACTGTCGGTGTTCCAGTTGTGGGACTGCCAGTAGTGGGACTGGTGCTGGAGAACCAGTGTCACAGTGGGGACGAACCAAGGGACTGGCTGTGTTGGTCGAGTGAGGGGCTCCAGGGGTCACTGTTGGGTCCCAGTTGTGGGACTGTCTGTGGTTGGACTGGTGCTGGGAGAACCAGGGTCACAGTGGGACAGAACCAAGGGGCTCGATGTGGTGGGCGAGAGTGAGGGGCTCCAGGCGTCACTGTGTGTTCAGTTGTGGGACTGCTAGTGACTGGTGCTGGAGAACCAGGTAACAGTGGTACAGAACCAAGGGGACTCGATGTGGTGGGCGCGAGGGGCTTCCAGGGGTCACTGTCGGGTTCCAGTTGTGGACTGCCATATTGGACTGCTGGGAGAACCAGGTGTACAGTGGGACGGAACCAAGGGGACTGGCCGTTGTTGGTTCGAGTGAGGGCTCAGGGGTCACTGTGGTGTTCCAGTGGGACTGCCAGTAGTCGGACTGGTGCTGGGAGAACCAGTGTCACAGTGGTACAGAACCAAGGGACTCGATGTGGTAGGCGCAAGGGAGGGCTTCCAGGGGTCACTGTCGGTGTTCCAGTTGTGGGAGTGCCAGTATTTGGACTGGTGCTGGGGGAACCAGGGGTGACTGTGGGAAGAGAAGTGGTGGGTGTTGTGAGGGACTCAGGGGTCACTGTTGGTGTTCCAGTTGTGGACTGCCAGTAGTCGGACTGGTGCTGGAGAACCAGGTGTCACAGTGGACAGATCCAACCGGACTGGCTGTGGTTGGTTCCAGCGAGGGGCTTCCAGGGGTCACTGTAGGTGTTCTAGTGTGGACGCCAGTAGTCGGACTGGTGCTGGAGAACCAGGTGTAACAGTGGGACGAACCAAGGGGACTCGATGTGGTGGTTCGAGTGAGGGGCAAGGGGTACTGTGGTGTCCGTGTGGGACTGCAGTAGGACTGTGCTGGGAGAACCAGGTGTACAGTGGGAAGAACCAAGGGGACTCGATGTGTGGGAAGAGGGCTTCCAGGGGTCACTGTCGGTGTCCATGGGGACGCAGTAGGACGGTGCTGGGGAACCAGGGTGACTGGAAAGAAAGTGGTGGGTGTTGTGGAGGGACTTCCAGGGGTCACTGTTGGTGTTCCAGTTGTGGGACTGCCATAGTCGACGGTGCTGGGAGAACCAGGTGTCACAGTGGGACAGTATACCAACCGGACTGGCTGGTTGGTTAGCGAGGGGCTTCCAGGGGTCACTGTAGGTGTTCTAGTTGTGGGACTGCCAGTAGTCGGACTGGTGCTGGGAGAACCAGGTGTCACAGTGGGGACGGATCCATTGGGACTGGCTGTGGTTGGTTCAATCGATGGGCTTCCAGGTGTCTCTGTTGGCTCATTGGTTGTGAGTGAAACTGTTTGAGCTGTTGTTGGGTCCATGGTTGGTTCATTTGTTGGCTCTTGAGTTGGGTTGTTTGTGGGTACTATGGTTGGGTTGTTTGTGGGTTCAAAAGTTGGTTCATTGGTAGGCTCAGGCGATGGATCCAATGTTGGGCTTATGGTAGGTTCTTCAGTAAGGCTAGGTTGCGTTGTTGCTGCCATGGTTGAATCAGTTGGAGTTTGGGTTGACACTGGATTGTCATTTGGCATACCTTCAATGGCGGAAGTAAACCTTGATATCGCAGTCGTTGGGGTTAGAGATGGGCTCCCAGGAATCACAGTTGGTACTGCAGTTGTTGGCCTTGGAGTGACAGTCTGAGTTGTTGGTACTGTTGCTAGTCCAGGTGTGGCTGTGATGGGGAGCTGTGTGGCTGGGTTTTGTGATGTCGGACTTGATACTGCTGGGGTTGCTGGTGAGTCAGCCAATTCTGGAACTGTGGGCAGTGATACCACAGGAGGCAATGGAGCGGAGGACGGTCGATGGACTGCCGTGATGGGTGCATTGGGATTAACTGCCAACAAGGCAGACGGAGATGATGTATCCAGCACACCGATGTTTGTTTGTGACGGTGTAGCAGCAGGGACTGCTGTGCCTGTCTCGAATGTCTCAGTCCCGGGTGTTGTTGGTGAGTTTATTGATGAAAGCATGGAACCAGCAGGCGTGTTTTTTGATACAGTTGACACAGGAGGTATAAGTTCAGGCGGGGTGGGAGACACAAGTGGAATATTTCCATTTGTTGGCGTAGACTGACTTGGGGAACCAGTAGTGGCAAAGGGAGAACCTGCTGCTGGAGCATTGGATCCGAATATAGGCACGTTCCCGGATTCAACTAACCCAGGAGCTGGCGACTCAGTGCCAACCTGCAGCGAAATTGAAAGAGCAACGTGACCCTCATCCTGCTCGCTGGGTACAGTTGAACTTGGTGAGGGAAGACTCAGGCTTACTGATGCACTGCCTGTGTTTCCTCCTTCCACAATGCTTGCTGAACTTGGAGAAGGAAGCTCCAACTCAAGACTTGTTCCACCTTGTGCACTGTCTTGTTCGTTTGCAGTTAACTTGTCTTGGCCATTGACAATAGTGGATGTCCCTCCCACGCTGGCATCTGAAGCACTCGTGGCAGCGTCGGTTGGACTTGCAGGGTTGGAGCTAGTCTCGCCAGAATCCAGAATCATTTGACTACCACCAACTGAAGCATCTTCTTGGGTGTTGTCTTCATTGATGGACAACTCCAACAGTCCTGGGAGGATCTCTTGACATTCCAGGGTGTTTGGATTCTGAATACACATTCTTAGTGCCTCAGCATCCACTCCTTCCACACTTTCAAAGACTTCCTTGCAGTAATCTGACTGCTGGTTTGCGTCCGGAATATCAAGGCAGTCCTGGAGTCCTGCTAAATCACTTCCTTGAAACGGGGTCAAGAGAGTTCCATTGTTGCTGCTGACTTGAACGTAGAATGCGTTGATCTCCTCATGCCCAAGCCTTGCCACCTCGCCATCATCGTCCTCCGTGATTCCACCTTCCTGAATTGATTGAGTCCAGGCAGCATTCACTCGAACCAGTCTTGTGAAGTTGCTGGAGAAGGATCTTGATCCAACAACTCCACTCTGCAACAAAGTTTCAACGGAGTAACCAAAAGCAGCAGCAAACAGAGCAAAGAATTGTTCCAAACTGAAGTCTTGCAGTCGCCTCTGTTGGCGCATGAGCTGCCTTGAACTTGGGTTTGCTGTTGCTGTGCCCGCACTACCGTAGTCCTCTGGGAGAGCAAACAATGGCTCGTAGTCTGGGCAGCCGTTGCAGTTCAGAATCGCCTTCCATGACATTGTTGTGACACTGCGAGCCACACGTGCTTCATACTCGACCTGCGATGCATTGGCAGGAGGAGGGCCTAGAGTTTGATTCCTGCTATCAATTCCCCAATCTATCTCCCATTCCAACAGAACTGCTTCCAACAAGATCCGATCCAACGGATCCAGGCACATGCCTGTCATGCTGTTGTAAATGCTGCGAAACTTCTCCTCGAGTTCCCATTTTCTGTGTTCCAAGACCTCTGGAGGCATAGCTTCAAGTTGAAAAGTGACCTGGCCTATCTTGTCCGTGGCAACATCTGAGCAGATTGGTGGAGTGAAGTTGCCAAACATGCGTGGAGCATCATGGAATCCAGTTGTGGTATCTTGGCTGGGAGCAGATACGCTTACCGACGCGGCTGCAGCCGCCGCAGCTGATGGGACAAGAGAGAGAAAGAGAGTTGGAAATGGAAATTGAGCTGTAAAGTTCAAGCACTCTGCTCGATATATTATAAGTTCCGGGCCAAGCACTTACCAATGCCAACAGCAACGGCGGCCTGAGCGGCTGCCGCTGCCATTCCTCCGGCTGCAGCTCCGGCTGCTCCTGCCGCTCCAGCTGCTCCTGCCGCTCCAGCTCCGGCTGCGCCCAAGGCCTAAACGAAGAAAAGAAGGATGTACGTGAGGAGACGTTTTGCGAACGGTATGTTGTACCCCTTGACTTTTTGAGTTTGAAAACGTACCGCTGCAACTGCCATTTGAGGGGTTGCTGGAGGGCCACTACTGCCACCACCGCCGCCACCAGCTCCTTGTTGCGGCGACCCAAAAACATTCAAACTTCCTTGTTGTTGGGTGAGCATTCTTGTTGGGTCGCCACCCAAGTCGACTGCCTCTTGCACAATGTCTTCCAAACCTAGGTCAACGTCAAGATCCACATCGCCACCGTCTTGATCATTGCCTTTACCAAACTTCTTGAGAAGCTTTTGGCATATCTTTGACACAAAGGCAAGGAACTTTTGAAAGACATCATTGTGCAGGTATCCATAGAGAAACCCGAGGAATCCAGCCCGAATGGCAGCTTCACGAGCTTCGGCCGAGTCCAAGCTGGAGTGTTCCTCACTGTAGCTTGCAATTTCGTCTTCTTGCTCTTGTTTGTTTTTGTCGTCGTCGTCTTGAGCATCCTTTTCGCCGCAATGATCGTCATCGCCACCACCCAAGGGAACCTTGATATGGCTTACTGGCTCCTCGTTGCGGGAGTCTCTGCAGTAAGTCGTGCTGTCGACAGTGTGGCAGCGTTGGAATGGTGGCTCTTGGTCGTCCTGGGGCGTGAAACTTTCTCCTTCAGGGTCATCAATCTGCAAGACCATAAGATCCTCTGTGGAACTGTCACTGGGATCGATCCCTCCAGAGCCGGTTTCAGAGCCCTCTGCCATGAGGGCTGGTAAGAGAAGCCCATCTTGAAAAGCTGGGGCGTCGTGCGTGATACTGTCATTTGCGGGCATCTTGAGTTTTGATTCAATGCGTGGCTTTCTCGTCTCTGGACTGGATAAAGTTAAGCAATTGAAAGATTGCACAATGTAAGAGACTAAGAGTTAGAACTGTTGGGCTAGATAGCAGAGAGGAGAGAATGGAGCCCCAGTGGCTCTATTGCCAACATTGCTTGCAACCATACCGGTACCCCATACAACTTACTCGGGCCTACTATTAATACCGTATGTCGTATTTGATAGCAAAGGTATGCTACTGCTTGTTATGTTGTGGCGTTCAAGGGAAGTGAGTGACTGGTCAAGCAATTTTTGCAAAGGGGCTCTTCCCTCTCAACTGATGTAGCTATCTCTACAGTATGAGCGAGCAGCTGATGTCTTACTGGAGACGAAGTAAGTGTGGTCGATATGATGCTAGCTACCGGTACTGGTACTTTAGGTAGGAGCCACAGAGCTCTTGGGCCTTGCTTTGGAAGCTCTTGTGAGTGTGAGCCCCGTAAAACGGTACTAGCTTGCTAGCTGTACTGGGGAGGGGAAGCAACTACTCAGTACTTAGTACTCCGGGAAAAGAGCGGAAAAGAGAAAAAAATAAATGAGGACGAGGAGTTCGATTCTTGTCTTGTCGACCTACGAAAAGAATTTCACTGTGGTTGTCTGTACTGGAATCTGCGCCCCAAGACTGAAAGAATGCCTTCCATTTAGAAAAGTCATTAGAGAAGAATGCTTCCGGGGAAGATGGCCTTCCAAAGATTAGAAACCTCTTGTTCCCCCTGACCGCAAGATTGTCCTTCCGCTTGCCGCAACTTGCCACAACATCGCTGTCTAGATAGTAGCCGGTGGCAGTCGGCAGGCTATTGGTACCGTGCGGTACCAGGGCTATGGGAATGGCTATGGCAGCCACGGCTACCGTATCTCCCCAACGAAACGTAAGTGAGGGCCCAAGCAGCACCACGATTGGTTACGTTCCAATTCTCTCTGGGGCTAAAATCTTCCAAACAATGATTGGGCGCTGCATTTTCCTTCCAAGAACAAGACTACTTGTCACCAAACGATACCGCCAGGATTGGTGTGAAGCTTGTGGATTATTGGCTGACACTGACGGGCTAGCCAGGGAGTACTAGTAGATCTAGCTAGCTAGCGATGCGAGATGGGGCTTTGGCTGGCTGACTGGCATGTAGAAGCGGCGGCATTGCGCAGGAGCGACACAACTCATCAACTTCTCTTGGTAAACAATACGGCGTCGGGTAGAAACAGTAATAAGCCTAACACCATGCATCATGATACTGTAGGTTCCCTTCCAAAGGGCAACTTTCAAAAGTCGCTCCTCTCTTGGAGAGGGCTTGCTTCGGAGCAATCTGTAGGCACCACCTGGTAGCCAGGCAGGTCAGTCGGCACCAAAACCATGTATACAGCTCTGCTGGCGTTGTCTTCCGTTCACAGGTGCACCGGTGGAACCCACCAACACGAAAAAGGCTGATGGTGGTGTTGAAAAGAGGTTGCTTATAGTTGTGTTACTACTTGGTAGTTGTTGTGTGGTTGATTTTAGTAATCTGGTAACTGGATAGTCATAAATCGCTACCACAGGTCATTTTCGGTCCCCTCAAGCTAGAGGGGGATCTATCTCACGCTAGATTGCACTTGACATGGGAAAACAGACTTCGGAAGTCTGAAACAGGATGTACCCTTGATGAAGGTATGCATCATATGCATGGCTACATCGCTCTAGCATGTCATTCGTCTCTCAATTCGTCATTCAACTCAACATGATTTCATTTCGTTCATTGTTCAAATGGCTGCTCTCCTGCTTCTAGCCATCATTCTTCAATCACAGCTTCAGGTTGCATTCGGGCAACAGCTTCAGTCTCTATGGAATCTTGTGGGAAAACCTAAATCCTGGCCAGACTGCCAGGACCTCATGGGCCACACAGGTAAAAAAATGGCTCAGCCCATTCAGGACATTGACTTTTGTCTCTGAACTTCAGGGTCCTGTTGCCAGGGTCATTCTATTCTCTCTTCTTGATCGTTCAATCTCTGACACAAAGTCCCCTCAAACCTGACTATGTCATCATCTGGTCTCACAACAGCATCTGGTTGCTTGTAGATCTTCTCTTGATTCATCAAATTGCATCTTCCAGCCTGTTCTGATTCGACAATTCTCGTCGTTCAGCAGAAACAGGGGTGCTGGGAAAAGTCGTCCAGTTTTCTTAAACTCGCATGTCTAAATTGTCAAATCCGTGCTCCAGGAAGGCAATGTTGTCATTTCGACCTGCTTTTCATGGAAATCCGAAGCACAAAAATTGAGAAGTTCGGTTCTAACATAGGGTTGCACAATTTGCGTCACCTCAAATTCTCGTTTTGGCATATCAAATCTAGCCATTTCCGGTGATATCGGTGCGTCACGGTATCAGTGCTCGTCCTCCAACACAGTGTGTCGGGCATCAATTCCATCGCAACATTTGCTTTCATCGCAGCTTTTGCGTCACGCTACAGACAAGGCAGCTGGTTCACATCGACATCATGTCAAATCTGTCTCAACTCGAAATCCGTCCCCTTAGCGTGATGCGGAAGGGGCGATCAAACACATAGTCAGTAAATCAAATCAATTCATTCAGCAGCAAACAAGTGATTCAACACAAGTGCACAAAATTCTCAGTATATCAGAATGTCTCAATATTTCACGCAGTGTGGCACGTTGGCCGAGTAGGCCTCGTCTCGCCACTGTCAAACTCCACCTCATAAATGGAAGTATCAAGCAATGGGTTAGTATTCGAAAGGCCAATCAATTTCCCATCTGAATTCCTCTTTGCACTTTGTGATTGGGCCGTAAGACATTTTGTCACCCTGTGCGACACAAACACGGGTCGAAATGTACTTATCGAAAGCCTCGTGTTGGATCTCATCTGCCTCCGCCAACTCTGGCAAGGGTAGCAACTGATCTCAGAGTGCGAACACCGGAAACTCATCGCCGGTTCATCTGGTTGCCACGCTAGTCCACCAGGAACATCAGTCCGGGATCGCTTCTCGGCTTGCAATGCCGAGACTTGGGACTGGGACTCTGACAACTGTGTCTGCAGCTCGGCAATTTTCCGCTTGTCACCATCGCGGGCGTCCCTAGCCTGTGCTGCTGCGCCGATGTGAGCTGAGCCCACTCATCGGGATGATAGTATCGTTTTGAGTCATCGGGGTCAAAACCTCTGCCTTCACGGGTACGACCACGTCCTCGTCCCCTGCCTCGACCTCTTCCATGGCCTCGGCCTTGGGACCTGCCACTACCACGTCCACGGCCTCTTCCATCAACAATTGGGGAGGGTCCGCGATATCTACCTCTTCTCGTTCGGACTCGTACATCGCCCAAATTGTGTTCAGTCTAGCCAAAGTGGCTTGGTTGGGAATGATTTGACGCTGGATTCATAACATGTGTGACTTGTAGAACCGTAGTTGTCTAAGTCGCTTCTCAAATCCAAACCCCAGCTGTCGTCCTCGATTGGGAACTTCTCTGGGCAGAACTGCTGCGGCAGCTGCATCATCGGCTGCGGCCGCAATGGCTGGATTCGGAATGGTACCACCTGGTTTCCTCACATTCTCGCAGATGCTCTTGATATCGGCATTGGTAAAGGTATCAAGTGAGACGAAGGCATCCGATCCTTGATCATTCAATGCTGTCCTCGTGGCTAGTTCGGTAATACCGATGGTATTCTGTAGATAATTGTTCATGGCTGCAAGATTGCCTGCCATATTCGCCTCCAATTACTTCTTCTCTTGCGGTATCACTTGGATGAGCAACAGTTGTGGGTCTTCTTCTCTGCTCCTATTCCAACAGCAAACTGTACACACCCAGACAAGTAAGGCTGTATTCCACGGAATGAGCTCTGCACACCCAGTCTGTGGCAGTCTAGGCCAAAACTCTTGGATCAGGCGTCCCCTCTCCTTGGCTCAGATCGATCTCTTTGGTGACAATGAGGCAGGAATTGATCCAGACTGGAGGGATCAATATTCCAAGTCCAAACTCTGCTTCCCACTTGGAAGTCTCTATCTCTCGCTCCACTTGAGAGAGCCCCTTCTTCTTGAGAGGTCTTCTGTTGCTATGCCGCTTGGAGGTCTTCTCTTCTTCTCTTGTTCCTCTGCCGGTTACACTGGCAATGAGGATCTCTTCTTGTCGTTCTGTAGCTCCGAAACGGTAGCTTCGAATCGGCGACAATGGCGCTGCTTCGAATGAACGAACGGTATCTTCACGTCGAACGGTAGCGTTCGAATGAACGAACGGTTAACAGACACCTTCTTCTTCTTCTTTTCTTTCTCTCTTCCGTTCGAACGGTAGCTTCGAGTGGTAGTGTCGACGGTGCTTCTGGTGTGTTCGAACGGTAGCTTCGAACGCTTCGACGCAATGGCGTCGAACGAACGACGGTAGGTCTTCTTCTCGTTCGAACGGCTCTTCTTCTTCTTGTCGCTCGTTGCTTGCTTGTTCTCCTATCGATCGTGTAGTAGCTTCCACGCCTGATAAGCCGAAAAAGGCTGATGGTGGTGTTGAAAAGAGGTTGCTTATAGTTGTGTTACTACTTGGTAGTTGTTGTGTGGTTGATTTTAGTAATCTGGTAACTGGATAGTCATAAATCGCTACCACAGGTCATTTTCGAACAGAACGCTACTAATAGCGGAAAAACAAATACGCTACTAATAGCTAGTTACTACTAGCTAGCTACTGGGCTTGCTAGCTAGTCCTGAAGGTTATGGCTCACGCCTTTCCATGCTTATGTGAAAAGCGCCCAAGGGAATAGCAAGCAGAGAAAATAAATACTAAATAGATACGTTAAGGAGCGAGGGGGGCGAGGCTAGGCAAAGCAGTGGCTGCGGTGGTGGGTGGCTGGTGTGGTGGGCAGACGGGGAGAGCAATGAGGACGCGAGCAGGGCAAAACAAGGGGGGCAGGGAAGGGGGGTGCATGGAGGAAAACCAGGAAGGACAAGGGAGCACAATTAGCGGAAGAGTGCAAGTGCACCATCGGCATCCCAGAGATAACGACGGTAGCTCATTGTGCCAGCAGGGACACGAGAGCCACGCATGCAGAGGTGGCGGGCCCGAAGAATAGCTAGGCTGAGCCGAGCATTAACGTAGCCACGCACCACTGAGTAAGGGCGTTCCCACTTTGCAGCGAGCAAAGCGGAAATACGTTTCGCAAGTGCCTCAGTTTCGGCCCCAAGGAGACCATCAGCAGAGACAACAAACGGAGTAAAGTGGCGGCGTTGGGAAAGACAGGCGTCGAGATACTTGCGTTTCTTGTCACGTTCGCCATTGCGAAGAACCTTGTCAGGATCCTTGCGACAGTGAGAAGCAGCATCAAGATTGATGACACGAACATCAATTATGCCGTCAGTTCCGCGTTGCCAGAGGCCACGGATAAGGAGATCACCTCGTTCCTCGGATGGGGTGAGAACTACAGGAGAGTCGCTGGAAGGCGAAGCATCCGTAGCTGCAGAGCGACTAAGTTGGACACGGGGTTCGTCGCGAACTGCAGATGGGATGAATGCCTTGGCAGCGAGATCACTGAGTTCATCACGCACTTCATTGTGGCGTTGGAGAACCAGACCGCCCTTGGTACAGGAAAGGGCGTGAGTGACACTGAAGCGCTCTCCACAGCCATCACAGTGGCTGGGAAGATCAGAGGGGCTCCGATCGTAGCGCAAGTGCAGAAGCATCGCGGAATTCCAGGGAATAGCAAGCATGAAGTTATGGTAACACCCTCCACTTCTCCCCTGCCAAATCCCCGACTCTTCAGTTTCGTCAAGGTCAAGCCGTGCCCATAATCGTACGGTTCACTAGCTACTCGTACAAAAATGTATTCTATCAGGGTTACTGACACAGCCCATGCACTAGTAGCGCATGCATCTACCAAGTACCAGAACTGTGCAACAAATTAGGGCGCTGGCTCGGTTCCCGACCGCCGAAGCTCTTCCACCATTTCCGCGACGATGGACTGCCCGCGCTCTTCCCATTCCTCCCTGTTTTGCATGGCATAATTCAAGCACTCATCACTGGTAACCCCAAACACGTTGCACTCCTTGAGCTTCTTAGCAAGAGGAATGATGTAGTTGTCAAAGAAGCCAAGCTCGCCTTGATACCAGAAAGTTGCTGGGTCCTTGGACATGCGACCCTCACGGTGTGCCAGAGTCATCTCCTGAAACAAGTTCTTGTTCCACTTGCGGTATACATGCCAGTGTTGCATCGTGTGACTGGAAAGGAAAGGTCGAAACAGAGGTGAGCTGAGGTGATGAAGCAGTCAGAAGAAGCCAAACGTTGAGGAACGCTTACCTGACGTCGCTTGCTTGCATTATGTGTTCGATCTGCGAAAGTAGCAAAAATGCCTTCTGAGCAAACAGCAGCAGGCGAAATGCAATGGTTAAGAGGAGAACACTATCTTCCACTTACAACAATCGTGGCTCGTAGTCCATTCTTCTGCACTTTCGAAAGGCTGGACTCGGAATCTTCCGAAAACGCCTTGTTCCAGCGAGTCTTTCGAAGATCATTCAGCTCCTTGTCAAAAATGTCCTACAATGGAAACCTCGAGATGTGAGCATGGCGCCATTGATCAGCAAACACAACCGAATGCACGAAACTTATCGTAACGTACAGTTGCCAGCACGACATTGACCACCACTTCTCGAAATCGAGCTAAGTCGCTCGGCGTAGCAAAGATGTAGTTTCGAAGTTTTTCGAATTTGTCAGACATGAGGTGATCCCAGGCCACATCCAGCGAATTCTGTGAATCAAAAGGATCACACCACTACTTGTCAGGTCGATCATCGCGATTCTTGGATTGGCTCATGGAAGTTGGAACGTACCTGCTCAGCAATGCTCTTGTGTTTGTATAATATTGCCAAATCTTCGTTTTCCTTTTCCAGCTGTGCGTTCGACACTCCCATGTGGTCGACGTCATGAATCAAGGCTAGGTGTTCCGAACGAGAAAAGGGTGAGAATCCAGACTTCCAGCGAGTAGGTGTGTTCAGCGTGTGCTACGGCATCCCGACTCACCTGAAAAGACAATGGCGAACAACGTGATGGGATCAGAATGAATGCCATGAGTGTAGTCGTGGAGTTGCGACGCCATCTCCCTTGCATCATGGGCCCCCTCAAAAGTGCCTTCGCCGGGTTTCACAACTCTCTTGAGAAACTTGTTCGCGGCCATTGTTACATCTGTGTCACAGAAAGTGAATTGTTTAGATTCCCGTACCACATTGCGTGCAAACTGATGCACCGGACGATTAACAGTACTTACGGCAAGCATGCTGTTTGAGAAAAAATAGAGTGACAGACACGATGAAGATATGTGAGTTTGTGTTGATTGCATTATGAAGAATCAAGGCGGTGCATAAGTTCTCACGTCAAAGTTGTGAAAGGGGTTGTTGTGGTAGAGAGAAGCAATCACTGCAACGTATTCGCGGAGGAGCGAGGTGATTTCATCGTCAAGCACCACACTTCTTCCGCTACGGGCCAGGGCTTCCAATGCCTTCGGATCGAATTGAGGCAACTCAATGATTTCAACGACTTCGTCTAATGGAGTACCCCCTGCAATCTTCTTAGAATCGGAACGTGCACTTTTCTTGGGCGTCACGGCACGCTTCGCAACAATGTCCTTCACATAACTCTTGAAGAGTTCTGTCATCCATTCTACGAGGCGACCATAAGCCATTTCTGGAACTGGTTCCTCAGGCGACGGAGTATGACCGCTTGTCTGAGCCAACGCATCCGGGTCATACTGGCCAGAGTCGCTGGACGTAACAGTGGTTCCTTCTTTGTGAGCCCATGGAGACACAAAGTAGGTTGTGAGAAGCCCCTTGCCTTTTGCGTGAACCTTGTCCTCCCGCATCTGCAACCAATGCTGTTTTCCATACTCGGTTAGAATGTCTGCTGTTGACTTGGAGGCTTGAATCTTGTCCTTCACCCCCGTGCTCTCCATTCGAGCCGCGGTGTTGACAGTGTCCCCAAACCTGGAACAATGATTCGAGAGTATGACAGTCAGAAACAGCCATTTCATCGATACAGTAAGCAGGAAGAAGCACTCACAATTGGAAACGAGCCCGATCACCCATCAACACACCAGCCTAGAATGTACCGAATGATTTCAATCGAGGTAAGATCAGGTTGTCGTGAGCAGACTAAGTCTTGGTGATTAAAGCACTCGATCTTCGCAAACTGGTACGTACAGTCACAGGCCCACTATTGATTCCAAATCTCATTGTGAGATCAGCTGTGTCTGGTCCGAGCTCCGTATAGAGGCTTTGAACTACACTCCGCATAGCTCCCATGCACTCAGCCGCAAATCGCGCCATGATCAAAGCTAAAACGAACAAATAGAACACAGCAACGTGAGGACAGACTGAAATCACGCTAAAGTGACAGCCTTGGCTTCTGATGTTGCTCTCTTACCGTGACGAGGTTGAGGGGTGGGGCATCCGGTGACGGCGACATACTAGAAACGCAAACAGCAGCGTGCATGAGCTTCGACTAGATAACTTTCATGAAGACTCGTCCAAGCCTACGCAAACATACCGAGTCGCCAATCTATAGAGAACACGAAAAAACTCAGTGAGAACAAAAACCCTCGTAGAACATTCGTTGCGGAAGGAATTTAGTGGCTTACAGTTTCCACCTTGAAGACCTGGCGCTTCGCGGCGAGACGATCAAATGCCTGGTAGATGTTCTGGAGGAGGAGGAATACTTGTGCTGGGTCTGTATGCATAAAAGCGAGAAAGAACGGGCACAGGAGCATGAGCAAGCCACGAGCCGCAAAACAGTCCTTTTTTGACGATACACAGAAGCCTACCTCGGCTGGACGACCACGCGGTGAACCCTGCAAGTTCAAAAGGAGATAGGTAACACGGTGTGAGAAATCTTTGAAAATGCCCACGAATATGAGTCCAGGAAAGAGCAATTTTGTCTTTTTCGTACCAGCAATATCCTGTGGAACCATGGATGCAACCGAGACAAGTACGTACAGTAGTGGTGAGTGAGAAATCCAAGTGAAACACACACACACACACACACACACACACAAACTGCAAGTACCAAAAGGTGCTGCTTACCGCAAACATGACAGTTGCCTCGGGGAAGAGATCGGCAATGGGTGCCCCATTTCGTCCATTCAAACTATTACTGCGATTACTGACAAGAGATTGGCGAGGATTATTGTGATGATTTGGATTGGAGAACATGCTTCTGGCTTCTTCCTTTTTCCTGGTCTTGTTGGTTTCTTCCATCATGCGATCCCGAACATTTTTGGGAAAGAGACTCGAGACAATGGCACTGGTTTGTTCTGCCTTTTTGAGTACCAATCGTTGACGACGTTCGACGAGTCGGTCGTAGACAAAAAACATGAGCATGGCAAAGACAAAGACACATGCCACGGCGACCGTAATAATGGCAGGATTATTGGTCCGAAAAGAGTCGTGGAATTCTTTGGTGGGATAGACTCGAATGGTAATGGGACAGGAATCTTGGTAGAGGGCCATCCCCACGGCGGTTCCATCACTGATGCGGGAAACGTTGCGAAAGTCGGCTCGTTGTTCCAAAAAGTCGTACTTGGGGTCGTGGAGGTCGCCGACCCCCAATGGCTCTACCGTGCCACCGTTAATGACATAGGTAAATGGTTCGGAACAAGTGTCTTCCAATACAAAGAGGATTCCATTTTGGCTGGGAGGTAGAATGTCGCGGAAGAATCGTGCCCAATGAAAGACCAGTCGCATGATGCCCACAGTACGACGGTTTTCTTTGAAGGAATCGTAGAGAGGAAGGTATACGGTCGAAAACAAGTCCCCGAGGTAGAGTGTGGGTTCCTTGTTGGCAATAGACAAGAGCCAGGCAATTTCGGAAGTGTACGGATCTTCATCAAATCCGTAACCGGGTCTCGCAAACTGCAATCCTTCAAAGACAACGGCATCATGGAGGAGACACAACCGAAGGCCTTCCGAGTTGGAGGATCGATCTTGATTGATCATGGCTCTTGAACTGGTAAAGGGAGATAGGAGCCAAGCGGGCAAGTAGCGATCCTTTCCCGGACTGATCTTAGCCTTGGATCCTTGGAAACGTGCGAGATCGTAGATGCGATTGGCAATGCCACTGGATTGAATGTCTAGATCTTCATCGTCGGTTTGGACCGGTCGACGATTGTCCAGTTCATCGAGTCCAACTCGTTGGTTGTATTCCATGGAATCATTGTAGTACTTGACAGCCTCGGGATGGTGTAGTGTGTAGTTTTCCCAGTCTCGTCGTTCTCTGCGTTCGACAATGGGATTGACCCCAATGGACAAGATTCCCGATTGTTCCTTGACGGACTGGGCACGTTGTGGAAAGTTGGACAAGGTCACAAAGGGCCATGCCCCTTCGCGATCAATGGCGTGGGAAACGAGCGATACTACCAGCGCTCCGGCGTATCCCAGCCTATCATTGGCAATCTCCAAAAAGGTGTCTGTACGATAAGGTAAGATGAGGTAAGATAAGTAAGGTAGCGGGGAAGAAACAAGGTAATGTTAGCCTCACTGTTGCAAACAAGCATGATACGGTAGCCACTGTAGCTAGGTAGGCAGCCAGTCAGGGAGGCCTTGTGGGAAAGCCAGATGGCTATCAAGCACAAGGCATGCAGGTGCCTGTCTTGCTAGCCAACCCAGCCAACTACTAGCCAGCTAGCCAACTTGACCTAGCTAGATGGCCAGATAGCCAGTCATATATAGCTAGCCATAGCTAGCCATCAGTGATACCGGTAGTATGTCAGCAACTTACCAGTGACCTTGGAAGCGGCCCCCAAGAACTGTAGTTGAAACTGATCTTCTTCGGCTTGAATGGAGATGTTGTACACCATCAGAGACACGGCTAGAGCCGCAGCAAGTAGAATGGCACATACGAGCAAGCGCAGGTACAAGACATGACGCGTCTCTCGCTGTGCCAACTTCTCGTTGGTTTCCTCGGTGATCTTCTTGGAAGTGGTCGCCGTGGAAGAGCCGCTCTGCGAGCTGCCGTGAATATCACCATCGCTGCTGTCTTCGCTCAGACTGAGTTCATCGTGGTATTCTTCGACCACTTCATGATGATTCCTGCGATGATGATTGCGGTAACCGCTGTCGTCTTCGCCGCTGTCGCTGCCGTTGGCGAGTGCCATGGTCATGGTGGTGGCGCTATTGGAATTGCTGTTCATATGCAGGAGATCTTTTTGACCGGATGATCTCATTTGGGGTATTCTTTCAGTAAAAAAAATATACTCAGTTGACTAATAGATGATGTGATGCGTAAGAATTAGTTGGGTGTTATGTGCTTTCCGATTGTGGTGGTTGTTGAGTTGTGCCAGCTCAGAGAATGAAGATTAGTAGAAGAAGTAAAAAGCAACAACTGAAGCTGGATGTTTTTTCTTCGCCGAGCAATGAAAGTATGCGTGTGCAGCTCTTCCGCAGCTACAGTACGGTACAGTATGTGACTATCTGGTTCTGGTAGCCAGCTAGCAGATAGCTACTTCTGGAGAGCTGGGTGGATAGCCTAATAACTAACTAACTAGCTAACTAAAAAGAAGCAAGCTGGTTACTGCATAGGGGCAACTGCTATCATACCGCTCGGTGTTGCTCGGAAGCAAAAGCTGCGGGAGAATGGGTAGCAGAAGCATTCTTTATTCTCGATCGTACGAGCACCTAGCAGCTGCCTTCCGTGGACATGACATTATTGTGGACAGAGGGCATAATAGCGACGATGGTGAATTCTGAGATCGAATCTCCATCGATCTTGACTTGGTCCCAAAGAAGATTTCCCAGGAAAGTGTCTGACGGCTTTCTGAAGGGTTTCTCACTTTGTCAATATTCAACCACATGCATTGCCACATTGTGCACTTTCGACTTTTGGAGAGCTTCCTGGAGTATTTGGTATTTGGAGTATTTCGACAGTAGCACGATGCGGTGACCTGGCATCCCACCACTCAGAATTCATTTATTTAAATCTTGCAGCACTGAAGAATACCGGTACACGTAGGTCTAACCATCAAGAACTCAGATGATACCCCTGAAAAGTCAAGTCTACTAGCTAGCTAGTCGGAGTGAGAACTGCAAGAACAGCCCAAGAGCGGAAGGGTGCCGGGAGTCGGGAGCAAATTGAAGATCAACTCAGATTCTGAGATTCATGTTGATGGGACTCTGAAGCTCTCTTGCTCTCTTTAGAATTAATTGGCAAGTCAACATTAAGGAGGTACCACCAGGTCTGCACGTCAGCGGGAGGTAACCCGGAAAACTCTCGTCTTATTTCAGACTTTATCGAGCCTATTCTATCCACCGACAATGATCCGATGCCGTTAGCTCCATGCCGCTGCAGTTAGACTCACCGGCCATGTAGAGACCCGTGCAGTGGATGTGTGTGTTCCCAACAACTCTGCTGTTAACTTGCCTTTGGGTAGACAGCCGCTGTACCTTTAAACACGCAGAATGATGGGTGTCAGTTTGGGGTATCGAAAAAAGTCTGTTAACTTCGATGGATGGCACTTACCCGCTACACCCCTCTGCAATTGTCCACCCCAATGCCGTCCTGTAGAGCACAAGCATAGCTTCCATCCGCTATGTCCATACCCTCTTGGTCGCACCGGAAGGGGGGCAATGATCGAGTCCCACAAACGTACATCATTGTATGTTGTCGAAAAAGGTAGTTTGTTGTTGTGGTGGATAGTCCGAATCATCGCGAAAGCATCGACAAGCAGAGCAAGCCGGATAGACTTCATTCCCCATGTTGTTGGGACGCCAATCCATGGTACTCATTTCACGGGCAAATGGACCGTAGGACTAATAGAAGATAATAAAACGTCCATTTCATCGAACAAGATGCCGGTAACCTCCATGGTTGTTGTCGAGCACACGGAGAGGCATCTCCTGACTTTGTTGCAGCTTGGCTTTCAGCCACCAGCACACACCTGCATTCAGGAAGACGGAAGATGGAAAATTTGAGAGGTCGCGAGATTGGAAGGATGCAATCAGTAATAACAAGAGAGATGACGAGGATTCCACTATCTATTTCCCTGAGCAGTTGCTTGTTGTGGACTGTTTCAATGTGCAGCGTACCTTTGGAGCTTCTGCCATGCTGACCTTGGTTTGCTTTGTCCTTGCCGATTGGGAGCAACAGTCTCAGGTATGGCTTTTGTATTCGGCTTTGAGTTACCAGTGATTCTGGACAAGAGCAAATCAACATTGGAACCTTCTCAGGACTTTCACTATTTCCAAGGCTGAGGTGATTTGGTTCCAGCAGTTTCCAGCAACCATGCGTTGTTCTCTCATCATCTTCGACATGTCCTGGAAGCAGCCACCTAACGTCCTAGGGAATGTGGTACAGGAGAGTGACATCGTGTGGACACGGTTCCGTACAAAGGATGTTAGTCGGTGCAAGGACAACAAGGAAATCATTTTCATGACCAAGTTCAAGCCGGACCCATATGAAAACTTCCAGGTGCTTCGTCCAGAGGCTTCAAGTCAGATGGTTGCACGGGGGAGCAGTGATGAGTTCCATGATGCGTCTTTTGTTGTGGTACCAAGCATCAAGAAGCTAGTCATTGAGGCAATGAATCAGGCTTACCTCTGTGTGGATGATGAGGCTTCTGAAGATTATCATCCCGAAGATGAAGTTGATGAGAAGCCCCGCAAGTGTGACTGTGTCGAGGAACATGGCCTTCTTTGTTGCGCCACCATCGAGGCTCCACTCTATTTGGTTGACAAGGATGACCTCCTGCATTCCTTGAAGAAATACATCTTGAAGAAAGCGAACGGAAGGGTGTACAGCCACAACTTCAGGGGGTTGACGCAATCTCACAAGCGCTGGTGTGTCTATTTCTGGTACGCCACAAATGTCTTCCAATTCGACGCTGCTTCACCATTGCCATCGTGTGTAATTCAAAACATCTGGAAAGTGTATCCGAATTTCGAAAAGAACAAACCAAGAACTGGATTCCTTTCCACGGAAGAGAGGATGGCTAGGAATAAGAAGCGAGGCCGGTTCGAGGAGGATCTCACTCTCAAGGAAACTTCCGGTTGAACCTCTCTTTGAGAACAAGTATTTGCGATTACCCAAAAAGTTTTGGTGTCGCCAGAATTGACAGATCGCTATAGTATTACAGTATAATCCAATTACTTAGCGGCTCGTACTATTTGTAGATTCTTTTTCTATTAGATGGATGGAAGGTTCGAATCGTCGGAGTCACCTGCCAACTCTTGGATCTGTGCCGAAACACGTTCTGAATCCTCGCCAAAACCAATATAATCTACAAGCTCTAAGGTAGCATTGGCAATGTCTTGCTCGGTAATCTCTTCTTTGTGGTCGGTTGGGCCGTCGCTCTCGTGTGTTTGCGATGCTGGATTGCGTTCTACCGCGTCCGCAGTGCCAGAAACCAAATACTGAGTATCAACCCGCACATGTAAAGCCTTCTGTTTGCCATGATTGACACACCCTCGATAGCTAGACCTGCTGTGGCCTATTCCTCTCCACAGCTACACACACTCCACCCATCCCTGTTTCTCGCTTTTGTTGTTTATCTCCTTTTTTTCTTCGGTGGTTGCTTTGCTTTTGGCGTCTTGCCAATGGCGATTCCAGAAGAGTACAGCCGGCCATCCTTGCGATCCTGTTCCAGCTTCTGTTGGTAATCACGAAGTTTCTGGTAAGTCTCTCGATTGCGCTTTTTCTTGTACTCCACTGTTCTACGTTTGCTGATTCTTTTTTTTCGATATATCTCTTGTTGTGCCAGAAAATAGGCCGTTCCTTCTTCCATTTCCAGGCCGATGGTGTAAAACAGTCGACGAAAGAACTCTTCCACTCCAAGCAATGTGATTCCGACGGCAATGCAAACTCGGTTCTGGAGCGACAAAGAACCGGCATACACTTTGTTCTTCGGAGCCAACCAGGCAATAGTGTTGTTGAGTGACTCATTCGCATTGGTTGTCATTCTGTGGTTGGATTCATCAAGCCTCTCCATGGTGGTGAATTGATTGAAAGGTTCGACCAGTGATTGACAGGCTTTGTCTTTCGTTTTGCTCCTGTACACTTTTCCACACTCATCCTTCTCTACCTGTGTCATGTCCTTCCGCAAACAGAAGTCACCGCAGAATTCATGGTTGTCGAAAGTATGTTCCAGTACAGCCTTGATTGCAGTAGACCATTCTTCTCTCGGTAAATCCGGCAGCTTCTTCAGGAAGTACACGTAGTAAGTGGTCAACCGGAGGATATCACCAGATGTCAAATCGAAACTTGCCTTAACACCCTTTGCCTTCATCGCGTACAGATGGTTTCGGTATGTCTTTTTCCGATGAGCAGGATCTGCAACGAACAGTGGTTGGCGAATTGGATAACGAAGATACCCTTCTGACCTGGTCTTCGGTTTTCCATTCTTCGTCACTCCCAGTACTGGGAGTTTGTCGAGTTTATTGTGTTTCAACCAATCTTTGTTGCTCCATTTACAATGAGCCTTCATCGTGGAATCGTCGTCTGTGCAGATCCTATCCAACTCCACGTTGTACAAGTCATACAATTCCTCCACCATGATCAGCAGAGAAGCAGGCTCCATCCCACCTGAGCTACCCTCATAGTTGCTCATGCAATCGTGTTCTGGAACTGCGAGTCCACGGCTGAGATGGTATTGACACTTTCGACAAAACTTTGATCTCTGACAGATAACAAGAGGCTTTCCAGTAAGTGCGCCCATGACACTCGCATGACCAGAAGGGGAATGTATCCCGGCCACACACTTTTGGTTTCCCAACGCCTGTCATACCATCATTGACTGTTGCTGCTGTGAGTGGACCGTTCTCACTGTCTATGGACAAAAAAACCTTTTCCCCCCCCCCAATTTCCCCAAAACAGAAAAAAAAAAGGTTGAATACTCAGCGTGATGACTCTTCTAACTTCTTCCACCAGATTGTCCACGATGGCCTTGTGGCAAACAGCATTGATATGAGGTGCAAGGGCAAGTTCAATGCTAGAGAATGACTTCTTCGACATGGTTGTGTAATTGGGTAAGTTCAACATTGCAAGTGTTCTCTGTGCTTCCACTCCTCCATCACCCGAACACACAAAGGCTAACACAAAATGCACGTTCAATGAGTAGTCAAGGTTGGTGACATGTGCGGACTTCTTCGGAAGAGTGGTTCGTGACACTTCGGAACACTTCAACTTGCCATAAGACTTGCATTCTTGGTTACCACAGCTCAACTGGCCCATGGATGTGACACAGGTGGTATTGAATGTAAGTTCGACACGAGCTTGTCGGCATGTATATCATCGGGTGTTGCCATTCACTAAATCAGATAATCCTTTGTGTTCCAGGATGAGTCTTCGAGGTGTTGGTGGCCTCTCTTCTTGTTGAATCTCATGCCTCCCGAACAGCACGTGGAGAAAAGGAGGAGCGAGTGGCCACAATTGTCGATATTGGAGAAGGGATTGTTGGGCTGTTCCTCCTCTCGGACCTACCAAGGAGGAATCTCATCCTAACTCAAGTTCAAGAAACAGGTTGGCATGGTCCCAGCAAGAAGGCAACTTCGATGTAATGGATCTCTGTCAGGCATGATACACTCGGCCGATGCATTTGCTAACTTTGTTGATTTCTTTCGGATAGTTGCTTGTTGCCTTGTTCTCACTGATGGAAAAACAAAGGCAAAATTGGTTTAACTCCTTCTGACGGCGACTTTCTCTCAATACCTGGAGTTGAATCATCTCCTCCTACCACTGCCGGAGTTATCAATCTGTGGGTTGTCTGTAGAGTGTTTCAGTTCCTTCCTCTCCTGATGCATCATCCATATCTGCCGTTGTTTACTTTATGGAGAACAAATTGGCCATGGTCGCCAGCTAAAATAAAGAATTCCACAAAAGAAGGATTCCATCTGGCGGCAAACTAGCTACAATAATCGCATGAGGGAAAGTACGTGGCCATGGAGTACACTTCAACATGGATGTCTATTTTACGTATCCACTGTGGACTGACCAAAACAAACTCGGGAGTAAAAGCGGGTGGTACCTCCTTAAAAGGCAAGAACTGGCAAGTCGACAGTCGATAATCCAAAAAAATACCAAAAGAGCAAAAGAGCATCTATCTTACCATTCACACAGAGGGACCTCTCCTTCTGACCCGGGGAAGGCGGAAGGATTCTGTGAGAGCTTACATCAATTAGGAGATAAGTTTGGCTACCATGAACAGCGATGACTGTTACGTGTACTGCAGACCCACTGAATGCTGACTGAGTCACTGCGGAGCTCCGGAGTAAATTAAATAATAGCTTTCCGTCGCACAGCCTCCATTAAATTTTTGTCTTCCAAACCCGCCGCCAAAAAGTAGATTGAAGATCGTTGCCTCCACGAGTACCGGTAGCCTCCAATAAGCTCCAATATGCAGCTACGCTCTCTAATAGGTCCTCGTTTACTCCTTGGGGAACAGAGAAATTGCCATCTTTCGCTATCCAAGAACGTACCGGTAGGCCTACTCGTAGCCATCGAAGCAATTGGCTGCTCAATGGCCAAAGCAACATTGGCTCCAAGCTCCAAGGCCTCCAAACGTCGCTCAAAGAATGCGTTGGCCACTGGCTAGCCTAGGTATCTCTGGCAGCCCTATTATTTCCTTCCCAGAACATGTGCAATACATGTACAAAGCCAACACTATCCCAGCATCCCAGCCGAATTAAATTCTACTCACTAGACTAACGACTAAAGGTCTCTTCATCTACTATTAATAGTAGCGATCCAGAGCTCGATCTAGTATCCTCGCCTATTAACTGATGTTGCCCCATTTAAGACTCCTGTAATCTCGTAATCTCTGTGGCTTGAGTCGAGTCGAGTCGAGTCGGCCCCAGCAATCCCGAACTTGGAAAGAAACAAAAGAACCCACTTTCCTTTTCATCGTCGAAATTCGAGAAGGGCGGCACTTTGGCGGTTGCCAAAGGCTTCTTTTCCTAAATCCTGCCAAGTACAAGATGACGGACAATCTCTACATGTATGTATCTGACACTGACAAATAAATAATCACCTTCAACAACCATCAAGTGCGAACTTTGCACGAACTGTTTTTGTGTTTTATTTACATCGCTTTTGGGCAAGGGCGGCTATCACAGAGTCCCTTTTGTGCTTTCGTGGCGGTCGGCAGATGCACAGGTAGACTACTTGGGCAAGCCTAAAAGGCACACTACCGGTAGATAAGATGAACTTGGCAAGCTACCTGGACTCTTTTATATGTACGACCAGCCACTGGCAACCGTGAGGCACTGCACTGATACTTGCTGCATGTAGGTACTAATGAAGACTAGTTAAGTTGCTTGGTTTGCTTCCTTGTTGAAGAAGCAACCAGGCAGCCATAGCTCAGTTGGTAATCATGGTCAGCTCATGATACTACGTACAATAGCCTTCCAAGTACCACGCCTGCTACCGGTAGCGCATGGGCAATGGCCAAATAAATAGGGCGGTTCAAGCAGGTAGATTATTAATAGCTGTACTACATGTAATAGTGGTTGAAGAACACTAGGCTGCTCATCAGAGCCACAGCCGTCGCAGTACCAAAGCAGCCTTGTTGTGTACAGTATGTATGGTATCAACTGCTCTGCCGACACAAAGAAGCCACGTCAGTCCGCTGTCCGGGTCCTAATGAGACACTTTGGATCCGGAAATCTTTTTCCTCGCTGATGGCCACTTTTTTTTGACCATTCAACGTATCGGTGCGGTAGATCCCTTTATCATAGCTAATAAAAGATCTATTGAGATACCATACTAACCATGATGATGATGACGATGACGATGCGTGGTTCCTCTCTCCTGTTGCTGTTGATTGTGCTGATTGCCACTATCAGTACTAGTACTAGTACTACACTAGCATGCGATTGCAAGGCAGTATCGGATTCCTTTTTGGTGACTCGTCTGTGGAACATTATCGATCCAGAATGGACGGATCAAATGGTGATTGACGAATTCGACAATGGCTTTGCTCCAGAAGTGACGGTACTTCCTGGGTTTCAAGAATACGCGTCCGCCAAAACAGGAGATGCTACGACAGTCTTTTTCATGAATATCTTTGAAACGAGTGAAGACGCCAAAGCAGCCCAAGAAGGCGCCAAGACGTTTGTCCAAAAAGGCGCGCTGAATGGCGCCATTACTCCCAATCAATTTACCGAAACGGTACTCAACTTTTGGGTCCAACATGCGGATGCTGATGAATGCAATACAGGTTCCTTTGTCGATCAATTCATGGGCACCCAGTTGTGGACATTGACGGAAGATGCCGTCTTGGAAGGAAATTGGACCATTGAAAGTGTGGCGGATGAACTGGAAATGGGATTTGCACCGACTATTGTCAATATGGACGGATTTTTGGAGTATGGAGGAGCTTCGGTTACCAACACGGATTTTGTCTTTTTCTATCACGTCTTTGAAACACTCGAAGGCGTCCAGCAGTTTCGTGCCGATGCTGAAGCCTTTGTCACGGATCATCCGGAACTCAATACCGTCTTGGACAAGATTGTATTTACCGAAGGAGTCGTGGGATTTGACTATACCTGTGTGTCGGGAAATTTGCCTGCCGAAGCAGATGGAGCAGATGCAGGAGGAGATGGAGACTCGTCCTCTTCGTCCTCCTCGTCAGGCGGTGGTGAAACGGACGGTGACACGGGAGAAAGTGGCGGCATGACCAAAACAACTTCATTGACAACTGTCTTCTGGATGGTGCTGTCTTTCTTCTTTTGAGAATGCAGTTTTTTGTGATTTTGCTTTGGATTTGATTGAGTTGGGTTGACCATGTTTCGAAGAATTGTTGTTCGTACGTTCGTTGAGGTAGTTTTTGTGGCTTGAAGCCATTGCGTAGTACATGTATGTGATTGATTGATTGGAAGTAAGATGTAAAGATAACTTGTTTTGAGAGCTTTACTGTACTTTCTACAAGGAGTTATACCTACGGTAGACGCTCTAACTTGTTGGAACTGCCACCCCGACCTATAAATTTCCAGTGAGTTGAGCTGGCCTCAAACTAAACTCGGCCCAATCCTCGTGTACCGGTACGGGGGAGCAGGGAGGAAGGAAGCGAGGAAGAAGGCCTAGCTAGAGCCGAGTGCATTTCCGGTAATAGCTAGGATTCGCTTCGTGGGAATAGGATAGGATGCCTCATTTTTGGGGTGATTGGATTGAATGGCTGATCATCAATGGCCACCCACCAAGGGACCCACGGGGTTCGTACAGTTCTCGCACCCGACAACGAAATGTGGTGGCGTGCGTGGATGCCTCCATTATTGAGAATGATATTGTGATTTCATTGATCATTCTGTTTTTAAAATCGAGCATCCAACACAGTACGGTATCAGAACGACCTCTGCATTCGACTGCTCGTACTGTACCAGTACCAAACCATTTCACGATGCACTCGACTCGACTCGACTCGACTCGACATGTTTCTTTCTACTATAGTACAAATTATTAAAAATACAACGTTGTTTGCTTGAAAACCTCACGCATGAATTGAATGATATCGTTTGCTTGTTCGACCCCCCCAATGTCAAACGTCCAGAACCTCGGTAAGCAACGCACTTTACGCCAAATCAAATCAAATCATTCGGTGAATCAAAGCCATAACATGGAAGTGATAACACCCACCGTTTTGTTGTTGTTGTCGGAACACCACCAGAGCGGTGCGAATGTGGTTCTCGACTTTTTTTTTGCACCTCCTCGAACTCGATATCTACTGTACGGTATCGTGACAGCCGCGTACATGCACAACGTCACGGTGAAACATGAACCACTCGTTGTCCCCCTGCTTACTCCTGATTGTCGTCGTTGTTGTCAGCTGCTGCTGCCGGTGATTTCGCGACTTTCTTTTTCTTCTTCTTTCTGGGTGTCGCAGTGGAAGACGCCGGTGTTGCAGTACTCATCGTGTCCTCCTTTGCATTACTTTGTCTGGCTGACGTTGCATCTTCTCCTTCTCCTTCTTCTTTGACGGTACTACCACTTTTGGAAGCACTACTGCTACCATTGGTAGATTTGGGTTTGTTGTGCCCCCGACCTGACTTTGTTTTCTTTCCCGTGCCTCGACCTGTACCTGAACCTCCCGCACTTTTGGAAGATGGTTTCTTTTTGGGTTTTGGTTTGTTTGTGGTTGTTGTTGTCTTGGGTGGTGGTGGTTGTTCTTTTTCAGCATCAGCATCTGAATGGTTGGTCTCTGGTGGTTCAGTAGCATTCTCTGGAGTAGAATTGAGCAGACTGTTGTTTGCATTGTTTGTGTTTGTATTTGTATTTGTATTTGCCATTTGGAATCCATTGGCATCCAGATTCTGAAACATGGATCGATTGGCAAACGAATCGTCGTCCATTTCTGTATTATTATTGTTGTTGTTGTTTGATTTTTTCTTTTTCTTTTTGTTGTTTCTATTGTTTCGGTTGGATTGAGATCGTTTGGACTGTTGTGTGCTCTGTGTTTGTTCGGAAGTGTCCATATTGTGAATGTTGGTTGTATTACTAGTGTTGTTGGCTGGAGTGGGCATTTCGATGGCTTCCATGTTGAGAGGAGTCCAAGCTTCGGGATTGTGACTCACATCTCCATCATCTCCATCACTGTTTAGACCCATCTATCAAAAGAAGAAAATAGAAAAAAGAAAAAAGAGAACTCCAAAAGTGAGAATACAAAAAACTTCCTTCCAATTTTCTTCATTTTCTTATTCTTGAGGATGTTCAATTCAGAATGTACTTACCAACGGAATATCATCTTCTAGATCAATTGGTTCATCTTTCTTTTTCTTGGTTTCCTTTTCTCCTTTTTCATTCTTCTTATTGTCATCTTCATTTTGGTCATTCTTTTTGTTGTTCTTGGAGTCACTTGGAAAATTGGAGTTTTTCTGGCGATAGTCTTCCACCATGGCGGAACAATCCAATTGTCGACAGTCTAGTCGAGACAAGCAGCCTTTTACGCGAGATGTTTGGGCGCCCATTGTTGTAGATAGTATACTACTAGCTAGCAGTAGTATGACTTAGTAGATGAAGGAGTAGATAGATCAGATCAGGAAGAGATAGATGTCAACAATGTCATCCAGTGTTGCTTGTAAGAAGAGGAGGAGAAGGAGTTGCGAAGTTGCAATTTCTTTTCGCTGCTTTCGAGGAATGACCACCACCTTTCCTCTACAGTAACTCTAACACTAACTTAAACCAAAACCTTATACTCAGGTATGTCTTGTGTGATCGTGATCCAGACACACCCTCTTTGCAGTGATGTTTCTCACTCCTTAGCGATCCTTCTCATTCACAAAATTAAGTAATGTTAAGCATTCGCCAGCAGCGATCACCGCTAAGAGTATTCATTCGCCAAATTTCCAAATGAAAGATTTAGGAACTTTCTTGAAAGTGCCGTTGCTTGTCTGTTTGTGACAAGACGAGTCGAGTGAGTCGAATCCAGGGTAGTGCCGTAACGGTGTAGATGCCCAAGAGGTCGATAGGTCCAGTCATGAATGGGAGAGAAAGAACCGGCATCCACAGGTTTTCTCATCAGTTGTCAATCTTCGGGTTGTCTTCCACATTTTTCTTTCTCACTCACTTTATTCATTGTGCACCACCCAGCAACCACTAGCTGCAGATAGATATGCAAAGACAAGTACTATACTATAGATAGATAGAATCAAGACCATCATCATGACAGAGTACTACTTACCCCTGCCCACCACACTGGATGATTCTTCAGAAGAAGAGGAACAAGGAACATCTATCAAGCAGCAACCACATAAGGAGGAAGCAGAAGAAGAAGAGCTGGACTTGCAGGAACTCTTGAGAGAAAAGTGGAATGATTTGATGTCTCTCTTTATTCTTGTAGACAGCACTACCAACAGTACACCCACAGTAGACACGGCAGAGTCACCCGAGTTTCACGTCGAGTTGGATTCCACGTGTCAATACAGCAGCAGCAGCAGTCATGAAGAAGATGATGATGACAGTGATTATAGTGATGACAGCTCTACCGATTCGGAAGACTCTTCAGACGATGATGATGATGAAGATGAGAATGATGACGACGACCAAGATGATGTAGTCTCATTGAATATGGAACTCCACGACTTGCACGAAGATGTAGATCACACGTGTCGCAGTCTGTCCGCCTTGGAAACCGAGTTTGCCGAAGACTTGGAAGCTCTGGCTCAAGGATTAGAGTCGGCCTTTGAAAACTTTGGCGAGTCTGATTCCAGTCAAGTTTTTATTGCCACGCTGGTCGCGCAAGAAGATCATCTCTCGCAATCCACACGATCCATGTTCAAGGCAAGAGTCAAAGAATCACTGCGACGAAAACGACACCAACGACGCAAACAGCAGCGACTCCAAAAAGTACAGCAACAACAACAACAACAACAAGACACCAGTAGTACGGCATCACCGACTGCCATTCAAGACTTTGAGGATGCCTACTTTGAAAACGATAATGACGACGACGACGAAGAAGAAGAAGAACTTTTCCAAAACTGGTTTGATCGATTCTGGAATGCCATGGAAGGGATCATCTATCAACATGTACAGCAGGATCAAAACAACAACAACAACAAACTGGTAGAACAACAGCAACCGCAGGAGGATACAACCGTCGCCAACTTTTTCACGCTCTGGGGCAACGACAGCAGCAGTGAACAAGCACCCACAGAGGAAGAGTGTACCACACTCATTCAATAAACAACCAGCTTCCTACAAAAGAACCAGCCATCAGCACACCGGGGGACTTGCACTGAGCTGATGGCCTTGTATTCATGCCATTCATCTTTCTTTCATTCATAACTTGCGACAGTACTGTGGAATCAATCATGTATGCATACATGTACTACTTATAATGTGCTTTTACCAAACTATCAATTAGGAACGCTTGTGTTTTCTAGTCTACTAGTCTGAGTAGTGTATAGCTCACAGCGCTAGCTGTAGACGGGAATGGCACAAACCTTCGTTCTTGACTACTAGTATATATGTCCATCTCTAGCTAGAGAAGGTAGATAGATTGAAAGGTGGCGTTTGCCCCAGCTGTGGCTGGCTGCCTGAATTCCAGAATGTGAAAACTGGTTTCACAGCAACAAGCAACGGGTCGAGCAACGGTACAGAAACTTTAGCTAGACCCAGAGGTTTGCTTCTTCATGCCGTGCCTGACCGCACAGCACGGTAACGCGATCTAGACTTTTTCTCTTTCCATTATTGTCACTCCTCAAACATCTGAATAGGCCGATACCGTAGCTCCCCTAGTAGCCTTTTGAGGTCCCCTCGCCTCACGAGCCGCCGTTGGCGCTAGCTAGCGTTGCGTGCCTACCGGTACCGTAGGTCAGCACCAATTTAATTAATCTTCTAGCTTTTTCCGCTGCCTTGTTTGCGCATACCGGTAGCATGTCCTCTACCGTATGCACCGGATTACCTTGCACGCACTCTCTTGGGTGCTTGCCGCACATTGCCTATTAGCATAAAAGAGAGGGCGCCGTCCTAATGGTTCCTACTATGATAGCTAGCTAGCTAGCTAGCTAGCAAGCTGACTATGGTCACATATACCGCGTGCTCTTATCTAGAAAGGAAGGGAAAGGGCGGAAATTCAAAACCAATGCGCCCCTTTTTTCAGTCTGTCCCCTCATTTATTTATTCAGGGGTCCCCTGCTTCTGTTGCCGCCATCGTCCATCGTCCATCGTCGATCACTTCGGCAAACATACTCGCGACGAAAGAACAACATCAACAAATAGGATACATATACAACTCGATCATCAGCCAGCATCATGGACCCTTCAGCTCTCTTTGCCACTCTTGATAACCCAGTGCCCACCAGCACCTGGGCTGTCTCCAAGAAGCGGGCGTTGGAAATCGCATTGATGGCCAAGGCGGATTTGGAAACTGTCCAAAGATTCTATGAACTCTACCCAGCAGCCTTGAACAAACGTCTGTTCCGCAATGTCCTCAAATCTGGAGCCAAGCCAGGAGTGGTTGGCTTTCTTGCCACGAAATGTCCAGGATTGGTTGACAAGAAGGCTTTTGAGATGGCTGTGGTTCAAGGACCAGGACCCGATAGACCCACTGATGAGGACATCATTACCTTCGCCCAAATCAATCCAGATCTGTTGGTTCTAGAAGGACCAACATTTTATTTTTTTTCAATTCCTTTGCGTTTAGTCTTGTCCTGGAAATACAGCCAAGAGTTGACCCAAACTCTCTTCAAAATGCTTGCGGGAAAGACGCGACTATCGCTATGGTTGCCCCAGAACATGATTTTGGATTTATCCAGTGTTTTTCCCTGGGTTGTCATTGATGAAAACTCCACCACAAAACGGACAGCACTTGATATGGAGGCAGTGATGGGTATGGCACCAGTGCTGGACAGTAAGAGTATCAAGGGTTTTGACAGTTCCTGCACCGCATGGGAACTGGATGCCTTTTCGGAATTTGTCCGCCGTCTTCTTTCCAACCAGAGCATGAGGGAACTCTTTCTGAAGTTCCCAGAAGTCCCACCAGAAGAACAAGAACAAGGGAAGTCAATGTTGTTCAACACAGATGCATTCAAGGAGGTGCTGTCACAGTGCAAGATCGATCATGTGGTATTGCATTTGGGTCAAAACAATCCTTTGGCTCTTGGCTTCCTGGGGAATTCCCTGGGAAGCATGCCCTGTCTGAAGAACCTGAGCTTCCATGCGGCCACTGATATTGCTTTTGCTTCAGCAACACCCACAATCTGCCATTCCCTCAGTCGCAACTCTCTGTTGGATCGCATAACTATTTATGCAGAAAATGGCACGACTACAACCGGATTGGATCCAATTCTCAATTCACTGGCAACCAATCATACCCTTCGAGCATTTAGCTACAAACAAGGGAATGCGGACAATTTCACAAGATACCATGAGGTTCTAGTCAACATTCTGCACAAACACAATACTACTCTTGTGTTTGTCCGCTTCTATGATGGTCGCAGCGAGGAAAACCCCAGTGGCAACCTCTGCAGCAAACTCCATCCCAGTGAAGACTTGGTTGCTTTTTACATAGGTCTCAATCGGTGTGGGCGCAAGAAAGCATTTGACCCAGCAACCACGAAAGCCGAATTTGTAGAGCTGTTGGTGAAAGCCCCAGTATCCTGGAACCGGGTTGACCCACCCTTGCATTATCACCCAGACGGAAGTCGTCGTATCGGGGACATCTACGACGATCAGGCACCTGTCCTAGCTGCTGCTGATGTCAAAGATGCTGATGAATTCAACATTCTCTATGGGCTGTTGCATGCGAATCCAGCCAAATGGAGCCTACACGTGTGAAGTGCATGCACAGTGCATGGAGCGGAACCGTCTGCTTGGGCATACGGATACGATGGTCCTACTAGTACCGGTACCTACATCCACGGTCGATTCAAGGGGAGAGATGGATGTCTTGTGGTGACTTTGGTCCACGAGACGAGCCTTGGCGGCGATCCTTTGCTTATTCCCAAAAACTGCATACTATCTTCATTATCATAACTAACTAATACGACTCGTCTGAGCGGTCATTTGACTCGACTCCTTATCCTCCAGTAGTCTCAAACTCATTGATTGCTTCCCTGTTGTGGAGCAGGGAGCACGCACTCGTTGCGATCATTGGTGCCCAAACTACGGTAGCTGTCTAGAGTAGAATTACTCTGTATTCCTACCCAAGACTAAGTACTGTACAACTACTGGTACCTAAGAGTGAGACAAGCAAGTTCCCCTTCTTCTTGCAATCAAGCCAAGCTATCCATCCTTTCGTGTGGACGGCTGAAGGTTTGTGTTTACGCTGTTGTGCTTTGCTCTGAGATCGGTAATGGCGATACAGTAGTAATACCAGAACTCTTGCAAGGGGTTGTTGAAGGGTAGCTCGTCGTAGCTGTCATCAAAGGGTTCTGTGCACGTGCTGTTTGTCTTGGTGGTTTGCGGTGTCTCCATAATATTGCCCTCCTCCTGAATCATACCAATATAAGTGGAAGCAGAACAACTGGAACTGGTCTCATCTTCCACAGGAGAATCCTCCGTACCCATACCAGTTCCGGTAGTACTCTCCAAGGATACGGTGGAGAGTAGAGTGCCACAGTCTTCATCATTGGTAGCGTCTGTTCCAGTTTCCTCCGGTGCTTCTCCAATGAAAGATAGTTCTTGGCTGTTGTGCAAATTCCAAGAATCAAATGCCGTTTCGAGTCCCATGGCCAACGCTTCCAAGTCGTTTGCAAATCGTGCCGTCAATTTGTCGGGCGTGTAACATCCAGGACGACGTCGTTGCTGTCGTCGACAATGAGCTCCTTGTTGCTGTTGATCAAGGAGTCGTTCGGAATCGGCTTCCAAGAGCAAATCGTTCGGTAGCACAAACGAGAATAAGGATGTGTTACTGCTGCAGCTACTGTAGTAAGACAAAGCACTCGATTCGCTCTCATCCGCCAACAACAATGAACGTCGTTCTTGCGTCGTACAACTCACAGCGTCATTCAAGTAGTTGTAGTTGTGGACACGACGATTGTCATACATGTAGTCAGAAGTACTACTACTGCTACTAGTACCAGTCCTGTCCATACCAGGGGCATCCTCCTTGTCACATTGGCTGTCATCCCCCAGGACATGATTCACCACATTCATCATCAGTTGCGACCACACCGTCTGCCTCCGCAGCACCACATGATACTCCGTCGTTCCATCCCAAGCAGGCACTGTCAACAGTGAGTTGCGCCGCGTACATGTAGCCTCATTATTGTCTTGATCACCGCTCTCACTCGTCATTGTCTGCTCCTCATTCATACCTGCTCTGATTCCTCCGTCGTTATGGGGGCACGAAAGAACAAAAAGCCCCAAAAAAGTGAGACGGCCAAATTCAAAATATCGAAAGATGTCGCAACGCGTGCTGAACCAAAACAATCAACAAATCCGTGGTTGTCTCGGCCGGTCAGCAAGTTGCGAAATGACTGGCCGTCCTGATTTACCATCGCGGCTTAGAAAAGAGGACAACAACTTCGCACCTTGCTGGTACCAGTACGGTACCGGTAGCCATGCCATGAGCTGCAGTATCGAATATCAAAGCTTATTCGTTTACAACCTGCCACAAAACTATCTGGCCAGTTTTCCACTGGAGGTGCTAGCTCTCGCTCCTCATAGTTATCGCTCCCCACGAGTGCGTATGGATCCGCTCTCATGGGTCTGCCACGAGGTACGATTAGTTACTAACTAACTACAATACATACTCTCCCCATGAACGGAACATTCATGGGCCACTCAGCAACGGCTGCTAATGGAACAATGTGAGATGGGGAATCTCACAAGTGGAGGGCCAGGTACGCGTAGTACCGGTAGTAGTTGGAGGTTGAGCTTTGATAAATTGGCACGAACCTCTAACCAAATCTCTGGGTGACAGGGGAATTACTAGGGTGGCACTCCCGCGCAGGTCAAGGCACAGCACTGAAGGTTCCTATGGAGGCTTTGTAACTAATGGCTGGGACCAAGCCTATCCTCAAGAAGATTGTCTGTGCCAATCCTATCTATGATTGGCTTATCTAAGCTAAGCTGGGCTTATCTAAGCCAAGCTATGCTTATCTTAGCTAAGCTACAGGGACGAAAAGTACTAAATTGTGTATAGTAAATTGTATGTGTGGACTAGCTTAGACTAGATTAGCACAGACAAGCTTAGCGTAGCTTTGAGTAGCTTGGCTTAGATAAGCCTTGATAAGCCCATTGTTGACACGGCTGCCTTGCCATAGTCGTCAGCTACAACCAGAGATTGACTATAGCCAATGTCTTCTTATCAATCAGGTGCCTTGTACTTCCACCAAAGCAATTACCCCGTCACCCTGGGCTACCGGTACCCGGTACAGCCGTACCGGTCGGTACCATACCGGTTTCTAGAGTTAGTTACAGTGATGCAATGCGCATTAACTCTCGAGTACGATGTTTTTGACAAGGGACAAACGAAACGTGTGTACAAAAAAAAACCGAGCGAAGGACTTGTACATACATGTAGACTTGTACAAAGGCAAAGTCGTCTTCGGCTTTCAAAGGCTTCCCACAACCAAAACTTATTGTGTCGGTGGAGGCTTCAGAACGACGAAGGTGTATTTCAATGAGCTTTCCCATCGTTTTAGGATCCTATCTACGAATGAGCTTTCTGCGAAAATTTTTTAAGTCAGTACTATAAAGGTTGAGCCCCCGCAGGGGGCTCTGAACCATAAAGATTGGGCCCCTTGGGGCCCAATCACCAAGCTAGCTAGGTAGTGGGAGTGGAACACATGGTCTTCTGGCTTGCCCTCAAAGCACTGCAGTAGAGCCTCCTGCTTCTTCGACTTTGCCTTTGGGATGGACTTTCCCAGGACCCTGGCCAACCCTTGAGTGGAGCCGGGAGCTAAATTCCATGGCTGCTAGAGCTGTTGCTCTGCCTTCCATCTTTGTAATGCCGTTCCCAAAGAAATTCGTAATTTGGACTGGCCCTGGCCTGCAGCTTTCTTCCTTGCAAGGCTCTACAACAGGAGATGTGACTCGTGGACTGCTCCCTGTGGAAATGGCGCTGCAGATGTTGATCCATTTCCCAGCCGTTAGAAAATTCCTGGACTTCACAGAGACACGCCCTTTCTTGCCGACAGCTGCAAGAACACAATGCCATTGTCTCTACCTTGGGGAAGAGTCACTGGAGTAAAAGTTCCGGATGTAGTGGTCAATACAAGCCGGAGCCTCTTTCTTCTCGCACTCATCGTCCCTCGAATTGGTTGAATACCTCTGCGGCTATCCTTGGCTTGCGATGGATACCTCTGCGGATGGATGGCGTTGAATACCTCTCGGCTACAGCTTCCTCGGATTGCGATGAAAGCGGCTATATCCTCGGCTGCGGTGAGTACCTCTGCGAAGTACCTCTGGGCTACTGAATGCGGTAAGTACATCTCTGCGAAGAGCCTCTGCGGCTACTGAATACGGACGGGATGACCTCGGTTGTGTTGTCTGCTTCACTATCTGCTCAAATTCGAAATCCTCTGGATGCATGCTCGTCGGCTTTCGAAAACAACACGAAAACAACACGACGAAGACTGATCGAGCTGACACAGAGAATCGAATGCGATTGACAGCACGACTGACGTCAGCCGACTGACGTCATCGAAAGATCGAACGATTCTGATTGGCTAATGCGCTCTACAGTAGTGTAGGGATCTCTACAGCGGTAGTGTACACGTCGGTACAGCGGTCCGCTGTACTTTCTGTACCAATCGTTTGAGGTTCTGATATGCGAACTACCGCCTGCAGAAAATTTTTTAAGTCAGTACTATAAAGGTTGAGCCCCGCAGGGGGCTCTGAACCATAAAGATTGGGCCCCTTGGGGCCCAATCACCAAGCTAGCTAGGTAGTGGGAGTGGAACACATGGTCTTCTGGCTTGCCCTCAAAGCACTGCAGTAGAGCCTCCTGCTTCTTCGACTTTGCCTTTGGGATGGACTTTCCCAGGACCCTGGCCCAACCCTTGAGTGGAGCCGGGAGCTCAAATTCATGGCTGCTAGAGCTGTTCTCTGCCTTCCATCTTTTAAATGCCGTTCCCAAAGAAATTCTAATTTGGGACTGGCCCTGGCCTGCAGCTTTCTTCCTTGCAAGGCTCTCACAACAGGAGATGTGACTCCGTGGACTGCTCCCTGTGGGAAATGGCGCTGCAGATGTTGATCCAATTTCCCAGCCGTTAGAAAATTCTGGACTTCACAGAGACACGCCCTTTCTTGCCGACAGCTGCCAAGAACACGATGCCATTGTCATCTACCTTGGGGAAGAGTCCACTGGAGTAAAAGTTCCGGATGTAGTGGTCAATACCAGCCGGAGCCTCTTTCTTACTCGCACTCATCGTCGTCCTTGGATTGCGTTGAATACCTCTGCGGCTATCCTTGGCTTGCGATGGATACCTCTGCGGGATGGCGTGAATACCTCTGCGGCTATACAGCTTCCTCGGATTGCGATGAAAGCGGCTATATCCTCGGCTGCGGTGAGTACCTCTGCGAAGTACCTCTGGGCTCCTGAATGAGGTAAGTACATCTCTGCGAAGAGCCTCTGCGGCTACTGAATACGGACGGGATGACCTCGGTTGTGTTGTCTTGTTCACTATCTGCTCAAATTCGAAATCCTCTGGATGCATGTCTCGTCGGTCTTTCGAAAACAACACGAAAACAACACGACGAGAGACTGATCGAGCTGACACAGAGATGCGAATCGTGTGCACGACTGACATGCACGACTGACGTCAGCCGACGACGTCATCGAATCAAGATCGAACGATTCTGATTGGTGCATCTCAGATAGGGATCTCTACAGCGGTAGTGTACACGTCGGTACAGCGGTCCGGCTGTACTTTCTGTACCAATCGTTTGAGGTTCTGATATGCGAACTACCGCCTGCACCGGTATCACCTGTGGCTTTCGCGGAGGTTGCACAAGTTCCTTGGAACCCTGCCCCATCTGAGTCATCGCTAAATGCTTCAACCGCGAATGTTTCGACCTATTGGCGTCATCAAGAATCCATGACGTTGTGGGATTAAACATCAGTACTCGAGTAACGTTAAGCGTGCAGTTTCCTTCCGTCAATTGCAATGCACACTTTCCTTCGTTGAGTTCACAAGTACAAGCTACTATTTAATGCACTGGAGTCCCTGATATGCATACTTGCAAACGCATTTCCTTCCAATCAATTTTTACTAAATCTGACCTTGAGCCTTACCGTTTTCAAAGAGCAGGTTCACGGCAACTTCAGCATCCATCATGTTCCCATGGCTTCCCATCGTGGCTTCATGACGAGTGCGTACGGTACGTTTCAGCTTCAACCTCAACAAGTCCGCGATTGAGCGCCCTACCTGAGTTTGATAGATGAGGAGTGGCAAACCAAAGGACCCGAAAAGCAAGCACAAAACGAAGTCAGTCAATTGACAAAGGGACACCCAGATACCTCTAACCTCTAGACTACATCCCAAGAACGCCACAAGCAGCAATCCCAATCCAAGTCCAAGTAAAACCAAGAGCCATGATATCTAACCAATCTTTGGATGCGTTTATGGATCGTCTGATGGCAGAGGATGACATCGAGCTGGAACCAATGAGTATGGAATTGGAAATGCAGAATGAGCTTCCAGATCTTCCAAATCCCAATCTCAAAATGCTTGATACTAATGGTACTGGTATTACCCCTAACAGCCACGATGCTAGTTTGGTGAACCTGTTCCTCCAGCCTCATCTTGAGTCTCAGCAGCAGTTATCAGTACCATCTGTAATGTCGTCTTCCACCCTCCCTGCTGGCATTGTTTGCACGGTCACTCCCGAAGGTAACCACAACAACTTTTCTCCTCCGAGCTCCATTATGGAATTGCATGGTGCTCCAATGGAAGAAGAAACGCAAGAGTTTGTCATTTCCCCCTTGCTGCAAGCTTCTTCTCTCTTTGAAACGACCATTCCCGAAGGAAAGCCGGTTGTGCCACAGATACATCTATTGGGACCTCAGGGAACTCTCGTCAACTCGGACTCGATGGAATTCGTGCAAGAGACTACTAATAATAGTTTACCGGTATTTGCAAGTACCAATCCTCCTGCTCCTCTGGCTGCTACCGTTCCTGCCATACCTGAGGAGGGTACCGGTATCCTACCAAGGTAAGAAACCTGCTGACCAGCAATGAGGATGAGAGGATCCCTTCTTTCTCTCTGTCCTCCTGATTCTCACTACTATATTACTTCTTGTTTGTCTCTCTTCTTCATTCCTGGTATCATATTCGACCATACATACTCAGCGAACCCAAACGCAAACGAGGACACCACCGTCGAGCTGTCACCAAGGGTAGCTTTGACTTTTTGTATCGACAGCAAGAACTAGAGCACCGGCAACAGGCGGCGGCGGCCGCTGTGGAAAGTGAATTTGGACCCATGGAACCACCCAAGCACGATCCTCTCAATGTCATGGCACATTCCTTTCTCAAACAGGAACAGCTACGATTGACCGTACAGGACGCAAATCCCGAGCCCATGCCGTCCGCTGCCATACCCGATCCTCTCGACTTTTTGAATCCAACCACGGCATCCAGCACAGTACCCCCCGCCGTGGGGGCTCCTGCTCCAACCGTGACACACAGCAACGTCATTGTCTTGGATCAGGAGGACGACAATCAGAATCCAACTGTCAAGCCTACGGCATCCGCCACCCAAACAGATGCAGCGCCCCAACAAGGACCCAGCCGGTTGAGTCGCTTCTTGGATCATTTGCAGGCTCAAGCCGATGCACACGCGGCAATGCTCGTCCGGCAGCAACAGGAACAGCATGGGGGACAGCCCTCCAACCGCAACAAGAGGCAACGTCACCGTCGAGTAGTCTCCGACATGGGGCCTCAGCATGTGCCATTGTTCTCCTTTGATGATGTCATGATTGCCATGAACGACTAGCAACAATTTCATGAATCAATCCGCAACTACACAAAATCAGCCACAAACCAGATCCAATTCATTGAGAGAGCCACCATCCGAACGTCCTTCGCCCCTGCATATTTCAGAGTTTCAGCACAACAGCACACACACAGACATTCATATATCTCTACTAGCTCATGTTTGAGCTTGCGCAGCCGAGACCATACTGCAACAGTGAACTATGCACCGGAATGCAACCATGAAGTCAACAATCACAGCCCCACAAGGAGGAGGAAAAGAGCTGGCTTCAAAGGTTCCCTCGCTGTCCTTTGCTTGGTTGTGCAAATGAAACCCTGACACGTGAAACGCATCGTCAACATCTTCGCATCCATAGAGAACTAAGCCAGTTAGAATCATCCTCACTCAAACTTTGGCCAAGCAAAACGTTGAGCTGCAGGATTCAATGCTCCTCTTTGGAGCTTGAGGCATTCCTTTGCCCCACTCTCCAGTTCCGTATACTAGGAGCCAGGGAAGGACACGCTGTCTGTCTAGAATCTGATCTATCTCTACGTGTCTAGAGAAACATGCGCTGTACAAAGATTCACTACACTTTTCAATATTCTGTTTTCTACTGGTGAGCGACGCGAAGTTCAAGAAGGTCGGCACCTCGGGGTGCTATGTCCCAACACTCATCGTACGCCCAACTTTTAGTTCCAACAAACGGTGCGACGGAGCTCATTCCATTCTGTACCCATTCTCGTAGCTACCATTCTGGAGCGACTTGACTCGACTCGACTCCTGTGGCGCATTGGCTGGACCAATTATTCTGTGCAACAGCATGCCATACCCACAGATCTGGCTTGGCACGAAGAAATGAGAATGTCAGATCGATGATTCGGAGAGCCTTCTCCGTCTCCTCCAGGGGTTCGACTTTGTCTTCGACGACGGCGTAGACGGGCTTGTTTCGGTACTGGCTTCGCGAGACGACGGAGCGTCGCGAAGAGGACTCTTTCCGCAAAAATGGTCCCAGCCACTCATCCGTTTCCACATTCGAGAGGGCCAACAAAAGATCTTCCAGGGAAGATCCCCCGTGCAAGATCACCCCACGGCCACATCGATTGAGCGCTAGCTGGAGTTGGATGGTGCGGCCCAGGCGAATCTCCTCACCATTCCGATCTACTTCCACCACGTCAAAGACGTCCCGGTCCTTGTCAGGACCATCGCGGAAATTGTATTGCAACGTAAGCGACGTCAAAACTGTATTCGTTTCCAGAATGCAGACAAGTTGCTTTGCATACTGCTCAAGTTCTTTCTGAACTCGTTCTTGCAATTTCTGAAATGCTCTGACTGAGGCTGGACTCCGACGGACCCTCAAGCTCATCTCAATGTCACTCTTCCAGACGAAGCAAATTTTTGCAAGTTTCCCCATGCCGTCCTTTTCAAGAGCGTCAAGAATGTCATACAGGTTGGCCTTGCCCTCCCATTCGTCAATCGAGAGCTCCTCCAATACGCCCTTTGAGATGACCTCCTTCAGGGAAGGCATGATTTCCGAAAGCGCACACCCAGCAATGTGGATTGTCTTGAGGTTCGGCATCTTTTCTGTAAAGATGGGGATTAGGGGCAGAACATAGCAGTGCCATGCCGTGGTACAAAACAATGCTTCAATGTGTGGATTGAAGTCTTCTCCAATTACTTCTTTCAAAGCAGCGGCCACGGCTTTAGGCTCATCACCCTGTTCTTCGCCTTGATCATCTGCGTGGCTGATCGCATCCAATCCAGGAGCGCAATCGTCATCCGTAATGTGGAGACATTTCACGCTCCGATTTTGTGTGTTGTCCCGCAGAAGATGAGCGAGCAAGCCCACAAATGAATCCAGTCTCCAGAGGTCTATATTGAAGCGGATGGCCGTCGCCTTGGCCATAGCAAGGCGAGTTTTCCCGACGAATTCAATTTCCCTGTGCTCGTCCTTGCCATACGGCGCGAGCGTCGTCACGTACAATGGGGTTTGGGAGTCCGACTCGATGGCGCCTACAGTGTCCATCAACTCTTGCACAAAGTCCTGGGAGTAGATTGGATTCATCAAGGCTTTCCAGCAGCCCCGAGAAATACTGTAGCCTCGAGGGAGGGCCAAGGCCAAGGCCAAAATGTCCTCATCGTAATGCTTTGGATGGTTTTCATCGTAGTCTACGAAGTCTACGAACTCGTCCTCATATCCGTACTTATATCCGTACTTCACAGCACAAGAGAGAATCGTACTTGCTTGTTCCTTGTCCAAATCCTTGAGGGCCGGGCCACACATCTTCACCAGGAGTCCCAGCGCTCCTTTTTCGAAGTGGTCGAGAGCATTTTTGGCCACACCTTCCAAAAGGTTGGCTAGTAGCGCGTCCTTGTCGGTTTGGACACCTGTCAAATCCTTGAGGGCCGGGTCACACATCTTCCACAGGAGCCCCAGCGCTCCTTCTTTGAAGTTGTCGAGAGCATTCTCGGCCACACCTTCCAAAAGGTTGGCTAGTAGCGCGTCCTTGTCGGTTTGGACATCTGGCTCCGTGATGCTCATGGTCGTCTCCTCCATGCTCGTCTCTTGATGTGTAGAATAGTCAAAGGCTCAACTTGGCAGTTGTCGCTCTCTTCAAGATTGTGTGCTCTTCGTGGTGCTGTCCTTTTCGTCAACGGTTCGTGCCTGCGCGATTTTGCTTTTGAATCGAAAGCATTTGTCGATAATTTAGAAATATTTAGTAATTTAATTGTAAATGGCTAATTTCGGAAGCTTTGTTTCCTATACAGAACTGTAAAAATGGCCAATGAACGAAAGAATTGTCGTTTCCATGAAACTGGGATTCACCGTTTGAATGAGGCGAGAACACCCATTTTGCACCGCCCCGCCAAGAAAATAGGTCGCTTCCACCACGACACTCTGGGCCTCTGCGGGATCGATCGAGCTCACGATCGCTGCACACTTTCAAGCCTCCGCCGAAGCCATGCCAGTGTCGTCTTTCGTCCCACTTTACAATTGACAAAGCCCAATCTTTGGCTGCTCGTCTCGAACACGCGTTTTGGTATGGCTTTGGGGATCGATCGAGTGAGCCAAGTACAAACGGTTGGATTCATCGTGGCCTCGGGGCAATACAATTTGGAAGGTACGTCGTGGCTATATATACGGATCGACACTTGAAGCGTCGCTAGCAGCATTATGCCTTGACATGAAATTGTATTCGAGGATCAATCGTCTAACTGTTGGGCTCCAGAACCAAAACCGATTGAACGGACGGCCAATCATGACTTGACTGACTCCATCAAGGTCGTGGAGCACAAGCAACAACGGAGCCTAAAAGGCAGCGTCAATGGTACCGTACCGTAGCAGAGGAAGAGCTCCTACTGTAGTTGAAAAGCGCTCGAGATTCACGTCGGACGTCGTATTGGGCCAGGGAGGAGAGCACACCACAAAGCTCGAGACTGCTAGCCAAGAAGAGGCGCCGGGGTGTGGCATGCAATTGTGTTGGGTGGGATCGTGCGACGCATCGAACGATGTGGCATTTGTGGAAAGTCGTGTCATTGCCTCTTTTTTGCACTAAAGTCATCTTTTGCCCTCGTCTCTGGTGTGGGACCATCAACCGGAACTGACACATTGCACGAGACCTGACATCTACCGGTATGATCGAGCGGATCAACAGATTTGTGGAGTCTCCTGGGTTCTGCGCTGACCAATAGGATCACGACAGCCTGGGCCGAACCAATGAAGAGCACAATTAGTGCATGGAGAACATCCATGAGATGCGTGGAGCTGCACCACAAGCCAACAATTGCAACCCTCCAGCGAATGTAATCTCTGATCTAGCTAGTAGCGTCCTGACATTCACACCATTGATGCCATCCATCACCCAGTACAGTACGGATACCGTAAACCAGCTTCTGCTTCGGTACATGCACATGCACATGTACCGTATACCGTATCGCACCGTTATGTACCATACCGTACGGCAAACTAATGAAGCATACCTGCTATGCTTTTAAAAAACTAAACAACATTAGGATTAAGGCTCGCGTCCAACCCATTCAAGATCTTTCTCGTGTTGACACTCAACAGCCCCAATCAAGAAAGCTATTTCTTCGACCTCTTCATTGTTGTCAAGCAACCAACCAACTTAGTATTTATTTTCATCTAACCAACCAGCCAACCAACCACTGATCCAAGATGAGCGACTCTGATGATGATGGCCCAAAGGCGGAAGAGACCGAAGAGGACGCCGAAATGAAGAAGCTCCTCGCTGGTTTTGTGGACGAGACGGGAGCTGATGACGACTCGGATTCTTCGGATTCGGAATCGGGTGACGAGGCCCGTGAGATTGAAATTGAGGACAATGTTCTGGACCATGTGGTGTTGGCTGCAGCAGACTTTGAGAGTGCCTTGGAGGAATTTACGGAGAAAACTGGTGTGGCCCCCAAAATTGCTGGTGCCATCAAGGGCTTGGGTATCAAGACGGCGCGAGTCTCCTTTGAGGGTTCCTCCTTCTTGGAGATCATTGCTCCCGATCCGAAGTCGGGAGGTCCCATTGGAAACTTGCTAAAGGCCTCAGGAATCTCTGGACTGAAACCTTTCCACTGGGCTATCCGAAACGAGCGCGCAGAACCATTGAAGGATGAAGTGAACAAGTTTGGATACACTCCCGACCATATTTCCATGTTTGGTGCCAAGGAAGATGGCACACCCAGGAAGTGGGAAATGCTCTACCTGTACGGACACAAAATGGGTGGAATTACTCCCTTCTACATCAACTGGGCCAACTCGGACCATCCCTGTGAAACTATGCCCATTGTGGGAGATCTCATTGGAGTTAAGGTTACTGCCCCATCGGATGACCCCGTCCACAAGCTCATCGCACACACCGAATCGGGAGGATTCTCTCTTGAAGAGGGTGATGCCAGCTTTGAACTCAAATTTGACAGTCCTGAAGGAGAAATCACCTACGAGGCCACCAAGATGGTGGGCTTCCGTTTCCCCGGATTCGAGGATGAGAACGGACCAATTGATGGAGAAGAGCCCACGATGCCGGAATTTGTAATGCCGGCCATGCCAGAGCTTCTTCCGGTGGAAACCGGTGACTACGACGATATCCCTGCAACAGAAGGTTAAAATTCTGGTCGGTCGCTGACTCGTTGGCACTGCTGCGTACTGATCAAAAGAATGGTGCCAGCTTACTAGGAAGGATAAATCGATCGCTGCTGCTGCTCACCCGCTTTGCTCGCTTGCGTCACAGAGTTATATTAACCCCTTTTCGTTTAATTCACTTTATTTAGTAGTGTAGTAAATACTATAGTGTCTTTTGATAAAAGAAAAAAGAAAAAAAGAAGGGAAAAAACCAAGCCAAGATTCTATTATAACAACTTGACAGCAAAACTCAGTTCTAATATGGTAGTCTCAAATGATGTCCTGCATGCAGACCCGCATCTCTGTTGCCCTTGTGCAACACTTGTTTCTCCGTTGATGCCGCAAAACCAAACCGTTTGGCCCTCGTTATGTCTGAGCTAGAGTCAGAGTCCTAGCATCCACCGCACCGTGCCATCACGGTACCAGGTACCGTATACCATGCCCAGCTTCTGCGTATCGTGTACGGTTTGCCTACAGTATAACAAACCGTACCGTAAGTAAACCGTACCAGGTACCTTACAGTACATTACCGTATTCTCAAAGCTCACCAAACCAACATTAGGATTAGGGCTTGCATCCAACCACCGATCTTCTCGATCGACAACCCCCATCACATCCAAAGATCCAAACTCCCAACGACAACCACATCATCATCATGGTGCAAGCATCGTCCAACATGCGAAGACCGACTGTCACTCCACACTTTTGTGCAGTGCTCTGCCTGATCCTCGTGGCCACCAAGACGGCAGCCTTTTCCTGCCATCACGGCATTTTCTCTCCTCGACGTTCGGCTGTGGCAAAACCTTATGATCCTCTGGTACACGTGTCACCAACCGCCTCTCGCTCAAGAACGACAGTGATTGTATCCCAATCCCAAGACGATACTGACACAATCAGCAGTGATACCCTGTCTTCTCCATTGAATGATCCAGCCTTGGCCACTCTGGATGTTGTCGCCTTGCTGGGATTTGCAGCGATTGGCAAGGCTTCCCACGCTCCGGATGGATCCATTGACTTGGGGGCCGTCTTGGTGACGGCATTCCCCTTTCTCACCGCCTGGTTGGCGACATCACCCTTGACGGGTATCTATTCGGATTTGGACTTTGGCAACACTGACAATAATAATAAGGGGGATGTAGCCAAAGGAGCTCTGATTCAAACGGCCAAAGGCTGGGCTTTGGCGATCCCACTGGGATGTGCCCTGCGAGGTGTTATCAAGGGATACGTGCCACCATTGCCGTTTGTCATTGTGACACTTGTGGCAACTTTGGTCATTTTAGGTACTGTTCGAGCACTCTATGCGGTTGCCACCACTTCCGACTAGATAGCTACGGTACCGTACGGTAGTGGTGCGACTGACGGAGCGCCGAAAATATACATTGGCTAATTTCGTGCACCGAACTATAACTACAGCTACCGGTAGCCTAAATCATACTGAAAATCATGTATTGGATAGTTGATTAGTGATTTGTTACTAGCTAGCACGAGTAGTATCGTACTCTAGAGATACGGTAGGATGGGACGAAGACGAAAAGCCATTCAATGCCAATAGCTACCAATGCATGGAATCACCAGCAGAAGAAGGCCCCTTGTTCTTGTTTCGTCTGGATTCTTTCCCATTTTCGTCTAGCAATAAGCTGGCTGGGAAAAGCAATTGCACAACGTTGACACAAAAATTAAGACCTTTTTAAAAGACAAGACGGTACCCCAGGAACTGGCTGCTGTTGGCTGTCCAAGACCATTTTCACTACCGTACATAACTGGGGCGTAAGCATGTAATCCTAGGACCCTTTCATACGTATACAAGGACGAGATGATTGAGGTTGGTTCATTCAAAGCAGTTGCATTCGATCCATCACAACAATTGAGTGCATGCACTACATGCGCTTGCAGCCAGCTATTATTTGCAACACTAACTGGCTTACAAATAGCTCGACTAGCTACAGACGCCTATGATTTGGCCGTAATCCTCTTTTAAAAGTAATAAAAATACTGTGAATCCTGACGTACCACGCGCCACCATCGCGTTCCGTAGATCCTCCGTACTGGGCTACTGTTGTGGCTGCTGTGGGCTGTTGGATCTGTTCCATCGATCATCGGCACTCAATCCCTCTGTCCTTTTATCACCCCTGCATGCTGAATAGCTCGCTAGCTAGCTACAGCAGTGCAAACATAGTATCAAGATGATGTTTTCCGGAGGACGTAGCAAACTGCTCTCCACAGCAAGTCGTCGTGGCTTGGCGACTCTGAAGAAGCTGCCGGCGGTGTCTCCTGTCAGTCAGAGTATTTTGCCCAATTTGCCGTATGTGGGTGGTGTAGAGACAGAGGACGAAGGTCCCATTGCTTACAACTCAGAAAAGTGGAATCAATTCCAGAACAGTCGTCAACCGGTCTCGTCTGCCCATGCCATTGATACGGTCGCACAAACCTTGTCGACACAAGACTCTGTAGCGATCAATGCGTCCGGCAGTGTGGTGCACGGCACGTACGGGGATTTGGGTGCTGTGGCGGATGCGATTCCCTTGGAGTACTTGGCGTTGCTACGATTTGCCGCACAAGGAGCCGCTGGCGTTCGAGCTCTTAGTAGTAGTGCTAGTAGTAATGGCACCGTGTTGGTGTACGGTGCCAGTCAAGCATCGGGCATGGCCGCTGCTCAATTGGCATCGGCCCAAGGCCATGCCGTAGTAGGAGTTGTCAGTGGCGATCATGCGGGCAACACGCTCCTCATGGAATCCATCAAGGGATTCATTGACGCACCTGGAACGGCTGTACCTGAAGTCTATGCCCTGTCCAAAAAGAATTTTGCCGATTTGGTACAGGCCATTGCCACGGGAATCGAGGAGTCCTCTACAGCTAGTGACGTGGAAATGCTCGAAGAATTCAAGGCCAACTTGATGGACTACTGTCAAACCTTTCCTGAAAATTTACCCGCCGCCGTTGGTGCCGAAAAACTCAAATTCAACGGCATGGACAAGGATCGAGAATTCTTTCAAGAAAATATGGAAGCCTATTTATCCCAATTCCAACCGGGAGCACCACCCATTGACAAGGCGGCACTCGATGCCCTCTTTACGCCCGAACAATATCAAGCCTTTCGAAACAAATTCTGGGATCAAACATCCCGGGTCATTTCTGGAGACGAATCCCATTTCTTTTCCCCACCTCATATTGTCAAGTCCATGATTGACATGCCCGATAAAACCACGACCCCATCGTCGAAGGGCGCATTTCCCTACAGTTTTGGGGGAGGATCGTCGTACGGCATCGCCCCAGTTGCCGGAGGAGCCGTCGCCGGAGCCATACTGGTCGTGACACCCGTCTTGGAGGCCGCCGCCAAGGCTGTCGATGCCGCCACGACACTGCGTCAAAAGGGTGAAGCACTCTCCTTTTTGACCGATGCCGAACGAACTGCCTTTGGAGCTGCATGTTCTGTGGCGGCCGTGGCTCAAAAACAGGGTGCTCCCGTCGTCACCATTGGAGGTATGTATCTGCCCCTGTATTGATCGATATTGTCACACAAGAGCGTTGGCGGATTTGTGTGTGTGTGTGTGCCGAACTGTCGTTTACGAATCTCTCTCATCTTTCTCGTTGTGTTCGTGTCTATTCATTCATTATTTTCTAGGTTCGTTACCGGGTCTGACGTCGGTAGAACCCTCCAAGGAAGATGTCGATCAAGCGTTGGCTGCCATGGATATTCAAGAGGATGGATCCACAAAGCTCAATTATTTTGTGCAGACCTATCGGGCATGTGATTTCCCGTTTTATGGAGATTATGCCGTCCACAGAGCCAATGAACCAATGGCGGGACCACGACAAATTATCGTCACCAAGTAAAGCACAAACAACAGGAACTAACTTTAGGTGGACGAAGACGATCGATCAAGAGCGTGGTAATGATGCACATCATTTTAGTATAGATGTGAGTAGTGGATTTAAAAAATTAACTGTTAGTTTTATTTTATCATCAGGATGCACAGTACAAACAACATGAATCGTAGATGACGCTCCTTTCTCCGGGCTGTGCGGTGGCTTGATACCCAACTTGGATCGACTCGAGGTGCTGCTGTCAATCCTGCTCCCTACATGCAGACTACCAAGGACTCTCTGAGTGTTGATTTGGAAAACTGTGAGACTATATTATTATCGCAGCTGCGGAGCTATGATTCCAGCTGCCAGTGAGTGATTTGATTCAATCGGTATTGATTCTTGAGCTTGCAATCGCCAATGACGGTAGGGGATGGCAGCTGGGAGGGAAACCATGGTCGCTCCCTGATACATTAGTGTCCTTCATCGTCATTGTGAGACCCAGGGCAGCCATTGTCACGCAGCCACTGCATCACTTCGCTTTGGTTATTCATTTCTGCATTACAATATGTCTCTTCATGCCATGGGCAACCATTTTCACGAGCCCACTTCAAAACTTCCAAATGGTCATTCTGAGCAGCATAGGTACATGTATCTGCATCCCATGGACACCCATTTTCATGCAGCCATTGGAGCATTCTCAAATCTCCATTTCCAGCAGCAGCGGAACATGTGTATGCACTCCATGGACAACCTTTTCCACGAGCCCACTTTAGAATTTCCAAATGACCGTTTAGAGCGGCAGCCTCACATGTATCTCGACTCCACGGACAACCATTCTCTCGTAACCACTGGAGCATTTCTAAATCTCCAATTTGGGCAGCTCCAGCACATGTATCTTCATCCCATGGACAACCATTTGCACCAGCCCACTTCAGAATATCAAAATGACCACCTTTAGCAGCTTCTTCACATGTCCTTGCCCCCCCATGGACATCCATTTTCATGAGCCCATTTTATAATTTCCAAATGTCCACCTTCAGCAGCATATACGCATGTATCTTCACCCCATGGACAACCGTTTTCACGAGCCCACTTTAAAATTTCCAAATGTCCATTTTCAGCAGCCTCATAGGCACAGCTTTGTTCATCACATGGACAACCATTTGCACGAGCCCACTTCCAAATTCCAAATGCCCATTTTGAGCAGCACAGAAACATGTCTCTTCATTCCAGGGACAACCATTTTCGCGAGCCCACTTCAGAATTTCCAACTGACCATCAGCAGCAGCCACTTGACATGTCCCTTCATCCCATGGACAGCCATTTTCATGAGCCCACTTCAAAATTTCCAAATGTCCATTTTCAGCAGCAGCGGTACATGTTGATTCATCCCATGTACAACCATTTGCATGCAACCACTTGAGAATCTCCAAATGACCATTTGCAGCAGCAGATAGACATGCATATTCGTTCCATGGACAACCCTTCTCTCTTAACCATTGGAGCATTTCCAAATGGCCATTTTCAGCAGCTCTAGCACATGTATCTTCATTCCATGGGAATCCTTTCTGTCGTGCCCACTGCATGACAGCAATATTTCCAATTTTGGCAATTGCAGTACAAACAAGGTCACGATCAGGCTTCTTGTTGCTGGAATTGTCCTTGAGCCAGTATTCTGCACGCAGCAGGTTACAGAATGTTTCGCTGTATAGAGTATCAGTGCTTTCTGCGGAGCGGTCCTCCTCCACGTACGTGTGTGCCTCTGGGTTATCGTTTACCTCTCTTGGATTTTTCTTTAGTTCAATTTTGCAGTACTCTTTGTACAGTTGATTCATCTTTTTGTTAACAGCCCCCACGAAAGCATACTGTCCAACACCCACAAACGATAGAATCTGTCCACTCCAAACCAAATCATCAGCAAACAGAAGAGAATCAAGGGGAGTAAACATTTTCTGTTTCTTATTGTTGTTTGCACTGCTATTTGCAGCAGCAGCACCAGTACCAGCACCAGTACCAGTTGCACTACTTTCAGAAGACATGATCAACAATGAGACATAGTCTACTAGTATGAATAGTAGTGGGCAAGCTCACTATGATGCTGGCCCCGCCTGGCTTCCGTATAGTAATTTCCCTACTCTACACCAAGATGGGGAGCTACTATGGATTAGAGAGAGCTAAGATGAGGATGGGGACAGAGCTGGAGGAGAGGGCATGATGCAGGAACCCAAGGCAAGCAATCAAGTGCCAAAGCACCCCGTTTCTCATCAATCGGAATTGGTGGTCGCTGCATAGCATACGGATGTATGGTTACGTGCCATTATTTGGTACCATGTCGGTGGAGCTGTTCACTAACGCTTCCAGTGGTAAGCAATTTATCAACACATTTACAATTGCTGCTATGCCCTGGATTGTCGGTATGACATGAAGGTTTGAAGATTACGTCTCATGAGATGACGAACCTTTTGGTTACCCCCTCAGTTGCACTCTGAAATCGATTTGCCGGCGTTTACTGTGTAAAATAGAGTAGCCGCACTTCAGTTGCAGAATCAACGGTCATGTGTATCGTTAAGTAACAAGTTCCCTTTAGAAAGATTTAGATTGATTCGTGGATAAAAGAACCGTTGAAGTTACTAAGGTTAAGGTTTATTTTGTTCAAGAGCACCTGGTATGACTGTACTGTCTGACTACGAGTATCAAGCCGACGTTCTCCGGTTCAGACGAGAAAGCCATCCCCATTGAAATCCTACCAAATTGGGAAGGTTTTCTTTTCTCAGCCAACGACGATCAAGTTGGAAGAAATTGAAACAAGAAGAAGTCTCCGGTTTTCCTGAGTGACAGAATAGAAGAGAAACACATACTCATTTGTTACTTTCTGTTCTCTCACTGCCGACGGCCGAAGAAATCCCATTGTTGACTCAAACTTTCGATCGATCGATCGATCGAACGATTGGTACGGTACGAGGTAAGTCTATTATCAAGAGTAGCACATCTCGTCTGAATCCGTTATTAGACGTTCAGTTTTTTTATTTATCAAGAGTGTTAATTGAAGGTACATCGCTGACTTCTCTCCCTCATTGGATTTCTATGGTATTCAGGAGGGAAATCCGAGCTCGACCATCAACAGGTGAGTTGTTTTAATTATTCGATCCATCGCACCTCTATTATCAAGCCTCACTCAAACCGACCTTCTTCGGTGTAGATTCGAAAGCCATCCCTCATTGAATCCTATGGACCATGGGATGGCAGTCAGTTCTCGGCCCATGACGGCCAAGTTGGATAACAAGGGTAAGTCTCCGGTCGTCTGCAGTTGAGCACAGAAAACAAAACTCATATCTATTTGTTGTTTTCTCTGCTGCACTGTTGACTGCCGAGGAAATCCCATTGTCGAGGTCGAACGAACGAACGATCGCTCTGGAGAACAAGAAGAGGAGAGGCTACCACTACGGAGGAGTCTGTTAACTCCAGCCCTACCAACAGTATGAACGAACGTCGTCGAGTCATTGAAGAGGCAACAGTTAACCGGAGAAGGCTACACGACAACGCACAAAAGCACAGAGGAGAGTGGATCCTACTACCGGAGTGTGTTCGGTACTGTTGCCACTGTCACCGATTGATGTAACTCTACGGTAACTGGCTACAATGGCTGGATTGACAATATTCGGTTGTGCATGTATTTGTCATAAGGATCCAATACGAGGTACTTGTACCGGAGTGTAGCGAGCAAAGCCGAACCTGAGTGTGTTCGGTACTGTTGCCACTGTCACCGATTGATGTAACTCTACGGTAACTGGCTACAATGGCTGGATTGACAATATTTGGTTGTGCATGTATTTGTCATAAGGATCCAATACGAGGTACTTGTACCGGAGTGTAGCGAGCAAAGCCGAACCTGAGTGTGTTCGGTACTGTTGCCACTGTCGCCGATGTAACTAGACGGCAGCTGGCTACAATGGCTGGATTGACAATATTCGGTTGTGCATGTATTCATCATAAGGATCCAACACGAGGTACTTGTACCGGACATCTAAGAAGCGCATAATGGGGTAGCGCGAAAACAGCGAGGTCGGTTACAAAATTGCCAGGTCAGTCGATGGTAAGGTTACCAATCGGTAACTGACCTCGCGCTTATGTATGGTGGGTACAAAGATCCTTTACGCGGACGAATCAGGAGAGGAACAAGGCAGTGTCGACGAGGACGAGGAAGACGATTTTCATGCGAACGATAGGGATACACCAAAACCTACCAAGAAAAAACGGAAGCCCAGCACGTCAGTTCCGGTGAGCAGTCTGTCCGATTCCCAAGTTAGTGCCTCCCAATCTACAGCCAGCCAGCGTCACAAATCGGGAAACCAGTCTCGTGCATCTGGAAACAAACGCCGCAAAAAGCACCGCAAAAACGACCAACAATATGCTCCACCTCTGTCACCGGATACTCCCCTTGATGAAAGCTCTCACACAGGTAGGCATATTCGTCGTCTATCAGCTGCATCTCAAAGGACTTCCACAACACAACATGGGAGTCTGTAGGAAAACGAACGGCTGCCAAGGCTGCCAATGCTGCCGCTGCTGCCAAGGAGGCGCCGAAGAAGAAAGTCAAAGTTCGCAATGGAGCAGGTGCTGCCATTCGAAAGGGCGGTACTTCGCATTCCCAACAGAGGTCACCAGCTAAGAAGGGGAAGAGTGCTGATTTGGAGAGGACGGTTATAGCATTGCAGAAGCAGCCTGAGGAGGAACAGGCAAAAACTGAGAAGCTGAGTTTGGAAGGAACCGACACTGATTCGGATGCTACTGATGATGAATCGTAGCCAAAGACGATGTCCATTTATTGTCACCAACCGATAAAGTGCTCCGATGAAATAAGGAGATGAAGACGCAATCAAGAACACTGACTGGCGGAGTTCAAGTTTGTCAACAGCGACAAGCTGGCAATTGCCTCTACCACGGCCACTCTTGATACTATGCAGTTGAAGGGGCTGTATGTTGACTGGCAATGCAAAGAAGGACAGAGTACTAATTGAGTTGGTTTTGCTTGCGGATTGTCTGATGCACCTTGCAAATCTCACACCGGCTCCTCTCCCTTTTCTTTGCTTGCTGACATTGGTATTAAGTCCAACGCAAACTGTTCATCAAGCTCTGGTCCCTATTGCAGTCAAGACCTCAATGTTGTACGCAACTATGTTTATAACCGAATCTTTGGCATGTCCAGAAGCTTGTCAAGGTACATGGAGTGGAAAAGTTCCCAACCATGATTGAGGTCCTGAAGGTGAGTCAAGCGGGATGCCTATCTTTTTGCCACCTGGAGAGGGAGCCACTGAGGTGCGAAGGCACAGCATGAGCGACTCATTTTGTTGCTAAATGGATGTGGAGTTGCCTCTTGCTCAAGCTGGTGGTGCATCCAAGTTTGGAGGAAGGCAGTTCGCAAGAACTACATCATTTCGGAAGCCAGGGTGATGGTTTGGAGGCTTTCCCTCCCAATTCTGAAGCATTTGCTGCCTCGCCTTCGAGAATGGTTACACAGCGGAACCAGGTGCTGTGGACAATGAAGGCAACTACCAATGGAAAGTGGCACGGTACTTCAAGGTTACCAATGGCGTTCACCTTGGACGTGAAGTTGCCTCGCTCCAGCAAAGCAGAAGATCCGGAGGGAGTTTATGAAGGGAGTACTCCAGTTCCAAGGCGGATCTTCTGCTTTTGGAGGGTGGGGTGATAACGGCTTCGCCGCTTCAAGGATTTGCAGAAGCTTGTCCAGGAATCTAGAGCCCAGGACCATGCTAATTGGTGGAGCGGGCCATCCTTGCTCGTGTGCGCAAGGACATCTACAAGATTCCTGATGTGTCGATGCTGGAAATGAGGACTCGAAGAAGCGCAAGCGCCAAGAGTCAGTGTGAATCTTGATGAGATGATGATTAGGTTGCCCCCTGGCAACCTAGGACCCCATCATTTGGTGGGGTCCTACCAGGCTTTTGGTGGCTTCTCCACTTTCTTCAATTTCATTTCTTCCCTTTTAGCAGGGCTTCCAAGACGACTTTGTTACCTATGGCGTTCTTGTTTGGTTGCCCCAGCCGTCCTTTTTTGGAATCAATTTGGACCCTTTTTTCGGACCTATGGATGCCCCTACCGTTACAGTTGGTTACATATGAGTGGCCTGTTTCTCCCCTTTTACTACGAACATTATGTCATTGTTCGCTTACCTCCCATACTCTGTTATTAGTAGTACCATAACGAATTTACCCCAATCATATCCAACATTGTGTACTGCTTTTCCCCATTTGGAAACCCCTACTATAGATTTAGTAACCTAGGACTCTTTCATTTGGGAAGGAATGGCTGAGCTGTTTGGATTCCGGGGCTTGGGGAATAGCCTACAACTGCCCTTCTGTATTAGCATCACAAAGTGCATCAACTTGTAAGCCATGTATTAGAAAGGGGAACGGAATTCGGTAGAGGAATAGTGAACCTTAGTTCAACATTCTGTAACCGTTACGCCAATTACTTGTGCTGCAATTTCATCTGTATATGCCTGAGTCGATGTCTTCAATTAGTAGGATAAGAGTTCTTGAATATTGCACAGCTGACCTCACAAAATGGGAAGGATCATCCTCGGTGTTCTTGTACACACCATACAGCACCATAGACGCAACCGAGTCACGACCCACGATCGAATAAACCTTACAATCAAGACTCGACCCTCCGCAATATGTAACACCAGATACCCCGCCAGCGTTTCGCGCACCAACCCCCCCACCCAACAAACCCAGTATCGCCTAGACATGCAGTGAGGACAGTGAGCCAACGGAAGGATCCAGTATCCCACAACTCGCCAAGACGACACACAAGAAG